GACTGTCATTTCCGGCCGTCGAAGATTCTCAAAATTACTTCAGATTCTAGTTTTTCGTGAAAACGACTGTTTTTGCAGGGCAAACTACAGCATGTCTATGTATATATTTTTTTCAGGGTACTTAAATAAGCCACTCAAATGGGATCGGTAATCCGTAAGTTGATCCATCCGGCGCATTCTAGAATCCAGCAACGTTGAGTCTATTTTCGCGAAATTCGTCTTACTGTATTCCTGCTCCATTCTAAGTGGTCGTCGGCGAGATGGAGCGTTTTGAGCAATACAGTAAAGAAAAACAATAGGTTCTTCTTATCAGTGCTTTTTTAAAAATGCAAATTATCAGCTCTCAAAAGTGGCAAAAACGTCATCATTGCCACTTTTGCGTTTTTCCACGCTTTCTTCAAAAAGAAGAAAAGAATGAAATCGCGCCGCTGTGGCTCATTTCGCTGGCGCAAGTGCCTCTGTGCTTCTGTGGCCGGCTAATCGAAGCCACAAAGCTCACTTGCTGGAGCTCAGCGCGGTCGAAACACGCGGCTATTGTCGAAACGAATCCAACATTATCGCCAACACGCGTGGTCGGCTCAATGAAGATTTGGGGAACTTATCACAGAGTCAACGCGAATTTTACGCAGAATATTACTGAATACATTTTCCACGAGAAATTTTACAAAATAACCAAAATGCCTTTTTTATCAAAAAAAACAAAAATCTACGGGAATCGACCTTTGTTAAAAACCTGAGTCAGGGTTATTAAAAATATGAGAAGCCGCAAGGCGGCTTTTTTACAAACGAAGCCGCAAGGCGGCTTCGAAAAAACTCCTTTTTTAATGAATTTAAGGGTGTCAATAACAATTACGCCAAGCGCTGTTGACGCCCTTAATATTCTAGCTATTTTCGCCCTTTAGACCCTGACTCAGGTTTTCTGCACAGGTTGCCAAGCGACCTCGAACTTTTTGAATATAAAGGGTGTCACTATCTTAATCGCAATTTTTCTATGAAAATTCTCCGAAATTCTCAATTGATGATTCATTTTTTACTTTGATCACTTGATCATTGCATTATTGAAAGAAAAGACAAATTATCGATGATGCATTAAATCCGGCTTCAGAATTTAAGGAAGGACTGAACGGAACCATTCTAATCCCTATCAACGTTTTATTTGTTTCTAATCCTAGTACCTATAAACTTTAGTCGTAATCGTTTCTAAGCGGGCTCTCGTGACGACCCCGGATGATCCTCTCTTAATCGAGTCCAGATTTCAACATGCAACGACTTATATAAGCATTTTTATCGCTTTATGTAGCAATATTTTCAGTTCCCGTCTCTTTTTGTGGTGCAAAGAAAACATGCTCTTCCGAGTCAAGAACCGCATTTTTCACTGAGCTTCCGGAATTTCACTGATGCAATTTTCGACTTAGAAAAATTCGTTTTCTCTGATGCAACGTAAAATTAATTACCTATTTTTAAAAGGATTTATTTATTATTTATAAAAAGAAATTTTGAGTTTATTTTTTTAAAATAATTCTTTTTAATAATAAATTCTTTGATAAAGTATTTTTTCCATCTTGAATTTAATAATTTTTCTTTATAATTTATTTTTAAATAAAAATTTTTTAATTTTTGAAAAAGCCTATTTTTCAACTCATATCAAATTGCTATTTTTGTCGATTAAGGATGTCACTCAGATAAATTTTGAAAAAAAAAATCTTTAACATTTTAATATTTTTAAGGTTTCTGAAGGCTCTATTTCTTCATAAAAAGAATGGTTCTTTGCGGTTCGTCTAAACTTGTCGAAAAACGTTTTGGTCCTGAATTTAGCGCTTTGTACTTCCCCCTGCCGCTGTGTCCCCATGTTCGGATGAGTTTCCAAGTCTGAGAAGCAAAGTGCTCCTTTATTAAAATTTCTTCGGAAGGATTTTCAACAACCGCGCCGTAAATTCGCGAGACGTGAATTTCCCCACCGATTGCACGTGTTCACAGAATTTTTCCAAAAGCTGAAATTAAGGAATTTTCGCGATGACAGGAGGAGATTTTTTTGGAATTCAAGAGTCGAAATTTTCTAGGAAAAGAGAATGCTAAAAGTTACTTGGATTCTAATGATACCTCAGCCACCAGATTTAAGGGTGTCAACATCGATTCAAAAAGTTTGCGCAAATCGTTGTTGACACCCTTAAGACACCTCGATTTAAGGGTGTCAACATGATTTAAAAATTAGCACAGATCGTTTTTGACATCCTTAAGGCACCCAGATTTAAGGGTGTCCAAATCGATTCAAAAAATTGGCCAAAATCGACGTTGAAACCCTTAAGACACCCCGATTTAAGGGTGTCCAAATCGATTGAAAAATTGGCTAAAATCGATGTTGACACCCTTAATTAACTATTAATTAACACTCCATTTCGTTTGTATTGATTTATAAATATCGTCGTGTTCACCCTTAAATCATTTGAATTTCCAGAAATTTCCATTTTGATTCATCTTTTTCAGTTTAAAAATGCAAGAATGCTCTTTGTTTACCATTTTAAACTTGCAAATTCTAACTCCCGCGCGAAAAAGGCGAATTCTGAAGAGGTGTTCCATAACGCGGAAGGACGGGACTTCTGGAGCTTGGAATCCGACCGGGACATTCCACTTGCGTAAGCGCGCTCCATAACGAACGTTTTTCCGCGTCAACCCATCTAAACAAACCGACCAACTATTTTTCGAAACATTTCGTACTTCGTCTTCATTTGTAATCAACGGCACCTCCTTTTTCCCGAATCGAGGTTCATGCTGATGAAAATTTTTGCGCACCTTAAACTGCGAAGCCGCTTGCGGCTTCGGGTGTTAACTTGAAATAGCCGCGCTAGCGCGGCTAATATTTTCGTGAGAAAAAGCCGCGGGCTAACCTCTGATCCCTTGAGTGGCTTTTTTTAATTTAAGGGTGTCAACAACGATTTTCCCAATTTTACTTTTTGATCGCTGTTGACACCCTTAAGAAGCGAAAAACCATCAATTGAAAACCTTTTTTCTTTTGAAAAATCTTGATAATTTGAACTTTTTCTTCGAAATCCAACGAAATTCGTCGAAAAAAAGCAAAACTTCTTACGTGTGATCCGTAACTCACTTCCGTCTTGACAGTTTTAAAAATCTCGTCGGTAAGGCGATCCTGACGTAAGGGCCCAGCCGCGGCTTCTTGGCGACCGAGAACAATTGTACAGAATGAGCTTGCGGCCACGGAATCCAGTTAGAGCCAGGGCATCGGTTACGTGCAAACTTTCGCACTTTTGGTTAACTGAAGGTGAACGCCGGTTACTGTGCCTTTTTAGAACAAGCGCAATCTCGACTCAAAAAGAGCTTGATCAAAAGAGCGTCGATTCTAGCGCCTCGAACTTAGAACTTATCGGAAAGCCCGGGGTTCCTTATCAACGAGGGCTTACAAGAGGGCAAAAATTCAAGTGCGAATTTGGGAAAATTTTTGATGAAAAAAATTTTTTGGAAAAATTTTTATGAAAAATTTTTTCCTGAAAATCGTTTTTTTATCATTGCCATTGTCATTTGCTCCTTGAGCTCATTAATGCAAAAATGAATCTGAAAAAGGTGAAGAGTGGTCGTGAAGAATCGTGGAGGGCGGACACTAATGACCAGAATTTCATGCGAAGGTGGTTTTGAGTTGAACCTTCCAGTCATTTAGAGCGTTATCCGGTGACACCGGACACATTAGCCCTCTTTGATTCCTACTCACGCTTCTTGGAGTGGCCCTGAAAGTTCGAAAAGATCAAACAAAAATTTGCCGCGAAATTTTTAAATTTAATTTTTGAGCTGTAATTGAACTGCGTAATCCTGTTTTGACAGACGGAGTCGTGGTTCTAAACAACTACGCAAGGCTACTACCCTCTGTATGGGATTAGCTAAGAGCCGTTATTATCACGCTATGGATCAATCAAATATGATTTGCCGATTTGGCCGTGAAATTTATTTTTCAGATTTTCAGTGCGCTGACTCGATTTTAGAAACACACTTATTTCAAAAATAGAATTTTTTAAACTCTGACGAACTACAACAAATACGCGATTTTGATTGGCCGATTTCATTTTTGAAGGTTTTTTGATTGGCTGAAGCCCTAAAATAGGCAAAATCTAATTCAGCCAACAAGAAAGTTTAATTTAGCATTTCAACCAATCAGAAAGCTCAAAATATATTATGCTCCAATCAAAAACCTGAAATGTTTTGAAAGTTCTTTCAGGAAAGATGACAATAAATCATCTTTTTCGTTGGATTTTCAAATTTGATTTTCGAGTCGAAAATTGATTGTTCAGATGTAGAAGGAAATACCAAGTCTCAGAAAGTCAAATATTATTTTCAATTTAGAAGACGTAATAGAAATAGGGCGTATCTGTCAGTCCGCTTCCGATTTTATAAGCTGCTGGACGCGGCGGCGGTTGGAAGGATACCGCGATCATTCGAGCACCTGCTTGATCGAATAGCCGCACGCCAGGCACGTTGCAATTTATTTGTCACTTTTGAGCTGCCAACTTTTGATTTTTTGGAAAAAAAAAGAAAAGATAATGCGAACCAAGAAGTTTTTTTGGTTTAGGAAAGTCAAAATTGGCTCATCAAAAGTTCAATTTTAGGCGTAAACGAAGAATCGAACTGTGTTTTTGAAAGACCAATAAGATTGCTGTATTTGGCCTACTGGCAAATCAAAACCCTGATCCAGAAAATCATTTTTATTTTTCGATATTGCCTCAATTTTATGAGTCATATTTTATAAAAAAAATGAAAATCAAGCCTTTCCATTTTTTCCTCTATGATTTTTTTCTATCGGACAATCAAGTTCATAATCAATCCACGTTTTTGTGAAACGCAACAGACAAAATCGAAAGTGTTTGTTAAATAAAGGTGCACTTGTATATTCAACTCTGGCACCTTGTTTTGGCGATACCGCACGTTTTCGCTAACAGTTGATAGTGAATAACTCAGTTACTGTCGAGCCCTATTTTATTTCTATCATTACAGTCGTTTTACAGTTTTCCAATGTATTCTAGCGCCAAGCAATCCATCGCTAAATCGATGCATTCGATCGCCGCATGAGCTCGCATATCTTCGTTTTTATAAGCGGGAATTTTCGATCTCGCCTGAAAATGGAAAAATTAAGGGTGTCATGAGGAAAGTGCATCATACGGTATGATTAGGTAAACTTGATGAAAAATGAGCTCTTTTTTGAGCTTTCAATATAGAGAGTTTAATACATTTTTAGAATCCCCAGAAGCTGGGGATCATTTTGACTATTGATACTTGGGGGTTTGGTTCATGCCCTGAGGCGTTTTAGGCCTTCCAAAGTCCAAAAAATCGGGCAATCTCGGTGAAATGGCCATAACTTTTGTTCTCCCCACTTTCTGATGATGCTCAGCATCTCAACTTGTAGCTGGGGTTCTGACGGTTCAGAATCTGTGTAGAAAACTACCGGACACCCCCCATTCTAGCGCTCCTAGAACCTCTAGAAGTTAGGGAAGTCCACCGAAAATCGGTACTTTTTTTACTAAAATATGGTAAAACAGATACAGACAAAACGGACAATTCCGGAAGTTTTTTTTTCGGGAAAAATCGCCAAATCTCCGGAATTGTCCGAATTCGACTTGAAATTTGTTTGGGTCAGAAGTGCCTTTTTTAAGGGTGTCAACCAGAAAATGGACTTTTTTAGTGCTGCGCAAGGCTTTTTTGACTCTTCGCTGATTTCTTTTCAGAAAATTTTTCCTAATTATTTCGAAAAAGGTGGCCCTGTATAGAGAATAGGCCTCTAAGTTGAATTTTATGTCTTAACTTTCAGGAATTGTGCGCTTACAAAATTTTTGAAATTTCCCTCAAATCTCCGGAATTGCCCGTTCCGGAATTGTCCGTTTTGTCTGTATATTTCTGTACAAAAACGATCTAGGAATAATAAAATCGTTTTTTTGACCTCAAAAATATATTTTGGGTCATTATCGAGTACTTCGGGTGAGTTTTTACGAAATTTTTTTTTGCACATAATTTGACTTGAGGTGACTTTCGATGCCTTGTAACTATATTTTGGACATCAGAAAGCGGATTTTATCGAGTTTTGATCGATTTCGGACAAAAATTTACACCTTTTACAACATTTCAGTTGAAAAGTACCGATTTTCGGTGGACTTCCCTAACTTCTAGAGGTTCTAGGAGCGCTAGAATGGGGGGTGTCCGGTAGTTTTCTACACAGATTCTGAACCGTCAGAACCCCAGCTACAAGTTGAGATGCTGAGCATCATCAGAAAGTGGGGAGAACAAAAGTTATGGCCATTTCACCGAGATTGCCCGATTTTTTGGACTTTGGAAGGCCTAAAACGCCTCAGGGCATGAACCAAACCCCCAAGTATCAATAGTCAAAATGATCCCCAGCTTCTGGGGATTCTAAAAATGTATTAAACTCTCTATATTGAAATCTAAAAAAAGAGCTCATATTTCATCAAGTTTACCTAGGTATGATTCATACCTCGCAAGCAAGAGTTCTTTCCAAGCATTTGAGCTCTGCCGCAGAATAAGTCGAAAGAGCTTCGCCAAAGACAAGATCGCTTGAAAAAAAAATTAAGAGCTAACATAGTGATACCCTTATTTTGAAAATCAGCAATAAAACCAAACCGATTATCGATTGAAAACAGACAAAAAATATTAAAATTTACTGTAAATCTGCTTGTAAAGCGCAAGAAGAAGGTCTTTTTTCAAGAACAGCTTTGAAAATAAGGGTATCTCTATGTTAAATATAAAGAAATTACCTCAAAACAGCAGATATAAAGAAAGAAACACAGAAAATCTTCATCTCAGTTAATTATTTTTTGTTTATTTTTCTGAATACAAATTGATGCTGATTTATATATTTGCATGCATATTGCCTAATCTGGCAGGACATCATCTGTTTGTAAACCAATTCGTCTCAATTTTTAATCCCAATTTAAGGTCCTTAACATCAATCGCGATTTTGACGGAGAACATCGTTTTGGCGCAAAGACCCGGCTTGACAGGCGGCTCTGGGTCGCGTGGAAGCCTTCTCGAGCAGTTGCGATATTACGCTCGGGATGCTGAAGGTTTGGCTGGAAGAGCCTTGAGTCCGATTGAGATGGGAAGGTGCGCCAATCGTGAATTTGGAAGTCAATGCTGCGCTGGATCCAACTGGAATTGTCAAGCTCCTGGGAGCAAATGCTCATGTGATCAAGTAAGCATTGTTCACTGAAGAAAATTTTAAGGGTGTAGCCTTCGATATTCAAAATACATTTGAGAGGCATTTTGAAGCTTTCTTATGTGAAATAAGGGTGTCACTTTCTTAATTCTGCGAAAAAATCATCAATAGAAACCCTTAAAAAGGACACCCTTAATGTTTTCAAGGAAATTCTTAGAGAAACCAAAGAAATTTTCGATAGAAAGGGTTCGATAGGACTTATCAGCCCAGAAATGAAAATAGAGCGGTAAATCTAGAACAGGGTTTATCCACTTCCGCATTTCGAGATTTGAAGCCGCAACTTAAATTTTGGCAATATGGTCATTTGATAACTAAGCGACCAAAATAAGGGTGTATCTAGGAAAACGGTTCTAACAAGAGTTCGCTCATAAGAACTCAGATTAAAACCTTAGATACTTAGATAGATAGGAAAAGTTTTTTCTGATTTTCTAGAAATATATTTTTTAACTGAAAACCATAAGCCAGTATAAATTCCCTCCATTATTTATTTTAATTGTATTGATTATCCGAAGTCAAGTTCAATAAAACACTTCAGTGAAACCAAATAACGAACACAAATTAACTTAGAATTGTGGAAAATAATATTATGCGAAACTGCACTATCACTTGATATCGGACAAAAATTCCCTTTCAGATGTGCCGAGAATTCAACGACTGCTGCCCTGACTATGAAGATCTTTGCCTCGAAGCAGAAGAACGACTGGTTTCTTGCGATCTTCGAAATGGAGACATCAATGTATGGACCTTTTGCCTTTTCTCAATTTTTTATCCTGATTTTTAGAACAATCCGCCAATGGCTTTTGAGCCAGCGAAAATTCCCGACGATGCAAAACTAGCGCGCGCCTCTGGAGATCCTCATTATCATACTTACGACGGGCGAACGATCCATTACCAGGGCGGCTGCACGTACAAATTATCAGGTTCGCTAAATTAACCATTCAATCAACCAATCATCTTTCAACCCTTTATCATTCACTTTTAGGACTTTGCTCTTACGCCGCTACATCTGTTGAAGGAAATATTCTCAGCGAGTTCAACATCTATGCCAAAAATCGTCAATCTTTCAGGAGTGGATTAAAAATACAGTCAAATGACTGAAAGCTACTGTAGCCAACAATCTACGACTGGATAATGAACCGCTCTGATCCACAGAATTGCGTAACTAACCGCAAGAAATGCATATTTCAAGCCCCGTTTATTCGTTTTTGGCAGATATGCTAAGTGTTCCCTACTTCCCCCCTTTTTTGATTAGAAAAGTAAATGAATCCAAAAACAAGAAATTCTGCCAGGAACGAGCCACGACCCATGGCTTGGGTTGAAACGATGATCGTGGAAATGCCTGTGAAAACAGGCGACGTTGAGATTGGATCAAAATTCGTCACCGTTGGACAGGACCTTGCTATTCAGCTTGCTTCTGTTTGGACAAATGGAACCTCTGGTGAGTTAAAAATCAACAACATTTTTGATGAAAATTATCAGCTTGTTGATAAGGGGGTTCACTTCTGGACTCGGCAATTCGTAAAAAAACCTGAGTCAGGGTCCTTAAAAATCGGTTTTAAGGACGTCTACCCCGCTAACCCGCATTATCCAATAAGATGATGAAGAATTGCCAATTGCTCACTTTTTCATATCCCTCGGAAAATCTTAAGCCGCTCTAGAGCAGCTTATCCTCTTTGCCCCAACAACACTTATCCCCATTTTCCTTATCCCCGTTGACCTTCCTTTGGTTCCGCTCAACTCGATAAATAAACACTTTTGTTCAGAAATCCGCTCATTGGACGAAGCCGAACTTCCATTTGACATTAATGATGATGCTGGAGACCGAGTCGGTCATATTTATAAAAAGGGTAACTATGTTAGGGTTCAAGTTGGTATCGATGGATTGACGGCTGGATTCAACGGCAAGCAGAATATGAAGATCAACTTGCCTTGCCAGGTTTGCAAATACTTTTGACTCAATTTTTGAATCTGATTTTCAACAGTATATGGGCAATGTCTGCGGCCTTATGGGCAATGCCGACGCTGATCCCTCAAATGACGACCGTATGCCATCCGACATCAGCGCCGAAGACGACAATATCCTCGGTAAATCAACAACTGTTCTTTTCCATTTTCTAATTTTCCTCCAGGAGAATCTTGGGTTGCCACTAACTTGCCAGTAATTATCGGCGACGGAATCAACGAATGCTCCGATTCTCTTCCAGAAGGTGCACCAAGAGCACCAGAAGTCTGTGATGCCAACAATTTGAGAGAGGCTGCTACTCATTGCACTGCTATTCTGGACGCTGAAGGTATCATTTTTCTTCAAAAAACATTTCTTCAAAACATTTTTCAGGTCCATTCGGAGGTTGCTTGGTTCACGATGTCGCTGGTAGCTTCTTTGAAGATTGCGTCTACGATTTGTGCCTCTACTTCGAAAACGACCTCGATATCGAGTAAGCGCCCTCTTTCTTTTTCCAACTCCTCAATCCCCTTCTTTCAGACAAGCCAAATGCGACGTCCTTGAAGCGTATGCAAACGAATGCCGAGATATGGGAACGACGAACATTTTCTGGCGCGAGGAACTCGAGTGCCCAGTCCAATGCGGCAAGAACGAGCGATTCTTCGACGAGACCGACACTGAAATGTCTTGCGATGGACCAGTCGACATTTCTGTTGACAATCATGTTGTTGAAGGTTTCGAATCAACAATCCCCTTCTTGATTTTTCCTTTTGCATGATTTTTTGTTGCTGAAAACACTGTTTTTCAGGCTGCTTCTGCAAAGATGGCTACGTCCGAAATGGCGAAAAATGCCAACGAGAAGATCGATGCCCAACAAACAACCAAGACAGCAACATTTGGAACGACCAATTCCCAAATATGCCTGGAATGAAGGTTTGAGATCCTTGATTTTGATTCGTTGAACTCGATTTTTAATTCGAATTTTTAGCTCGATGGTGACATTGAAGAATTTAACCCGATTGAATTCCTCGATGATTTGAGCTGCTTGACTGAGAATCCGATTGAGAGTAAGATTCAAGATGTTGAAAAAGGTTGGTTATGAGATTTTGTAGAAGAACGACCAGTCAGTGGGGGAAATGGACATCATGCTAGAAATGATTGGGTTGCTCCTGATGCCTGCTGCGATGATAAGCCTTACAATACAGGCGTCAAGGTACTCTTAATGACAAATCTGATGATCCTACGTTTCTGATTGGCTGAGCCTCAGCCTAAGTAGTGTTCCTTGCCAGAGCCAATCAGAAAGCTCGATTAAAAGATTCGTTATCAAAGACCCTTTCTGTAAGAAAAATTCTCATCCTGATTTTCTAGAGCTGCTGTGGCGGTCTTCATGTATACGACCCAATTGAAAAATTCTGCATCGACGGACAAGTTGTCCATCTCTAAAGACCGACCCTCGATCCATTCCCCAAAACGAGCTCCATCCAGCTCTTATTCAAGATTCTACTATTAATTTTAAGTTTTGCCCATTCCACTTTTAGTCGAACCAAAAGTGAGCTGATGGCCCCCTTGATTGATTTCCGGGCCTTTTGTGTAAATAACATTTTGTAAATTTCTTTCCTCGTCAATTCTAAAAATGCTTGTAAATAATTCATCCTTTTTGACAAAATTTCAATTTTGCAGTTTTACGACACTCTTTTCGCACAATTTTCAACAAAAATAATGATAAAAAAATTTTTCGCAGTATAAAATTTAAAAAATAATTTGATCAAAAGCTGCCCTGTTAAAAGTCCCTGTAAAATAATTCTCTTCGACTCGCAAAATTCAAAATTTCAACCTTTTAAAAATTGTGAAATTACTCGACATCTTTTGATTTCGCCCTGTTTTCTGAAGAAATGGCTTTTGAAAACAAGGATGAAATCCTCCATTTGGAAAGGTATAAAAAATCAACGACACCCGATGAAATTGGCCAAAGACGACATTTGAGAAGAACAACTCGAAGATGCGAAATGGGTGAAGAAAATTATCAATGGAGAAGATGTTTTAAAATATTTCCTGCCTTTTTATGCTGTTCAAAAATAAACGACTTTACTGATTTAAAAATATTATTGACTGATTGCAAAATTTGTTGAAGAACCTTTGGTTGAGGGATTTCTAAAACGTACGTCATTGAATCAACGAATGCGTTTTGAAATTATATTAACACACTTTGAAGTCACTTCCCGGAGTCCTCAAGAGGGGCACGGCTTGAGCACAGTGGTAAACAACCGAAAGTACGGCTCAAGCAGCGCTGCTTTTTTAGAACATTAACGACCTCTACATTCTTCAAAAATTGACTGCCACATGTAGCAAACTTCAGAACTGATCAGACTTTGACCTCTCATACTTTGGTCTATTGGAATAAGGACGCTTATTTATTTGCTGATCTAAGTATCTTCAACAGGCTCTGAAAACTCCCGCAGTTTTTTCCTAACATGATACTTCTTCATTTACTTTTTCTGAAAACTGGCTTTACATTCGACCTGCGCGAGTATCAAACTAATGATCAAGGTCTAAAGAGGGAGGAAGCAAATTCGTTTCTTCGATATCGAAGAGCTAATGATGGATATGAAGAGTATTGGAACAGAGGCAATTTTGAGCGAGAATGCGTTGAGGAAGTGTGTGATTCAAATGAATTTCATGAAGTTTATGATAACTTTGAGAAGGCAGAACCACTTCTGGTAATTTCTTCATATCTAATTCTTCTTTAATTTATAAATCTCATGGTATAAGATACGATATATAACTTGTCGTCATTACGCAAAGCAGAAAAATATCACAGAACTGGAATTTTTGAGAATTTGTTTCCAGGGAGATAAAGAAATTAACCTTTGTGATGGGGATAATCCTGTGTCTGGTGAAGGAATTTCTTCTCAAGGAACATCAGAGGTATTTTCATTAATTTTCATAGAGAATAACACTTAACATAAGACCCAAAAAAGACTGGTAAGAAAATTTGAGCTTGATAAAGAACTAAAACGCCCGAATTTCATAGTCTGAAACTTTCATTCTTGTTATACCGAAGATGCTCATTGATTCTTATTTGATATCTGGTGATGGAAAAACAAAAAGACTCCCTACAATTACCTCTCCAGATACTCAATATCAACAAAATTATGCTGAGAGCGCGTTATATGCTGTTTGGCAAAATAGATTTTATATCTTTGGCGTTAAATCAGACAGACAAAAGGTATAAAAAGGGTTCTATTTAAAAAAAAAAGATAACTTTCAATCAATAGATTGCCTATCTAGAAGACTGTCATTTTACAGAGCTGTCAACAAAATTGCTCTTTAGAAAGAGCTCCGACAGTGCCGCTCTTTCGATTAATAACAATACTGAAGGTTTCTCTTGTTTTTTTCTTCTCGAGTAAAAATGTTAAGTTCTTCTTTGTTTTGCTTCTTCCTATCACCTAGCAAAAAATTGTGAGATTTTTTAACGGGACATCTTCAAAATACGCGAAGTCTTCAAACTCAATTCATGGAGGTGGAGGGCTCGGAATGTACAACGGACAACCTGTAACTGTTGGAAGCGGGAATAGAGCATCGTATGAGGCCAAGCCTACCGAGAAAATAGTTGAAACATTCAACTCAACTGGATGGTCTTTTCTTTCTGATCAGGGATCCGATTTTGTGTAGCAATGCTGACCAATCAAATGGTTTTTAAGGGGGAGGTCGACGAAAATCGGGATTATACGGGGAATAACAAAACCACATATCGATTTTAGTCTTAAGCTTCCCAGAAAATCAGATTTTTTGATGAAGATCAGACTTGCACACGGCGAAATCAAATTTATGGAAAGTATGGTACGTTTCGGACACGAATATATGATGGATTTTAATAACTAAAGACCATCTCAACAGAGCTTTTGAAAAAACATTTAAGTAGACTTCATATTTGTGCCAAAATCGGACCCCTGGTATCGATCATCCAACGCAAGTTATCGTTCATTTTTCATAATTTCATGTAGAAATATTAGAGGATCATGGTATCATACTTTTGTTTCGATGAATGATGGGAGTCTTCTTTTGCTCGGCGGATCGCAAACAAAATCTGCTTGGCGATTACAGAATAATGTTTGGACACAACTTGGGAAAATGAAATATGTAAGTGACGTCAATTTTATTTAAACATAAGAGAGCTTGTTTATTGATCAAAATATAATTCTAGGACGTCTTTCAACAATCTAGCCTCCAAATCGATAATTATTTATACCTTTTTCCGAAAAAAGGTTATGACAAAATTCATCGGCTCACAATTGATGAAGAAAAAATATATGAGAACATAGAAGAAAATTTTGAAATAAAACCTATAGCGAAGGACTACTTCCTTGAAACAAACCCTGTTATTTTTCATGCCAATAAAAATTTTTGTGTCTAATTCATCTTTAATAATAAACACAAAATATAAATGATCAGCTTCTTTTTTTCTTTATTACAATTTTCATAACAGGCTCATTCTCGAGCGGCGGAAGAGCTTTCGCCTTTTCGTGATTTATCATCATTTGTCTTGACTTTCGATTAATTTTCTTATTCGTCGAAATCTTCGGAGTCAGATTTTTAGGAGGACCTTTTCTCGAATCTGGATCTCGAAGAGGAGATGAAGATAGGGTTTGATGAAGTTGATAGAGCCTTTTCGGCGGGCGATTTCTAAAGAAAAATAGGAAGAGGGATGATTTGGGAACTGAACCTGTGGCTTGATGGAAGTTGGTTTCGGAAAAATTGATGATTTGTTGAACGGGAAGAAAGACGGGAGTACTGGAAAAGGTCGGTGATTTTCGGGTCGGTAGATGATTCTTTATCTGCGCTCAGAGAAGCTTTTCGGGGTCAAAAGGCTTTTTTTTTTAATTTTTTCGGCCGAAAATGTCGATTATAGGTAGTTGAAGTTTATGTGTGGTTAGACTTTAAAACTAGTAAAATTAATTCCTCAAATAATTCTTATTGTAAAATTATATAAAGAGCTTTATTTGCATAAGTTTATGATTTCTTCATAAATATGACCCGTCATTATGATAAAAGGATCTTCTTGAAGCCTCGATCTCGAAATCACCACCATCGGGCTTGTCGGCACTGCTTCAGGGGTCATCTTTCGTGGGAAAATTTCATCAGGCAAATTTGTTCTAGAATGAAATTCGTGATTTTTTCGAATATTTCGGGGCTACCTGAAAGGTTTGGAGACAACAACGAGTCTTTTTCTTTGCCTCGCTGAATCTGGCTTTTTCGGCGCCTTTTTCTAGAAAACGAATACTTTGATGAGCTTGACTTCTTTTTACCCGCAAGCGGACGCGAAATTTTGTCTTTGTCGGATCTTTCTCTTTGTCCAGAAAGCTGGTTGATTTTGACACTGGATTTCCTGGTCGCTCGAGGCTTCGTTCTCTTACTAATCGAACATTTTGCTGCTCGATTTTTTCATCAAGCTCGGGAGATAAGTTTTCAGTACTCCAAAATTGCCTCGGCGGTTCTTGCTTTACTTTCAAATCGATATTCTTGGGAAAAACAGTTGAAGAACGAGGGCTTCTTTGAAGGAACTTACATATTTTTGAAACAATTCGCTTTTTCTACGGTTCATCATTCGGTTTACTTTTTCGGCTCAACAAGTGGCCCGAAAAGACCGATTTCTTTAATTTCTTGAGCCTTGCCTAAGTCACTGATGTTCGCATAGTTGTTGATCAGGTCTCTTTCGAATGAGTTTAAATAGAGTTCTTTTTGAACTCATCATTTTTGGTCATTTTCCTTGTTGTTCGCTGCGAATGCATCGTATCACTTCCTCTAAAAAGCAAAATATCAAATGAAAAGAAATAATTTGTACACAAATTGAAAGTTTCTTGTTTCCGAAGCTGAGTGTTTGCCTACCTTTCAGCATTATTTTGACAGCGGCCTGTATCCTCTGCTCCGCGAGACCGCCGCTCTGGCTCTTTCAAGTACTCCTCCTTGTCGCCCCAATTTCGCCGAAGTCGCCTCAATTTTTTTTTTGAGTTTTTTTTTAATCTTTATATTTTTTTAATATTATCAAATTATTTCAATAATCGCAAAAGTTAAAAATTCTTTATAAAAATCGAAAAAAAGCATTTTCTGGTGTTAACATTTTTTCCTGTATTTTTGTAGAGCTGAGATAGCTGAAATATAATACTGAAACCTTTACCTCCTCGAAGCAGGTCCAGATTCCGAAAAATTCTTTTTCCTGACTGATCGATTTGCATTTTCAACAAATTCTCTCCAAATTTCAAAGCTCATAATTTTCTCCCTCGACTAAAATTTCTCGCGAAGCTCTAACTCTTTCCCCGGCGGATTCTCAAGCATCCGTTTTATTGCCGATAACCCGGGCGCAGAATAAATTTCAAACTCGAGCTACTGTATCACGAAAATAGAGCGACTGTAGCTATTCTTTCGCCGTGGGAAAAAGCAGTGAAAGTCAGTTCCTCAGTTGAGGGGATCCATGATTGTGTAGGTGCTTTGTCTGCATCGCTGAATGAAAGAAATTTTGTTGTTTGAAAAAATCTCTTGAAAAAATTGAGAAACCTGGCTTCGAAAACTGGGAGTCTGAATAAACTGCTTCGGCGCATTTTGAACTTCTCTATTTTTTGCAAAAAATCCATGCGCTGCTGAAAATGCAAAAAAATGAGCGGGAGAACGGGCTCTTTGAAATTGAATATCTGACAAAGAAAGCGACCATGTTCTGCAAGTGTTTTTTCATAAGAAGAGTTTTCTTGGGATTTTGGTGATTTAATTAATGAAGTTTTAGGTCTTTTAAATCGGCAGGTTTGATTGTTTGGCGTCGCATTTCGCTTTCGTAGAAGATGCAAGCTGAAAACATCGATAAAATTATTCGGTAAGATAAAATAAAAGATGTCAAACGCGATTGAAAAATTGATTTCTAGGTTTGATTCGGTAATCAGCCAGAAAATTTTTATATTTTCCGGAACGCTTTAGCCATATAACGGAACAACTCATCTTATTTTCTAAGAACAACTAAAATGAGAAAACTATAAATATCGAAGATCTAAAGTCGCGAATATGGAAGATTCTGACAAATAATTCTAATAATTATTTTTTAAAAACCTACTTTTGTCAATTTTCAAGTTCGATTCGTAAATCTCGAAGTTGAAGGTAAACTTTTCATCCGATCCGAAAAATCCTTCAAAAAGCCGATCATCAACGTCAGGAGGAGGTTTCAGCTCACGGATGGCAGTGAACGTCTCGCCAGCTTTCGCATAAAAACTCCCATCGTCTGTGCAGAACGGTGATCTCAGCGTAAAAAGCGGTCGATCTTGAAATGAAGAATAAATTTTGGAAAATTAAAAGAGGTTACTTTCGTCGAAGAACTTGACGGACACTTGTTTTGTCGGCTTCATCGGGAGGACTTTTAGCCATTGAGATTTATTGATATGCCATTGGATGTCAGATTTGTAGGGAGATTTGCAGTCGACTGGAGTAAATTTTATTCTTCTCGATTCACGCCATCTGTTTGTGGCTTTTTGTCGTGATTTAGATCAAAGACCAGAATTGTCTTTAAAACCAACAGATTCTGTATTTTCAAAAAAAAATAAAATACTGATAAAACAAAATTTTTCTTGTAAAAATTGGCTTCCAATCGAAGAGCCATTCCTATAATTTCCATCCGACTTATCTTCAATAAACCTCAAAAACACCAAGTCAATCTGCTCCTCATCTCCATCTTCCTCATTCTCCAGCACTTCTACCATACATCGATGAGTTTCAAAAAGCACCTTGAAGATCGACTTTTGAACCGAATCTTTTTGCTTCATCTTTCCGAGAAAAATTCGATTCGACCAAACGCCCAGGCGGTACTTTTTATTCCTGATCAAAATGTCGCCAACTGCATGGACTCGCGGGAAGCGAGAGAAGTCGATTTGGCCGGAAGTTGATTGGAAGGGATGGCGGACGGTGGGGAGCTCCATTGTTCCCCAAGCTTCACTGGAGCAGACGTAGTCGCGCATGTCGGCATATGGCTTCTCGATTCTAGAGAAAGGGGATGAGATTTTACCGAGGGATCTATATTTAGGCTTACCGGACTAAATTTCGGGCGATTTTTCTAGCTTAGTAGGGGGGTCATATGACACATATTTAGAAAGCCCAGAAGCTGAGCTTTCATTTGAGCGTAAAATCAGGGGGTCTGGGTCATGCCCGCAAGGCAATTCATGGGACTTGAAGTCCCAAAATGGGCACTAGAATCCTTCAACCGATTTTTTGGAGGCCCGTCCGGCCTCCAAACCAATCAAGAGTCATATATTCAGAAAGCTCAGGCTTTGAGCTTTCAGATGAGGTCTAGAAATCTTAGTGCCAAGTGGTTTGTGTCCACCTGGAGGCGCTAGAAGTTGGCGGTTAATATCCGGAAATGCCGGAAAACTCGGTTTTTGAGTTCTAAACTCTACAATTATATGTATAAAACATATATAAACAATAATTAATGCATTAAAAAGTTGAACGGAGGTCAAACCGGGTGGTCAACCGGGTGGTTCATCGTGGGCCATATTTCCATGTTTTATTTCCTGTGTCATATGACCACCCAACTAAGCTAGAAATATGGGTCGAAATTTAGTCCGGTAAGCCTATCTATATTGGTACCTGTATTTGACGGTCCATTGATATTCGTCAAACATTCTTTTACACAAACCAGCATTTTCGAACTCATGTTTGACCGCTTCTTTCTTGATTTTCTCCAAAATATTCATCAAGTTGAAAATTCTTGTGTATGGAAGATCAGAAATATTCATCAAATCCAATCCAAAGCTCTTCTGCGGTCCATTCTTTTCGAGAAATTTCGCGAATTCTTGAAAGAGTCGGGAGAAATGAGGTGATTCTTGAACTGGATCGAAGGCTTTTTCGTGAATGGTTTTTTCGAGGAGGTCAAAGAATTCCGGATCGTCAAGGTAAGTCGATCGGATGAGTTGAGGGATCTTAATTGGGTCGAGAAGATGTTCGAGATGATCTTCCTCAGAAGTGGAGTCGGTGGAGGAACGAGGAGTTGGGCTGTAGGGTTTGCCGTCTGTGACGCCGACTTTTGCAAGAAAACAGATGTGGATTCGGTAGAGCTCTGAAATGATAGTTTATGATTAAAATTGCCGTTCAATGAAAATTCACTGTAATTGAAAAGAAGAAAGGCCTTCTGAATATTTGCGAATCATTTGTCTGATCCTTTCATGTGTGTCGTTCCGATGGGAGTAATCGCAAACAAAAGATAAAAGATTAATGAAATTCGTTTTGACTTTTGCTCTCAATATTCGAGTTTTTCAAAAAAAATTAACTAAATGGAAGAGAAAAATACGCAGATTATAAAAATTTGTAAATCTAAGAAAACCTTGGACGATACTCTTGATTCAGCATCCACATTGTCTGAGAGCCCACTTGGAGAGTACAAGGATGAAGATTTCCCAGAGCTGAAAGAAGTTCCGCAATACTCGAAAGATTCTGAAAAAAATAAGCGGAACGTACTGTATTGTGCTGCCCTGTGCCACCCGCTCCGATCCAATCAAGCTCTCATACCAGGGGTCTGGATTCGCTTTGCGAATTCGCTCATGAGCGAAGCGAAGCAGAGCGAAGCGAAGTCGCTTCGCTCACTGTGTGGCATTTATTCACATTGCCGTTTGCCCAAGATTTCGGTTCCCCCAAGTTGGGTAAACGGTGATTTGGGGAAACTGCATTTGGGCAAATGGAGATCACTCGAGCCACACATCCTCTTCAGCTGAGTTAGATCAGAAAATTCACGATTTCGCTCTTTCCAGAGAGGGAGTCCGAATGCCCGAAAACAAATAAAATTGAAAGCGAACTTAAAATGGACACTTTTTCGAAGGTCAAATATTATCGGAAAATTTTCGCTTTTTAGAAAAATTTTTCGCTTCGCTTCGCTTTCGCTTTCGAAAATTTGATTCGCTTCGCTTCGCTTTCGCTTTAAATTTTTGAAAAATTTTCGCTTTCGCTTTTCATTTTCGGCCAAAATCCAGACCCCTGCTCATACGACGAATCAGTTATGAACGAGAGCGAGAATTGTGCCCCGGCAACTAATGAGTTCTCTATCAGAAAAGGCATACGTTAGGGGCCCTAACTTAGGGCTTCAGGCCCGTTTAAAAGTGCTGATTTAATGGAAATAGAAAATTTAATGAAAATTAATTTTTGACATCTTCAATTTTCTAAATTCCCTTTTTATCGTCACTGTTTGCTAACACATACAGTAAAACTCAAAATTTGGCGGGTTTTGGTCGTCATTGACTGATTTTTGAATCTGATAAAGACTCAAAAATTGGCCGTTTTTTAAAAATAACGAAATAATTAGGTGACTTACAGAACTGGAATCGCTATCCTTTTAAGATCGAATATTTTCGGACGAGGCGAAACGGGTGATGCTAGGCGGCACAATTAAGTGATTCCAAGATAAGCCGATTAAAGACTCAGCTCAAGTGGAAAAAATCGAAAATGGAATAGGCACCCTGAACAACAACCTCCAGAAATTTCTCAAAATACAGAATAACGTCGCCCTCACGTCAGCTGAGCTTCAAGCTTTGGCAGATAAAACAATGCTCCAGAAATTGGATGGAATTGACATGAGAGCGGCAAACACAGAATCAGATGCTTTTCTTTTCTTGAAAGCAATAGCTTCAGGACAAAGATACGCAAATATAAAAATTGATTATGGCGAGAAGGATACATGGGCATATGGTTATAAACAATCTTACAATGTCTTTGATCACCCTGTCTCATTCGATGGTTGGAGTGTCCAATTTACATGCAAAGTTAAAGAAAGGAAAGTGTTTATAATTTTGAGATTTGAATGTTGTTTCTTATTTTCTGATGTTTGTCCATGATCTTTGAATTCAAAGCACTTTATGAGGGTGTTAAATCCTGATATACCTACATGGAAGAGAATCCTCTTCGATGATTATAAGAAAATTGAATTCTCATTTTGCTATCAAATAGAATTCCAGTCTCCCGAAAATCGTGATTTCAAATTCTCTGCGCAATCGTCCGAACCTATTTCTCCCTATCCAAATCGAAAAACCGTATCGCTAAAACTAGCTCAAGATAGAAAAATCGACACTAAAGAATCAGTTGTCGTTCATCATGGGTTTGCTGAAACAGAGCTTAAGACTCAAGTGCTTAAAGACTTACATGCCGTGCTTGAAGGAAGAGTTCAATAAAATAAATTTAAAAGCACATGTTCTTGTCAAAAACAAATACAGTGGTGTGAGGAGTTTCCGCACCCTTTGTGAGTGCTGCGTTGCCGCACTCCAAGCCCGCTCTTTTTCTACTTATTTCTTCTAGAAGAAGCAAAAGTGAGTGTTGCGTTTCCGCACCCTTTACCCGCTCTTTAGGGGTGCGCAAACTCCTCACACCATTATACGTTATTTTGTCAAAGTCAAGTTTTTCAACACGCTCCATAGGCAAGGCTTGTGTATTTTGAACTTTGTTGAAGATGCCCGTGGAAAGAGGCAAACAATTACATGGACTGTTTCTCAATCCTCGGACCAATAAACGTAATTATTCTTGGAGCAATCACAATAAAAGCACTGTTATAAAACATTGATCTTAATTAAATTCGAATCTTACAAAGACATTTATAGTATGATATCACAAATTATTGTGTCAGAAAGAAACAAACCTGGTAAAATCTGACGATGAATCCTCGGTAAGCTCTCAATAATAGCACTGAATTCCGGGTTGTTTCCATATTGATGATAGAAACTATCGAGCAATCTGAGCGATTCTGATGTTCTCTCAATCGTTTCGAGAAATTCAGCGATTGCGAAGTGGTAGTCTTTTCGCTTGAGAAAGTCTTCTTTTGAGTAGAAAGAGTTGAGTCGTTGCTTGAGGATTTCTTTTCTCGTTTGTTCAGGAATCAGGTCAGGAGTCTGCTCGCGAGATTCGATGATGTCAAGGACGGGGGAGGTTTTTGGCGGAGTTGGAGCGATTCTTTTCGGTCTTTTTTGTGATGAATTTCTGGAAAAAAGGAGTCCATTTTGAAAAAATATTTTTTCCGCAAAATCATCCCTTTTCCTGATTGGCGGTCTTCGTTTATGTTTTCGATCATTTTTCTCCATCAGCTGTTCGCTCAAATCCATCAGAACCACTTCTGGTCCATTATTGCAACTTCTCATAATTCTCTCGTACGTTTCATCAGACATTCGTCTCTCTAGAATTCTTCTCAAAATCGATTTTTCGCATGAATAATTCATCGCTCAGGTGAGAAGAGCCATTGTTGGCTCTTATTCAAGGGCAAGTTTTGTTACCTTTTCTGGGGGTCGAGGGAGAGTCTTGGGCTTCTTGAGGAATTTCTTGATAGGTTTCTGGCTGAAAAATTTCATCCTCAAAGATTTCCGGTGATGATTTTGGCGGAGGGTGGGGCTGAAACGAGGCAAATTCGGAACTTGTTGCTTCGAGAGACGAGCTTTCTGAAGATTCTAGAGCGCATTCGGTTTGAATCGACTCGATTGATTTGAGCGTCCCGTAGTCTTCGTGGATCGCAAGTTTTTGGAGCTGAGGAATGACTGGAGGTTGTTGTGGTGGAGTTATTCTTCGAGGAAGTGGTTGAGGGATGGAGTTTTCGTGTAATTGTGGTGTGATATTTCTTGGTTTTGAAGGAGGGATGAAATTTGGTCGAGGAGGTTTTGTTGGTTTTTTTCCAGGTCGAGGGGAGTTTGCTGGAGAAAATGATCTTTGCTCGTTCACGTCCTTAATTTTATCCGCTAAATACCTTATTATGGCCTTACCTTTACCCTTACCCTAACCGTTAGTGTTTTTAAACTTGAAGTCTTACGTTCACCCTAACCCTACCTCTTAATCTTGAAATATATTTCGAATTTTCTATCATTTGTATTCAATTAATTACCTCGAATTTTGCGAGCATATTTCTGACCCCAGTAAATCCTTCATCTTTTTCCCTCATGTTTTCCTTCCTATTCTTTTTTCTTTGCAGAGTGTCTCTATGGCGCGCAATAAGCCCCTCAAAATCACTTCTGATTTCTTTTGTTCCAATCTTTAAACAAATTTCTCTTTGCCGATCATAAAAAGAAAGCAAAGCTCTTACACATAAAATCCGATGTTTACTATTGTTCTTTGAATTATGTTTCCAGCGTGAATTCGGGTGATTGAGAGGCCCTGGAGGCCGAGTCACTAAATCAATTTGACAAAGAAATGAGAAAATAAAAAGATGACTCTAACTCTGATACGCAAATAAAGAAACTGGCATGAGCCAAAATTCTTTTGATCACAAAACTCACCAAGATTTGTACTTAGTTTTTCATTCATATGGATAATTTCTCTTTAAGTTTTCGCTGAGTGGGCGTTTAGAGGAAATTTGATTGACCGGATGCAGAGTGATTCAGAAAACCTTAGCCATAACATGATAAAAATCGCTCTGTACAATTTTCATCCCTTAAAATTTCCCCAAAAAAAATTCAAAAGACGAAAAGTAAAAATAGACAGGTTATGAAAAAGCTTTAAGAAAGCGTTTTCTCTCGTGGGATTCTTAACTCAAGCTAACCACATGGCATGAAGCTAACAATTTACATGTCAGCATGACAAGCATCGATCAAATTATTTGATCGCGATGTCCTTTGAAATTTAAGTACGGCGACGAGTGCTTGCTCTCTTACTCCATCTATCAAAAACGATATATAAGGAGTGCTGATGATTGTGGAACTTATACTATTTCTAGTTGAAAAAAATGAAATTTTCAAGTTTTTTCGCTGCTGCTGCTTCGGCTGCTGACTCCTGTATTCGTTTTGAAAAGGGACCAGGAATGGTGATAACACTGAATTTGGATATAGTTTTAGAACTTACTTTTTGACCAAAAAGGGGGTATGAAGTGGAAAGATGCTCACGACTATTGCAGAAGACAAGGCGGCGCGCTTGCTTATTTCAATAATCAAGAAGAGTACGACTTGTTCACCAAAGATTTGGATTTCTCCGCCAATAACGGATGGAACGTTTGGTACAAGGAATGGCTTGGAATTAGACGAATGGGAACCGAATTCAGACAGAACGGAAGTTTGCGAAACATCGGCCCCTATGATTCATAGGCTATGAAGGCTGGGAGTCAATAGGATACATCAACATTCGAAAGAAGGAGCAGCTCTTTTTCAAGTGGAAATCAGACGAGCCGAACAACTCACGAAACTACAAGTCCTACTCGGGAAGATACGGAAATCGTCAAGAATCTTGCGTGGAATTCGACATCAATGATTTGCAGTGGAATGATCTCAGATGCAACAAGCGCATGCGTTTCCACTGTAGATTTGACGACTGCTAGAAGAATAAAGAACAAAAACAATCATGATCTTTTTCAATGTTTTATTAAATATTATCAATTATCTTTTCCAATGAATGAAGCAGCAAAATGAAATAATTCTTCACTTCGACCAGTATCTAAGTCGCAGTCGCATCAATGACAAGAGTATCTTCCGCTTCTTCCACATAGCAGGAATTGTTTTCCGCGTCGATTTCACTTGGACTCCGCGGCTGAAAGGCGGCTTTTGAGAGCATCGAAGGCAGGGCCATCGCTTGAAGCTGGTATTCTTTTTCCGCTTCTTGGAAAGCCTCGTCGTCTTCGTACTGTCCTCCAGGAAGAACTGCATCAATTTCATGTCTGCGTACATGGCGGCGGAAAGAATCGACGCGCTGAAGAAAAGGTTGAGACTTTTGGTCATTTTGGGACTTGATTTACCGCAGTTCGGAAGTTGCACTGCTCGCATTTGTAGGTTGTTTCGGAGTGCGAGATCATGTGACTGGTGAGATGGTCTTTTCGGATGAAGGCATGATTGCAGATGTCACATTTGTAGGGCTTATGACCGGTGTGGATTCTTGAGTGTCGCTGGAGCTCAGCAGGTCTAAAATGAGTTACTGCGATGATGATTTCTTAAAAGAATTCCGAAAAATTTAATTCGAATCTCAGCTTTCCAGGAATAGTTAAAATCAAACTCATTTTTAAAATGATAAAATTTTGGTGCTGGGTAAGTTTCTCTAGAAAAAAAAATTACAAAACACGGAAAAGTCGATGGTCTCGAATTAAATTACCTGACGAATTTTTTGGTGCAAATTTTGCACTCGTGCTTTGCCACGTAAGTTCTTCTCTTTTTTGGAGGAAAGCCTCTAAGATTGAATGGATCGAGATCCTCGCCATCAGAGTTGGTGTAAGGAGCTTCTTGTTCGGGGCAGTAAAAGTCGAAGCCATCATCGCGCTCAATTGGCTCGACGCCGGAAATATTTGCTGAAGTGTTTTCGTCTGTTTCCATGATTACTTCGTCTTCTGGCTCGTCTTTAACCATCACCTAGGAATAGGGAATGAGTCTTTTGATGGGAAAGGGGGGGTTTTACCTCGCATGTTTCAGAATTTGATGGAGATTCTGGAGGCGATTGTGGCTGTACGACTGGAACTTCAGGACTTGGAGAGGTGGTGATTTTCGGAGGGGATGAAATTGTTGAAGAATGAATGATTGGCTTTCCAATTTTGGTCATTGCTTTTGCCTGAAAATCAAAATAAGGAGATGAGTTAGAAAAAAACTCATACTTGTTGAGAATCCTTGGGAAGAGTAAGAACCCTAGCAAGTTTTCCGTTGGCCAATCTGACTGTTGTCAACTTGCTGAAATCCCCACTGAACTTGATCGGCTTCCCAGGAGCTGATTGAACTGGCACCGGTTTGGGAAGATTCTTTGTTGGAGGAAGAATTTGAGAATTATTCGGAAGAGCGCGCATCACTTTCATCGGCTTCTGAATCATCTGCACTGGTTTTTGGCCGTTTTCTGAGCTCGGATTCGGCTGAATAAAAGTGAGATTGGGTTGAGAGATTCTTGCTACCTTTTGAACGAATTGGTTGACGGGAGGGCGGATAATCTTCAACCCCTGTCCGTTCATGATTTTTAGCGGCTGGCCATTTTGAGATCCTGGTCGACCAAGGACTTTGATCATCTTTCCGTTGATCATTTGGCCAGGGCGGATGATTTGGCCGGGCTTTAGCACTCGACCTGAAAATTATTATCAGAAGAAAGTTGAATTTTGAAGAGCTTTACCTGGTCGAATCATTTGTCCTCCTTTGATAATCTGTCCTGGCTTGACAATCCTCAGCGGTCCTTTCAAACCATTCAACGCCGACTGGTTCAAAATCTTGATCGGTCCGCCAACTTTCTGCCCGTTGATCGTCGTCAGGACTCGCGGAATTGTCTTCGGCGGGGAGGTTTGGTTTGGAATTTCTTCGATCACTTCGCTTTTGACTTCGACTGTGTTGATCGTTTCCGTCTCCTCATCTTCTTCGGAATCGTTGATTTCGACCGTTTCAGCGGTAGAGCGGCGTTTGTTGGCTGGGACGGGTGATTCGGAATCTAAGGAAAGTCCGCGCTAGAAAAAGGGTTTATTCAAGAAAGAAGATCGAAAAACAGCCAGAAATGGGTATTGAATTCGAATTTCTAGACCATCTAGAGATTTTCTTCTATCATCTTGAAATCGAATTAATCAGTACCTTTCCCCGGATAAGAGCTTCAATCGGTTGATCATCATCATCTTCGTCCAGGTCGAGAGTCTCCTCCATGTCTCCACTGACGACGGATCCTCCCAAACTCGAGACATTTCTCGATCTCTGCTCGGAATCTCCACTTGAGCTGGCGACACTTTCATCTGCTTTTTTCGGCTTCAAGTTGATGTTGAAAAATCGGCGCTCGTATTCTTCGAGATTATCGACCACGTTGCTTCGGCTCACGGCGATTTTACGGATGTCGATCAGGCGAACCATCTCTTCTTGAAAAAATCTAAAGAAAAATTCTCTAGAAACAGTCATTACCAAATGGTCTCGAAAAGAATTTGCTAAACAGAAAGCTCAAAATATGCGGCTTTCGAGTCAAATGTAAACTCTTTCAAAAAGAAAAAGCCGCTTGCGGCTTCTTTAGATTAACAAAATCGCTTAAGATTGAAGTTCTAGGGGCTAGAATTTTGCTCCGCAAAAGTCATTTTCAAGTATCTATTTAAAAATCTTCGACTCGAAAAATAAGATTATCCGTAAATTACCTGTCTTGTGCCTAAAGATAATCTCTTGTTATTCTTTCACTTCCTCTCTTTTTTCCTTTTTTCTTCTTTTTTGGTGTGCCTTTATCTCAAGCTAAAATGGGAAAACTGATTCTCCGAGAGTCGAAAAGTAAGTTTTCGGAGTTTTGTGAGTTGATTTGGAGTTGTGTGGCTTTTGAATTTCTGGCGCGTGAACGGCACCGCCGCGGGCGAGGTCGCCGCTCTCGCCAAGGCGGCGAACCGCTCCGGCCCGACGCGCTTGAACACGCAAAAGCCAACGATAGTTATCGGCCCCAAGGCGACTTTGCCAGACGACGACGCAGCTTTTGCACCGCCGAAGTAGCTACTCCGCGAGCTTCACACTTTACAACCAGCGTCAAATCAACTCAGTTGATATCGCTTTTTCGCATAAATTCGAAAAAATGTTTATGAAGACCTCGGTTTCACTTAATTGGGCGGGTTTATCGTCAGAAAGCAACGATAGTCGAAGAAAAATAGTCAAAAAATTTATAGAAATGAGAAAAAAAGCCGCAAGCGGCTTTGTTTGTCGAATATTATTAATTTGATTCAAACATATTCTTTATTTTAGTATTGAAAAATATTCATTTTCCTTGAATAAAAAAACGGGCGCAGCTGCAGTGCTAGAATTAATCGCATAAGTATGTACCTGAAAATGCACCTGATGACCTTGATAAAATTTTGACCTCGAATTTTTATTTCAAGATTTCAATCTGCCGATTTTACGATTCTCTTTCGAAAAAACTGAGTGTGCCTAAATGCTCCCCTCGTTCGGGCCGATGCTTCGTTATCGAATTTGAATCATGATTCAGGAATTATCGTCCCGTTCTCCGCTCCCAGCCAAAAAAAATGATGACGAAGACGCATTTTTGCTAATCTTTTTTCTCATTTCGAAAATGGGAAATCCGATTAAATTGGAAAATTGAAAATTGTAACTTTTTCGGATGATTCAAGGTTTGAAGAAAACCTGATTCAGATTCTAACGACCAAAAATGAAAAGCCGCGTAGCGGCTTTTATAAGAAGGAAGCCGCGAAGCGGCTTCGCCATTCAGCCACTCTTACCTGTCCCAAAATATTGGCGAAGCCGCTTCGCGGCTTCGGTTATAGAAAAAAGCCGCTACGCGGCTTTTCGTATGGGCTCATCAGTTCCTGTCTCAGGACTGCTGGAAATAAAGGATAATTTGATTTTTGGGAGAGTAATTGATTTTTAATTTTAATAAATTCTCAAAGTACTCAGGAGCGTCAATTGTAGAAGAAACAATGCTGTGGTTGTCTGCTGGATCTGGAATTAATAATTTCGGAGGATTGAAGAGCAGCAACTTCAGAATAAAGCAGAAGAAATGGGGTCAATATGCAGCGGGAACAAAGGGCCAGAGAAACTTTTTATCAGCGGCGTTGATAAACGAGGAATAATCGGAGAGATGGCCAGGCAGAAATTTCTTATGAGCAGACCAAAGTAAAATTTCAGGCTCAAATTTTTAGTCATCAATTTCTTTTAAGAATTAAGGGTGTAACGATGCTAAAAGATCTCGAAGGAAATCAGCTCTTCGGTAGTTCCTCCTTGATTTCAATATTTTTGTTCTAAACTTTTTTTCAGATGAGCCAGTGAAACCAAAAGTCGACTCGGAATATGCTTCGAAGAAAATGTTCAATCGTTGGAAAAAGAAAGTTCTTGGTGAAAAGAAATCGAAGAAAAAGAAAAAGAAGAAGAAAAATAAAAATAAAACTGCCCCTGATGCTGCTGAGGAAGACAAAACATAACAAAATGAATTTGAAAAATTTTCTTTTTATTTACAGTTTTGAATGAATGAAAAAGGTTTGAAGAAGCAGAAGAATGAAGGTTTTTGAAGGAGCAAATTACTGGTATGGCTGGAAAAGGGGTGGGAAGGTCTGGGTCGGAGGCGCGTAAGGAGAAGGAAGAGGAGGTGGATTGCCGAAGAGTGCCATGGGATTCATCGCCATCGGAAAGGGCATGTTGGGGAGATGGGAGCTGAAGTCATGAGTCTGCGGGAGCGAGTAGGGAGCGGCGAGGGCTCTTGGATCGGAGACTTGGCCTCGCTTTCGGGATCGAGCAGCTTTGTTTTTTCGATTTCGCGTCTGGATCGCGCCGTCTTTTTTCATCGTTAAAGGTCGAGGAGTCTAAATAATAGTGTTAGAAACTTGTTATAGAAAATCAACGAAGACAAAATTTGAAAAAATAGCTGGCTTACCCCGTGGAGCTTTTCATAAAGTCCGCAAGCGTTGCAAACTGCGATGCCAGCCGAGTTCTTTCTCCAAAGGGACGTTTCGGTGGTCTTGCAGTTGTCGCAAATTGTACCCTCTCGCTTGGAAGGGACTGTTCGTCGTTTTGGCTTGACGAGCGGGCGAGGCTTGCCGTTGACTTTGTAGTACAATCCGCAAGCGTTGCAGAGGTAGTTGCCGACTTCATCGCGTCGCCAGAGGGGAGTGACAGTGGCCTTGCAGTTCGAGCAGATTCGATTTTCGAGGGAGACGTCAGAGGGCTTGGATCGTTTTGCTGGCGGGATTTCTTGATCGGGAAGAGGTCTTTTGGCGACTTCTTGGTTGATGGCATGTGGCTGGGGGAGAAAGCTGGGGATGTTGGGGAAGTAGTCGTGGGGAAGAGATGATTCTTGCTGAAGAGCTGGTGGATTTTGAGGCGCGGGCTGATATTGGGGCTGCGGTTGGTAGAAATTCTCGTGGTAAAAGTTCATCTGGGGATTTTCGCTGGAGACTTGAGGCTGTTGGTGCTCTTGGGAATGCTGATGAGGATGGTATTGGGGAGCGAAGTGGTCATTGTAGCCAGATGATGGAGAAATTGGCGGCTCTTGTTCGACGGAATTCGGTCGGGCGGGTTGAATAGCCTCTTCTGCAGATGATGTTTCGATAGTGGCGAGAGGAACTGCTTGGATCTTGGGAGATTCATCGTTGGTTGATTGGGGAGAGCCGATGGAGCCGTCGCTTGAACCGTTGGAAGCGATTCCTGAGTCGTGATGGTCATCTTGGTAGAAAGCGCTGGAGCTCATGTAGTTGATGTTGAAGTTCATGTTTGGAGAGGAGTAGTCATGGTAGTGAGTTGTTTCGGTAGACATTTTTTGATGCTTGTTTTTTAACTGTTGATTGTTTGTTTATGCTAGAATCGAAAACGAATGGAGATTATATTAGAGACGGCGGCGAGGAGGGGCGCTAGAGAAGACATCTGCTCCAGACGCGCGCCAGGAAGTTTACCGAGAATGGGCCTATCAGTAGCAGCTGGTGGATGCTCCGGCTGTTATTGGAGAAATCCATTGAGAATGGAGAAATTTTTCGCTGTAATTTATTACCATAAATTCATAAGAGAGTATCTTTTACATATAGTCATGCTAGAACTGGAGGTGAAAGTACATGCAGTTATCATTACAATAAATTTGTCAACATCGAGGGAAAAGAAAAATCTTTATATCAAGTAAAAAATCATTAATTTGTGGTTTGGTTATCAAAGACCATTCAATCTCGAGAAATTCTCGAGAAAAATGTAAAAATAAAAGCCGTTTTTTATGGCAAACAAAAGATATCTATTCTTATCAGTGATACGGTATTTATATTGCTAGTATTACTACTGAATGATCAATCAAATAATATATGATATATTATATATTATATATCTTCTAATACTCCGAGAATTTCGTTTTCGGTTATTGAAAGAATAATTCTTTTCGGAAATAAGCCTTCAAAAAGTTCAAAAAGACGCTGCGGCGTTCAAAGACATCTGAGTTTCTATCACTTTCTGCGTATCTCGCTTTCCATTTCGCAGAAGCTGGAGCTGATTGAGCTCACCTGCTCAAAAAATTGCTTTGCGACTTGGCTTTTTTACATCACCTGCTTTTTCGCTGCAAGAACAGATTTTTTATTTGACATTCTGGTTTTATTAACAAAAATAAGTCGATCGAAATATTTTGAAGCTAAAAGTAAAAATATAAGATCAAAAAATCTTTGTCAAAAACGGTCGTAAATCTTCGGAACAGCGGGTCTATGCAGGGCGAAACTGATACGGGTTTTCAATCAATTGAAATCAAAAAGCCGAATTCAAGATTATTGGAAAACCTTCCTTATTCTCGAGAAAACATCTTTAATTGGGGCACCATCACGAAGAGAAGGAACTTAAAAATATCTCAATATTGCGGAAAACAGAAGCTTACCAATTTGTTTTATCAATTTCTGCTTCAAAAAGCTTTGAAGCTATCGTAATGCAATTTTGCTGAAAAACAACTTCGGCTCTTTTTTCTTACGTTGATTTTCGTCGAACGAGACAGTTTTTCGCAGCGAGAGTTCAATTGCGTCTTTCGAGTTTTTCTTTGATTTCGAAGCGATTTCGACGTTGCTGGTTGTCCTAAAATAGGCTTGGGCGACCCTTATTGTCAGGCAGTATTCTACCTGGGAAGACTGTTTCGACATGATTTTGCAGGCATACTCAGACGGCCCTGTGGAATTTTCATTGGGAAGATTGGCAAAGATTCGTTTGAGAATTCTAGAGATTAAAAATTCATCACACTTTCCCACTGATACCTTTCTCTTCAGTCCCAAGAAGAAGGTCTTTCTCATAGCTCGTCTCGTAGACTTTTTCAATGTCATCATCGAAGAAATCTTTTCCGGTTTGAACCAATTTTTTTATTCTTATTTTTTATTCGGCTTCAAGACCGTTCCTTTTCTCCATTTCCAGGGCGAGAAGCAGTTCAATCTCTTTTATCAGCTATTTTCTCGAAAAAAATATTCGAAAATTCTATTGAAAATAATAATTTTCGATATAAAAAATATTATTTTAGCCGGGTCCTTGACAACTCTTGGAGGCATAGAAGACTTCTCCTCTTATTTGGAAATGGGATGGTGTCTCTATTGAAAGTAAAAGACCCGATTTCAGTCTGAGAGTGACTTTTGAGCCGGTATGAAATAGTGTTGGTTTTGGATTACGCTGAAAACCGACCACTTGGTGGTAGTGACGAATCGAGCAAGTATACACGTTTGAGGCGCATTAGTTACGGCGGTCGCGAATGAAATTTATTAAGCAACTACCGTTACTCTTTATTCATCTGATTCTAGAATCGCTTTACCAAATTCTAGTTGCGTGTTCGAATCAAAGATAATCTGTCGTAGCGAAAATCGAGGTGCTAATTCATCTTTGTAGCACCTGCAACAAAATAGAGCGAAAGTTTTTTTTGTGAAAAAGATGAGTTTTAAAATTGATATCAAGAAAGAAAAACGCTCCCTGAACATCGCTCAATTCGGAGCGGCGAGGCAAAAAGCTAAGAATCAAGGAGAGAAGCTTGATATTCAAAATATCGCGAAGAAAACAAGCGTTCATGCCACTTTTACGGGGCAAGGAAACTCGCTGAAAGAAGAAACAACCGGAAGAATTGAAGAAGAAAGAAAAATTGACGAAGTTGAAGTCAAAATTGATCGGGTAATTAGCGGCCTTCTGGGCCTGAGAGAATCTAGACTCTGGATTCTAGAGGTACTATAATATAAAAATTCTATATTTCGAAAGAAAATTTTCATCGAAATTAAGAGTTTGCCAACTACAAAGCTTCGATTCCGATTTCCTTCTGAACAACGAGAGCGAATCTTCAACACCAACACATCAATTTCCTCCCTTATAGACTTTTGCTCTGGGATTCTTGGATATGAAGCCGCAGTTTTTGAAGGTTTTCCGCCGAAAGAATTGGGAAGAAGTGAAGACAGTTTGGAGAAATTGAAGATTTTGAATACTGTTCTAAGCGTGAAAAAGAAATAAATTGATGGTTTATTTTCTACGAAATCACAAAAAGATTACTCTTCAAAGATTTTTCCCAGTCAAGCCATTAGTTTACGATGAAGTTTGATTGTGTAAGCTTGTGGAAGAAGATGCCAAATTCCTGGTCTCATATTGAAATTCTCGTTGACCAATGTCAAAAACTCTTTGTTTTCCCCGTTATAAACATAACTTTGACCATTGAAAGATTCCATCATATTTTCTTCAGCGTAATACTCGCGATCAAGAGGAATTCTTATTTGAGAAGGAGAAAAACCCGTTTTTTCATCGTCGATCAAATTATTTTCGATAATATATTCGCCATTCTCGATCCGGTCAACTGTCATCTGATGATAAATGACACTAGAGTTAACTAAAGTATCCTCTCCGATCGAAGAAAGGTACGCTCCAGTAACAGTAAGTGGACGAGTGAAGATATATTTTTGATGAAGAAGAACTAAAATAATTTGAAAGATCTTTTAGCCTTATTTAAACAGTATAAATTATACCTCTTTCATAGTCAAAATTTGCAGAAATATGAAATTTGACTAACTCCCATCCGACGTCATTTAAGAAGGTTTTATACTTGAGTCTTTGAAGTAGGCACTCAATACCATTTGTTTGATAGTCTTGCTCTTCTTTTTTTGGATTGAGGTTCAATCCAGCGAGGCTTCGGGGATACACAGAAGTTAAAGATTTTTCAAATTATTTGAGATTTATCTTATGTCAATTTTTTTATCTTAACTGGAAAAAACCAGTAAAGGGTACTACCTTCGATTTCCAAAATGGGCTTTATCTTTTAAACTGATAAAAGTGGGTATAAAAAATAAATTCCTCAGAAAATCTTTTCTAACTTTTATGTTGATCCTAGTTTGAAATTCTTGATGGTTTCCGAGATGTAGCCTCTCGAAGTTTTTTCGAAAAAAATTTTTGGTCGTCGATTTTTTCGAATAAGGGCTTTTTTGAAAGCGTAGAGCAAGGAGATCATTTTTGTAGGCTTAGAAAGATGGTCAGAAGTACCCGTCAACAATTTTCGAAAAATTTTTTTTCGGAATTTGAGAATTTTGACCCCGGAAATAGATTCTTCTTTGTAAAGAAAATATCCAACAAGAAACAGTAGACTTTGGCCTATAGTAAATTTATTTTCGCGGTTTTTCTTTTCTATCTCAAAATCAAGTTTGAAAATTGGCTTTTTTGCCCTCTGGTGTCTTAACTCAAAAAAATTAAGGTGTTGCCTCTAGAGACAATTCCTTTAAAAAAAATAACAAATTTGCTAAGGAAAAATTTTAAAAGAGAAAAAAAATCTTGAACTTCTTGAATAAACCACCATCGTCAAAACAACGAAGATATTTTCGAAAGTAACGCGTTCTTCATCTAATTTCGATCGATCATAATTCAAGTCATGAATCATTGCCCAACGAATAAGAATACAGACGGAAATAGGAACGCAAAGATTTGTGTCCTTTTGATCGATGATATTAGTTGTCAGATTCTCAAAATCTGGATTTGAATGTCTTGTTAATCTTTGTTTCAGATTAGCCATCGCGATCGATTTTGTGAAATTTGGATCGCCAACACAAATATTTTCGGGAGATATTTGATTGCTATTGTAGCTTCTCAAAAAAATATTGTCCTTCAAACTCATTATTTGATCGTCGGTTGGGTCTTCCTTATTTGACAGCCACTCAGCATTCAATGCCTCAAAATTCTAATTTTGAATATGCATTTAGCTTACTTTGAGTTCTCGTTTGACCCTATTTTCCAGAATTTCAGCTTTAACATCTGGTATTGGAGTATAAAGAAGATTCCAAGCAGTTGACCAGTTGCAAAGAATGAAAACATAAATATTTGACCCAGTTATGTAGATCTCACCAGAAAGCTGAGAGATTTGGGAAAAACCTGCAGATCCCGCGCCTTAAATAGTCGTCAATGACCTTATTTTGTTCATTCAACTATTTAACAATGTCCAGAAATCAGATCTTGAGGCTTTTAAGGACCCCCACCCCCGGTCAACACTTTTCGAAAATTTTTTTTGCGGACTTTCAAAAATTTGACCCCGGAAATGGATTCTACGAGTCAAAAAACGATTTTGAGGCTGCATCTTTTGAGGCTCTATCTCGACTTTAACACCCTCAAAATCGCCTTTGAAAATTGGACTTTTTGACGAAGAATGAGGAAAAACTCCTAAATTTACTAAAATTAAAAATTTTTATTGGTCAAAAAGGGGCCCATAGAAGTTTTTATGATGAATTGAACTTTCAGGCACACTTAGAAGCCCAAAGATGGCTGTTTTGAAATTGACCTCTCTTGGATCATTACTTACGTAAAAGCTCTTCATCTTTGAACATGCTACCCCTCCTTGTATATCCCATTTCCCGGAAGCTTTTTCTTCCCGACGATTCAATTACAACTCCGAAGTCTGTCACTTTTGGTTGCCAATATTTGAGAAGAATGTTTTCTGGCTTTTTGTCAAAATGTCTTATACCAATACGTTCCAAATGAGAAAAGCCCTGTTTGACGCGACATGCAATCTTTTGTCTTTGCTCCCGATGTAAGTTGTTTATCTTAAGATACCGTCTCAAATTATACGTGTCACAGCGCTCCATAATTGTGATCCACCCAAGACAATCTTCTTTTCCCCAGTCGTTTTCCGAAAATATTTCAATATTGCAATAATTTCTGATCACATGTTGGTGATAAGGAATTATACGTCGACTTGTATCGTTAACAAGAAGCCGCTCAGGTGGAGCTTTGTAATCTTTAAAATTGCCTTTTAGTACATTATGATTGATAATATCGACCTTTTGAAAGATGAATATCAAATCCAAGCTCTTGATTTATGGAGGTAAAGAGCGCTGAATCAAAAACCTGAATACGAACAGCGGTTTCAAGATCTCCAAATTTTTCTTTAAAGACGATGGCTTCTCCTCCGACTATGACGAGATAATATCTGTGAAAAATTAACAAGTTATTTTTCTAATGATAAAAATTCATTCTGGTTAAGACTATCGACTCTCTAGATCAAATCCCAAACTGAGATTAGAGCATCTTCAGCAAAATGATCGATTACCCATTCACCAGTTTCTTCCCTCAATTTCGATCGTTTGATTATTTTATTATTCAAATTTGGATATTCACGCAGAATATTCTTTTGAAAAAAGGTTGCCCGAAATGTTCCCTCAATCATCTTTCCATCCCTTTTGTATTTTGTTCTTCCCTTTCCATCTTCAAAAACAACTTCCTCCCAACGAGCATCATATGTATTTGGAAAGTCCATTCTCTCGATTGACAAAATAAGTCGGTCCAAATCATTTCTGCTAGTTGTTCTCTTTAATTTCTTTTTGAAGACGTCAAGCCATTTCAGAACAACATATTCGGTAAGCTCTCTTGGATGATCGATAGTGTCATCATAAACTCTTAGCCGAGGAGGATGAGCTCTTTCAGCGAAATCATCAGAACTGTCTGAGGATTGTCTTGTGAATATTGTTTTCAAACCTCTGTCCAAATTTTCTAAAATTGAAGGTTCAGAGTCCTCACTATCTCGTCTTCCCCTTCTCCCACCAATGTCGAAAATAGAAAAAGCCTCGCGAAACATCTTATTTTCTCATTTAACAGCTCCCAGCATCGCTTGGAAAAGCAATTTTATTTTTACAATTGTTTAATCTCTTTGATTTTATCGTCTCTCGGAAAATTCCCTCCTGCATTCGTGAGATAACGACCCATTAAATTTCTGAGCAAAAATTTTATTCATGTCAAAAAGAAATAACCGTAGAAATGATATTAATTTTTTAGGTAAAGAATGAAATTGTGGAAAGTTTCAAATATCATCACAATTTGGGATTGTGCAGTAATCCCAATGAGTGTCTGGATCTGTCGTGTAGCACCAAACTCCGCCGCTATAGTTATCCGGATTCCGACAATAATTTGTGTCTTAAAATCGTTCTCCATATTACGTAATAATTCTGTTCTTCTGATTATGCCAGTGAGGTGTTTGAGAGCTGCATTTTTGACATGTTTTGCCGGAGTCAGTGACTTATTTTTTTGCTAAATTTTTACTACTAAAAAGAAGGAAAAATTGTATATTTAGAAAAAATCCTGTACGATGTCCGGTGTAATATGCACCGATCGGATCAATTGAGGGCAAACAAGAGGACAGTCGAATTTCGCATTGAAATTCCATCTTCATTTCCGAAGCCGTTGTTGAAAATCTCCTGAACTCTAATGTCGAGCTGCTTGGTTTTTGAACATTGAGCAACAGTCCCGTTGAAGTGACTGTTTCCGCTTCAAGGACTCGATAAGTTTTTTGGTTGATGGAAATATCGCAATCGATCAGGTTAGCAGTGTAGTTGGCAATATTCAGCTGAGCTTTCAAAGTCATTTTTTCGCCCAAATTCTCGCCGCCTTCACAAAAAAAACCTTTGGCAAATCAAATGAAATTTACCAGAAATCTCAAGAAAGATATCACTTTCAGTAGAGTTGCTCTCATCTGAGCTTCTTGGAACTCTAGAAAAAGTGGACTTGACGATTATTCTCTCTTCATCTTTAAAAGCTCTTTGAGCAGCAGCGGAAAAAATGTGAAGAAGAAAAAATAATTGAAATTTCATGTTTCTTCAACTGCAGCTTTTTAAACGCATTGGAGCTCAGGGGTAATAATGTTGTAATTACATACGCGTAAAAATCGTAATGTATGATTATTTTTAGTTTAAGCCTCGATCACTTATGTCATCATAAATTACAAACTATGTTTTTTTCATCAGGGTATAGTTGGTTGCAGATTCGTTAATATAAAATGTATTATATTGTTTATTTCTTAGTTCGAAAAAATTCGACCGGGAATAGCTCTCCCGGACTGACCGCGGGCACAAAGTCCCAACTGCGCTTGCAAACAACAATATGAACTTATTCCTTGATTATGAAATATCCTTCATGAAATCTACTATGATTAATTTCAATGCAAATTCAGTTGTTTTTTTCTTCAAAGAATCTACGGAAAACCACTTTTTTATTGAAATATTCTCGATGAAGAAATTTAAAGAAGAAAAAAAGAATACTGGTTTTTTGAAGATACAAAGAAAGATCGAATTCCGCACTTGTTTTTTCGTTTAAAAATCTTTATATACGATATTGTCCCAGAAACTAGGCCAAACTGACTTACGGGCATAACTTGACCGTCAATGGAACGTCTATAGAGGCGCAAAAGAGCTGTCCAGCGACGTCCGTACCGTATTTTTCTGATAAAAATTGAAACTTTGAAAGAAACTTTCCATCAAGTAGCTTTTTTATTTGAAGAAGAAAGTGCCAAAATGGCAAATTTCTCGCTTGAAGCGCTTGATGAGAGAATCAAGAAGTTAGAAGAGCTGCATGAAATTCAAGAAAGTAATGACAACAGTATCAATCAGGTAAATTAAAAGATTCAGAACTTCTTCTTTGTCCCAGGGCTTCATCAAAATGATGGGGAGTTGTTGAGGTCTCTAGTAAAAATATTACGAAATTCTAAAATAAGGTTGAATCGCGAGAGCCTCAAGCGGCATCAAGCACCACCACAGCTTGCATTACTCTTTTAAAAAAAGAGCTGACGCTTGAATTCTTGAGTGCTTTTTTGCAACATGGCAAATTTTTCTATAGAAGCATTAGAGGAAAGAATCAAAGCTCTGGAAGACTTGAAGGGTATTCAAAAGAGTAATGATAACAGCCTCAATCAGGTATCGAATAAAATTTTTTTAAAACACCAAAAAGAGGTCTTTTATTAATAATTTTACCTTTTGAACCTGATAAATGATTTATAATTATCAAAAATTCTTGAGAAAAATAGCAAAAAATGAAATTTGTTTCATAAAAAATTGAATTTTTTATGATTAAAGAGAGATAATCGATCATCATCGTCAAAAATTGAGTTATTACTTGATATACCCTTAATTCTTTCGTCCATGAACCCCTTAAAATCGAACCACGCAGTCTGCTGCATGATATTAGTCTGCAGTTCTGAAAAATGTCCTCAGATAGGCTCGGGGTACCCTTAGGCGCTATCAAGGAGCGATGAACCCTCTAACCTCTTACTTTCAATTTTAGTTTTTTCTTATCGTCATGGGTGTTTTGGTGATGTTTATGCAGTCTGGATTCGCGTTTTTGGAAGCTGGATCGGTTCGACAAAAGAATGTGGTCAACATTTTGATTAAAAATATCCTTGATTGCTGTAAGTCAGAGCTCAATAAGTGACGCCCTTAGCAAGTTTCTAGTGAAGGGAGCGATCATCTGGTGGGCCTGTGGATTTGCTTTTGCATATGGAGATCTAGACATCCCCAGCGCTGCGAACAAGTTTATCGGACACAAGTATTTCTTCACTCAAGGATGGGAAGACTTTGAAAACTTCCACGCGAACTGGTTCTTCCAGTATGTTTTTGCCGCCACTGCTGCGACGATTGTTTCTGGCGCCGTTGCCGAGAGAACTCAGGAAAAGGAACTCACAGCAGGAAGAATTAAAGACTCAAATCGAAAACAACTCGGCTGCTCTTTTTCGTAATTCATTGAGTTCTTTGTCATTATTGAAAAACAAAGTAGTCAAAAGAATTTGCTCTGGGAAGATTTTTCCGGGAATATCACCTCATTTTTAGGGCTTTTATCGTTCAAAAACTCTGAAAAGTTGATGATTCCTTGTGAAGTTCGGCTCTTACGTCATCTACTCCACCTTCATCACCGGCTTCGTCTACCCCGTCGTCGCTCACTGGGCCTGGTCGGGCACAGGTTGGCTAACTTCCAGCCCCATCCCTTCTTTCCGTCGAAAGGTTTTCGACTGCGAATCATTGAGCTACAAGTTCGACGATGATGACGTCATCGCTTTTGCGGACTTCGCCGGCTCTGCGGTCGTTCATTGCACTGGTGGAATCGCTGCTCTAATGGGCGCGTTTTTTCTTGGACCAAGAGTTGGAAAATACGAGCGAGTCGGGGGAAAACGAGTTTCAAAGCAACTTGCGGGGCATTCGGTTCCTTTGGCTGCTCTTGGAGGATTCATTCTTTTCGTCGGCTTCATGGCTTTCAATGGAGGATCGGCGCTGGCGATCGTCTCAAGTGGAGAAATTGTCGACAATGGGCAGGCAGTTGCGTCGGCAATTATGAACACGCTTGTTGGTGGCGCTTCTGGCGCGGTTTTTTGCTTAGGATTGAGCATTCTTGTTCCTGTCATCAAAGGTACATGTTTCAAAAACACATCGATCATCATTTTGTTGATGCTTTATGTCACGCTAATTTCAGGCGAGGATCATTACTGGTCTCTCCTGACAACAATCAACGGCGGTCTTGGCGGTATGGCCTCCCTCTGTGCTGGTTGTAATGACATGACAACTGGAGCCGCTTTCGGAATCGGTGGAATCGCTGGAATGACCGTTTACTGGGTCGGCAATGCTTTGGACCGAATCGGAATCGACGATCCTATCGATGCTTTTGCTGTTCACTTTGGCGGGGGAGTTTGTGGAATTCTCCTCGCGCCGCTTTTTGCTAATTTTGGAATTGCAAGACAACCGAGTTGTGGGGTCCAGAAAGATGCTTTTGGAGAAGTTTGGGCTGCTTGCAATGTTGCTGAGCCGGTCGACATGGGTAAATCTGAGTACAAAATTAAACCAGTGAACAATCTTTGATTCTAGAGCTGTTTGAGTGCGATTACTATGCGTACAAACAATTTGCATGGAATCTTATTGGCTTGATCGTGATCACTCTTTGGTCGGGCTCCCTTGTTGGCGGCGTTTTTGCCGTTTTGAAAGCAACCAAGCTTTTGAGGTGAGTCTTCCTTGTTTTCAATTTATCCAATTGCTCGTAGAGTTGAGGAAGAAATCGAAATCCGCGGCCTTGATATCAAGAAACACGGAGAGCCGGGTTACCCTCTCGCTGCACAGGGCCATGGTTGGGAAGAAAGAAGCAGTTCTGAGGAAAAAACGAAAACTTATCAGAAAAATACTGTCATCCCCGAACCAACTCATGTTCAACTGGAGCCGGCTCGGTTTGGGCCAGATAACTAGCAGTCCATTTCTTTACCTTATTAGCTCCAAAGAGCTAGAAGTCAAAAATTTCGAATGTGTTCAACTAACTAATACGCCTCTGTTCCCACTTATGATGCTAATAAATCTTCCCGAAGTTCAATGTGAAAAAAGGTCAATCCGAAAAAAGGTCGTTGACTTGAAAATTCTCATAGTTAGAGAAATTCTCATTTTAACCTCGGTTTTAATTGTATTCCGGTCCGAATTAACCTCGAAAACGTCAAACAGAGCGGGTGTAAATTCGATGTCAAAAGATTTAATGGATCGTATATTCTGGCGGTGCGGGTATAAGCTCAGACGATTTTCGAATTATCACCAAAGTTAAAAACTTTCGGTTCGAATTTCGAACGACTAAGAGAAAGATTAAAAAATGGGGATTTACTACGAATCGTAAGTAAAAATTAACACTAAGAAAAAATTTATAAAATTCGATCGAAATTTTTCTGAAGAAAAATATATTTTCCTGAATCAAATCATAAATTACAGATACCCAAACGTTTCGGAATGGTACGCAAGCTTCGTCGCCTTTAACGAGTCCCGGGATGGAAAACTTCCACTAGCCGACCTTACAAACAGCGACATCAAATTATTAAACACAATCGCCAGCGTTCTGTTGATGTTCGCGATGGGTCTCGCCTCTGACGTCAATGTTTTTCTGAAAGTGATCAAGAACATTCCGCTCTGCATAACCGGTGCATTGACGCAATTTATAATTATGCCGCTGATTGGAATCGCTTTTCTGCAGATTTTTCAATTTCATCAATTAGGTACAGAAAAAGAAAAGAATTTCTCTTTCATTTTTTTTGTTCTAGAGGCACTTGCGATTTTTCTATTCATGTCTTCCCCCGGCGGTGGAAACTCGAATTTGATGGCTTTCTACATGGACCTAAATCTCGAGCTTTCTTTGACTCTCACAACCCTAACGACTATCCTCGCTTTAGGAAAGGATCGCAAGACTTCATTTACTCTCCTAAAATAACAGATTGAAATCCATTAAAAAGGATTCATGCCGGCTTTCATGGAGCTTCTGCCATTCCTCGTTGATATTGGAGACAACGAAGACCTTCTCAAAATTCCATTCGATGCAATTGGCGAAAACCTCGGAATCTTGTGTGGCGCGCTCATCGGCGCCATGATCATAAGCTACTGGAAACAAGGTTTGAGGATTAAAATAGATCGGTCGTCAATTTTTCTTCCCCCTAGAATTGGCAGCGAAGGCGTCAAAAATCATCACTCCGATTGTATACCCTTATGTCATCTGCTGTTCTGTTATTTCTCTTTTGAAGGTTTCGAATTAATTTTCGGACTTGATCATCAAATTCCTTTTAGTTTTTCCCTTTCGGCGTCATGACGAAAAATATCCTCATCTTTGCATTCCTCAATGGCCCAATTGGCGGCCTCTTCTCCTACATCGTCTCCTACCCACTGGGTCTTGCTTCAAACAAACTGCAGGCGAGGAAAAGCAAACTTGCCAAATGCTGCGGAAGTGACGAAAAAGTGACGTGGAGGGACTTTCACACGATCGCCATCGAAACTGGCAATCAAAATGCCGTTGTTAGTCAGTTAATAATGCTCTCAGCGTATACTTCGGAGACTCCATCTCTAATGGAGGTGATTTAATCGCCGATTCGAACTTGCCTTGACCAATTTTTAAGACTTATTATTTGGGCTTCATCGTTCCCTTCCCAATCTTCATGGTTCTCATCGGACAAGCTGAAACAATCTTCATTCTTCTGACCTTCTTCGTCACGAAGTTCTTCAAGAACCGCGGAAAAATCGAGAGCTCAGAAAAACTGAAGAAATTTGAAGACCTTGAATCACAAAAGAAGATGGAAGAAAAAGGACAAGATAATTTAGCATTTGACAATGACGAAACTCACTTTTAGAGCCGTATGAAATTGCTATCAATTACTGTAAATATTTTTTCAATAAAAAATTGGCTTTATAAAAACGCATCTTTCCGTATATTTCTGCATAAAAATCGAGATAACAAGGAAAAAGTTGTTGAATCACCCTCCTATCTTCAGCAAATTTATCATGACATCTCATGTTCAGCAGCTTTTCAACTTGTCCATTCGAGAATCTCAACAGCCCCAGGCTCCCACAAGCTCAGCTTTTTTGGCGGCATTTTGCGTCATTTGGCTTCTGAAATTCAAGTTGTTTTAATAATCGCTTTTTTCTTGAAGATTCTCCCTTTTGACAAATTCTTTTAAAGAGACGCCAAGAGTCCTATTCATCATTCTTCAACTCAATGGTCAGCGAATTCATGTGCCCGTGGGGGGACACGTGCGGTCAGTACCTGACTCAGGCGCGCATAGTCATCGCTTTGGAAGGTCTAAGCTCGATGATTGCTCAGGAAAAATCCATGCGGCTTGGCACTGGTGGCACTCTCTCGATTATTCTCCAGCGCCACCTTCAGCTTCAATTTAAACACAGAGAAGTTAGAATTCAAACCAGACAGATTGAAAAATTGGTAGACAACAACTACCTCTGACTTTTTAATAGAAAAGAGAGATGATGAACCGAAGCTTAGTTCTTATCCTTTCCTTTTTGAGCAAAGAAATTCTAGCGACGCCGTATGGGACCAGATCAAAATGCGAGATAGAAAAAATAAAAATTGTTGAGGCTCTGGAAATGAAGAATAAAGAGGTGATTTTTGAGCTTCAAGAAAAGAAATTTTCGATGGAGATAGCAATATTGACAATCCAATTCTTTCTTTTATTGAAAAAAAATACTGAAAATAATCAATTTCTTTAGATTTCCTCTCTCTTTCAACTCGACGAGCACGGCCATCCCGAGCGAATCTGCGAACCCGGATACAAGCTCACCTGGGACGTTAATTTCTGCATGCGAGTCTGTTTACTCCAAGTCGGCGACGAGTGCCACCCGAGCTCGAAATCCGGCATCGATCTTTGTCCACACAACCTTCGATGTCAACACGACGAGTTCAGAACCGACATTCCTCCTTCTTGTCAACCTCTTTTGGATGTGTCATTTGATGGTAAATTTGATATCATTTTTTAATATTTCTAACTCTTTTTAAGATTCTTCAAGTCTGAGCTACTTCTACTACTAAGAAAGTAAGAAGAAGAACTTGAGCATAATTATCTTTTGAACACTGCCAAGACTGATAGATTTTTGTACTGTAATAAATGTCAATCAAACTATAGAATTAAAAAAATAAATGTCATATCATGAATTTTTTGAAAAAAAAGCATTAAAAACGCCCAAAGAGCGAAAAATGCTCAAATCGATACGAATTATGACAATTTCGACTCAAAATTTTGGTCAAATTTTTGACCCAACCGCGTGTTGCCGGGAAATCGAATTATTGTCGCAATTTTTGTCTTTTCGAGCCAAAAGATTTTTTTTTCAAAATTATAAAGATGATTGCTTCATCGAATATTCCGTGGTAAAATCTAGTCATCAGAAAATTTTAAAACGTTTGTAGACTCGTACCGGTCACGTCTGTCGACTTCAGTAGTTTTGAAATTGCTTCAAGGGTGGAAATTTTTGTGACTAGCTTGTGACGAGGAAGCAGAATCTCTTCGGGAACTGATGAGATCAGGGATAATTTTAATCAAACTCGGATAAGCATTGTCTGGTTCTTTCTTCCCAGAAGCAAGCACGACGCAACCGTCTGAAATAATTTCTCAGGGAGGAGGGAAAATGAACCCAGTGAGCCGGTTCACACACATTCCGACCTATTTCAAATTGGCTAGTTCCTTCAAGCGACAATGCTGTAAACTCAACAATTATCTTCATTACGGCAGAAGACTTGTTTGTCTTGATCAGGGTTCTAAATCTGAGCTGAAAATCAAGAGTCGAGTCGAGTCGAGTCGTAAGGCTATATGAAAATCCCAAGTCAACACGAGTCGACTTAATCGACGTATTACTCGAAAAGTCAAAAAATTTGAAAAATATATAAATTTAGTCGCAAAAGTCGAAAATAAGTCGAAAAGTCGGAATTTACTTGAAAGTCGAAAGAGAAGTCGAAAAGACGAAAGAAAAATAGTGATTCTTTTCGACTTTTTCGACTGAATTTTCGACTTTTTCGACTAGATTTTTCGACTATCTACTCATTATTGCTCTCGACTTTTTCGAATAGTATCTAGTTGACTCACAGGGTCAAGTCGAGTCGATTTATTTCCACAATCAGTCTAGTCGAGTCGAGCGTGTCTTTTCGACTAAGACTCGACTCGACTTCGACTTTAGTCGAAACCCTACTAGTCGATTAAGAACCCTGGTCTTGATGCTTGGAGCTCAGCAATTCTCTTCCTTGATTCCAACGTCAACATTTCATGGCGTGAAATAAACTTCTATTTCGAGATAAGAAAAGAAGCAAAGAATAACTGAAAATGATTCTTATAAGTCTTAAATCTCATACTTTGTAGTCTTCCTTTTTTCAGATTTTCAGGTGATGACAGTGGTCAAGAGAAAAAAACTGTTTTAGGCTTCAAAATCATTCTTATAGTGAACCTGCGATCTTTCGATTGAGAAAAAGAAGAATGATCAGTGGAGAAAACAAATTGTTATTTTATATTAAGAATAATGAGTTTTCATATTTCCGAGAAGCAAGATTCAGCGTCGCGCTCCAGTGCGCCCTCGGAGGGATCGCGCATCAATATCGCGCACTGAAGCCTTTCTGCGCATTTCTTGAAAATCTCTTTTGTTGTTTATTTTTTGGGACCGCTTTTTTCAATTTTTTTTATTTTGATCATTTTTGATAAGAGTTGGAATTCAAAAGAGGAGTTTAAATAAAAAAAGAAGAGTTGGAAGAAAAAAAGAAGCATGCAAATCGGTACGTTTATTACAACTTTTTTCAAACAAATATTGACTTTTTGATCGTTAAACTCACATTTTTCGATTTTTAATGGATTCTGCCAAAAAAAATAGTTTTCTAACCAAAAACAAGCATTTTTTAAGCCAAATCGTTAATTTTAGATGTCAAATTTGGTCATTTTATGTCGATTATTGACAGAATATTCGAAAAACCGTATTTTCGATCACCTTATTCAGCAAAAACTAGACCCCGTTTGCCCAGAGAAAAAGAGCGAGAATCCAGTATTCAAATCTTCTTCTGAACCGATCAAATTTTGAAAGGCTCAATCGCGTGAATTGACGTGTTACAAGTGTCGCATAATTGCTTTCTGTCTTTTCGGAATTTCCGGCCATTAACTCCCTTTCTACCATTTTTTCTTCGAACTTCTTTGCTTCTTTTTTATCAATTTCGAATCTCCAAAGAAGTACTTTGTAAATACGCGATCGGAAGTCGAAGCAATTGATATCAAAACCGCTCTGAAAGACTCTAACGTGCTTGAGTCTCAAAATACAATAGCCTTTCTTTTTGCAATCCGTTACTGTTAGTTAGGGATTTCGAATCGAGTCAGGTTGATAATCAAATAATGTCAGAACAAAAAAAAAACTGCAAGAACAAGAACATTTTTTGACACAAAATAAATTTTTGTGTTTATTCGATTTTTGTTGTTGTTGATGTCAAAAAAATGTTGAATTTTAAGCGAAAATAAATTTAATAAAATAAAAAAATAACAAAATTCATAAAGTTCGAGAGAATCAGATTTAATATAATTATGCTCCCAATCTTGTGCAACCTTTCGATCATAGAAAAAATTCAGCAGAGCTAGTCAGTGAAACCACAAAAACGATGAGTTTTGGTCAAAAAGGAGCTAGTCATTTGTTCTCCATTGACATGGATTTGACTCAAATTGAGGTTTTGCCTTGACCGTCAGTCGAGTTTTCTGACATCATTTTAGGTTCATTTTTCATGTCAATTAATTTTAAGGGGGTACACATCGTTAAACTCTTTTTCGCTTATTTCGTCGTGATACCCTTATTTTCAAAAATTATTTTGCGACCAGTGGCAGTTTTTTTGTTCATCATTTTCGAGTCAAAAGTCGAGTTAACCCTTTTGACACGAGAAATTAAGAAAGGGAGGTCCTTAATTCATCCCCACTGGAAATCATTATTACCCCGATAATGACAAGAAAACAACCACGATAAATAAAATTCTACGTGCTATTTTCCTACCCCCTCTTTACGGAAAAACATCATTGCGATAAGGTAATAACATCCTGAATTCAGTCGACGGGCTGTCACTTCCAGCCTTCATCAGATATCGAAAACTCAGTGTCCCGAAGATGGGCATTCTTCAGACGAAAAAGGTAACTCGAGAATCTCTAGAAAACACGTAAAAACCCAGGGTAACGTGCTTGCATAATGATATACTGGCTTACAGTTTATCGCCCGGCCGCAGCTTGTTTAGATAAGTCCACGCTCGGCGTCCGAGGAAAAAAGGATTTCCACATTGGGTCACCTTATTGGTTTGGAAGTCGTTGGAAGATACCCATCCGCCACAAGGGTTATCGAACTTGGGGTTTTGTGGAAACGCGTTGGTTTTTTAGGGCACACGTTTTTTTTCTTATCGAAACGAAAATAAAGGCTGAGGTCAGATTGTGATCACACGACACTTTTTTTCCTTCAGAGAACAAAAAGATCTGCCTTGACTGTGGATCGAACACAGGACCTTCAGATCTTCAGTCTGACGCTCTCCCAACTGAGCTATCAAGGCACAACCCGTTTGAGTACATCATTCGATATATAAAACATCCTGTCTATTTTCGTACGCCCTATTTCTAAAAGTACTTTTCTGCAAGTGAAAAAACATGAAATGAGCTGTCAAACAAAAAACAGAAATAAGCAAAAATAAGGAAGGGAGCTTTAGGACGGATAAGATACCGACTTTGGCTTTGGACTTTGACGGCAACAGTAAACATGACTGAATTATTCATAATTAGTCGCCACTTGCTAATCCGCTCCTCAGTTGCTTATTCAAAAACAAAGGCAGTGGTTGATAATTTTTGACGTTGCCCGTCCTTGTTTTAGAACAGCGAGAAAGACATCCATCATCACTTTCGTCAGTGTTTTTTTAGTTGAGCCATATTGATAAATGAGGGTTGAAACTTGATCGTACAATTGTCGCGACTTCTGAGAAGAGATAATGAGTTAATAAGAAGTGATTAAAGAGTTCATCATTTTCAAAAGAAAGATGTTCCGGTAATTGACTATTAATACGGGTGTGTTTTATCATCAATGAAAAAGGATGAAGTGCATGCCTTGATAGCTCAGTTGGGAGAGCGTCAGACTGAAGATCTGAAGGTCCTGTGTTCGATCCACAGTCAAGGCACATCTTTTGGAAAAGGGAGATTTAGGGGGTACCCATTGATAAGCCGAAAGTAAAAAAAATCGGTTCATCAACTTTTCTTTCAAAAAGAAAGTGTTGAAATTTTTGTTGTAAGCATTTTTCTGCGGTTCAGAGGCTTTGATCTTCCCGCTCGTTTTAGAAAAAATGCTGAATGAAAAGCAAAACATCCATCTAACAAGTTGTTTCTCCCAATCGTGAATGCAACAATTTCTCCAGATGGAGTCCCTTATCTCCACTCCAAAAACTCGATGGATTAATTAACATCCATCCAAATGGCCATGATGCAACGAAAAATTTATTCATCTGTTTTTCTTGATTCAAAAACTTAAGGGTGGCAACTTTGTTAAACAACTTTCGCAACGACTTTCGTTTTTGAAAACCTGTGTTTTCGTAACTTGATGATTAGATTCGGCAATTTGCAAAGATACGCCCTTATTTTCGAAGTTTTGATCGTTCGAATTCGAGAGTTTGAATTTGAACTTGACGGAAGATTTATTCGAAAAATCGGATAACATGACCGGCTCGTGTTTAGAAAGAGAGAAGAAGATATCTAAGTGGAACTAATCCTGTTCCGCCGTAGCGGTAAATACAGCGGAAGGACGTTCCCTTCTTATAACCGAAAGAGGTCGGACACGTACCCTTTTCCTCCTCTTCCAGCAATTATCTTTTCACTGCTTTTTGGAATTTAGTTGAATGTTGGGGAATGTTGGGGAATTCTCGATTATGTGGCTTTATTTGGTATAATCCGTGAGAAACGGATTCCGAAATATTATTGAAAATTCCTTTTTTTTTCAATTTTATTAACTGTCGACTCCACCCTTTCTGGGAATGAAGGGTCGCTTATTTGATAAATTATCAGTGACGGAAATTTTTCTTTCAATCAAATTTGATCCTCTCGCTTCTTGGTCCTTAATTTTGACAAACGAGAGGTTCTGGAGGACTCACGTAAAGGTTTCGGTAGGGCTGATGGACCGCACTTGAGACTTGTGCGGCCACTTTTCACGAGGCTTTGAAGCTTTGATCGAATGGAGTACCTATCAAAAACTTGATTCGAGAGCTGATAATTTTCTATCCCTCTTTTAAATTCAAACACTGGGTCTTTTTAGAATCGCGAAAATGACAAAAAAAAAGAAGAAAAAGAAAAAAAAATTGAAAAAAAATGTCACGTGTGTTTTCTGCCAATTCTAGCGGCAAAATTATACAAAAGCGAGCCACGTGTTCGGAAGCAGAATAATTTCTAGATACGGTTTATCTCTCTGCGCGTTGCCCTCTCCCCCATCTGACGTGTTCTAATACCTCAGAGGTGATGTCACTTCAAAATGTTTTTTCGCCGCTTTTTTACGTTGCAAGTGGCGCGAATTAGCAAAACCATAACATCACCGCCAATTTATAGAAGTCGCTCCTCACCTTTACGGGGATTTTTTCGAAGAACAAATTGATGATTTTATCGGACTGAAACCGAGAACTGTCGAAAATATCCTGTGGCAAAACTAAATAAGGGTGTCATTTAAAAAATCAACAAATTTTTTTCACGATTTTTCGGCATTCTTCATTTTCTTACTCTCAGAAAATCTTGTTGAATGTAAAATTAACCTTTCAAAAAGTCCGATTGCGCGGTTATGAGAACGGAAGTTGCGTTCTGATTTCTAATTATATTGTTTGGGAATGCGTGTTTAGAAAGAACCAAGAGCGCCGTGGCGTTCTTTCTCAAGCTAAGCTCCAAAGAGAAATGGGATCGCCACATTTTTTCCGGAGAAAAACGACGTGACGATGCTGTACGGGAAATGTAGCGTAACTGGGCTACTTTTACGCTCGGGCGATTAGCAAAAGAGAGTTCATTAAAAAAAAAGTGAACGCGCCTTTTTTTCTAATTACTCGCTCGTGGCCAGCTCGAAGGATTGAAATTTCGCGCAGAATTTCTTGAAAAAAATCATCACTTTAAAATTTTAGATTCAAAAGATGATGATCGTTCCTCTTCCGAGCCAAAAAATTGACGATTTTCTTTGCCTGGATGAATCATCAATTTCAAGCAGCCCGATTTCAGAAAGGAGAGATGAAAAAAGGGTAAGCGCGGTTTTCTCGGTTTTCGGCTCAACCCAGAAAATGCTCATTTTGGTCGACTGACTTTAACCTAGGGTTACCAGAACGTTTGATATTAGATAAGAAGATTAGGTCTTTTCCACGAAAGAAGGACTTTTATATTTTCACTTGTTATTATTTTCAAAAATGCCTGTTTGAGCATTTTCCCGAGAAAATACCGCGGCCGATCGGAGCTCAACTTAAAATTTCTTTCTTCAATCGTCGGTAAATTCAATTTCCCCGGCCGTTCGATCCATGACGAAAGGCGATTCAATTTTTTGAAAAAATCCTATTCCGTTCAAAATTGCTTTAACCTTCGCCTCCTCCCTCTTATACAGTGATTCTAGCCAAGCAGCGGCAATGATGAGAGATGTCAATCCCCGAGTTTGTCGACCATGAGCAGCATGAGCGATTCAAATTCCAGCACGAGCACGACCTCCACGCATTCGTCAGGTAAGCGAATTCTGTTCACTGTCCAATTGTAAATATATTTCCCTCAAATTTGTGTTTGAAATTTTTCTTGCTTTTTTGTCGAATAATAAAAGAGTCAAAATGTGCATTTTCGGAAGAAAAAAAGGTATTTTGAGAGTAGTTGGAGGGAGGGCTGGACCGGATGTTTTAGTTGTATTCCTCTGACAAGGAGTTCTTCTGAGTTTTGACTTGAATTAAGGGGGTATGCTCAAGAAGGATGGTTGAATTGATGGCTTGCAGACAAGAAACGAATCGAAAAAATTTTCAGTAAGCTAAGGGTCGATGACTCATCGACGATATGGCTAAGGGTAAGCATTTATTTCATTTTTGACTAAGGGTGTCAATAAGATATTTTTTCGTTTTTGACAGTAAACCATCTGCTGATAAGCCTTTTTTGTGTAAGATTTGTTGAAAAAACTGGTCAGGTTTATTCTTGAGCGTCATTTTTTGACGCGCAGCTTTGAGTCCTTCATTGATAATACTCACCTTCGTAGGAAAAAAAAAACAATCGTTTTTCTGAATAAAGAAATCAACCGAAAAAAATGCATTTTGACTGTATTTGAGAAGAGAATTGACTTATCCTCTCTTGTGTCACCAGAATCGGAACTGCTCTGAGCGCGGCCGGAAATGAAAGGTCAGCTCTAAAATCTAATTTGGGAAGGTACATTCCCGCCGTGTTTGACTCGCAGTTTCGTTTTCAGTTTTTCTGATGGAAACGTATATTTTGACCTAAAACGTGGATGGAGCGCAGTTTCGCAAAATATAACGGGCTTGGTTTCATGATAATGTTTTTTGCAAAATAAGGATTTGACAAATCAAAACTCGCTATTTTACGAATGCAAAACAGGATAAGCTTTCAATTACAAGTGATTTTGAGTCAAAATTTCTGACGAATTGAACTTTAAAATATAATTTTTGAGTCAAAAATTAAGACCAAAACCCTCTTTTTGCTATGAATCATAGCCTATGAAGATTGATTTTTGATTTCATATCAAAATTAAAATTCTAGAAAAGTTACTTTGACCCTTAAGTCAAGAGATTGAGGGCGATAGGGTTGATTATTGATAAGAATCTTGATCCAGCTGTTGGCGTCTGCCTGCATGTCACTATAAAACAGGGTCTGCTGATTTTTTTTTATCAAATTTGAGAATTTTAATGATATGAAACAGAAATAGGACTCGTGTTTTCGTTATAAGTTTTTGCGTTCAGTTTTAAAATGAATTCTTCACTTTTCTCAAGTGTGTCGTTCTTATCTGTTACAGAACTTCTGTGTGTTATTTTTCAAAAATGAAAGAGACATATCAGGTTATCTGCTAAATTTGTATTGTTTTGTTATAAAATCTTTACCATTGTTTTTCTTTACCAATATTTTTTTAAACTGCGATGAAAACAGTAATGAAAACGTCGCAAGTAGCCACAGCAAGCACTTTTCTTAGGTCACGAAAATCGCCCAAAAATGTGATAATCAGGCATTCAGAACTCAAATTCCTTTACTCGAAAACTGGGCAGCTTTTGAATTTCTTTCTCCTGCAAATGCATTTTTTCATCTGCGCCCGAGCGCAATCCGACTGTCAAATGGTTAAGCCGCTGGGTTCAGCTACTAAACCGGGCGGTTTTTGACTAAAACGTGAGTGACACTCGCGCTTAGAGAGAAAAGTCGAAGCAGTAATTTTGGTTCAACGGCAAAATAAATATTGCGTCGGAGATTTTTTACTGTTTTTATTAGTTTTTAGACTTTTAATATTTTTTAGATTTCTTATTACGACTTTTTTTTTGGCCGAATTTTAGGACAGGTGCAGAACGCTTTTGAGAACATACAGTAATAGAAACAGTATTGACAATACTGTACTGTGAAAAGTCTTCAAGAAGATAGGATGATCTCATCTTGCTCTAGAAAAAAAGAACATAATTTTTAATAATTAAATTCACTTCATTAATAACCTTAAAAGTCGGTCTGTTGATGAAATTAAATAAACAATAAATTATCAATTCAATTATGCTTGAAAAACTGCAAATTGATACTTCAAAAAACATGTTCAACGAAAAGTTCTTGTAAAGACAAAGTTACCTTGATAATTTGCAGCTTCGAAAATTGATGAAAATTGCTTCTTTTCGTCTCTTAAATTTCTGTTTTTGGGCTGAGAAAATTCGAAATCTTACGTTCCCGGAGATAGAAACTTCGCAATGAGGCTGATATCTGCGAGAATTTTATCATCAAAAGCCTTAAAAATATTCTGGAGCCGATTTTGACGGTACAAAACCTGTTTGATTCGGACGGGTTTATCTTCAATTCTAGTTTTTCGCTCATTTTTCAAAAGTTCTTCGGCCATGTTTCCGATGACGCTTTCAATTTCGCCCTCAAGAGAAGATTCCATTTTGATCGACTTGGCCTGGGCAAAGAGGAGGTTTTTGTAGTTGTTGATGATTTTGAAGACCAATTTTGTCTTTTCGTACTTGCCAGATAATGACTTGTCCGAGTGATTGAAATTGCTATTAAATTCGGTTCTGAGATCGATGTGAATATGTCGGCAGCGGTCGATGTTTTCTTTGAGGTTTTTCTCCTCGAAGTGATTTTTGAGTTTTTCAGCGACAAAGTGGTTGATTTTCAAAGTGAGGGATTCGATGAGTTTTGGGCGGAAGAATACGCATTCAAGGATGAAGTCCAAAATGTTGACCAAAGACATGAAGTAGAAGCAGAAAGAATAGGAGAAGATAAGCACAGCTTTTTCGCGCTTTCACTGATGAAAGATATTTTATCAAAGAGATAACCTGAAAATAAATTTCAGATATATTTGGGTGGCGTCAAAAACCGACAAAAACCTCGTCAAATTTTGCGTGGGCGGCAATTCGGCTGCTGATTTGCTGATTAGCCAAATCCAGGCTTCTGATTGGTTGAAAATTCCAACGCAAAATTTGTCGGTTCCCGATACCACCCCATATTTTTAGCTTCTTTGAAAGTCAAATTTGAAGCTTTTTTAACATCAAAAATTGATCTGAATGCGATTTCCTATTATAACTTGAATCCATTCCATTGAATAACTCTTTTCATGGAGCACTTCTTCATTGTGCTCCAAAACAGTCGCCTTTGACAGATTGGCGCTTGGATCGAAATAGGCAAGGCATGGATTGTGATCGAGAAAGACTTGATATACGGAGCAGCGTTCAAAGTCTGTTTGATTTTCCGTCATCTTGTTACACGAGCAAAAATGCTTTTCCGTCATCGCAAATGCAAGATGACAATGGAGACTCATCATTTGACAGGACTGCATAATGTGCTTGGCCTTAGTTGATTTCATTGGGATCACGTGAGCGCATTTGTAGAGGAAACTTCGGGTGATATTGTAGAACTCGTTTTGGCTTGTTATTTCATACGCGTCTGAATCAGTAAGAGACTTTCTTTTGAGGAATTTCAACAAACCGATGCAATTTTTTTGAGTCGAATAAGTATCGAGGATTCTTTTCGTTTCGTCGGATCCTCCAATACATGTTTCCCTGAAATGTCATGATACTTGATTTCTTTTCTTGGAGCTCACCAATCAAAACAACATTCTCTAAAAGAATAGTTCGTCTTGAAAAACTCTTGAATTTTTGTCTCTTTAGGAGGATCAACCTTCTCGAAACCCTTGATTTCCTCTGTCGCGGACTCAACAATTGGCGTGCATTTTGCCACAGTTCTCGCTTCATTTTTCGTGCAGTCGGTAAAATCAAGCCTCAGAAAATTCGCCACTTTACAGCCTGTTGATGCCGGGTCGTCGCAAATGCAATTAAGAGGATGCTGCTTTTGAAATATCTCTTCTTTTTGAGCAATTTGGTGGAAATCGATCAGTAGACGATTTTGTTCTTCTTGGCAGAGGAGAACTTTTACCGCTGTTTGATTTTCATGGTGACAGCTAAAAAAAGATGTGTTCGTTTTTTACGAAAAAAGAAGTACAGTTAATTATGGAATTTTTGGACATTTTTTGTCCCATGATTTTCTCAAAAATGTCCAAAAATTCGATACACGCTCCCAAGAAAAATGTCCCAGCCGAATCGCTTAAAAATTTTTTTTTGAGGAAAAACTCGATCATCCTCTTTTTCCTCCTTCTTCCAAAGACAAAAATATTCTTGGGGAACGAGATAGACCTTTAATTCTATCTTTCTGAAAGAGAAAGTAAAATTTTAAATAAAAATAAATTTCAAATCTTATGATATACATATGTAACTGTTTTTTCATTGTAGAATAAAAAGTTTGGCGCAGAAAATGTCCAAAAATTTGATACAAGCACTTTTAAAAAGTGTCCCAAGAAAACCCCTTAAAATTGAAAAAATGTCCAAAAATTTGATGTCCAAAAATTCCATAATAAACTGTACAGTTATTTTCCTCTTTTGAAGACATTTTTTGTCCCAAATTTTCGGAAAAATGTCCACAAAAATGGGCAAGGGTTCCCAAAAAAATGTCCCGCCGTAGTGTATTAAAATTTTTTCAAATATAAGTTTTTCTGGAAAAATGGCGAATTTCATCCTCGAAACGCCTTTCTCTTGCTTATGTTTATCTTTTTTCGACAGATTTAAATGCTTTATTCCTTCATTTCTTGAAAATAACCCTTGATTTTTGAAAATAGGCCATTTTTGCCTCTAAAATTTTCTAGTCAGGGAAAATGTCCACAAAAGTGGAACATTATCTTTGCAATAGTGTCCCACGGAAACCCCTTAAAATGAAGAAAATGTCCACAAACTTGGGGTCCACAAAAGAGGAAAAAACTGTACTTGTGGGGACACGAGTCATAAAAATGCTCTTCCTTGATTTCATTGCCGATTTTCGATGAAAAAGAAAGAAAAAGCGCTTCGCAAACTATTGTTACATTGACCATCTTTGATGGAATTCTTTCCTTCCAGCCGATTTATGTACGAAATCGAAATGGAGGGACAAAGCAGCAATTTGTCAAATTTTGACGCGCAGCTTTCCACATTTTGCTCGATACCAATTGCCAATTGGCAAATGGGAGCATGGCAACTCTATCGACTTACTATCCGGCTCGGAAAACACCTTCCATAAATACTCACACTTCATTTTTTCCGATTATGTTTTGCGAAAAAGAAATTTTTACCTTTTGAGTCAGAAAAATGGGCGAATCAAAAAGAGGAAAATCCGGAAAATCTGACAAAAATGACGGTAAATTTTCAATCTTTTTTCGAAAAAATTTTTTTGTGAAAAATAATTTTTAGTCTTCCTTGATATCACATGACTACTTTTAAGAAAGCCCAAACCATACAGTATATTTACAGTAAACTCACTCTCTCTCTTTCCTAACTCGCGTCTGATCAGAATCTCCGTGGAAACCAAACAAACGTAATTTCATTCATTTTTCACCATTTTCGTGAATTTTTTTTATTTCCCCTTTGTCTCCGTAAAATTAAATATACATCGCGGGCGATAGGAGATTAGGGTTAACTCGAGAGATACAGATAAGAAAGTGCTAAAAAAAGAGGTTTTTAAAAAATGAAGAGACCGACAGCTGGTTTTAAAAAGCGAGAAGTTTTAGAAAAGAGTTGCAAAATTATGATTTCGAGGAAGAAAAAACAGTAAAAGAAAAATGAATGCTGCGTGGATTGAAAGAGATAAATTTGATATCCTGCTGCGTCAGCTTTTCAAGAAAGACGGGACAGATTCTATTCAGTGTTTTGTTTTCTTCATAAACGCGGGATTATTTTATTTCGTAAAAATAGATTTTGCAACTAAGAGACAATGGCTGTCGGACCGGGCTCAACTATTGCAGGAATTCCAGAAGATATCAGGTAATTTCAAACTAGGAATCCCAAGAGGACTCTTAAAACGAATATAAAACAACTGTCATTGAATAACTGCCCTGAAATTTCGAGAATGAAAAAGAAAATTAAAAATTTTGGTGTCCTTAAAATCGTGCTCTAGAAATCACATAACAATTACCGGCGAATCAGCTTCTGTAACCTTCGACACCCTCTCCCGCAAAAAATTCCCTCCAGAAATTTACGACAATGAAGAGCTCACGCCAAAAACCGAAGAAGTCCGCATGCCTTACAATGTCATCAAAAAAGTCCCGAACGGCATTGGAAAAGTCTCAAAGTTAAGAAATCTCGAGCTTCAAGGAAATGACATTAAAAAGATTCCCAAGTCTGTCGGGAAGCTCAAACATCTCAGGTACTCTTTCAAAGGGAGATTTCATGAATCATTATCTGTAGCAAATTCGACATGTCAAAAAACAAAATCAAATCTGTCCCGCGCTCAATATCAAAAGCAAACAACTTGGAAACAGTAAATTTGAACAACAACGATCTTCGAAAGCTTCCACCAAAAGTTGGTCAAATTGGTCGACAATTGAAGATTCTAAATGTTTCTGGGAACAGTCTGAAGAAACTACCAAAGTCAGTTTATGTTCTGAGAGGAGCAGTAAACGCCGCGGACAATAAAATTTCATCGCTTCCAGCAGGTTTTCGAGTCGAAAAATTGATTTTCTTAAACAATTCTTTAGTGACATCAACAAAGAAAACAAAGCCAACAGTAGAAGCACTGTATTTGGCGAACAATGACATCGAAGAAATCCCCGAAAGCTATTCCAAGCTCATGTATCTTCTTGAACTGGATTTGGCGAACAACAAGGTCGCATCACTCCCATCAACGATCGGCAACATCAATTATCTGACGAGTCTCGATTTGAGAAACAACGAAGTCTTCGAGTTACCGGAAGATTTTGGTCGGCTCAAGTTTTCATTGCAGTACTTGAATCTTTCCGGAAACAAATTGGAGAACCTGCCTGACTCGGTCGGGACATTGGGGCATTTAGAAGAACTGAACTTGTCAAAAAATCAAATTCCGTCGATTCCAGAGTCGATTTCCGGCTGTAGACGACTCGTGAAATTTGACATTTCTCAAAATCTTCTCGACTCGTGCAATTCGCTCTCTGGCCTCGCCGCTCTAGAAATCGCAAATCTTTCGTCAAACAGCATCAGCGAAATAGCGGAGCTGGAGCTAGAATCAATTCAAGAAATCGACTTATCAAAAAACGAGCTGACTTCAATCCCATCAAACTTCGGCACTCTCGGTCGATTAAAAAAGCTGATTCTTTCGCACAATCAACTTGTTGAATTCCCCGATTTTCTCGGGAAGGAGAATCTGTTGGAGAGTTTGGACTTGAGTTCGAACAAAATTGAAGGAGTGGTCAAGTTTGACTTCCAAAATATCAGAATGCTCGATGAACTGATTTTGGCAGACAATGAAATAACAGCTTTGAATGCGACAATAAACAAGCTTGAGTACATCAGACATCTCGGTAAGAAAAAAAAATCTCTTCTCAAAGAAAAAAATTTCAGACATCTCGGGGAACAAAATGACGCTTTTCTTCCCGATTTCGCCGACACTGAAATCTTTTAACGGCTCTAACAACCCTTGGAAAGTCGATGCTCCTCAATACCCAAGTCATTACACTTCCTTCATTCTCCCTATCATTGGTGCCTGTGAGCAGCTTGAAACTCTCAAATTATCCAGTTGCGGTCTTGGTTAGCTCACTTCATCGCTTCACTTCTTTAATTGATTTCTAGAGACGCTGGACGAGTTCATTGTCAAGTTATTGTTCCTCCAACACATCGACTTTTCAAACAATAATCTGTCAGAAATATCAACCGAATTGATCAACCGATGGAGATATTTACGAACAGCAAATCTGTCAAGGAACCAACTTTCATCGCTGCCAAAAGGAATCAGAAATATGCAGCATCTTGGAAAACTCGATCTCAGGAAAGTGGCCAGAGATCAATATTCGTGAGTTTTTCTTGAATTTTTGAGCCGTTTGAAAGCTTCAATAAATTCACTGAGTTCAATGAAAACTTCAAGATTCTCAGAGCTCTAACAGAACTCAGACTCAATAACAATCAGATTTCGACTTGCCCAAAGAATTTCGGCGAGCTCAAATCTCTTCGACTTGTCGATTTGTCACACAACGAGATTGAAGAGCTTCCTTCAGAACAGCTCGATACTATCAGGTAAATAAGGGTCTCTCTAGCTTTTTATCAAATGATTCTAGCTCTCTGCATATTCTAAAAGCGACAAATAACAAAATCACTGTCTTCCCCGAAAATCTCCAACATCTGCGGCTTCAAGAAATCGACCTTTCTGAAAACGAAATTAAGGAGCTCCCCACCGCTATTCGCAATGTAGGCGTATCTCCAATGAGGCTTTTATTTTATAATATTCAGATGAAAACTGTAAGAAAAATGAACCTGCAAAACAATGCACTCGAGCTGATTCCTGATCAAATTGAAAAAATGGCGAGTTTGCGGCATTTGAATATCGAAGGAAATTTCTTGAGATTCTATCCAAAGGTCTGTTAATGATATCTTTTTTGGATAAACAGAATTTCTAGTGCTTTGCGAGTGGAATGTCAAAATGCGAGATCCTGAAAGATAACCAAAGATCGAAACGAAAACCTTTAGCTGATCTTCCTGAAGACAATAAATAAACAAATGTCTCATTCGCTTTGCCTTTAAATCCTGGGCTGATGAATTTTCTTCTGAAAATTTCGAAATATTATATTTCTAAGAGCAAGCCCAAGACGGGAGTTTTGATAATAATAGATAAATCAATCGGAGTCAAGCGCCATTGACGGACATATTAAATTTTATTATTCCGAATTTTTCTAAGAGAAAAGAAGATGAAGCTAGCACCATGCCTTCTCTCAGGAATTCTAGCTGCTCCGCCGCCGGTGATTTATTACACGGAAAGTAAAGAGAAAATATAATCCTATGGCAAATTTTTATTTTGAGACATCGTCGAGATGACGAATTTTCTTCCTGATCCGAAGATAAAAATCGGATATGAAATGTCTTATGAATGGATATTCAAATTTTTTCCATCATCATTTTCATAAGAATATTCATGATAAAAATCAATGAAGAAGATTTTTTTCATTTATTTTTTTTTGCAAATTTGAAAATTCAAAAAGCGATCAGTCGAGCGAATGTGGAACAACCAGCTTCGAGAAATCCTTCCCGGCGTCGAAGATGTCAATCTCGCCTTGATCGGTGATAACGTCGCCGACAATGTCGATGTTGAACCCTGGATATACTACTTTGTCATCCAAATCGTCTTTGACGAGGCTAAGTGGACGGCAGATGTTCTAGATAAGGTCAGAGCAGTTTTTCCAAACTCTGCAGGTCGAGATGATGAGGTCTTTTACAATGCGATGGTGGCAAATCCCGACTTGGTTTTGGTCGAAGATCAGATGATCAACACCGAGGTAAGAATCATCACCACCATTCATAAACGCTTCTTTTTCTAGAACTGCAAAAGCGAGGAAAAAGAATGCCGCAAGATTGACGTCGTTCAAGAATTCTGCTTCACCAACTCTTATTACTTCTTCGATGTCACCAACGAAGCAGCTCTCGAAGAAGCCAAAGCAGATTTCTCATCCGACTTCGAAGCTGGTTTCGAGTCCTACAGAACCAACGCAACTATTTCATCGGAGAACACCGTGAATTTTTATGAAAGCAACTTCAACGGAAAATTTACTTTTGAAGTGACTTCGATTACTGATATCAGTGAAAAGGTCTCTACTTTCCAGAGCAAGTCGAATTTCAACGAAGCTGGGATTGATGGACCGGATACTCATATTTCTGGACAAACTTATTACAAGAAACGATTTCAAAATCAATGATTTTTTCGGCAATTTTTTGAGAATCGTTTGATAGAAAGAAATTTGGGTGAACAAATTCCGAACTTGCGCCGTCTTCCATCAATATTTCGAAGAACAGTTTGGTAATGACGTCAAGGGTGCATACTACTGGAAGAACAATGCAAACAACTATCTTGAGGATCACCTGGACAATTTGAACATCAAAGAGGAAGAGTTCAACTTTGAGTTCAAATGCGTTGCTCCTGATTGCGAGCCATTTACGACGACAACGACGACAACAACAAGTATGATCACCGTTTATTTATTCATCCTCAAAAAGAACAGAAATGAAAATATCTTTTATCAAGCTAGTTCAAAAGGAATTCCATTGCCAACTCCGTTATGAAGAACTTCTTCTTTGGGGAAAAATTTGAATTTCGGGTTTTCAGTGATTTCGTCGTATTCGCCATGACGGCCGCTTGTTTTGGCGGAAAACTCGCCGTAGTTTTTGTATTTTTTATCTGTCCAGTTTTTCTCGGAGCGGAGAATTTTGAGAAACGAGGTGTTTGAGAAACAGGGCTCGACAAACATTGGCGCCGAATATCTGAAATTAGAAAAAACGATTGAATTTTCGGTTGAACCTGTTTTCGCCAAGATCCATGACTCGATGAAGCGTCGCAGGAAGCTTTCCTTCTGTAATTTCCTCAATCATACTTCCCAAGTTGACAATCAGCGTATTTTTCACCGGGCGAACCCAGACCCAAGTGTTCTCCTTGTTTCGGACTTGGAGACCATAATTTTCAAAGGTGCTCAAAAGAGTGAGCAGAGAGGAATCAGAGTGTTCTGGGGTCGAAATCGGGATGTCTTTGTCCGAAAGATTTGAAATTTTTCCTTTTGGCGGGTAGTGTAGGAGGCGAAAAGTGCTAGAAATTGTTGAGAAAAAATGATTTTTCGATGTTACCTGAGATGTTGGTCTGTTTGGTTTTCAAAGAAAAAGTCAGTAAAATAACTTTCTTCAACGCCGATTCCGATCGCGAGAAATCGCAAAATCAATAAAGCGCAGTCATGATAAATTCGATAAAACTTGTCCACTGTCCTGCCAAATTCTTCATGAGGGTAGCAGTTCTTTTCTTTCGTGAATTTTTCATAATCAGGGGCATTTTCCGGCGGTTCCACGATCGAGTCGTTGCCAAAATCAGTTTGTTCTTTAAAAACAGGAAGATTTTTCACTAGCGGCATGTATCCCCTTATTCTATTCTCAAATGAATCTTCATGAAAGATGATTTATCGAGAATGCCTTGAGAATGTCCTGTATTCATTTTTGTTTTCAGCATGAAATCTTTTCAGGGCCAATTTCATCTTTTCTTCTTTTGGCCGACCGTAGTAAAATTTAATTGCATCGAGAAGTTCCTTGTCCTCGAAATCTAACAGAAAAATAATCTCCAAAAGCAAGTCGATCTCTTGCCTGGAATATCAACGAGTCTCAAAAAGCCAACCTTCTGAAATTCCTCGACAATTTCTTTCCCAAGCGCAGCGATTTCATCATAATTATCAGTCGAGGAAAGCTTTGAAAAAGAAAAGGATTTGAGTTCAGTGACTTCTGCCATTTTTAATTCAGAAATGATGCTGGGTCAAATTCAGACGGAGAATTCTGCATGGGAAAACAACATCTGTCGGCTGTTTATTGAACTTGTCTATAGATTTTGAAATTCTTGGATTTAAGGATTTCCTTGAAACCCTTGCCCTAACCCTAACCCTAACCCAAACCCTTCTGCTTAGGGTCTCAATCTTATGACAACCCCCATAAGTTCATGATAAGTTTGTTTGATCAATATCAGCCAGATTCGTCTACTGACCCGTGAGGCTAATCCGGGATCGAGGATGTTCGATCGGGAGCATATGTGACACAGAGTGAGAGCACAATACAGATTTGATTTCGATGAATAATTTCGAGTCCATCTGTTTGACGCAAGGCGCAAATAATAATCGTACGTTTGGGAGCACATTTTCGGTTCATGCTTTATTAACTAGCGCAGACTCGTTATTTTTTGCACTCTGTATGAACACACGGGTATAATCAACATTACAACAAATTAAGAGAAATTATGGAATAAAACAACAGCTAATGAGAATGAAAAATGATCCAGGAAAGATTGAAATAAGTAAATTTTTCAAAAAAAAATTTCAACCAATCAGAAAAGCAGATTTTTTGCACCCAATCAAAAACTCCTCACTCTTTTCCAAATCTTCTTTTTCAATCTTCGACAGACAAGATCTTTTACACGCCAAAAGCATCAAGTCAACTGGACCCATCTACATACGTGCTGATTGGGCAAATCATTCTAGCGACGATTGCGATTCTCGTGTCAACAGGCATCATTATCGTACTGACAGTGATATTCCAAGGACTGTTCTGCAAGGGTGAACTCTGCCATTTCGAATTACCTGTTAATCGCGCAAGAGGACCGAGGTTAGCAGAAGAGTGTCTATTTCAAATCATTGAAATTTTAAGATCTGGTTCGACAAAGCGAAGACCAAGCAAAAAACAGAGATCAAACTCGAATTCTTTAATGTAATAAACATTGAAAACAAGATTTTTTAAATTGATTTTAATTATTTATTTTTGTCGATTGCAGAGTCATCAAAACAATAGATGAAATTTCGGACAAGATAAGTAGATCCAGCTTCATCCCATGGATTGCTTGCCCAAAAATGCAGTGGCCCAGAAGAATACGCGTCAGATATTTTGTAGAAACCGCTTGTCAAAATTACCCCATCTTTTTTGAGAATATATTGAACCATTTCTCGTCTAAGGTCGCAGTCAGTAGGCTCTTGAAGTTGAAGAGTAAATTGATTATATTCTTTTTCATCATCACAAGGTCCGACGAAAATCTTCTCATAATCGGATGCATTTGGATTATAAAAAGCGAACGATAAATTATCGCTATCTTCTTCTTTCGAAATTCCAAAAACTCGATTTCCCGGCTGTCCTGTGTTTTCTCCTTGGGTAACATCAAGAATATTCAATATATCAGAAGATGATGATGGATGGTTGCATTTTATCTCCGCACTTATTCGGAAATATAGACTTACTGTTTCGTCACCGACTAGATTATTTTTCTGAGGCTCCATGGAAAATGGTTGTGGGTCTATGAATGTTATTTTCTTCTTCGAACAAAACTGTGTAAATGAAGGAGAGCAGGTCGTCGGCGGTCTCGTCGTTATCGCTGTTGCTCTTAAAGTTCCTGATGTCAAAGAAGCTTCTGTCGTTGTATCTGTTTCGGCTGTGGTCAAGGTTTTCGCTGCTGTAGTTGGTCTTTTTGTTGCGGGAGTCGTCAAAGGATCTGTCTTTGTTTCTGTTGCTGTTGTCGAAAAAAAATCTTTTCTTTGAGTTGCTGTTTCCGGTGTTGTTCTCGAGAAAAATTCTTCCGTTGTTTCCGCTTTTGTTGCTGTTGTTGTTGGGATTTCAGTTGTTATTGTTATTGATGATGATGTTGTTTTTGTTGTGATCGTTTTCAGTGATGTTGTTGTTATTGTTGGCCTTTTCGTTGTGAATGCTAAAGTCGTTACTGTTCTTGTCGTGGGAAATTCTTTGGTTTTTTCAGCTTCTGTTGCTGTTGCTGTTGTCGGGATTTTGGTGGTTATTGATTTCAGTGATGTGGTTGTTATTGTTGGCGTTTCCGTTGAGGTTGTTGTACTCGTAACTGTCGTTTTTGTTGCTGACGATAGAATTATCGGAATAGTGATCGTAGTAGCCGTACAGGCAAGCACAAAAAAGACGCTGGTGATCAAAAACTGAAAGATTTTGAGTTCAAGAAGAGCAGACAATCTCAAATTTACCCATGGTTTACGCCGAGGTTCTTTAGTTGCTTGAAGCTCACTGTCAAGACTTTCTCTTGATAAGGACTTTGCTCTGGTCATCGGGAATTGATTTCAGAAATGCTAGGATCTAAATGAGAGGATGCATATATCGGAAGAATATTTGCTATTTTCGGAAATGCAGCTATATTTGCCATGCTTTTCATTATTAAGAATGGACTTAGATCTTCGTCATTTTGACATGTTTTCATCTACAGATGTCTTTTTTTCCCGGCTGGCTATCAGAAATAAGTCATTTCCGCGAGAATAATTCTTAGTCAGTTGCTACTAGCAACAGGACGTACTTCTGTTTATGCTTGACTCAAGAATTTTGAAATGAAGTTTTTTACCTTACACTCCTCTTGATCTCACGGCTCTTGATCTCATTTGACCTGAACTCTCCTGCAGACGCTTTATAAAGATCAACTTATCAGTAATGGGCAAATAAAATCGTTTTTTTAAGATGAGAAGAAGTAAACTTGATACAGAACTTTGCTGACACGTGTCAATAAAAATCACCGATTTCAAATCAGACTCCAAAAGATAGACACAAAGACGTAAAAACAAACTGTCTCGCTATCATAACTTGAGAGTTATACAACCATTACATAACCATGCATTTATTAAGTGCAATAATGATATTAAAATCAGAATTAAATTAAGTTTTATTTAAGTATATTCTCATAAATATCAACCAACTCTTTGTTTCAGAAGTTTTCAAAGAAATGCTCAAAAAGAGCGTTGTCTGATTTGTTCAAATTCTTTGCAGCTTTATCAACTGCTTTTGAAAGCGCTGGGAGACCTCAACTGAACACGCCGATTTTCTCGATCGACGATCGCTGACTTCTTTTGCTGGATATCTTCTAGAAGTTCGTTGAAATCTGGTCTGCCAAAGTGGGTCACAGTTCTGAGACCAGTGAACAGGCTCTTGCCGCAGTGAGAGTCGAGTTTGTGCTCCAGGAAGTATCGCATTCGAGTTCGAAGGTCAAAGTGGTCTTTTTTCGTGAGTTTCGATCATGTTACTGTTCTTTTCAGCTTCTTACAAAAGAATTCGAAAAACAAAGTTTTCTTTGCAAGCTATGAAAGCTTATTAATGAAAGAAATTCCAGAGCCCTTCCTTTGAGAATATCCACAATCCATTCAAATTGTTTTTTCACTTTTTTACCTAGATAAAAACGACTTTCTTGCACTAAGTCATGCTCATATTTCTCTCTACAATGTCTTTTAAAATGGACACAAAAGGAGTGATCCCGATTCTTGCTGAGATCAAAAGAGCATTCAAATTTGTGCCAATTTTGATGACCCTCGCCAATTGGCCCGTCGACGAACATATGCCAGTCCTGATCAATACCTGGATTGGTGCTAACCGATTGAAATTTCGACTTATTTTGATGATAAAAACGTATAGCGAGATTTTGAGAATCTTCTCCCTACCAAATTTCAGAAACTGGATCACCAGACTAATCCTTGTTTTCTCTACAAGTCACATAAAGAGTATTTTTAAGAACAGAGGAACTTTGATGATAGCATCTTATCTTAAAAATTTACACTTATTGAAAAATATAAATGTGCTGTCCAATAACATAAGTATCGATCAACAACGATAGTCCTAATGCCATGACAAAGAAGCAATGGAAACGATTTTGTCGACCCTGTAAGAGAGAAAGTATAACATAATTAACGAGTACTGCTTAATTTTAATCATTGCCAGTATCAAAAGAAAAGTAAGCGTTTTTAAATTTATTTTTTTAAGAAATAAGAGCACCAGTAAATGTTGTATATAAGGACTCACTTGATTTGGCCTTTTTAATTTCATTTTAATTGATATTTCATACAGGTTTTCGGCCGATCCTGTTGCTATAAATTTTACCGGAAACAAGATAAACATCGACGATATCATTTTCTTTCAACGAAAGAATAGCCGTCATTGAAGTTGTTCCTTCAGCACCATCGTCATCCTAGAAAACAAATGCATGTATAAGAATAAAGAACTTACTTCTCCGTAACCAGTTACCACCGTTTCTGAGTTAAGTCGAATCCTTACTTTTGTGCCAGTTTTATTAAGCCTCTTATGATGAATGAAAATTTCAAAAGCAAACTCAATTTAACTTGCATAAACATTGCATGAGTATAAATCTTATACAGTACCATTTATACTTCATGGCGAAGAAAAATATATTATCCATTCATCCAAAATGATACAGCAAATATATATATCCCGTCGATAGGTGTGGAAAACTCACCGGAAGATAGATCGTACATTTTATCACCGGTCACGGAATTTTTAAATGATATTTCTTTATCGAACAAAACTTTTGTGTCTTCTTTTTCGTAATTTGATGTGAGTGCAACCATGAAATTGATTTTCGGAGCTTTCTCATATGATGTCGATTAAGCTTTAACATAAATATTACTCAAGGCAACATTCGTTTTATTTACCTTCACCCTTGTCGCCTTTAAGTCCATGTTCCCCTTTAGATCCTGAATTTCCTTTTTCTCCTTTCTGACCACTTATTTCTTTGACACCAGGGCTACCCTTTTCTCCTACGTCCCCTGGTGATCCATTTTTTCCGTCGCTTCCAGGAAGACCAGCGGGTCCAATTTGTCCTTGATCTCCCTTTTTTCCATCAGCTCCCTGAGAACCAACAACTCCCGGTAAACCAGGTATTCCAGGGGCTCCTTGCATTCCGTCTCTGCCGTCTCGACCAAATAGATGCGGGAACTTTTCGGGAAAACATTCATTGTCCGTTTTGTTCGTCGGCAAAGATGATCTTATAAGATTGGAACAAGAAGATATTGCAGAAGTCAATTCCGAACGACAGCTTTTTGCACATTCAAAGCTCGAGCTTTTAAAGAATAAATTAAGCTTATTCTAAATGAAAACTTCAGGGATCCCAAACTGAAACATTGAGTGCGGTTTTGATGTTCAATCCGTGATTCTTAACTATCGATCGACCTTTTATATCATACCAGTAATATGACTTGTTCCGATTTCTGCTAAATTTTGGGATTAATTCCGTGTGTCGCTCGGAGCGACTTGAAAAATAAGTTGGGATCCCTGTTTAACACAAAAATTTTCTAAGGACTATATTTTTTCAAAATCCATTAAGTTAATATTCTCAATCCAAAGCAATTATCCAGGCATCTCGTCAGAATTGATTCAGCTTGAATTTAAGATTAGTTGAAATCTTTCGTAGAATCAAAATTTATCTTACTATTTTTGCGACAGTCCTTCTCAATTTGACAAAAGGAGGCATGAAAAACTATCAAAAAGGCGGATCACGATTCCCATACTTGTTTAAAAACAATGGAACCGGGCGGAGTTCAAATCATCTATTTGTTTGACAAGAATAACTAAAATTTATTTCTTTTAAGGGAAACTGATCGCTGTCGGCGTCCTCGACTTCCTGAGCATTTGTCAGTGACCAACTGTATCTCCTCTGTCTATTTGAACTTCGATCCAGAATTAAGGTTCCTCAATTTTAGTTCCTATTCAGGGCTGGTTAATATATAATAATCTCGTTTTTATGGCTTCGACTGATATAACATTGGCTTCGGGAGTCGAAGGTCGACCAGCGGAAACAGCTGCATTATCCAATGTAAAAACCGAAAATAATGACAAGCAAAAACAAACTGTCACGCTCAGAGCTGGAAAAAGTGTTCTTCCCCTGCGCTTCAAAAATCTGCAGAGCGCCCTTCGTTCTAGAAGCGCATTGAAGGTACGAAACGGCTCGGAACTCCTACTTCACGCGCTATTCAAAATATTAAAGCCTTTATCGAAACCTTTAGCTGCCACTTCATCCGCCACAATCAGCGTGATTTAAATCGTGGAGCCGACAGAACCAAATTGAAGTAGAGATGAAGCGCCGAAGTAGACTTCAAGCCGCACAGTTCAAGGCGCTTCAATTTTTGAAGTACACTTAGGGCCGACGAGCAAATATTCAACCCCAAGAACCCCTTGTGGTAAAGCCTAGAAATTTTGGGACAATATGTATTTAGGCCCAACTAAAAAAATTGTTATTGAAAATTTTTTGGTCTGACCACGTGATCACGGGTAACAGACCCTCGAAAAGCTAGAAAAGCTTGCCGAGCTTGATCCCCTTATGGCATCATCTTCTCGTTCGGCCAAAAAGAAAGGTCTTGGTTTGTTCTAGTGGTTTAGTCAAAAAAATTTTTGGTGCCGTCTTTACTGTCAGTAGACGCAATTAGCTATAAAAGGACTCAAAACTAGCTTAAATTGAGTTAAAAATCCAGGTTTCACGGGCTACTTAGGCCAAAATACGTTGCAAAAAGGGCCATTTTGGACGCATCAATTCCCTCTCGCGACTCATGTGATGTTGCCACCAAAAATTTTTTGGATTCTATAGGAAGAACTTTTGTGCTCTTTCATGTGAGCTACATTATGATCACCTGCGGTCAGGGGATCGAGGTTGGCAAGCTTTTCTAGCTTTTCGAGGGTCCGTATCACGTGATCACGTGATCATACCAAAAAATTTTCAATAACTAATTTTTAAGATTAGCCAAAATACATATAGACTATAATATAGTTCCAAAGTTTCAGGCAGTTACCTGAAGGGATTTTAGGGGTTTATTTTTTGCTTGTCGACCCTAAGTATACTTCATGAAGTATACAGTTTAGTATTCAAGTGTTCTTCAAGTGCAACATTTTATAGCAGAATTAATTTAAGTTTATTTATATTTTCGCAAATATCTAAGAACTCATTGTTTCAGAAGTTTTCGAAAAAATGCTCAAAGAGAGCATTGTCTGATTTGTTCAAATTCTTCGCAGCTTTATCAACTGCTTTCGAAAGCGCCGGTGGTCCACAACTAAACACGCCAATTTTCCCGATCGCTGAGTTTTTTTGCTGGACATCTTCTAGAAGCTCGTTGAAGTCTGGTCTGCCAAAGTGGGTCACGGTTCTGAGGCCAGTGAAGAGGCTCTTGCCGCAGGGAGAGTCGAGTTTGTGCTCCAGAAAGTATCGCATTCGAGTTCGCAGGTCGAAGTCGTCTTTTTTCTGAGTGATGAAAACGTGAGTTTCAATCATGTTACTGTTCTTCTCAGCTTCTTGCAAAAGGGTTCAAAAAACTAAATTTTCTTTCTTAGTTATGAAATCTGATTTATAAAAGAAATTCTTGAGCCCGTCCTTTGAGAATATCCACCATCCACTCGAACTGCTTGTCACTTCTTTTGACCCAGATAAACACGACTTTCTTGCACTTTGTCATGCTCATATTCCTCCCAACAATGTCCTTCAAAATCGACGCAAAGGGAGTGATCCCGATTCCAGCTCCAACCAAAACGGAGCATTCGAATTTGTGCCAATTTTGATGACCCTCGCCAATTGGCCCATCGACGTACATCCTTGGAACGGGGAGTTTTCCTGCTTTGACTTTTTTCAAATGCTCTCTGAGCGAAATCGTCCACGGACCGACAGCTCTCACGTGACAGCTGATAAAGTCATCGGCAGGGCAAGAAGTCAGAGTGAAGGGATGAAACTCCCACTTTGAAACTGAAGCAAAAATTATTCATCCTTGATTTCGATAAAGAGAAACTGACCTTCTGGGAGAGCAATTCTGATCCACTGACCCGAGTGATAATCAAAACTCTTCGGTCTCTTCATTCTCAAGCACGTGACGCTGGATTGAAGAAGGTCGAATTCCTTGAGGGGCACTTTTCACCGTTTATTTTCTTGTTTCTTTTATCAAAGAAAGTGTATTCAAATATGAACCCGTCAACAAATGACAACGCTTCTGTGGAAAATCAGACAGCCTTATTTGCGAACAATCACTGTAAACAGACTCTGACAACCTTTAGAAAAGGCAAAACGGTTCCTTCGACATAAGATCTTCTTAGCTCAATTATCTTGTCAATCAAAAAGATAATCCCCGGCCCGAGCAGGTAAAATACGAATTTCGGCTCCTGTAGTAGCGCCTGTAATCCGTGAAGACTCAGTAGAATGAAGAAGAGCGGATAGAGCATGTGCGTCTTCCAAAAGACCTTATGCCGTTTTCGTCGAGATTGGGCGGCGGCGAAGACGTAGATGATCGACATGATGAGGACAAGAAGCAGTCCAGTTATGCCTTGATGGCTGGCCCAGAGGAGCTGGAAAAATGACTTCTCGGGCTCGTCGTCGCTGAAGATTTGAGGGAGGACGCAGGAAGCGGCTTGGTATGGCGCTTCGGAGAGGAAGTAGAAATTGAGGAAATGGCCGATCACGTGGATGAGGGAAAGAAAAGCGCCGACATAAGCAGCAAGTTTGTGAAACTCGACGGATTGATCGAATGGAATGTACTGTTTTAGGGCTCAGTTTGGGATTCGATTTGGTTGAATGACTGAAAACTAAGAGGATTTAATTTTCATAATTAAGATAAGATTATTGAGTAAGGGTGTTCGGATGTGAACTCTTTGACAACTTCTGAAATTAATTGGTTAAGAGAGCTTTGCCATTTTTTCAAGGCCTCTTCACTAAAAATTGAAATGATCTATTATTTAATGCTTTTATCGGCAGCCAATCTTTCAGACGTAAATTGGAGCCGAGACCTGATTAATTGCTTTTTGCCGAAGCCTAGTCAGCAAATTTCGGGACATCGACAAAAGCATCATTGGGTAAATGAAAGAAAGCGCAGCTGCTGTGGATCGTGACATGAGAAGTCCAACTTCTGTTATTTGCCGAATTCCTGCCGACTCGTTCAGAAATAAGAAGAAATAGATTCTGTCGACCATCAAAGCGATAATTATTCCGAAGAAAATGAAGAGCGTGTATAAATGCCTTCGTTTTTGCTCGAAAATTCGTCGGACTTTCTTCGGTATAAATCTGCCGTAAAACGATTGTTCTTCATCTTTCATCACGAGGCTCCGGACCCGGTAGCGGCTGTATCGCCTGTTCGTCGTCCTTGGAACTGTAAATCTCCGACTGACTTTGCTTGTACTAAGCATCAACTGTATAAAGAGCTCGTTTTCCGCCTGATCTTCTCGTGACTTGATCCCAAGGCCTTTCATCATCGCCTTGCATGCCTCGTGAAGATCTTTTATGTCTTTTCCGACAGAGCTTTTTGTGATCAAACTGACGATTTTTTCAACTCCTTCTTTTGAAATTATCATCGAATCTTTGTATTGCTTCTGGAGAATTTCCGCTCGCCAGGAAGGATCGTTTTCGGTAAGGCGAGTCAGGAACTTGATGAATTCGACGACATGGACTTCTCCACTGTCTGTTAGATCCATCGCTTTATACAGGGTCTTTACAGGAATGAAGCAAAGTCAGAAATTGAAGATTGTTTTTGAAAATAGTTCTCCATCGACATTGAATCTTAATTTTTTTTTTACAAAAAATAAGCGCTGTCAATTGCTTGCGCAAATGAAGGACATCAAATATTGACAGTGTCATCCCTTTACTGTATAAACGTCGAGCTCTGACGTTGGCCAAAGAGCTGGCCAAGTTCAATTTGCGAAAGAATCAGTTGTCCATGTTCATCATCATAGTCGACAATATTTGTAAAAACAGAATCTTCGTCATCATCTTTTCCAACCATTTTGGTGAACGCTTTTTGAAGAAAATCCTCGATAAGCTTTCTTCGTTTTCCTCCAGACATGGCCATTTCGTCGATATTATTGTCCAACTCTTCTTTCAAATCAAGCTCAACTCCATTATTGATGGTAAAACTTTTCAAAACTTGGACAAAGACATTTCTCTGCCAAGTTGAAGCAAATTCAAGATACAGGTCTTTTCGACCGTGATTTTTGAGAAGCAAAGTGTCCATTCGACGATTTTTCGCGACGAAGCCGGAAATTGAGGGAGACTTGTTCGGGTCGCTCATTTTGTGGATGAAGTACTGGTCCATTTCACCGAAATTATTCATCACATTTATACAGGGCTTTTCTTCTGGTGAATATATGCTTACAAAAATGACGCGCAAAAAGCTGTCTGGCAGACAGAATAACTGGGAGACTATAAATCATCACCAATTCCTTATCTCCTTCTTTTTCAAAGCCAATCGTCACCTCCCGATCCTCAAAACTCTCAGTACACTCAATTTCCGTCGCCTGAAAGCTTTGAGCCAAAGCACCAGGCCCAGCAAGGACTGATTGTCCGAATTGAGTGTATCGTCGCATTTGAGAGTTTGTGGGTTTGATCTGGATCATGCTCTCTCTCCGCTGTCTTGCGGTGCGTTCTTTCTTAGTCCAAAATACCATGGTCAGATAAATCGCCAAAATTACCACAAGGACGATTATGGCGGAAATAATTGCTTGAACCAAGTTTGACAGACGTTGCTTTTTTGCGCATTCTAGATTTTAGGAGTCAAAAAGAAGCTGATTTCACAAAAAAAGATTTAAGATCAAAATGACAAATCAGTATTTTCAAGAATACTGATTCTGTCAGAAATGTCAAAATTATCGACATTACTGACACTACCGACATATTGACCCTTTCCTAAAAAAATCTCTTCTACATTCGCATCCATCACACAAGGAGCCCCTGGCTCTAGAATTTGAAAACCATTCCCATTCCAATCGAAAGAATCCCCAAACGCCATGCTCAAAACATCCAACCACGTGGTCGCCGAAATTCGCGCGACATCATCACTTTCGAGCAGCGAGTTCAATTCGAAATTTTCAAACCATCGCCAGTCACTATGGCGAATTTTCTGCATTTGAAGAGCGATTAGTTTCCGGAGACTGTCAGAATCAGCCTCGGCAATCAAGCCTGGGAAAAAAGCAAGATCTGACTCTTGAGGAGTGGAGAAATGAAGGAAATTTCTGACGTCAAAAAGGGCTTTTTTCCTGGATTAAAATTTTTTTTCGTGAATTTTTTCGAATTTTTTTCGATCCAATTTCCTGGTATTTCAAACTCCGCGGCATTTTTGGCATCCTTCTCAAAATCTTCATAGTCAGAATTGACATTATCCGCAAATTGGCGCGACAGACCCAATAAAAGTTCAACTTTATCAAATTTTGGATCTTCGCAAAGTCGCATTGAGCCGCTTATTGAATTTTTTAAGGCACAAGTGTTTGTGTCGTTTTCGTCAGCAATCGGTAAAAGGGTCGGAAGGGTTGATTTAAGGGCACGTGACGCAGCGGCGAACTCGACTGATACACGAGGGTCGATGTGAGGGTCGTGCCCGTTGTGACGCCCTGAAAAAATAATGAAAGCTGTCTTTTCATAAGGTGTTTTGGAAATACAGATTTAAACTGACTTGGTCAGCCTGGCTATCAGTACTCTCCACGAGTCACCTTGGTTTCAACTACTCTAATATTTCAGCTTCATATTTGAGAATATCAGGTGTAGCAGGGTTATCAGTCGGGCGCCCTAAAAAACTGTCCTCTATAAGCCCCTATCTTGGTTGGGATTCTGGTTATGGGACTGGGGGTCCCGGGGCGAAGCTCCTTGGCTAAGGCCTAGCATAAAGGGCTGCCCGACTTTCGGAAGTATGTAATTAGTATTGATACAGGACCAATTATTCTAAAATTTGGCTAGAATTGGGATGATGCCCCTAACCCTAAAGCCTAACTCAGGGGGCTTCGCCCCCCGGGACCCCCCTAGTAGGTACTCCAAGCCCGTAACGATAATAAATAGGTATGGTATCAGACAAATTCTACCTATATAAGAAGAACAGTTCTGTACATTCTCCGACCCCCTTATCGAAATAAAAAAAAACATGGTATAAAATGAGGATTTGCTATCTCAGCAAAAATTATCAATTAAAGACCGCTTGCTGCATTCAATATTCTAGCAAAAAAACCCAGATAGTACTTCAACTTGCCTTCTAAATATGCAGTATCTTCGGGAAGAAAAAAGTTCGCACCAACGATAAGTGGCAACCATTCATACCTAAACAAATTTATAAATAATTCAGAAAACATACCACTGCCAAGTTTGTCAACCCTACCAAATGATATTTTGAAGGGTGCTGATAACAAGCCTCTTTGTTTGTCGGTAAATGGCTTCATCAGAAAGGCCCTCGTCTGATAATTTGACGCTTTCCGCCACAGCATTGTGGTAGCGATGCCAGACGAATGTGATTACAGATGGGAGCATTTTCGTCTCCCGCAGCTTAATTATTCAATTATTTGTTATTCATTATTTTTACACGCATGCAAAATATTTTCGTGGATTTCTGATTAACCTTTTTAATATTTTATTCCACATGACTCCATTTTGGGTTCAAAAATGATCAGTCAACTAAAAAATCGGGCCATTTTTAGCGGAGTTCATAAACTATTTATCTCGCTCAGGGTAACATAAATACCTTTTTATGACGAACGAAGCATCCTTCATCTCGTTCGCACAAGAGTACCCGCCCATCTTAAAACACAATTCAAAGTGGCAATTATATAATTAATTGAACTAAGCGCTACTAGACAATCCAATTAATCAAAATCTCCTCTTTATTTTCAAATACCGGTTGAGCGGACTAATATTATTACTGTAGCAATATCGTACTGAAGCAATTAGTAGAAAGAGCTGAGATCCGCTTTCCTTATTCTTTACCAAACATTATTATATAAAAAGAATTTCTTTTAAAATAGACAATTAAAATTTAATAGTCTAGACTCCGGCCTATATTGACGTCAGCTGACACCCGGATCTCCGGCTTAGGGTTAAGCCAGTATTAAAATCCCCTAAAAGACCCCTGCCGGATCTTTCATTAATTTAAATCACCTTTAAATTCGCGCTGAAAGGCTTCTTTCTCTGAAGTTCCACCGTAAATAGCACTGCCATCAATCCAACTCGTCGCTGTATTTATCGGAACAGGAACTCCATGCTGATCCAGGCCACTTTCCGCCTCCCACATGAACGAATCATTTTTCACCGAAAGTGTATTCGCAGCGCAGGCGATTTCGTCCGCCTCTAGAATTTCCTCGAGGACGAATTGGGAAAACGCAGCGCCAAGCGAGGATAAGCCGATGGAACTGGAAGTTCTTGGAACATTGATTTCTTCGACTGTTTCCGAGCTGTCAGTGAAGAGTTCACTTGGAACAAGCCTTGTCAGCGGCTTGTATCGACCAGAAGAAAAGTCGAAAGAAATGCTGTCACTGGTTATTGCTCCATTTATAAAGAAAATATGACCTGAGAATTAACTCGAAAATCACCCTTGCTTGTTGACTTTGTTTTTGTTAAGAAATTCCGAGTTAAAAAGGTTGAACTTTCGTGTTTACGTTCCACTTGCGCAACAAAATATCACGCGCGCATGTCCCGGAACTTTTTTCTAGAGCCCTCGTGAGGACTTGCAAATTTCCTGACTGAGGATTACCAACTCGATACCGATCTACAAATTGCTCAAAATGGTATCCCTCGGTCTAAGGGCTCGAAATTTAGCTTTCATCTCTTATGAAAGTTCGAAAAAGTCGATTTTATTTTCAGAAAAAGCTCAATTCTTGCATAAAAAATGAAAATTTTAAAATTATTTTCTATAAATAAAATATAAAAATTATTTTTTGAATCAATTTTCTTCATAAAAATCCTTGTTTTTCAGATAACCAGTCCTTGAATAAGCCAACTCAAATAAAATAAAAATCAAAATTTTCATGACGTTTTCTCAGATTCTCTCAAATCATCATCTCTCAAGAAAAAAATAATTCTTCTAGTCAAATTCCAAAAATGACCGTTTGTTTCACGTTAACTCAAGAAACAGGAAGTTGCTCGATTATGACTGGGATTGTGTTCGGAGCGCTCTAGCGCGGCGGTGCGGTTAACGAGGCCGAGACCGCGCCCAGACTTGAGATAAGCGCCAGGCAGGACATTGCCGCACGCTGATCGCATTTGTTTTTACTTCGAGAATGTCAAGACGCTCCTTATTTAATTTAAACAGAGTTTTGGCAAGACCAAAAGTTCAGAATTTAAAAAGACGGCATAAACTTTTTTTCTTCTTTATTTAAACTTATGAATAAAAAGAATTTTTCTTATAATTAAAGAATTAATTTGATAAATAATTTTGAGGGATTGGCTTTTTAGACCCCAGCTTGACCCTTGAACATCCTTCAAAGCTCAAATCGTTCGTTTATTTATTCATGCCATTTCTCAAAAGGATGAGCTCAGCTCGCTGATGCGCCAAAAACACAGAAATCCGAGGCGTCAAAGAGCACCAACGATATATACAGATGCTATAAAAGCGCGAAATCAACCAAGAAATCACTCAATTCATAATTCCCAGATTAGTGAAAAGAACCAAAAATGCGAATTTTTCAAGTTCTGATATTTTTCTTTGTGAAAGATCAAGGCGTCAATTCAGAGGTGAAAAATAGGAAGAGAAAAAATGTCTTGAATTTTTTGTTTTAGGAATTGAGTGATTTTAAATATCAAAATCAGCAACCGCTTCAATTCAATGCTAGAGGTAATTATTTTCTTATTTCTGTTAAACTTTTATTTTCAAGAGAAAAATGAGTGAATCAAAGTTGCATCAAAATTCTAATTTTTCCACCACAATTTTCTGGGTTCAAAATGAGAATCATCAATTATACAACAACCTTGAAGCTGATAAATGTATTTTAGCATTAACGAATAATCGATTCCGTGGCTATCAAAATCTGCAGAATATGTTTGCCCAACTGAATCCAGATTTTTTTGTTTAAATAAACTTTATTAAAGGATATTTGGTGATAAAATTTTTCAAGGATAAAAATAGCAAAAATCATGACAGGAATCGGTGCAGGCATCTGGAGAGGATTCGAAGATGATTGGGCGAGTACATTCACCTTCATGCTCATTTATGATCATCGAAGATGTTATATTCTGACCATCCCACATTGCCCTTTCAACATTTCTATAATATCGTTGAAAACAAGAATTCTTTTTAGTTTTACCGGGACTCTTCACCATCAAAAACAAGAAAATAATCAACAAAATATATTGAAGACCCAAGAGAAAAAACCTTTAATAAAAATAAAAAAAAAAGAAAATTTGATAATTCTTTACTGATTGCATGGCACCGACTTTTGTCCATTGATGATCTCGAAAAAGGTAAACATTTTTAGTATAACCTCTTTCATTGCCATCGTGCAAGTATCCACCAATGGTAAGGACCCCATTGTCCACTGAAAGACAAGTATGTTCGTCAATTTGATGAGGATGAGGAGAAATATCTTGCCAACCACTTATTTTTGAATAATAATATAATAAAAAATAATAGATCTGAGATCACCTGGATGTTAGTATTTCCGCGCGATTGGATAGTGGTGAATACGATCCAATGATTATAGGTGCATTTTCGAATTCTACCATACAAGAAAAGTCATGCTTGATTTGTGTAGAACTGATTGATCGTGATACTTCCCCGTCAAAGCTTTCGCAATCGTCCGTCAGACCTCTGCATAAAATAACGGACTCGGTTCCAGCAGAAACAGTTGTTAGGGATCCTCTTCTACCATCGAAAGAATTGACTAAATTTCTACCAATGCTCTGGAGTGTGCAATCCGATAATTTTTCTATCTATAATTTTTTTTTAATCTTTATTGAAATTGGAAAAGCTTTTACCTTTTGAGTTGAATCATGCGATGATCCGAAAATAAAAATCTCTCCTCGAAGTATCGCATGTCCAGATCGAGAAAGATACGGATAATAGCCATACATAGGAGATTCGTAATGGCGTTTGTCCTGAATTGTTGTTGAAAAATTATTTCCTGCTTTGATAACCTTGAAACTTCCATCAACAGAAATCACATAATTGAAACTTGTGAAACCGTTAAAATCAATATTAAACTGATCAGTTTGGCAAAGTGCGGTCACATAAGTCTCGCACTTGTATCCACCCTCACAGGAACATCCCATCGGACAATTTTTCATACACGGACAAAAATTCTTTTCCTCTTCAAACACGCCATAACAATCATCATAGCAAGTGTTATTTGTCGCGCAAGATTCAAAACAATCGTCCAATCTTCCCCTCGCTTCCTTCAGACATTGCTTGAAATACGGATCATTCTTGGGGTCTTTACATCCACAGATTGCATTTTCGCAATTCTCACAACCGTTGGGACAGAGCTCGTCACATGGACAAGCTCTGAAGCAGTCTAAAAATTAAAAGCATATTTTGGAACAAATGTGATTACCAGTCCATTCTCCAGCGCATTGGCGTTCACAAGAAGAGCTCATACAGCCATCTTTACAAACGATAAACTTCTCAAAGCAATCTTCGTCGCATAATTCCCCAAGATCAGCGTCCCTTATCGGAAAATAAATGTAACCCATTCGGATTCAAAACAAAACTTAATTTTGGCTCTTTCATTTTTTAAAAAGCTATTAAATCCCATGGAAGAACATCCATTTAACTTACGGGCAAGAACGATTAATCGTTCGCCTTGCGACTTGAGCCTGAGTGAAGAAACTCAAAATCAAGAGATTCCACTTCATAAGAAAATTCTCTATTGCGAAAAATACTACCTTTTTCGATGAGGACCATCATGCTTGATATTTGTCGAAGCTTGAGATCATTTACAATTGCGATAATAAAATTCAATCAAGAAGAGTAGGAAAGGTCACTTTCTTTCAATATTGCTCTAGATTTACCTTTGTAAATTATCAAAAATAGAACAGTTATTAGGGTTATTATTCGCAATTTTCATAAAAAAGGTCTTTTTTATATTTATTTACTCAGATAACCGATTGTTTGCAGAGCTTTTTGAAGTGATCGCAGAACTTTATTAACATTCTTTTCCGTGCAGTTGAACCCCATCAGCCCGATTCTCCAGCACTTTCCAGCAGTAGGGCCGAGTCCTCCCGCCATTTCGATCGTATCATTTTCCATCATCAGTGCTTTTATTTTTCATAAACTCAAATTTGCCTTGAATTTTACCTGTGACAACATTCCACTCAACTCCATCTGGAACTTTTATAGTCGTCACGCACGGGAGTCGATCATCTTGATTTTCAACAAACAGCTCCAGCCCGAGCTCTTTCAATCCTTCATGAAGCTTTTTCTGGCAAATTTTATGTCTTTTCCAAGTTTCTTCTAGATTTTCAGAAGAGATGAAAGAAAGAGCTTCTCGGAGGGCGAAAATATTGGTCACAGCGCCAGTGTGATGGTAAAATCGAGGCTGCGCATCAACATTCCTAATTTTTCAAATTAAACAAAAATCTTATAAACTAACCAGTATCGACCAAGAACTTCAACATCAAGATAGTAGCTCTGAACTGGCGTCTCTCTATTCCTGATCGCTTGGCTATAAAATTTGTAATAAAAGAAAAAGAAAAAAATCAAAAAACCGAGCTCGTGGTGAAAAAGAGATTGGAGCGGTTCCCGGTGGAGCGCTGAGGACTTTTTGACTTCCAGTGTAGAGAACATCGATTCCCCATTCGTCCATTTTCAGTTCAACTCCGCCACACGCTGCGACAGAATCGACCATGAAAAGACAGCTGTTCTTCTTGCAGATCTCTCCGATCCCCTTAATTAAAGCTTGATAAAACCGGAATTAAAGTACTGTTCTGCCAGTCACCTTAATATTTTGAAAAACTCCGGTCGAGCTTTCCCCGTGAGTGATAAAAAACGCTTTTGGTTTCTCTTTCTCTAGGAACCCTTCAATTTCTTCCTTCGAGAACGACTTTCCAGGAGTACCCTCCAAGATCGCCACATTGATACCGGCTCTAGAAGCGATATCCGCAGCACGCTCGCCCCAAATGCCATTTTTCGCGATTCCGACTTTTTCTCCCGCTTCAAGCGTATTGACAAGCGTTGCTTCCATTGCGGCGTGGCCAGAAGCGCATAGAGCGATGGTCAGCTCGTTTTCGGTCTGGAAAAGGTGCTTGATCCCGGCTTTGACGTCGTCCATGATTTCACAGAAATCTGGGTGGAGATGGCCGAGAAGCGGCTTTGCTAAGAAAAAGAAGAATATGAGCAGAAAAATTGACAAATCAAACCTGCTGCTTCCAAAACCCTCGGTGGGCAATTCGCCGGCCCTGGCCCCATCAATAGCTTCTCCGTTACTTCCAGAGGTTTTCCCAATCTCTCTGGCCATTTCGAGCTCATTTCTCTCCTCGAACTTTTCTCTCGCGAAAAATTCGCCGCCAAAAATCTGCTGAAATTTCAAAGTTCAGAACTTTGTTAAATCTTCTGACAAAAAAACACCTGTGTATCGTCCCATGGCTCAGAATTTCGCAAAAATGGCGAAGACTTCGATTTCTCTGCATTATTTTGTTTAAAAAATGATGAAAGAAATGAGTTCACATCAGATTGCCAACGGAGAATTGACGAGTTGAGATAAGCAAATATCATTAATTTTGATTTCTCACATACATTTTATTCCAAAACAAAGATCCTTTTTAATTTTTTTTTCAATTTTTCTCGACATGATCAATCATCTGATTAAAAAAATAATAATGAAGAAAAAAGTTCAAATAAATATCCTTTATTGGCAAAAAAACTACAGAAATAAATAATTAAAACTTCTAATCTTGAATTTCCTTCATCCATTTTTGATAATATTCTTCTTGCTTAGCTCTTTCAGCTTCGCTTTCGACATTTTCGAGCGCCGGCCATCTGTAAACAAATCGTCCAAAAGGGCCTTCGTAGCACATAAGAATATAACGAGTAGATCTGCAGGTGATTTTCGGAAAAGGTGGACGCTTTGGGATTTCTTCGACTTTTCCAGTTTTATAATAGCTCCAGCGAGCGTTGAATAAATCAACGGCGTATTCGTACAACCAAATGTCCAGCGGCATCAAAACCTTCAAAAATGATCGAAAAATCGAGTTTATTTTCTAGAAAAGTGAAATTTTCCGACCATTTTCCTTGAGCTTGTCAAGAACATTTTGCCCCGGTTTTTCATAATTCAACTTATTTGCCGTCGATTTCATCACTGCATCTTTCTTAATTCCATTCGGAAATTGATTATTCAGCAGCTCAATGCTATCATTGAGTCTTTCTTTCAACCCAATCCAAGTGCATGATTCGAGACGATCAGCAGCGTCTGAGAGGACTTTTTCGAAGTTTAGGCTGTCTTCTTCAAGATCTCGGAGTTGGTCGGATTTCGGGAGGGTTCGATCCCACTCGTGTTTTACCCAGGATTGGCCGATGTGGGTTCCGCTTTTCGAGGGGATGAAAACTTGAAGCTTCTGTGGGTAAAAAGGGATCATCATAAAACTCTTACTTCCCCCTGATTTGAGGCTCTTTTTCGTCCCCTTTCCTGAGCCAACTTACACTCGCCTGTCCATCCTGCCACAAACCCCTTACTTGCATCATCAAGTCCAAGTTCCCAAGCAATTCCTCCAAACTAACTCCAACGAGCAATTTCGAAGCCCATCCCCGATCTCGTTTGATGAAGTTAAAGTGACTGATCGCCCGTGAAACTGGTTCTCTCAAAAGAGTGATGACTTCAAAATGTTCTGTTTTGTCCGTCATTGCGTTTTTGAGATTTTCAACGGAGCTCCAGTCGAAGTGTTTTGAAGGAATTCGATGGTTGCCGAAGTAGTAGCCATCTTGGTCGAGTGGGTTTCGGGATCGAGAAACAATGTTGGAGGTTAAATACTCGGTGAAGGCAGTTCCCGCGCTTTTGGCAACATGGAGGAAGCAAATGACTCCATTTGGAACAATTCGAGTCTAAATTTTTTAACCATAAGATGAGCTTAATGAAGGCTGCTGATTTGGAAATGGTCTCCAACAACTAACGGTTTATTTTTTTAATATCATTTATTCCTCATAATTATTTGCTTTATTAAAAAACCATTATTCCATTTTAAATGCGTCATTATGGTGCTCAATTTGCAATTTTTCAAATTACCTTTACAATTGCCAAGTTATTTTTCTGATAATTTTTCATGTCAATCACATCAACTTCTTTTTCAACCCTCTTTATTTTTTGCTGAATTGGTGATTCTTCATCGGGCAATTTTTCTGCCGGTTTCTCTGTTATTCTGTATTCGAAATCTGGCGAGTCGTTTTCGACATTTCTTCTAAATTTCTCGCTTTCATGGAGAAGCTTTTGATTTTCTAGCTGGAGGTAGCAGACAAGCAGGACTTTCACTGATTTATTTTGTTTTAAAAGAAAAAAAAAAGAAAATTCTTGGCAAAATTTGAAAAAATCGGTTCCTGAAAAAAAGATGAGTAAATTGACGGTTTTTCTCTGAATCGCTCTGAGCATCGTTTTCTGAGCTTTTAATCTTTGCGTTTTTGTAGCGAAATAAGTTTGCGCCACAAGTCTTGATTAGTTTTGATTAGCAAAGGGCAATGAATTGAAGATCGCCGGAGAACTGAATTAACACGTTAAGTCACCCGCGTTTCAGTTTCAAGTTTTCTTTCTCTAAAATAAACATTTTTTTCTGAATAGAGATTTTTTTGAAAATAACGACAAGGGAAATACGTTTTTGAAAGTTCAACGCGGATTTTTTAAGATTATCTGACAAGCCTTCGCGAAAAATTGATGATTTCAATGTTTTATAAACGAAGAGACACCCTTATTCATTCTCAAAAAAGCTTATTTAAAATATTTTATTAAAAATATAAGAAAAATTTTGTTTTTTTACCTTTTTTTTGCTATTTTTCTTTATTTCTCAGTATTTCTGATTAGTTTTTTTTATCAATAATTAACAATTCTAGAGCTTGCTTTTTTGAAGATATTTCTCTCAATAACTCACAACTGGTCATTATATTTTCAAAATAAGCCAAAACATCTTCGTCCATTTCGGCGCCGGCGCTTTTCCCGGTTTTCGGGCCCTTTTCTGCTGATGCAGAATTTCCGAATCGTATAAGCTTAAGCTAAAGCTTTTAAAATAGTCGCCGCTGCCTTAAGATTTTAATCCCAGCTGGTCATTTTTGGAATATCATTTTTCAAGACAGAATTTGTCAACTGCCTTTAGTTTGTCTTCTGACTTGGCCGATTTCTCACAATTCTGTGAAAATGCAATTCCTCAAACTCAGATTTCAAATCATAAAATTGAGAAAAAAGAAGAATGGGAAACCCAAGGAATGTTTCGCGACGTATTCTTATCACCTTTTCCATAAAAAATCGAGTAAACACCAAAAAAGCAGCGAAGAAGACCCCCCACCATCCTACCCCAGCGCTCCCCTAGCCGGCGAAGCTCAAGAATTTTCCGGCTACAACCCCAACTACACCCCACCCGCTCAACAAAACTCTCCCCAAGTCATCACCAGTCAGCCTCCAGTTCAGAATCCACCCGGCGCGGAATGGCCCTTCATCAAAAGCACTCAACCAAAAGACTGGAAATACAACTGCTTTGAAGCTTTTTGCAGCGGCTCTGAATGTTGCGTCGCCTGGTGGTAAGTTTTTTCGCCAATGAAAAGGGGGGATAATTTTTTAGTTGTCCATGCATGTCGATAGCGAAAACGGCAGAAATGCTTGGACTTGATGGAAATCGCGCTTTTTGCTGCGCTTTTTGGGGCCATGCCTTTACCCTCGGTATCATTTTAACCCTTTCTCGTCCGTGGACCAATTTTTTTAGCATTTCAGCAGCGGGAACTGATTCGCTTGAAGTACAACATCCCTTCAAAATACTCCGGCTGCGCGGATTTCTGGTGCTTGTTTTGCTGCTGGTCTTGTACTCTTGCTCAGAGTTCGCTTCAGCTCAAATACGAGCTTCTCCAAAATCGACAATAAAGGAGAATAGTTTGCAACTGTTGATTTTTTATTTAAAGAGAACTACATGCTCATTTGCGATCTTGGGCGAGAAATCGGTGGCAAGGGCGAAGTGGGAGCAGTAACTGGTCGAAGTTGTTTTTGAACTCGTTTTGGCTTTCTGTGCGCTCGTTTGAGATTTCGATATTGACCGAGGCAGAACTGCGGCGAATCGGCTAAAAAGATTTTTGACGGAGACTTTCAGATTGCGCTTACCGATGGAAAATCTAAGCTCTTGAAGCTCCTTTGCTTTTGCATTTTTATCTATTATTGCTCCTGTTGTTGTTTGAGGTCTGTTTGAACCCTTCAACTCACTAAGGATAATAGATATTGAGAAAAAAAGGATGAAAAATACCTATCAAGTTGGCGAATAGCGTTGACAGATTTTGAAACTGGGTCAAGATCTGCGGCTGGCCACCCTTCTGGAGGCTCTAGAATTCGATCGATTCGTTCATATGCTTAATTTTCAATGTTAAATGAGCCTGAAATCGGATTCCTTACCTTCTTGCCACCAAAGAGGAGGATCATTCGAGCAAAATTCGACGTTTGCAAACCATTTTTTCGCTTTTTCAATCGCCTCCTTCGTTATTGAGCTTGAGTATTTTGCCTGGAGATGATTCATGTTTCTGCATCCTTTTTTCAGATATTTGACGGATCTATCAGAGACATGGGGGAGGCCAGAGACGTCGATGTGCTTCAGAAATCGGCAAACGCCAGCAATGTATTGAATCGCTACATCAGTCAGTTCTGGGCAGCCGGCGATTCGGATTGATTCCAAGTTTCGGCAATTGAAAGCCAGATGTTTTATTCCATTGTTCGTGAGTCCTAACAAGTTCAATTTTAGTCAAAATTGGAAGATACTTTTTCATACCTCGGATAATCGAGAAATTCAAATGCGTCAAATCCGGATTGAAATTTTTCGTTATCTTTTCTAAGTCCTCCAATCGTTGACATTCCGCAAAGTCGAGTTTTCTGATCGATCTGATTTTTCCGATCACTGAAGCTCCATGACTTCCGATGACTGAGCCGCGACATTTGAACTCTTGAAGCTTGTGAAGACCTGAAATCATGAGGGATGGACGACGAGAAAAGGTCTTACTTGATAGAAGCTCGAAGCCAGAGTCGGTGATTCGCTCGTTGTAACTCATGTCCAGAAAGATTAGTTTGTGGCATTTCGAAGTAATTCTGTTATGATGATAGAAACAAATTCTATTTTGAACAATTAAAAATGAAATCGAACGACTGACCAATCAGAATTTACTATAGGCCACATTTCACGAAACAGCGCCACCAAGCAGCTTTTCTTTTCTCTATTATTCCTTCATCAATTCCTGTAAAGCGCAACATCCGTGAGCGAGTTTATCGAACTGAGATTCAAATGAGTCAGATGACCACCAGACGGGCCATCAACCAAGTGACGAACTCCAGCATCAGTGATGCAGGGGCAGCAGGAAAGATCTATGTCTCGCAACGATCTTAGTCCACCAAATGTCCTCAGAAGATCATCGCCGATTTGAGGACAGTTTTTATTGAAACGGAAGAAAGTTTCGCGCAAAATCGAAAGCACCTGAATATCAGTGTTTTTAAAAATAAAAAGATTTAACTAACTTTGATAGAAGCGAGTCCGAAACTTTGAAGTTCTTGCTCAAAGCAAATTTCTTCAAATTCGAGTAGTTCTCCAAATCTCTAAATGCTCCATTTGACAATCTTCCTGCTGATAAGAGGCTAAGTTCTTCAAGTCCTTTTGCTTTTTGAAGGAATACTTGAACAGCTTCATCTTCCAATGAGTACAAATCATTGAGAATCAAGGACTTGAGATAATTGAGAAGAGAGGCGAGGGCGGCGAATCCTTGGGTTGAGATTTGAAGACAACCACTCTAAAGAATAAATGATTTGCTGATGGGCGAAATACTAGAATCTGATTGGATGAAAAGCGTAAAATTGTCAATGAAATTGTCAACTTGGAGAATTCTTAATTGTTCTTACCATGTCCAAAAACTTGAGCATTCTGCATCCCTCCCCTCCGGATAGATACAGCAAGCCCTTTGTCGTAAAATTCGTACAGTATGCCAAACTCAACACTTGCAAATTCGTGCCGTACTTTGACAGGGCCCTGATAGTAGTGTCACTTATTGAAGTTTTCGATAAATCCAGAGTCAACAACGCCCGAAAACCATCCAATAAGATGACCGCCTGCTCGTCCGTCAAAAACCGACAGCCAGAGAGATTCAGATGCTGGACATTTCGACACATTGCGAATGCCCGGTAAGTCGATGTTTCCAGGATGGTAGAGCTGAGAATGAGCTTGGAGAGATAAAGTCGGGCAATTTCAGCATGTCGTTTTGCCGCGTAGTCGGAAACTTGATGGCGGCAGACGGAATAGTCGATTGTTGACCAAAGTGAGGGCGCTGTTTTTGGGCTCTTTCTGATTGGTCAGATTACATAATAAACAAATAAGATATCCTCATAGATCAAATGACTTCTTATTGGCCTTATTTTGTACTTTTATCAACTTCTGAATTGCTCTTATTCGATTCTAGAGCCCCTTTCCTTGTGTGATAATATTCCATTCCCTTGAAACCGCTCTACAAATACTGATTTCTTCAATATTCAAAAAGCTGAAAATCTTTATCGCAATAACTCTCGGCAGTCGATAAATTGCATCAGCATCTTCTTTCGAAAGCAAGGCATTATAATCTTCAATTTCGCCCTTTTCAATTTGATCAAAATATCGCTTCGTTTTCAGAGATTGCTTTGTAAAAGCATCCCAAGCGCGGACGTAGAATTTTCCAAAATGAAGACAATACATTTTCGCAATCCTTTTCGCGGCTTCATGGTTTCGTGCAGCCTGAACGCGGGTAATTGAGAACCAGCTTTTCAGGGCTTTCGTTTCTGAAAAATTTGATTTATTTCAAGATTTTTTTTTTATTTGAGGACGATTTCCATTTGTTTTTGAATGCGATACGGTTCGTCAATCGAACCCTGGGACCTTTATTGAATAATTTGTAAAATAAGCATAATGGAGCGGAAATACCACTTTATTATCAAAATAACGAGATCATACCCTTGCCGTACTTTCTACTATGAAAAAACTCGTTGATTATAAGAGTGGAGATGCAAGAAAACATCACTTTTGAAATACCAATTATTGACTTCGGACTTTTAAAAACAAGAGATGAAGCGACGAAGAGCAATTTTTTGAAGGCAATCACTGAAGTTGGCTTCTTTTTCCTCAAAAATCATGATGTTCCTAAAGAGCTTACCGATCGCTTGGAACTTGTTTCTAGAAATTCTTACAAAACAACTTTCGAAGAAAGGATGAAGCTCAAAGATTTCAGAGGAAAAATGGAAGTCAGCGGCTCAATCTTTCATGAGAAGCCATTCCAAAACTCCCCGTAAGTAGAAAGTTTTAGAATTAATCGACAAATTTTCCATTTTTATTCAGAGACGATGAGTCAATCAAATTGGACGAAAAAGAAATAGACTCTACTTTTTTTGATTATTTGACTAAAATTTCAAATATTGGCGTTTTTTTGCTAAAGTTTTGTGAAGGATGGTTCTTAATCGACAAAATGAAATAGTGACTTCTTATTGGCCATCCCCTGAAAATTAACCTTGCATCCGAAAAGTCAAAAAGATTATCTAAAGAGAGTCTAGAACCTCGATTTAAGAAGTCTTTGATTTGCCAAATGGTCGTTTGCTCGGCAATTTCGAGCCAAAAAAAGCAATTATCGATGCTGTTATGCTTGAGGAAAATCCTACTGAAGAGTTTGAGTTTGAATGTCACCGGGATAATAGACTGATGACAATTCTCAAGCAAGATAGAACCGGCGGTGTTGAGATAAAATACAAAGACAATTGGTACCCCGTCTTGGAAGACCCGAAAAAAGAGTTTCTAGGCGTAAATATTGGAAATATAATGAACAACCTTTCGGACGGAAAAGCTAAAGGTTAGAGTCTTTAGAACGATTCTGAGTTTAAAAACTTTATTCTTTAGCTGTTTATCATCGAGTCAGAAGTATTCAAAATCAAACTCGCTTTATGTGGCCAGTATTTTTGACGCCGAATTTTCGGCCGAGAAAAACCGCGGTAAAGTTTCTCCGCTTCACCCATCGAGGCTGGTACGATTTCGACACTGTTGACGACGAAACTGATTTTCTGCTTTAAAAAAATCATCCACTATTATCTGCGATTAAAAAAGAAAAAAATAAAATATAATTCAATTGTGCCGACTTCAAAAGTCTTTATATTGAACTTGATATCAAAGGATTTTTCTCGTTTTACTCCGATTTGAAGAACTTTCACATGCAGTTTTTTAACCCTCTGCGTGACGATCAGAACTACCCCTATGCGTGACGCGGATGCATTCAGTGCATCCGACCCATCTAGAACAATTTTTTGCTCATTTTTGCCAATTTTAGAAGAAAAACAGCCTGAATTCGCTGTTGTCAGTGTCTCAGAGACCGAAATACCCCCTTCTTCGGCGGCGAAACGGGCTCGAAATTACGTAACATGCATCAAAATAGCTGTTCTCGAGACGAAAAATAGTAAAATTAGGACATTTTTTACGTTTTTAGGTTACTATAAAATTTGTTTTTAAAATGTTACGAAGCAGATTGGACGTGTTTTTGGACGTAGATTCTTATTCTTTTTAAATTTTTGAATTCGGGCGAAATTTGAGAGAGAAATGGGCAGAAAACCATGAGCGGATGCACTGAGTGCATCCGCGTCACGCATAGGGTTAAACAGTCTCTGATTTCAATCCCCTTGATCTCAAAATCAGCATGCTTTCTCTTCTTAAAATCATTTGTGCTTAGCATTTTTAAGCATGAAAAGATTGATTTTCTTTTTAACATTGCAGTTTTGCAAGGGAATCGATTATGCTGAATTTTGCGAAGAAAAAATATCAGAGATCAATGATAACCACGCTATCACCAACGGTCATTGGGACTGCACAAATCTTAGTAAGAATAAAGTGATTTGCCGAGCAAAATGTGATGATGGTTTTTGGTCGTTCCGAGAATTTTGGCCGACATGGAATATCAGAGACACGAAAATCATCGCCAAATGCTCCAGAGAAGGAGTCAGCTCTATAAAGAAGTAAGTCAATATTACTTTTTGATATGCCAAAAAATTTAAGACCTCTTTACGCTATGGAATGCATCAAAGAATACGAATTTCCGTGTTTTGAAAAAGAGAAAACACTTATCAAGCACGGAACACTTCAACCAAACAAAATAATTCGGAGTAAGAAAAACAAGAACGAGCTTTGGGCAGATTATGACATCGTCTGCTTCAATGGGAAAATAAAAGGTCGTGTCCGCTGTAAAGGAGGAAAATTTAAACAGCCTTCTCGTTGGGAAAGTGAAGATGTAAGATGGGGGCAGCGTTATTATGCAACGGACAAGCGTTATTCAAAAAGCTGGGTTTGGACTTGTGCGGGAGAAAGACGAACAACAACAAGTTCTCAAACAACAACAATAGTGACAACAGCAACGCCGCCAGCATGTGCGGATCCTTGCAAAGGACTGAAAAGACAAGGGTAAAAAAATTAATCCTTATATTAAATATCGGATCAAATTTGGTTTTATTTTTAGTCCATTTACTGCTGTGTCGTTTTTTTGAGGTTTCTACCCTTCTATAAAGATGCGAAACAATAATTGATGGATGAAGTCTTTCTCCAAGCTTTGCCACATGTGCTGCGAATTCTTATTATTCACATGATGACAACTATAAAATGTCAGTTGATATACTCTGCCCATCTTCATCTGGGAGCCATGAAAATTACAATAAGTCATTGATCATTTTCAATACTGAGGATCAGGGCTGGCGAATTCGTCCAAAACTATCCGCAAGGACATAATTTCTAAAATGCTTTACCTAAGGTACGGCACTGATAATCAGATCTGCAATCGGTGATTAGTCCGTCAATCAATGCGAGTCATTCGTAAATATTTCATGGGAAGAAATGGGGATTCGGATTCAAAGAAGAAACCGGGCATACCCGTCCGTACTCGCGCCAATTCGTTTTCCAGGCGCAATAATTTTTTGTTTGTTGGGCCGGTCGGGCACGAATTCGCCAACCCTGGCGCAGATTCAAATGGAGATTTATTTTTCTCAATTTGGCGAAAGCCTCTGGTCACTAATGAAGATAATTCGACATCCGATGAGCTTCATATAAAACTAGGACCAGCTCAATTAGATAAGAGTTGCAAATAAGCTAAGCTTAGTTGACGAAGTTGTTTTAAAATTTTTCGATGTAGGCTTGTCCAACTTTTTGGAGCACAAAAAATCTTAGTTCAAGTTCAAATAGAAAATATATAATTTTATAACTCAAAGTTAGATAAGAAGAGAAAAAAGGAAGACTTTGAATTTTTGATCGATGTTCCATGCAAAGATGGCGAATGGAATACTTTTACTGTCGAGAGAATTAATTTCGGCATCAATCGATTTCGTGAAGTTCTCAAAATGAATGATCGCGTTATCGGTCAGACTCGAGAGTATCAAGTGAAAGCTTTCCCTGGTTATCGTGCGTCATTTCAATTTTCACTGGGACTTTGGAGGAGTAGCTCTTTATGGACACCCCATAAAGACTCTCCTGCTTCAGAGTACTTAGTCCGCAACGTGTTCTTTCAGTATTTCCTTGATAATATCCGCTGTAACTACTGTCTTAATGAGTTCACATGGTACTTATCTCGAAAAAGTTGTTATATTTCTGGTTAAAGTCATAAGTTATGACTCATTATAAATAAAAATCCCTAGAATGGTATTTTCTGTTGCTGATTATTCTTTCATATATTTCTCTGATTTGATATCTTGTACAGTGGTATGAGCGGTTTCCGCACCCCTATTTTTCGCCTTTAAAAATTCATATCTTTTGATTCAGATATGATATTCGATTTCTGTTTCCAGTTATGAAATTTTCACGCCATTTTCTATTACCGAAAAATACAATAAATAGAGTTTTTTAAAATTTACTGTGTAATTTTAAAAAATCGTAGGGGTGCGGAAACCGCTCATACCACTGTACCAAATCAATTCTTTATTTCACAAATTAAATTTCGAAAATTAAAAACTAAATTTATCATTTGAATTTGAATAAACCAAAATCAAATGAATAAGACTTACGGATTGATTTTTCAAAATGTTCCTTCGCCATTTTATTCTGAATCGCCTTAATCCGCCTTCTTTCCTTTCTCTGTTCGACATAAAGCTGCCAGACTTTCAGCAAATCCGCCTTGAGTCGTTTGTATCGAAAATTGTAAGCAGCGACGTAAAATCTTTCCTCCGACGGGCCATAAGAGTCGATTCTTTCGATTTCATCGCGGGTCTTTGTCGCCATGAATTTCGCGTCTGGCTTGAATTGAGGGATGAAATGATTCCATTTAACAGCGTCGAGGCCTTTTTCTCTGATTTCTTTCAATTTTTCCAGAAGAAATTGTTTCGGGGAAATTCCTCCTTCAGCTCCATTAATGATAAGTTCGATTAAAATCGGCTCAATGATCTCTGCCAACCGATGCTCAACGATGTAGTTTTGCGTTTCTTGGGAATGATTTCTTTTGAGAAAGTTTTCGGCGAAAGTTGAACTCAAGTAGCCTCTTTGGCGAGTGCGGGCGGAGGAAATGGTGAGTGTGTAACTTGGCGGAAGGGGCCCGTTTGGGTAGGAATAGACATCCGGCTCGGTTCGCGGCGCTAGAATTTAGATTTGAAAACATTGATCTATGTTAAGGGTTTTTAAAATTTTAAATATTCAATTAAAATTCTCACCCATTTTATTCCCGATTCTTCATTATTCCAGTCTCTTCCTTGATTTCAAAGTCGTTCTTTCCCGGCTCTAGAAAAACGAGTTCCGCACTCAATAAAAGTTGTCTATTGTTTGTCGCTTGCGGCGATCAGAGTTATTGAGTGGTTATGCTCTCCTTGTTCAAACAGCTCCAGCGGGCCCAGAATTCATTTATACCCTCCTAGCAACCGATTATGCTCTTCAGAAATTTTAGATTGAAATGGGCAACGATAATTGCTTTCTTCGATATTTGCTCAACTGGGAATGGCTAGACCAGATGTTAAGAAATCAAAATCACGAATTGTCTTTCCCCCTTCTTAAATTTTTGAAAAAGGCAAACAATACGCACGCGCCTGAGGGCAATTCAGTAGCAATTTGCCATGGCAACTGAAAATTGTTAAACTGTAAAATGCGACAAATACAAGTATTGTTTCTTTCTTTCTTTTTATTTCCAATAAGACTTTCATTCTTTCACTTTGTTTTTGAATACTTGTGTGTTTGAGTATGTTCTTCGAACTCGTGCTTCAGCTCATTTCGTGTTTTGGAATTGACGGTGGTCAGATAATAAATGTAGAACCTTGAATTTTTTGTTAATGGAAGGGAACTAACGGTAGTACCTTGGGATTTCTTCGCATTCTGCCGAAATGATTTGATATTCTGTCGGGGAAGGAGGGCGGCCTTTTTAGATTTTTAAATTTTTTTTTTCAAATTAGCAAAAATTTCGTTTAAGTTTTATGGAATATTATTTAACAATAAAAATATCAGAAATACATTTTTTTTACCTAACTAAAAACCTTTCTAAGGCCTCCAACGCATCTAAAAAGAAAAATAAGGGCGTCACTCTTCAAATTGAAAACTCAAAAAGAATCTTCAATAACTTACTTCTTTCGCAGGCAAAATATAAATCATGGGCTTTTTTCATGATCATTTTTGTCAAGAAACGATTTCCTTCGACAGTGAAAAATCCTATAAGCACGAAAATAAAAAACCTAAACATATTTGTTGTGCGACACTATTGCAGAATTGGTAACTTATATACAAAAAGGCCCATACAAGGTGTTAATCTTTAAAATGGTACTTTATTTTGGCCTTCCGTGGATTTCGAGTGGGGAGCACTTAGAACGAGAGGTAAACCTTTTTGCTTTTTGAATGATTGAAATGATTGTAGCTGTCTTTTTGAGTCAAAATTGATGTTTTTTTTAGTTTTTTTAGTATAATTAGTCTCTACACCAATGAAAATATTTTTTCGATGACAGTTTATATTTGCATCAGCGTTCAAATCGTCATATGATATGATATAACTCATATTAATATACAGCGTGAAGCTTTTTTAAGGCCGATTTTTGACTGACATCGAGGTTTATAAATATCACGTCGCTTTATTCCGGCCATTCCAACGCAAATCCGTTCATCTGTCCATTTTTGAAGTATAAATTCTCTTTAAAAAGAATTTTTATTTCAGCACATTCAATTTGATAATCATTCTTTTGAGTCTAACAAATTTAACAAAGTGTCTTTAAATGTATTTATCAAAATAAAATGTTAATGCGAAATTGGCGTAATACAATTTTTGGAACAATTAAGCTTGGACGAGTAGTTAAAGGAATTTCTAAGGGTGGACGACGAAAAAAAGGAACTTTTAAGCTTGGACGAGGAAAAAAAGGAACTATTAAGCTTGGAAGAGGAAAAAAGGAACTGCTAAGCTTGGACGAGTAAAAGGAATTTTCGATTTGGAAATTTTTTCAAATTGAATTTTAAGGGTGTTAGAGGCCTACCGGCCTATAGAAACCCCCTTAAAATGTTCCTTTCGATCCCCTCTTTTATTTAAACGGGGTTTCATTAGGCCGGAAGGCCTTAAAAACCCTTAAAATTTAATTTGAAAAAATTTTCCAAATCGAAAATTCCTTTTTTCCTCTTCCAAGCTTAACAGTTCCTTTTTTCCTCGTCCAAGCTTAACAGTTCCTTTTTTCGTCGTCCAAGCTTAACTGTTCCTTTTTTCCTCGTCCAAGCTTAAAAGTTCCTTTTTCCCCGTCCAAGGCTGAAAAGTTCCAAAATTTGTATAATGCCGCGAAATTAACTGGATAGAAAAATTTTAATTCACCTCATAAAATAAAGATCACCGTCACTTTCGCTCACAAGCGTTATAGCAGTAGATCCTTGCTCCTCAATAATTGTCACTTTCTGAGAATTGTATCCGATGCTTAATTCATCTGATGAAAACATAAATATTAAAGTAATCGATTCGTTGATTTATTCCGGGGACGCGTTTCGGCAAAAAAGTGCCTTCATCAGCCCTAGTACAGAAACTTACCCCCCCCCCGGAAATGGATTCTGCGGGTCAAAAAACGATTTTGAGGCTACATTTTTTGGGGGTCTATCTCGACTCTTACACCCCCAAAATTGCATTTGAAAATTGCACTTTTCGCCGAAAATTGATGAATTTGCCCTAATTTTGGCAAAAATATTGTTTTTTTAGGCCAAAAAGTCCTCATATCAAATTTTTGAAGTAAGACTAACCTGAGGAGGGATTAAGAACCAAAAATATGGTGTTTTCAAGAATTTCCGTTTTTCGAAGGAAAAAGCTGACGGGGGTCCTTAACACCTCAGAAAAAGGAAGAGTACTCTTACCTTAGAGTGGACAATTTCGAATGAGAACGAAAGTTGAAAACATAAAATAAAAATTCGCTTTCGCGGCAGGTGAGAAGGCTTCCAACAAGATGCGATCTTTTTAATAAGGTTGGTTGGAAATGACAGTCACGATTTTATTTTTCAAGCTAAATTTAGTTTTAATCCTAGCCCTTGATGTTGTGGGTTTGTACTTGTCTGGCTCACTTAGATAATTATCATAAAGCTCTCTTAATTTTGGACATCTCAAAGTATGAGATGACTGTCATCTCGAACCAAAATTATTATAAAGATCGCATCTTGTTGGAAGCCTTCTCAATTAAGTTTAACGACCCTAGCTTGAACAAGCAACTCAAATTTGCTGAAGTTAAATTTCTATAGTGGAGCATTTGAAATTCGCTTTCTCTGGCGCTCCATTCACCTGCCACGAAAGCGAATTTTCATTTTCTGTTTACAACTTTCGTTCTCATTCGAAATTGTCCACTCTAAGGTGAGAGTTATCTTCCTTTTTCTGAGCTGTAAAGTAAATTTCTGTACTAGGGCTGATGAGAGCACTTTTGTACCGAAACACGTCCCCGGAATAAATCAACGAATCTATTATTATAAGAAGTCAACTATAAGACAATTAAAAAGTACTTTGATATAATGGCGTCAACGAATCTTCTGCTAAAGCGTCCAGCAATTTTTACTCTATCATAAAAATAAGATTAATTATAGCTTTTTATTTGTCTACCTGAGCATAAACAAATCATCGAATGAGTCTGCTAAACTCTGGAGATTTTCAAGATTGATGACTCTTCTAATTATTCCGGGGAAAATGCTGCGTATAGTCTTCACATCAATCGTTGATATATTCCATGCCAAAACTTGAAGTAATTGTTCAGTTTCCTCGGTCAAACCTTTAATAAGAACTGAGATGGTCAATTAAAATTCGGAAAAAGAACTGACAGCGAAATAGATAAGATAAGAAAACAAGATTGTGTCAGAATAAAACTAAGAAAAATACCTTCAGTTGCACGTAATTCTCGATAAAATGGAGAATGCCTTTTGAAGGCCGTTACTCCTCCGATTAGTCGTAGAACACAATGTATCGTTGTCCAATCCTACTTGACACTTATTAACAATCAATTCAAATTCATTAAATTAAAGTTTTAAAATTCTTATTAATAAGCTTTCCTTAATATTATAAAACGCCAGAGTTTTCCCATCTTCAAGCTGCATGCCTGCAAAAATGAGCCTCTGTTGATCTGGAGGGACTCCTTCTTTGTCTTGAAATTTTGCTTTGACATTTTCAATCGTGTCAGAATTGTTTACATTCAAACGGTGTGTTTTGCCAGTAACGGTTTTGACAAAAAGAAACATTTTGATTGTTTAAAATGTCCGTGAATTCTTGTTTTCTAGATCTCTGCCACAGATTTTCTGTAAACGCGATTGGTAGATATGAATGTTTTGTTTTAACGACTGTTTTACGACGTATTAATCTTTCCCCGGCAAAATTAGTGTCCTGACAATAAAAAATGCTGAAATGAGGTCAAGACGACAATTTTCTCTCCATTTCAACAAGAATAATTTCTTGGAATATTTTATTAATAAAATAGCTCTCTATAAATACAAAATAATATTTTCGGTGACAGTTTTCGCACAAATCAGCATTGATTTCGTGCTTTTTTCAAGAAGCGGTGCAAAATTTTCTGACATGAGGACATTTTTCAAAAAGGCACTGATTAGCTAGTGAAAATGAACAGTTACAGTTATCGCCTGTTCTACATAATTGTGCAGGCTTTTGACTTCGTTTCTTTCGCGGGCGCGGCTGGGGTCGCGGGCGTTGCGGGCTTTTTCTGTGACTCCTTTTTCGAGCTCGCGGCGAGCTAGAATTCGAAAATTGAAAAGGGTTGGTTTTGGGGGTAAAATTTTGCCAATTTTTTTGTGGAATTTTGTGAGTTTTTGGATGAAATCATGCGCATATCAAATCACGTGCCGGTTTAACCGAATTCTAGTGTTTGCGATCTTTGGCTACCGATTGGTCTTTTTCTGATTTTGAAGCAGAAGCTGGCATGGGGCTGTCTAGATCCTCGTTGAATTCTTCTTCTTCGGCTGAAGAAATGGTTAAGAATTTATCCCTGGAATTTCTACAATTTCTTTCTTACCAAAAGTGTCCAAGTTTCCACCAACATTATTAGCACCAGTATCGTATGAGTGTTTTGCTTGGTCGAATTCGAAGGAATAGACAGAGATGGTGTCCGATTTGCCCTATTTTTGATTGTTGATTCGTGAAAAAAAAAACAATGTGAACAAGCAATGGTGGTTTTTGGTGTTTTTCATGAGTAGCTAACTACGAGCGCTTCTTTTGGAAAAACAAATCAGAGCGATTTTTTGTTGTTTGATTTGTTCCAGAACCTTCAGAAGAGCGGTTATCTGATCGGTTGAGGTAAAAAAAAGGATGAACATTCGACGTTTCTAGTGTTAGATTTTTTGACTAATAAGTTACGTTTGATCCAGAACTGGGGCCTCCGCCGCCTTTCAGCCTGTTAATCTTGAAAAATTTGATGTTAGTTTTTGAAAATTTTGAGGAAAATGCGAGCTTTGAATTTCAAGGGGGGGTAATTTTGAGGATTTACCATGCCAATCATTTTCACAGTCTTCTTGAATTTGCCGGAGGAGTTGGCGATTTGGTTGACTTTGTTGTAGAATTCGAGGAAATCGCCGGTTTTCTTTGATTTTTCGTATTGTCGAACAAGTTCCTTAAATTTACGATAAGCAATATTCTAAAAAAATCAGCAGAAAAACCTGTATTCTAGCTTCTTTTCTCGCCAAAACATCAAGTCGTTTGTTCATCACTGCCATATCCGCATTTGCCTTTGCCGACATATTCACTGACATTCGACGCAATGAGTTGGGATTAGAATAGCTATAAAACGGTGTAAAAATGTGTTTTATAAAAAATCTTCTTTGATTAAAAAACTTTAAAAAAGTTCTTTTCGAAAAATAATGCTTTTTTTGTAACATTGATTGAAAGCTAAAAAGACTGCTTTTTATTCTGTGCTCGTATTATTTTAGCCATGCGTATGTTTTTGATGTGCGCGAACGGGTTAAATATTTGATTCTGTAAAAAAGTATTCGAAAAAAGATGTTTTCGAATCCCCACTGAGACGTTTTAGCGACTCCTTCGTTTGGATTTGATGATGTCAGGGATTGCTTTTCCTTCAGTTCTCGAGTCGAAAGCTAAAAATATTTTTATGATCGATGCAAAAGAGGTTATTTTATACTTATCATATTATAGGTGGCGCCTTTTCTGAAACAGCGCCATCATTTCCAAGAATGACTCACCTTTGGCACAGATCCATCGCCTTCCTTTTGAATCGCCATGACTGTAAAATTGATACTGTCAGTTTCAAAGATTTCAATAATCTCTTCTGTGACTTTATCGATGCTGATCATTCTCGAGTCCTTCCAGCTGGGAGCAAGAGTGCCTGTCAAAATCTTCGTTTTGTGGTGATCCTTGGCTTCTTTTGCAAAGCTGCATCCATATTTGACATAGAGACCGTGGTTGAAGCGGGAATTATAAACTTCGGCGTCGCGGACATCGACTTTCACGTGATAAGGTTTTCCGACGAGTTCATTTGGATCTTCATTGAAATCATCTTCGCCAAGACTTTGGCCCTTGGCATCGCAGGGGGTTAGGACGATCGTAAGATTTCCTTGCTCAAGTCCTCTGTGATCAGTGATTTGGAGCTTGTCCTCGAAATCAAGACTGTAACTCAATGACTGTAAGAAAGCACTAGAGGTTCCAACGGCGTAGTCTTCCACCTCGTCCCAGAAGGGATCCTTATCCTTCGGGCAACTCTTCCAAGATTCATCATCATCCAAGTACTGCTGGTACATTTCCTGAATGATGTATCTTCTGTTCATGAATTTTCCTCGCTCCCAAAGCCACAAGTTTCCAGTCGCCACATCTTTCATCTGAACCATGACTTTGGTCTGATTGTCGTCCTGAGTCGCAGCGCCGAGGAGGACCAATTCAAAGTGTTTGTATTTGTTCAGTTCTTCCGAGACAGCGTTGACTTCTGAGATCATCGGGAGCAGCTCGAGAACATGCTCCTGAACTCGAGCCTGGTCAGCTGTGAGGCCTGCAGATGAGAAGCCAGAGTTTTCGGCAAGTTCTTTCTAAATAAAAAGAGTAAGAGGAGAGCAAAAACAAATAGGGAGAGGGAGCGTTGAGGGGAAAACGACAAGGAGCTGTCAAAGGTTGTTGACTAACCTGAGCAAAATCCCAGTCGATCGAGCCTTCTGGTGTTCCTTCGGAGGTTTCTGGCTTTGAGGGGTCTGAAAATTTTCATTTTTAAAAGAAGAAATGACTCGCTTTTTTCTTCAGAACTCCTGAATATTCTCCTACTTTTAATCCTACAACTGTTCAAATAGACTGTAACTTACCCGAGAACACATAAACATGATTCGATCCCAGGACGACTCTGTCCTTATTGTTGAGACAGACTTCTGACGTAATTGGAACGCCATTAATTTTGACCTTTGCATTTGAAGCTCCGGGGGCAATTTTGAATCCATCATCTGTTTTCTTAATAACAGCGTGGAATTTTTGAACGCCAAGGCCGGTCAGGCAAATTGTCGGAACTGGATCAGCATCTTTTCGGCCAATGGTGATTTCTTCCTTGTCCAAGTAGTGGTGGATGACGCCGGAGAGCTGAGGATCTTCGTTGAGATTGGTGAGCTTGGGCTTGTTCATAGCGGCCTTTTGGGCAGCTGCCTGGGCGAGGAGCTCGACATCTTCTTTTTGCGCTGCAGCGAGTTCTGCATCGAAACCGCCCATGCCGGAGTCGATTTGCTGAGCGTTGAGAGCCAGTTGCGCTCGGATATCCTCTTCCATCTGTCTTCGCATTTCTGCGATTTCTTCTGGCGACATTGTTCCAGCTCCTTCGACGGCAAGTGGCAATCCGCCGCCTTGGAGTGATTTCTTGAGCCGCTCGTTTTCTTCTTTGAGTTCTCGGATGAGCTTGTCGACTGGGTTTTCGTTGACGACGGCTTTGTTCTTGATGTTTTTCGCTCGATCGGCGTAGCGAAGAGTGGACAAGGTTTCGTCGTAGTTGATGTCGGCTGGGGAAAGAGCGGCGATCATGATGGTCTTGGAGTTTCCACCAAGAGCGTTTTTGAGGAGCTTGGTGAGGACAGAATCTCGGTATGGAATGTTGACTTTCTTCTTTGTTCCCATCGAGATATCGGCAAGGGCTTTGATGACATTACCAAGCGCCGACAGCGACTTGTTAATGTTGGCACCTTCTTTGAGTCGATCACCAGTAGCTCCAGTCGAATCAGCTCTTTCGGAACCAGCCAAATCGACCAAGTTCATGACAGAAGTCTTTTTCGAGGATAAAGGCAGTGCGAATCAGAGCAGATCTTTGTGATTGTTTATGCACGTCAATTGACATAAGTTACGATTGTTGTGTAACGAGCTTCCTGCAAAAATGAATCGATAGAATTGTTTGTGCGTAAATAGCACATTCAAGTAGTTTTGTCTCAAAAATGTCCGATGCGGTCGAATATCAAAGATGGAAGGGGCAGATTCTTTTAGGAATTCGAGCAAACATGATCTATAATCGGAATCTTTTGGTAATCATTTTATTTTTCAAATGTTAAGCTGCCCATGCGCAAATATATAAGATAAAGTGACATTTTATAAAGGAGTTATTCGACAATTTCTTCTGTAGAGTGAACAGCAAAATTTATATTTCTTGTTGAAAGCCAACCCTTGCAAACCATATCGATCAATGTATAGAAAATGTGTGGGCTTCATTTTAATAAAATTTTTCTGTTCATTTTCTTTCTTGAAAAAAGTAAATTTCATAATCTTTAGGGGAAATCACTAATAATTCTATTTTTTTCTGGGCTTAGTAGGGTGGGCATATAATACATATTTAGAAAGCCCAAGAGCTGGAGATCATTTTCACTATTGATAGTAGGGGGTGATTTCGTACCCTGAGGGCATTTAGGTACCTCTGAAGTCCCGAAATCTGGCCAATTTCAGAAATGGGACTTTTTGAAGCCCTAACTAAGCCTTTGAAGGGCTGCCTACTACCCTAGATTGTAGTCCAGGCTCTGGCGGTCATTTTGAGCCCAAGAAAACCTGGGAGGGGGGTGGGTCTGGGTGGAGCTAGAGGCTCTTGAAATTTCCCCTAATAATCTTTTATGCTAGAAAAACAGCTGTTTGCATGTCTGCGATTGAATATAAAGATTATTTTGCTATCAGGTGATGCATATCAGCTGTGCATAATTTTTTTCACACAAGAGAAGTAAGAGAATAAAGAGAAATATTCGGACGAATTCTCTTGAAAAAATATATTTGAGCAAACATGCTAATTTTTATCCTTTCCTTTGCCATTTCTTTCCCATCTTGCATCTTCTTCTGCACAAACTCGATCGTCACGACTGTATGAGCTCTAGAACTGGTAGCATTCATCTGCGTCGAAGCAACAGTCCTGTTATTGTTTCCTTCTTCAATTCGTCTTTCAATTTCTGCATAACTTCCGACGGCGACCTTTTTCAAATCACCAACGTAGAAGAGCCCCAATTTTGGATTCTCACGGACAGGAAGACCTCCCTTGGGATTGGTCTTGTTCAGAAGATCGCGGACTTGTTCGTTGTAAATTTCAAGCATGGAGAATTTGACTTCGAATTTTGTGTCGTCAGTGTTGGTCTCGATCTTTTTGAACAACTCATCGCAAGTGATAGGGACAATTCCTAACAAATGGGTTTGATTTTTTGGTTTAATTTTTAAGTTAAATTACGTAAAATTAAATAAAATCTTGACTTGCTGCCCATTTTCCTTTGTTTGATCCGTATCCGATCATAGAATACGATTTCCCGGAGCCAGTCTGCCCATAAGCAAACAACGACGTATTGTATCCTTCGTAAGCATTGTTCAAGACGCCCATGCCAAGATCCTCAAAAACGACTCGTTGCGAAGAATAGGTGGAGCCAGGATTGGGATTAAGGTAGCCATTGTCGTCCTCAAAGAAGCCTTCGTGGGACCAGTAGGAGAAATCGAAGGCGAAGTCCTTTACTTGTCCATCGGCGGGGTTGGTGATCGAGGTCTGCTTTCCATTCATTCTGATGATGAGCTTTGCTTTTCGCTCTTTTTCTCGGCTGTTGAAGGGGCGGCATCGCACCGCCACTTTCACGCTAGAAAATTGTTTTGAATCAGCTGACAAAAGGAAAGCCAAAATTTTTGAAGCACAAAATTCATTCAAAGAATTGAAATTAATAAAATAAATCACGAAAAATGACGAAAATGAAGCGGGTAATAATTCTGTTGCCAGGGCTCAACAGTAATTTCGAGAACATGCTTAAGAATTTACGACACGAGCTATTTGACATCAGTAGGGTCAAGGAGTACGCACCGGCCCCGCGACTGTAAATCTTTTTTTGATGACTTCCGCAAAAACCATGCGAAAATTCAAAAATTGAAAATTCAGCGATACACGCAAGGAAAAAAAAGTCAGGGAATAAGGGAGCGAAGTTTATCGAGTAATTTGGCTGTAACGAAAATGTCATGACGACGATAGCTACAACGAAAATCGAAAAGATACTGCTGAGAATCCTCGGCAAATATCATTATCTTTACGGCTTATCGCTTGCGCAAGAATTTATTTCTTCCCGAAAAAGCAAGCTTTTAAAAAATGGATATTTTAACCAAATTTTCATTCCAAACATCTCTTTCTGAAAAAAACTAAGAATAATTCAATTTTGAGCAAAAACTGTTCAAATAATCCAATTTTTCGATTAAAAATATCAAAAATACTTTAAATTAATTATTTTTCTGGAATTTTATAATCAGAAAAACAAGAAAAAGACAAATTTGGACAAAAAAATTTCGATTGAAAGTTGTTTTTTGACCAAAAAAACTTCTAAAATCTCTCCAACTTACGATTCACCGGACATGATTCTCCCACTCTCTCAAAAATTCTTTCAGAAAAAAAAGCTGCTCAAAAATCCGCGTCTCTCAAGAAGCTGTCTCGACCGAACCGAGTTCTGAGTTTGACTGTCTCCCTTCGTTACACAGTCAGCCACATCTTTTTTTCGTCGTTAAATTTGCTCAACCAAATGGCCAAAACTCTGTTTGTCTGCGTTTCTATGGGAGAGCGAAGAATAGTACGCGCTACTTTCTTTATTCTTTATTTCAACTCAGAAATTAAATGGAAACGAGCATTTTTCGCCGAGGAGCGGCCAGAATGTTCTTTTCTTTTTTCCATATCTTTTGTCTCAAAAATGACGCTCTGACAAATATGGGTAGTGAAAGGTTAGGGTTAAGGTTCGGGTCATCATCAGAATTGTCTTACTCAAAAAACATATTTTTTGAGAAACTCAAGTGACACCCTTATTCTCTGTTGGTCCTTTCTCCTTAGTGGTCAAGGAATATTTCTAGTGCTTCTTTTTGATTTTAAAATTGAGCTGAACTTACATATCTTTTCTAGATCTTGTCGAAAAGAACTTCATTCTTGGCAAAAATCTCTGTCTGAAATCAAGTTTTCTTGCAAACTTATGAACTAAAGGATTGAGAATGTCTTCAGAACCGCCAGCTTCAACAAATAAAATCTTAAATTTTCAGCCAAAAACAAATCTCAGCTGGCCCTTCATCTGCCCGATACAGTTCAGATAAAATGTGCATGTAAGCAGTTTTTGGTCGATTTTGGCGCCTTTTGTCTGACAGACAAGAAATTCAGAATTGAGTTCTTACTCAGAGAAAATACCTATTCATCCTCCTAATTACAATTAATTTATTAAATTTATAAAATTTTTTTAAATACAGTTGCTTATGTATAGTAGAGGAGTGTCAGAATATGATTGAACTTCTGTTATGGATACAGTGGGCTTGTAAATCGCCAGTGGAATTTGAAGAGCATGAAAATAACTAAGCGGCACTAATCTAACCATCAAAATGCAGTAAATTTACGTACCGCTAAAACAAACGAAAATCGCCCGCAAAAGAAATTGATCAATAATTTATTGACAATAAATAGTTTTCTAGCATTTTGTGATAAAAAAACTAATTTTCAATATATTTACAGGAAATTTTCAGGTTCTTTCCTTAGGCATTGAAAAATGCAGAACTCCACCCTCGAAGTGTCAATATTGACAGGTCCGTCGAAGCACTTTTTCTCAATAAAAAAGAATATGGCGCATTTTCAGACATGGCCAATTTTGAGTATGATTCAAAGAGACTTGATCAAAACGTTACCAGAGGACGGTTTAAAGACGAAGTAGCAATCGTCTGCGGCGGAGCAAGTGGGATTGGAAGAGCCACGGTAAAAAGGTTTTTGAATGATGGGGCCAAAGTGGCAGTTTTTGACTTGAATGGTGACAATGACTTTGGAGATGAAAATGTGAAAGTTTACCAGATTGACTGCAGGTACCCTAGATACCGATTTCGGTCGATAATCAGCTTTTCGTTCAAGTAAAAAAGAAGATTGTGAGACCTCAGTATCATCAGTCATCTCGGACTTCGGAAAAATCAACCACTTGGTCTATTCCGTCGCGTATTTTGGCTCAAAAGCTCTCGACGCAACAGAAGAAGATTGGTCAAAATCGCTGATGATCAATGTCGCCGGCGCCGGGTTCATGATTTCAGCCGTCACTCCTCATTTAGAAAAAGCGGAGGAGAGGAGAAGATCTGTTTGTCTTCTGACGTCGATTTCTTCGACTCAAGCGCAATGGCACAGGTGGACTTATGGCGCGACAAAGGGGGCTTTGTGGAGCTTGGTTCGGCATGCGACCTTGGAACTAGGAGAAAAGGGGATAAGGGTCAATTCTGTCAGGAAAAGGGTTCACCAGATGTTTAACGAAATAAAAGTAAAAGACAGTCATTTGATGAACTTTCAAAAAGTCCGTCGTGGATTTGGACTCCTGAAGTGGCAAAAGCCTATCCTGAAAAATCCGAAATCAACTCTCCATCTGGCCCTGGCCAACTTTACCATTCCCTCGGCCGAGTCGGGGAGGTGGATGAAGTTGCTGCTGCGATTTGCTTTTTAGCTTCGAGAGATGCTGGTATTGTCAAAAAAATCAGGCTTTTTTTAATTATTCTTAGGGTTTATTCATGGCCACGATTTACAAGTTGGCGGTGGGTACCACGCAATGGGCCCTGAAGGATGCCAACCTGCCAAATTTGCTGGCTCCACTGATTCTTAAAATTTTGAATAAAAAGATTAGACAAAGGATCAAACAAATGCTAAATTATTTATGTTGATTATTATCAGATTGACAAGTGACGAGTATTAAAGCTGGAGAAAATGAGCATCCGCGAAATCTTGAAAATGAGATTTCTCGCTATTATTTTTTGTTTTTTGATGATCGAAGAGGTGGGGGCAAGTTATGGTCGAAATCTGAAACGGTTTGTGAAATCATGGAGGAGTATTTTTTGATTTATTAAGGGCGAGTGCGAGTAAGTTTTTGAAAGCTTATCTTGAGAGAAAATTCAATGACGGAACCTTTTTTGACAATCGGGGAAAGATTCGCCAGCAAAGCCACTATTTTCTTGGTAGAAGAGGTTGAAGATTTGACCAATTTTAACTGAAAATAAATTCATAAAAATGACCTTTCATGTGTTGGAAATTTTATATTTTGGTCAGGTCAGAGCATGTTTGTGTGTTCTCCTTCTCTTTGAAACTCGCCTTTTTTCTCGAGTGCTTTTGTTCCCTCAGCTCTTTGCAAAAAGCTTTTCTCAGCTGCAGCGTTTTTGAAAATATGCGATAATGAAATTAGGCCTTTTTAATTTATTTTTCTTTATTGAGATTCGAGCTCAGAGTTCAAACAGAAAATGGAGGTGTCCGTCGGGAAGATCAAGGAAAAGATAATTACTACCCAAAAAGTAAGATTTCAGAAAAAAATAGTAGCATTTAAAATTAACAGAACCAATCCATTGTCCTTGATTGAATCTTCATACAGTACTCATACTGTATGCTGCAGAAGTAATCCAGTGGAGAATCCTCAGATTATTAATCTTGTAATGCGGGAAGACCTCCCTGTATCGGAGATAATTTCTTTTGCTCCTGCTATAGAAGTTGAGGAGCCACCAGATCTGCTCTCAGTGAGATCCGCTAGTAATCCAAGAGCAAATATTTCAATCGACGATGCCTTTTTCGTATCCGGAATTCAAGGGCTGGACATTTGCTCTGAAAATTTCATCTGCGCTGGGGACTTTTTTCGACCTCTATCGTCTGAGCTACCAGATTTGCCAGCACTCGAAAGTTTCCGTCTCTTATCACAAATCAATTTGAAAGAAATGGGCGGTGGACAGTTCCGATTTGGATTCAATTGCAATTTTGAGTCTATTCAAGAGGAGTATCAAGTCGAGCTGACAATTCTAGAGACAGATTCAAGCCCATGGCAGAATAAACCAATCATAACTGGAACAAACGAAACGAGAATTTATGAAGGGCAAAGAGGAGACATCGCCGTGGTCAAAATCGACTCCTATGATTTCTTAAAAGAAAGTATGATTCTTGATCTTCGAACGATCCCTGAAGATGTTAGAAATTTTATAGACGTCGATCTTCAGCCAAATTTCCTTCTTCCATATGCTCGACCCGGGGCGGTTAAATTCAGTCAAAATGCCAGAATCACTGTCAATTCTCCGCTTAACCCGAATGATTTTGGCGGGCAATTTGAAATCGTTCTTCAAGCAAAAAGTTGGATTGATAACGAAACTTTTGGAATCTGGTCGGACAATTTTACGATGACGGTCGTTGTCGAAGACCTTGACAACTTGCCACCGGTGTTTTTGGACGAAAGAAATCAAGTCGATATTTCTGTAGGAGAATTTGATGAGAGTTTTGTGCTTTTTAATGCTTCAGCGATCGATGGAGATCGAGAAATTGACACGCCAATCAATGTGACGATCTTAGAAGGACCGTTGAAGGATCTGCTCATTTTGGAAAACAATCAAATTCGGCTGAGAGAAGAAATCACCGACTCAGACCTTCTTCGATTACCGGAATTTTCAATCCTACAACTCGAAGCTCAGCAACTCGACAATCCAGAAAAGAAAACAACGAAGACTCTTCTAATCAAAATTTCCAAAAACTTCGAGTCCCAATTAACATCAGATGAATGCTCCTGCGAAACAGTCGAAAACTCGTCGTTCTCTTCCTTGATTTCTCCGGTGCAAAACCAGCGTTTTCTCTGCTCACTTTTCTTTGAAGAAGCATATGTTTTTTCCGTGGAGAGATTTTGCAGCGATTTTAAAGAAGAACTAACGAATCTAGAAAAAGCTCTGATTGCATGTCTTTGCTTATTGATTCCTTTGTCGATGATAAGTCTTATTCAAAAAATCGCACCGAAAATGAAAAACTGCAAAAATGATGCTTCAAAGAAAATCGAAGAACATGAACAAATCGAGGTGAAGGATTTTCCTGAACTCAAAGAAAAACCAGCAAAAGTTCATGCAAACGTGGAAAAAAGGAAGAGTATGAATCCATTGGTCGATTCAGGAACTTGGCTTTTGATTTTGGCTTGGCCCTCTTGCGGATGTAGGTCGGGCCATTATGCTTTTACCCCGATTTTACATATCAACAGAAATTCTGTCATTATGATTTCATATACAGTTTTTTATGGAATTTCTGGACATCAAATTTCTGGACATTTTTCGGATTTTAAGGGGTTTTCTGGGGACAAATTCAAAGAGAGGGGGTATCAAATTTCTGGACATTTTTTCTCAGCAGATATCTTCCACATCTTAATTTATGATCAAACTTGAGTTATTGATGCCAATTTCATCTATAAAGAGCTGTGTTTATTTGAAACTCTTATAATATGATAAAATAGGCGGCTACAGCGCGTTTCTTTTAATGTTTTTCAGTTATTTATTTGAAAAAAATCGTAAATTTTTCTTTCTCGAAAAATTTATAAGCAATTTTGTTGGGACATTTTTCTCAAGGCTCTGTATCAAATTTCTGGACATTTTCGGGAAAAATGGGGGACAAAAAATGTCCAGAAATTCCATAATTAACTGTATCATCAAAAAGTAGGCATTTATATTAGAATACAAAGCCAAAAAAAAAAGACCGAACTCATCACAAAATCAATTCCTCCACAATCCTTTACGGTCAAATCATCAAGTCCGGTTCAATCAAATCTATTCAAAAAGTCGCGCTCGCAGGCGAAACCTCATTTGGCGATGATATTGGCCCTTCATTTGACAAAATCGTGAAGAAGTCGAAAATTGAAAAACTCCTTGGTCAAGAATGTATTCATTTGTCCGCGTTTATCAATTTGCTCAATTTGAAGAACCTTACTCACGAGAATATTTTAAAATATCACGGCTCATTTTTGGAAAACAACGAAAACGGCGATGATTTTTCAGTAGGAATTGTTTGGGATTTAGCTGATCAGGGCTCGCTGGAAGAACTGTTTTCATTTTATCGACAGGCAAAGGTTTCCTGAAGGCTATTTTTCATCCCATCATTCTAGAATCACTGGAAACGATTGACGGACTTGACCGAAGCTCGATTTCAAAACTGGATCAGAAATATTATTGCAGCTCTTCAGGCCTGGGCTCAAAAACCTATTATAAAGCGACCCTGACTCAGGTTTTTACTCGAGTTATCGAGCCCGGCTTAAGGTATGTTTTCAAAAGACTCAATATTTTTGACGAAGAAATAAGTATTTTCACGAAAACGACGTGATACTCGGCCGATTATCCTGCAAAAACATACTCATTGATGCGAATATGAATGCGAAAATCGAAATTTTACCGTCAACGAGCATGGGAGACTTGCACGAAGTTCGGTGGTGGTCGATTGAGCGATTTGAAGGGCAATTGAGCTCGTTTAGGAATCGGGAGTTTATTTATTTCGTTTTTTTTAGTAGAATAATTCATGGTAGAATTCAGTTGAGAGTTTTATGACTATGATAGGCTCAAAATCGATATTTTCAAGCAACAGGCAGTCGCTCAGAGCATTCTAGAGCTGTGAGAAATCGATTGAAAATCTTTTTGGATCGTCTGATATCAGACTTGATGTTTCTATTTCTTCGTTTTGCCATTCTGTCGGCTTCGATTTTATCCAGGCAGACATGATGATCGTAAAATTCCATTGTCGAGTTAATCAAAGACGCGAAGCTTCGACAAATGTCTTCATCGTCGATATTAGGCGATCTCAATTTTTTCGTTCCAAAAAGAGCAACTGTCTTATTTTTGCAGATCTCACTCGAGTGATCGTAGAACCAGGAAAATTTGTCCGCAACTCGATTAAATTGTTTGATCTTTAGTTTTTGATTCTTGACACTGTTTTCTTCAATAAAATTGCCGAGTTTTGAGAACGCCTCGATCAGACGATTGCTTGGTGAGTCTTCCATCGCGACTAAGCGTTCGACTTTTATATCAGAAATTTCAGTTTCGAGAACTTCAACGCCAGGTCCAATGTTGAGATTTTCGATGAAATTTTGGATTTCTTTGTTTGTTTGAGCGAGAACTTTTCTTTCGTCTTCTTCATTTTGAGTACTTGACAAGGAGTCGGATGATCTTCTTGATAATTTCAAAAAAATTTTTGCGGGTCCGGAAATCATAAAAAATCTGAAAGTGCAGTTTTCTTGAGCTCGTCGAGACGAGTCGAATGATGGGTCAAACTTTTGATGACTCCAATGATTAACCGGTTAGCCGGCAATTTCCCGGAAAATACATTTCCGGTCGCCGTTTTTGTTCTAGAAATGCTAGAATGACAAAAAAAGAGGGAAACTGGTCCTTGAAGTTAGTTCTTCTGTGGGTGAAAAAATGAGAATCATATCTCTAACCATAAGATGCTTATCACCAAAATTCTATTTTTTTATGAAAATGGGACCGAAAATTAGGAAGGTGCAGCAACAACGAAATACATACAAAATTTAGAATTTTTATCGTTAAAAAAAGTTTCGCTATATATTTGACCAATATCTTTTTGCCCACAGTAGAACTGACCATAAGGATCAGTTTCCGGGTTCATTCATCATCCTAGCATTTCTAGAACAAAAACGGCGAGCGGAAACGTATTTTCCGGTAACAAGCCGGTTAACCGGTCAATCCTTGGAGTTATCAAGAGTTTGACCCACCATTCGACTCGTCTCAACAAGCTGAAGAAAACTGCACTTTCAGAATTTTTACGATTTTCAGACCCGCAAAAATTTTTTTGAAATTATCCTTGTTGGCTCCAGATACTTTCGAGTATAGATTGTCGACACGAACTTGTACCAAATTTTATGCGGTTTATTCTTTCGATCTGTCACGTGATTGACAGTCCATTTCTTCGTTATTCTCCATCCATCTGCATATTGAGCAGTATTCTTAACAAAAATGGATAGGAACTCTCATAAGGGTTTTCAGATTGTCTTACCCAATCGATGAAATGACCATTTTTCTCTCTCAAAAAGTCAATATACTCATTTGCTTCATCAATACCACCAAATCTGCAGAAAATTTTCGCAACAGTTCCGTAGTCCTTCCAGAGAATATTCGACGGTTCAGAGCAATCTTGTCCATTGATTGCTAAAAACAAAGTTGATTCCTTTTTGATTCTTTTGAAAATATTTCTGACCGTAGCTTTCATCGTTTCTGTCTTCCATGATGCTTCCACGAAGCTGGCAAGAATGGTCCTCCTCTATTTTGAATTTGAAGCAGCCAGGAGTATCGCGACAACTTGCGGCGCATCGCTTCTGAAAATCAGGAAGATCAACTCCGGTTTGTTTTTCAAAAGACTTTGAATAAATGGAGTCTGGAGTTAATTTGTCTTGAGATCCGATGTTCCAAGCTTTCATCAGAACTGACTCATCATCTTCAGAGGGGGACAAATAATTTCGCATCAAAAGTTAATTTCAAAATCATTTTCAAGCACTGAAGCTTGAAAAAAACTTTTGATTCACGAAATTTTTTGTCACCCTCTTTATACGGCCAAATACAAATAGGCTCATGATCAGAGATCCGGCAATATTCGTCAGCTTTTTCTGAAAAATTTTGAAAAAAAATTATTTATGCGTTTTATACTTGAGGTCACTCTCAATTGAAAGCCTTCATTCGTTTGCCCAAAGACGTCGCTTTCGAAAATAATCTTTATCTTGGTCCCTCGGACATAGACCCGACGATCAAAAGTCTCAATTGTTCCATGCTCGAGTTTTTGATTGCAGTAAATTTCATTGAACGATTGATCTTCGTTCGTTATGACGAGTTTGTCAAAATAACATTTTTTATGACCTGAATATCATTTACGCTACAAGAAGGTTTTCTAGACTCTAGAATCTAGAATCTAGACTCTAGATTCTAGAGAGAAGATGTTCATACTTTTAACATCAAATCGTAGAGGGTCGACAAAAAATCCATCAGCGCATTTATCTTGAAAAATCCATTCGCAGAACGCAGATCTTGGATAGGTAACGATTTCAGTAGTAGAATTACCGAAAAAGTAAGAATGAATCGGCGAAGAAATCTCTACGCTGTTTTCCTCATCGGTGAATTCTCTTACAAATCCGCAGTCCAAGAAATCGGCGAGAGAGCGTTTTAAAACGAAACTATAAAAAATCGAGAAAATTTTCATTTTACAATTTTTTTTCTGATTGAGAGACCATGAACTTTTGCATTTATACGGAGCATTTGAGCTTACGGCTTAGTTTAATACCGTAGTTGCCCGCCGATCTGCCGTTACTAGCTTCGCTCCGACCTAGTAATCCACGAGTATCTCAAGATTGACAATTTTGCTTTTGAACTTCATTTTCTTATTTTCTTTTTATTTTTCTAAGATTCACGATTTCGCCGTATTTTTGGGGACCCCCTCTAGTATAACAAAATCTTCAAACTCCGACAAGTTCAGACATCTGGATGCTCGGCGTCACCATTTGGCAGATCATGAATTCAGGTAAGCGGCAAAGCCGACCCGCATAAAATCGGGGTCAACTTATCTCCCCGATACCTAGGCGCCACGCCATATGGACACTTGTCCGGCCCGTCGCTCAAAGAAGAACTCTTCAGTTTACTCAAAGTTGACAGGCTCTCCATGACTCGATCCATTCCAGAGGTACTCATTCCATTGCCAAAAAACGCCCATAACCAAATTGTCTATTTAGCCACTTTACGGAGTCCTGAGTAACACATGGAAGCGCGACGCGGAATTACGACCGGATATCGCGCAGATTAAAATTGACACCGACGACATCTTCTCGAAAGGTGCCCTTTTGATGATGACTAATTTCAAGCGTGTGACTTTTCTCTTTCTAGGTCCTTTGAAACCCGTCACCAAAAGAAAATTGACTCCCATCGTTACTGAGAAGTTTTGACTGCTTTGACTGCTCAAGAAATATTTTCATGAGATTTCATGAAAAATCGCAAAATCGATGTTGACACCCTTAAAACCCATTTTTTGATCAGAAATTAAATAAAAAAGCGTAGTAATTCTAATTTAAAATTTGTAAAGGCATTACTACGGCGCATGAAAATGAGCATTTTCTAGAGTAGTAGAAGCGTCTGGCTAATCCAACGCGGCGGATCGTCTAAGCGCCAAATTTCTCTCCAGTTCTAAAAACATTCTTTTTGCCCGGTTTGGTATGCAAGCTGGCGATAAGACATTACCGCATGTTTCGTGTTTCAACAAACGATCTATAAAAAATGTCCAAACCGCTGCCTGAAATAACTTTTCCAAATATATTTTTTTTCGCCAAAAATAACGGATTAAATAATCGGATTAGTTTTGAAGTTATTAAAGCCGATGAGATACTAATTGAGCAAGAAAATGATTGAAGTTTACGATTAAAACCCACTGAACGACCAATTTCCCGTGGTTAATTGCTCAAGTTTAAAATGATCACTTCCTTTTTTCATGACAACTCATTCTTAAAAAATGACAATTTTTTGTCTTTTTTTTTGGATCAATTTTTCTCCAAAAGGAAAAAAATTCGTCGATTTTAAAAATTCAAAAACGGTGAAAAATATGTAAAACAAAATGTTTATGACCACTCTTCCCGCGTTTGAAATTGTGTCGGTTAGAGAACGGTACTTGGCAGATTCGCATGTTGGCGTTCCAGGCTGTTGACCCACGTGACTTGGCGGGTTACAAAGATTTATGGCGAATGCACAAATACCGATCTATCGAATTTTTTGTCATTTATGTCGGACCACTTGTCGCGTTTCCGCTCTCGCTGCCCCGTAATGGGAAAGCGAGTTTTGGAATCGCCTCAAAAATGCACAGAAAAATGAATAAGGATGAATTTTTCTTGATCGAAAAATACAGAAAAAAGAATAAATTTAGTTCCTTTGAAGCTTTCAATTAAAAAATAAACCTCAGGAAGAAGTCAAAAAGGGTCTTGGAAGCAAATCAAAGAACCTGCCCTTATTTCTCAAATCTTGAGCCAAGGAAGAAGCGCTGGGAACGGCGATATTGACTGTAAACTGCGTGATACAATCTGGCGGAAGGGTTTAACTCGCCTGGGAAGGTGTAATCTGTTTTTTTTGTCAATAAATGCAAATGATTTGAAAAAGACCAGGTTTAAAAATATTATTGAAAAAAAAATGCATTTCTCCGGAAGAATGAATTTCTAGAGCCGTGGAAACAGGTGTTGCCGTGGCAGGGAAAAGCGGATTAGGACGGAAATAGGGTTGAGGGTGATTTTTGATAAGCGGAAAATCGCAAAGTCGCAAAAATAAAAATCGTTGAGCGCGCGCGGGGGAAGCCGTTACCGTCGCCGGATCAGGAGTCGATACGATTGATGAGTTTTCGAGAGGCGAAACAGGAAACCCAAGAATTATAATTTTCGCGTTTCTGCGGTTATTATTATAATTAACGAGCTCTCCTGTTTCCGTATTGATTTATAGTCAAAATCCATGCATGCTTTTTTGGCAATAAAATCAAAGATAAGTTTTTTTTTGACTCAGAAGATACACCCTTTAGCCCCCCTTTAGCCCAAAATCCGTGATACTCCCCCTTGAGAAGTGCAATCGCTTGACTATACTTGTGTTGCCCTCGACTTACTATTTGGATACGCAACGAGCAAAGAAATTTTCGAAAATTTTAAGGGGATCACCCCGAAATCACTGTTTAAAAATGTTATTCCCACTCGACGTTCGGGTCCTTAAGGGGGTAGAAACAGCTTTTTTCCGAAAAAGGCGATTTTTGACCGGCGCTACAGACAAGATAATCTTACATTTTCAAATTTTCTCTTCAGGTTTAGATAGATACATCTTAGATCTAGGAACCTCTCTCTCGAAATTTGTTTTAGCCATCAAATTTTTGAGTAAGCGGGTTCAGAAGCAACTCATCTCTCCGAAATTCTCGATTTTCGCAAATTTTTAAACACGTATATCTCGAGTCCCCTGATAGTTAAACAAGTTTCATTCACATTTTTGTGAAGCTCAACCCTTTTTCTAGGAACATTTGCGAGGAAATTCCGTGAACATAAATAAATCGTATGCTTTCTTTTATGTAGCTGCAGTCCAAAATCGAGAAAGCTGTTTCTACCCCCTTAAACACAGTTACCGAGCCCAGAAGACAGAAAAAATCTTGGGCGCTGATAAGAATCTCATATCCCCCTTCCGTAAAATCCGGCCCTGACCGCGTTAAGGATCTCACCTCTTTTCTTATCAACCTCAAGATTATTTGAAATTTTCCCATGAAGACTTAGAAAAAGAAAGAATCTTAAAATCTTCAATCGGCCCATTTCCGAGCTCGATTCTAATCCTGGCGCCTTCTTGACCAGAACTTGCCGGAAATTCGAACAAAAGAAGCTATTTTTTTATCTTATTTTCTACTGTAAAATTGAGCTTATGCCGGGTGAGAAGTTTTTGGAAGGAAAAAGGACTGGGAGACTTTGAAGTACTTGAGGAAGTTGATTTTGGATTAAACTGTCGCATTTTTCGATAATCACCTGGCAACAAACCAAGCGCTTCAAATTCGATTTAAAATTGGTACTTCTTAGTTAGGGTTAGCCCAGGTTAATTCGAAGCTGCGATGCAATTGTCATTTGACATGAACTTTTCTTCATTCATTTTACGAATCACAAATCGGGCATTTTTTTGAGATTTCTGACAGTTTTCTAAAGATTTTGACGAAAAAAACTTGATCCTAACGCAAAATCTTGCTCCTGAACGTAGATTTTTTTCAGAATTATTCAAGAAATCAAACGGATAAGTGGTTACTGCTATTTTAGGAGCAAAATTTGATTCAGCGTTAAAAATTATCTTCATCTGTAGATTAACAATGAGATACCCTTAAATCATTTTCCCGAAAACCGTCCTTTATTATGGAAGAATTATAAACCAACTCATTTTTTCAAAAAATTCCAGCGCCGTCAGTCGCAAACGCGTTTTCAACGGCAGAGCCCGCAATTTTTTGCGCGCCAAGCCGTTGAGAATCAAAAGCTGTTTGAGCTGGGCTTGATCCGGTGGTGGCGCTGAGCTAGTCACGTACTAGCGCTCTTCCCCTCTTTTCGCCGCTATAAAAGCGCCGCGAAAAAGGTGAATTTCGTCGTCAACAAAAAATGTTTTCAAAAACGTAAAAAAAAATAAATTTTTCCACCAAAAAAAAAATAATTTTTCTCGAAAAATTTTCAAATTCTTTCGAGTTTTTTCAAAAATCCAAAAAAAAATCAATTTTTTTCAACCCGAGACGGCCGTGCCACTGCCGAAATGTTCACTGCCCTGAAAATAGAAAAAAATGCCGAGACAGAAAATCCCGAGCTCCAAAAACGCCAAAAAACGACGAAAAAAAAACCAAAAAACAACCAAAAAAATGCAACAACTCCAACAAAAAAAAATTGCTGCCGATTCCTTCGACTGACGATTCGGACGATTTAGATTCGGTGCACTGCCAAAACCAACTTTTTTTTTTGCTTTTTTGAGGCGAATGATGGATTAAGGTGACCAAGAGAGATATTTTCGAAAGAGAGTTTTTTTCGAAGTGAACCCCCTTAAGTCAAAAACAAGAAACAAAAGGAAAGCGCTTTTTATGGCTAGATCCTTAAGTTTTCTAACTTTTGTAAATTGATCCCCTTAAGACTTAAGGGTACCCTCTCACTTTTATTCAAAAACTCATTCATCAAAATTCTCTCCATCCCCTTAATCCCTCTTTCGCCTGAAAAAAGCAAAATCCGAGAAATCGTCTTTTTCGAAAATTCACGTGTATCCCCTTAATTTATAGCGGGCTAAGGGGATATTCTTACCTGAATTTTCAAAAGACCTATTTTCTCGCCTAGACCAATTTTAGAGCCTGACAAAAACATGTTCACACTGCCACTTTTATGATTTAAAATTTTTTTTAACTCGCTACCGATCACTGCCAAATTTTCGGTCTTTTTTATGCCAAGAAATTGTTTCTCGAAACGATTCGCGAATTTTTTCGAGAAAACTTTTTCTTACCTACTTCGCCAAACATTCCAAACTTTTTCTTTTCGCCCTTTTTCGTGTTAATTTGCCCACTGCCAAAATTTAAAAAGAATTTCGCCTTTTTGTAATTTTGAAATTTCCAAAAACCAATTGTATTGTGACTGTATTACTTCTTGACTGTATGAAATTAAAATAGTTTTTTTTGATGAAATAAATTCTTTAATTTTAAATCTACTCGACTTTGTTCATTACGCAGGATAATTTTGTTTATCAAAAGCAAAAAAAAAATGAAAAATTTAATAAAGCAGCATTTTACGAAAAAAAACAGCGCAAAACTCAATCTTTTCCTATATTTCCTAAAACATATTTTTCATGAGAAAATAGCTCTTTTATGAGCCGTTTAAACGACTCATAAACCCAGTTTTTTAAACACGCGCGTAAAATTAGTTTTCACTCGCGCATAATTTTTAAAACTCGCCGGAGACAGGAGTAATAGAATTGAAAAAAACTGATTCAAATAGATTTGGAAAATGAATGTTGAAACTGAAAAATTTGGACGTGACTTTTTTTCGCGCGCCTTTTTTTTTCTGGGGCAAGCAGGAGGGTCAGCCAAGTTCGAGAATGAACGGAGTGGCTTTCCGGCATTTCGGAGAAGATTATGGTTTGATCGAATATTTTCATTGCGTTATTCTTACGGGGGGATTTATTAATTTTATAAGAAAAAATTAAATTCGAGAAATAATTTTATTTATCATAAGAAATTTATGATTTTTACCATATTTTTATAGTAAGAAAAAATTGGTTTGGTCAAAAAAATTAAGGGTATCATGTCATTTCTGACACCTTTATTTGGAAATTTCGAGCAATAAGTTGTTCGAAAAAAATAATTGTCGGAATTCATGACACAATATCTTTCTTTCCAGAAAAAGCACTTGACTCCGTGATTAAAAGATTAGATTGCCAATTCAGACGATTCTCAATAACGTTCTCGAACTGAACTTTTGACCCTGTTTGAGTTCATCTAACGAATAGAATGTTCGAAAAGGTTCGCTTGATTATTGATTTTTTGAAGAGTCTATTTTTTCCAAGAAGGTCGTTTCCGGTTCGAAAATGAGTTTTCATTTTGAATCTTCAATTTCCGCTCGCTAGAACGCTTTTCTAAAGAGGCCAGAAGTTGATCTCTTGAAAATCTGTTTTGATAAGCTGCTGCTTATCTCACTCATCGTGATTGGCGGCTTTTTCGAGATGGAAAGAGCTTCCGACTTTTTAGCGGTTTTTGCGCTTTTCGGCGACTTGCGAAATTGCAAATCGACGATTCCGAGATTTTTTCTTTTTCAAGTGCGAAAATTCAAAAGATTGACCTTGAAAAGATGGTCCAAGCCCGCGAAATTCCGCAAAATGAGTCGCCTCTGAATAGTTCTGTTCAAATATTTCAGCACTGTGAGACCCGGAAGAACATCTTGCGATAAAACAACCAAAATTTCGCGCAAAAATGTCAAAAAATGACGAAAAAAATTAAAATTTAACCAACTCGCGTATCTTTTTTTAGGTCTTACAAAAGACTGATTTAATTCACTTAACATTTCTTAGAATCTTCTTTTGCAACATTGACGCCAAATCTTTATTTATTGAAACAAGACAGCTTTTAACTGATGTTGCTTCAAGCATTAATTAATTCCAAAGCAAGGGTATTTAATGACATCCTCCTGTCTCAAATCTCGACATAAAAATCCGCTGAGAGGAATCAGCTGCGATTTACCCCTTCCAACTCGAAATAAAAAAGAGGGACACGAGCGATTTTATCTTCGAAAAAAAAATTGAGATGAGAGTTTTTCTGATAATAGCGAGCTTGGTTTCTCTCCTTGAAGGTACTGTAAAAACTGTGAAGATTGAAAATTTTGAAATTTTAAGGCGCCGTTTTCTCGAAAAATGACGATGGAAGTATGAATTTTAAATCAGAAGGGACCGAAGACGTTTACAAACGAGAGTCGATGAGGATTCCTCAACAAGATCTGATGCGATTCTTCATCGATTATTTCGACGGAAATTCACCATCCTATGCATTTATCTGAGCTGCTCTGACAAAGCTTCGAATAAAATTTTGCCAAGTGATAGCAAGGAAGAAATTATTTCTTATGATTTTTCTTTATTCTTTAGCATTATTTTTAATCAAAGAGAATCCGAATTCATCCAGGCTGAAACCATACTGTATAAATTTTCTGTAGATTCCTTCAAATTCTGCATTGGATAGTTATCATCTTTTATAAGGTCGGAAAATGCGTTTTTGCAAGCGATTCTTTCAAAGTAAATTTCATAGCCCGGTCGAAAGTCTTTCTTTACTTCAAACTATCAAAAAAAGAGAATTTTTTTTTCTGATGAGAGGAGTGAAGTTTTTCCCTGGCTTCGGCTTTTCCAGCGGGGGCTGCTGTAAGAAACTTGGGATCATTATTTTTTGGTTTTTCTATCTTCTATCTTTGCCATTTGTTTTTGTTAACTTGATTTTCTGGTAATCATATGAACTCTTTTATTAAACAAGAATTAGGCCTATCGCATTTTGTTTTCGGAAATGCTGCTGTCGAAGTTGTTGCTGCAGGCATTTCAAATATCGAGATGAGCTTATCATGGCCATCTGCGGATTCTTGGTCTATGGAGCCTTCCTGTATCCATTTTCAGTTCTTACTTTTTGCATCGGAATAGCTGGATGTTGTGCCTCATTGTTCATTTTTATCAAACTTGCGATTTTAGGATGCCAAGGTTTGCTAACTGACTGATTTTTTACATTTCTTCAATGATTTTTATTTCTTGCTTTCAGAAAAGAAACGACGGAAACGAAGATATCGTCAACAAGAACAAAATCGCCATAATTGGTTGAGACTCCAAAGGAACCGCGAAGAACAAGAAAGAAGAGAACGGGAACGAGAACAAGAAAGGCGAAATCAAGCATATTATAGTGAAGAAAGTGATGACTCATCAGGGAGTGTTTTATTTCGAAAAAATGCAATCATTCTTCGGTACGGGGGCTCTTCGCCCTATTTTTCGTTAAAAGTTCCGCGTAAAACAAACTCAAAGTTGACTATGGCAGAGCTATTGCCGGTCTCGCTGCGGGTGCTGTTCTTTATCAAGCGGCAAGAGAAGCTGCTGAAGAGCGGGCAAGAAGAGAGTACGTTCCAACCATCAGTCAGCAATTGACATTTGCGAGACTTCAAGAAACTGATGATGGTTTACGATTACAAGGTTTTCGAATCAATCGTGAATTTAGCTTGACATAATTTTTCTGCATTTATATCCCATCAATAGAATAAAATAAATCCAATTTCAACGACCAAGTCTCCGAATTCTATTAAAAATTATATTTTGAATTATCTTTGAATAAAAAAGCGAAGAAATTCGTTCCTGAAAAGAAACAGTAATTAGGCGCGCACTTGTGATCATCTCGAAGTAGCCACTACTATTTACCGCAATCGCCTGTTCCCGATCGATCAGTTTGTTCTCCTTTATTTTCTCCTTATTCCTTTCATTAAAAAAAAACTTCGCCTCATCAAAACACCGTCAGAGACAAATTCACTAATGGATCCGTGCGCAGAAGACGAAATAACAAAAGCATTCCACCAGGTTTTAAGAGATTCTCTTCCTTGATTTTTTAAATGATTTCTTTGAAAAAGTTTATTCCCTTGGCAATTACGCTTACTTTAATCCTCTGTCCGCTGATTCTTTGGCAACTGTTGATCCTTTTATCCCCTCCAAGATCTTCTGACCAATTTGGTAGACCGATTATTCCGGTCAAGAAAGATAAGATATTCTCTGCACTTTATGAGAACCCGGCTGGGGTCAGAAACGGAACGTTAGTTTTTTGAGTCAAAAACATTCCTTGAAGCTATTTCAGAAATCACTCAACATCGGAAAAATACATCCCGAAAAATTCTTATCGAAGTCCGAAATACGACCGCAGCAAAATCGACGCCATCTACGGCACGCGAATTTAAAATGGCAATATATAGTATGTTCTTTATTCATTTCTAAATATACAGTAGCAAAGAGTACAATATACAGAAAATCGTTTGTCATGCTTTTCGTTTTTTGAATTGTCATCTCTTCCAATTTTCTCGTGAAAGAGACCCGTCAAAAATGTTGTCTGAGCGGGAAAAATGATGTCCCCCGCTGAGTTTTGCTGATAAGGCTTCCGAGCTAGAGCCAGTCGATAAGTAGGTAAGGGCAACCGTCTTTGGCCAAGAAAAACTTAGTGCCTTACCAAAATTAAGGGGGAAAGAGGGAAGAAAAAATAAGGGTGTCAATGTGAATTGGAAAAATTCAGGTTAGGCCCTAATCAAAAAGCTCAAAAAGTTTTTGCCCTTTTGAATCGCCAAAAAAGCTTTCAAAATGTTTGGGTTCGTACTGAGTTTGAGTTGAACTTTTTTATTATGTTTTTTTATCATTTTTAGAGCTCATGATTATGTCATTTTCAAACGAATTATAAATATGATTGTCTCGTTGCTCGTCAAAATTGTTTCAAATGATGAATTTCGTGGCAACTTATTTACAAAAGATAAACTTTGTTACATATGTAAAACACTTGTTAAAATCCAAAGTGGATCGACTTAAAAAATATTGTGATTAGGTACTTTTGATAAGGGTGTCTAGAAGCTACTCGACGGTGCCTTCTTACCAAGTTGAGCTTGTTGAGTTTCCATATTCTGAAATAAGAAGATTAAGGGTGTCAATAGGAAAAATATTTTTTTGTTGGGTTAGGGTTAGGAATCGGGCCAAAAAAGAGAAATAGGCAAAATAATCTCCTCTGATTGGATAAAATTTTTTGGCTCGAAAACTAACCCTAACCCTTTCACGACTTTTTGAGCCAAAAAATGGGGATGGTGTCTGGAACCGACAAAAAAATTCGACAAATTTTGCGGGGGCGGCTACTCGGCTGCTGATTGGCCGGTTTGCCGGATACAGGCTTCTGATTGGTTGAAAATTTCCACGCAAAATTTGTCGAAATTTTTTTGTCGGTTCCAGACACCTCCCCAAAAATGCCTTTTTAAAATTGTTTAGTAAAAAGTAAATATTTGTTCAACATGACAAGCTCGTAATAAGCTGCCCTCAGTGTCCTGTAATCCCTTTTTTTCATACCTGCTTGACAGAAGCCATTGGGTTTAATTTCATCCTGGCAGCACTCGAGATACGAAGTGTCATACGTTTTGTCCAGGCAGCAGGATCGCTGCCCATTCCGCGAGTTGTAAGGCTGTCTGAAACAACGTTTTCATTAACCTTTTCAAAATTGTACGCTTATAATTTGTGCGCTTGAAAATTGCGAATTTTTCAATTTTCTAAGTGAGCGAAAAACTTGAAAACTTATAAGCAGCACGAAAGCGCTTTTTTTTCTAATGAATTCAAAACGTGTTGTAAAACGAGCTTTTTTAATAAAAAAGAGCTGTCTGAAATTTTGTGTCAAAAAAGTCTGCTCTAGAATTTAATGATCGACCTAGTTTTTTCGAATAATAATTTGATTTTCACAGTTAAAATCACGAGTGAGTAAAATTTAAAATCAACAATCTGATTGGTCGACAAATTTTTTTAAGCATTTTGATTGGTTTACGATTAAAATTTGATAAAAATTCCTATTCTTGTTACCTGTAAGGGTATTCGCCACAGCATTGATCTGCTGGTGGTCCTCCTATGGCTGGACAATTGCCTTTCGAGTCGAAACCGCTGTTCTCAATATGCAAGGAAGAATCATATTGAGTAAACGTAGCTCGAAGTCCTTCGATCAGCATCTTATCACACTAAAATCGACAAGATATTGTCATGAAGCGACTAAGGGTATCACCTCGCAAAGGGCAGATCCACAGAGATCGTTTTCCGCGTCGCAGACAAGAGTTCTATCGCCGTTGATCAAGTCCTTCTGTCCAAAGATGCCGTAGCCGTGGGATGCATCGCAGGAAGCACCGTAGTCCATTTGGGCGCACTGGACGCATTGAGCGTGCATTTTGCAGACACTAAAGGAAAAATCAATTTAAGATTTTCACATAAAATTTTCGACGAAGAAACTTCCACTTACGAGTCAACCTCATCCATTGGCATTCCTCTCATCGCCAGATCATAGTTTTCGCCATGCGCCAAGCACCAGCATCCGTATCCCCACCAATCCAGAACATGTGGCTTTTCAATGCCTTCTTCGAGGTCGTTGAAGATGAAGCCCACCATTCTCTATCACGAAAATCAGCGGCAATCGAAAAAGACAGGAGGTACCTTGAGATGAATGTATCGCTCCCCGGCGTCGGTGGAAATTGACTCGAGTAGCCTAAAATCCTCGTCGCCTAAATCGCTTATGGTCCGGATGTTGGTGATTCCTGCCTCTTCAGCGAGATCGTCATTTATCTAAAAGTGCGATCGTCAGATAAGAGATTCCAGAGAGCGTTTTTTCTCACCTTGAATCGATAAATTTGAGCCTCTTGAATAGCATGAAGTTCGCGTCGTCGACGATGTCGGATTGCTGATCGACGAGATCTTAAAAAAATCAGGAAATATCAGTTTTCAATTTTGAAAAAAAAAAACCATAAAAAATTTTCAAAGGGTGAAATATGGTATTAACAGATTGGTTTAAAATTTTGAGTTATCCTTGAAAATATAGACAGAAAATAACAAATTGATGACGCTTGATAGCTTTTTTTCCTACCTTTTATGATGTCTGCTTGCAAATATTTCGCTGGTGAGGAGGATCGTGGCGATTTTCATTGCGGATTCTGAAAAACAATAGAATTTGGCCAGTCAAAAAATTTATAAAATGATCTTTTTCGAAATATTGATTTTTTTTTGAATTTTTTTGATAAAAGTTTTGTAAAAAATAAATTTCATCTCTTTTTTTCTGTACCAATGAGATTTTTTCTCACCTTGATCGAATCTCTTGTCGTTTATTCTTGAAACCGTTCTTTACGAAATCTGAAAAACTCTCGAATGACGAGCTCGAGTACGTCAACATCCCCATATTCTTTCTCATGATCGCTCAGGTGGCGCGCGCGAGCGAATCGCGCAAGCCAGTACTTTTGTGCTTATCCACGACAGCGTTGCGCCTGGCCGCGCACGTATTGTGATTATTTTGCATCAAGCGATGCTCCCCAAATTATTCAATTAATCCGGGATCCGTGTTAAACAAATTCAACGTTCCGCGAAAACACGAAATGACCTTGCGCGATGAAAATAGACAATTCGTAAAGCTATTTTAGATGAAAGCAAATGAAACGTTTCTGATTCAAAAACATGCACTTTCTGAATAACTATCGATTGAAATAAGGGTATCCCTACTCTTAATTTCAAAAATAAAGATAAAATTAATTTCTCGGCGTCAGAAACCGAAAAATATTCGACAAATTTTGCGTTGGAGGCTACTCGGCTGGTGATTGGCCAGTTAACCAAATTCAGGCTTCTGATTGGCCGAAAATGTCCGCGTTAAATTTTTCGAAATTTTTTCTCGGTCCCTGACACCTACCCAATTTCGAGCCGGAAAACATGCTAAAGTGTGAGTAAAAATGATAAAAATTCTTGATGAAATGGTGGCCTAATGAGAGAAGAATTCAGAAAAGATTTTGACAACGTGCGCTGGAAATGTTTTCTAGTTGCAGCAAAGAGCACTCGACAGCACGATTTCGCCCCTCTTTGAATAACTGCGGCGGAACAAGGAAGCGGATTTCTCATACAGCTAGACTCAATCCTTTGTTCGCAATTCACCACAACCTGCTTTGTTTTTTGCATTTTCGGGCGAATTTTATTTTTTCAAATTTTCAATTTTTTTGCTGAAAACTTCGAAAACCGACCGTATTTTTGAGTAATTTAAAAATTAATCGAAAAACGCATATTTCGATCACGCAGATACTCAAAATCAAAAAAACAATACAGTATCGAATCTCTTTATTTTTCTAAGAAGCATCAAGTCTCGTATTGAATAATCTTTCAATACAGTATCGACAGAATACTGTAGATTGACAGATCGCCCGGATAGCATCATTTGACCGTTGGCTTTTCAGACGATAAGAGATGAATTTAGTAACTATATTTTCGATTTCCTCCATTTTTGCGGTCAACCCGTTGCGGATCGAGAAACGCAATCTTCCATTTTTCCCGAACATGGTCGAACTTATCAGTCAAGATCTTGGAGAGATTCTTCTTCAATTAGCCGAGCTCTAGAATCAATTAATCACTTATCTATTATGAATAAAATATGATTCTTACCTATTTCAAGCCCTTTTGGAGAGAATTCCGCAAAAAAGTTTTCATATTCAATCGAATCAGCATTTTTGAGCTGGATGCTTGATTAAATTTTCAAGAAGTACAGTAATAAGCGCTGATGAAAAATGACTTTAAGGTCAATCGGCGCACTTTTTATTGACGAATACTCCATTAATACCAGCTACTGCGGTGAATAAATCTCACATCATCAAATACCGCGATTGGCAGTCCTGACTGACTGATTTTTGAAAGATGCACATTGACGTTACAATTCTCCATGCTAAAAACATAGGAGATTTGTAACGTAGATTGCGTAGGCGTCACTGGTTTGACGGAACTCTAAAAGAAGAGACACTAGAGTCAAATTTTAATTGGTTGATTAGCTATTTCACTCGAAAATCAGAATCAGTCAGTCAGAAATGCCAATCGCGGTAGTTCATTTTTACCGCTCATTTTGAATTTAGAAGGAGATGAACTTCTTTATAATATTTTTGTTCTTTTCTACACTTGCGACTTCTCCTGCCCGAAAATTGGAGAAGCGATACGTTCATTTTTTCCCAAATCTGGTCGAGTTGGTTAGTGAAGATTTCGGCAAAATTCAAGAGATTTTATCTGATATTTAGTCTTTCTTATTCAGAACAAATACAATATCCAAACCCTTTTTTCTGAAAATATGTGACTTTTGACCTGAGAGAAGGGGTAAAACATATGTAATGGAATTGACAATATGAGCCAATATTTTGTGGTCATTTTAATCGTTAAAAATGCCATTTGTTCCGATCACCGAAGATATATTTCAACCCTGTCCCTCGCAGACCGAAAAAGAAGAGATCTAAGAGCATGCGGATTTTGACTTTTTTGTTTCTTTTGCTTTCTCCCTCCTCTGGCGGTTTTGTGAACGACTGGGATCAGTATTTCAACGTGCCGCCTCTGCACCAAGTCACGAATCCCAAAGGTTTGTTGTTTTAGTATTTCCGCAAGAGCAAACGTCTTAAGGGCTGCAATTCAAAAAACACGCTGGTGGAAAACTCGGCGATTTGTTAATGGAAAATGGACTAAATTTTTACTGACTTTGCTTCTGCAAAAAAAAACTCTCAAATAAAAATATCAAAAATGCTTTTTGAAATTTTGAAAATTGGATGAGTCATAATTATGAAAAATTTGATGATTCATAATTATGAAAGACTTGATGAGTCATTATAATGAAAAATTCAATGACTCATTATTATTACAGTTTTTTATGGAATTTCTGGACATCAAATTTCTGGACATTTTTCGGATTTTAAGGGGTTTTCTTGGGACAAATTCAAAGAGAGGGGGTATCAAATTTCTGGACATTTTTTCTCAACAGATGTCTTCGACATCTAAATTTTTAGTCAAACTTGAGTTATTTATGCCAATTTCATCTATAAAGAGCTATTATTCTTCGAAAATCTTATAATATAACAAGAAAGACGGCTACAGCGCGTTTCTTTTATTGTTCTTTAGTAATTTTTTTGAAAAAAATCGTCAATTTTTCCGTCTCGAAAAATTTTTTAGCAATTTTGTTGGGACATTTTTCTGAAGGCTCTGTATCGAATTTCTGGACATTTTCGGGAAAAATGGGGGACAAAAAATGTCCAGAAATTCCATTATTAACTGTATTAGTTTAATGAGTCATAGTTATGGAAAATTTAATGAGTCATAATTATGAAAATCATAATTGTCCCAAGCTCAATCAAGTTCGCGATAAGTACATCCTCATTTAATTAGTAGTAGTTGCTTCCAGAAACAAGCAAATGCGATGATCAGGGCTGGACCAACTCCTATTCCTGGAGATAACTAATCGTCGATTGTGATCAAAACTCTGGACGGCCCCACAATGCACGTGTGTCAAAATATTTTGCTTTACTCAATCAAAACTAAGAAAAACGAAAGTCCGGAAACGTGACGTTTTCCTTTTATTCTTGCTCATCAATAATTTAATAATTGCCCCAAAACAAGAATTCTAACACCTGCGCGAAGTTGTGATCTAACTAAAAATTGTGACATAAATATTGGTCGCTTATGAAAAAAATAAAAACTAGGGCTAAACTTTTAGCAGATGTTTTTATTAAAAAATGAGGTCGATTGGGCTAGAAACGTGGCTCTAAAAAATTTATTCTTTGAATTTTAAAATTTATTTTTTTTATAATTCTTCTTTCTTTCTTTTCTTTTCCAATTCATCAACCATCTTATGAATCCTTCTGTCATCGTCCGCAATATCTTCTTCCGAGTAAAAACCGCAAGGGCTATCCGTATCCAAACAAGAAATTCCGTTTGCGTAAGTTTTAAAAACACAAAATTAGGTCATACTCTTCCTAAAGTCCAAGGCGTCCTTCCAGTCCCCGTCACCGGATCCCAGCGGGTCGCGAATCGGAAATAATTGAAAACGCGCCCTTTATCAGCCGAATCGCAGCTTTTGGAGAAGTTCTTTTATGAAACGAAAAATAACGTTATTGGACGATTTCAATTAATTATCAACGTAAAAACGAAGGGAAATAGTATGTATCTAATGTGGAAAACAATGCCTCAAGAATTTTATCTTCATTTTTTAGAACTTTTTCTTTGGCCGGGAAGAAACTCGTCCGGCAAATGGCGTAAGTAGCAAAGCGTCTAGAAATAAATATAGAATAAATGTGAGGTAAAACAAGTTTGTTGTAAGTACCATAATTGCTCATTATCGATAACATAAAATCGGAAATATTGGCAAAACAGGTTGCCTAGCCCCGTATTGGGCCTTCAAGTTTCTTTCGGGATCCGAAAATTAGGGTGTCACTTTGCTAATTTAAGTTTTTACCTGGCAAAAACAGGCCCCATCTTCTTTCGCATAAAGCGCGTAGTTAAACGGTCCTGCAGGTCTGAAGTCATCCTCTAGAAAGAAGAGAAAAGGCTCGTTTGACCATTATGATGAAAAAGTTATCATTAAAAAACCTGGATCATAAACACTCGCGCAGAATTCTAAACAATCTGCCTGGGAACGCTCTAAGCTCGTCTGCATTAAAAAGTCATCGTAGCAAAAGTAGGACACATTTTCTCTCATCAAAGTGTAGCCAGAGCCATTTTCCGCGAAAGATAAATGCAAAAATAGCAGATTCAGAAATTTCATTTTTTCTGAAAAAAAAATTTTTCGAAAAAAATGACCATTTTTCGAGCATTTGTGTATTTCCCACGAGCGAATTTCAAATAAAATTTTTGATTTTTTATTTCAAAATACGGTGTATTGAAAAAAAAATCGTGAGTTGCTTTTTTTTATCGAATTTGAAAATTCAGCTGCGGAGTTGCCACATCAACCCTCCTGTTGTCTAAATTGCGACCAAAGACTGAAATCGACCGCAATTCGCGGTCACCTTCATTTACCCGTAATTTGTTGATATTTTTACATCAGTTTTTGGTTTGTGTTTTATTTCAAAATCAAAATAAAAAAAAGATTTATCAATAATTTCGAATGCATCTGGTATTTTTTTATTCTGCAGAAAAAGTAAATTTTGCAAGATGTTCATATTTCTCTCCAGCTTTCAGAACAGCGTTTGGAAATTCAGGCCGATTTGGCGAGTCAGGAAAGTGCTGAAGAAAAAATTTTTTCCTCCTTGATTTCAAATCTTTTTCAAACCTGAGTTTCAACGCAAAAAGCAGTTTGCTTGGCATAGTTGACTCCTCCTTTTCCTTCTTTTCCAGGGAGAAAATTGCCGGTGTAAAATTGAACACCTGGTTGAGTTCCTTCGAGAAGCATTTTTCGACCAGTTTTCTCCGAAACCGCCTCGGCGATTTTCACAAAAGAGGAGCAGTTGAAAGTTTTGATGCACAAGTTGTGATCGATACCGTTTCCGCCTTAATTTTCTGTCAAAAAAGTCATCATTTATTAATCTACCTGGAACAGAGGCGAGAAAATCCTGAGTCAGCAGTTGTCCCTTTCTCAAGTCGAATTTCGTGCCAGTAACATCCGTTAGTCCTCCTTTAGGGATCGCGAATTCATCGACATCGACAAAGTTATCAGCATGAATGGTCATAGAATGATTATCTAAAGTCGACCAATTTATGTGGCCATCGAGGTTGAAGTAAGTGTGATTCGTCAAATTAACCACCGTATCCGCATCTAAAAATTTTTAAGAAAATTCAATCAAAAATGCAAAATTAACCTGCTGTTGCTTCATATTTGATCGAAAAAGCGCCACCAACAAGTGAATAAGTAACCGTTACATCAAGTTTTCCCGGATATCCTTCATCTCCGTCTTCAGAAATCAGCTTCAGCTCGAGCCCATTTTCGACGATCTTGGCATTCCAAAACTTCTTATCGAATCCGACTTTTCCTCCATGAAGGGCATTTCGTGGTGGGTTTCCTTGATTTCAGAAGATAAAGGAAAGCTCCTGAAAGAAAAGAGAGTACCTCCGTTGTTTTTGAAAAGCTCGTAGCTTCTGCCATTGAGAGAAAATTTTCCGTGGCCGATTCGATTAGCATATCGGCCGACAAGGCAACCGAAAAAGTTCGATTTCTCTGGGTATTCTTCTATCGTATCAAAACCAGTGACAATGTCGTCCCAGTCCCCGTTTTTGTCTTTTGTCCGAAGCGACTATCATTTTTAGTAAAAAATTTTCAAACCGAAAATTTACCTGAATAATTCCACCATAATTCAAAATGACGAGTTTTACATCTTCCGACTCGATTTCAAACGCCCTAACTGGAGTCCCATTTAGGCTACCGAATTCCTTCTCTTTCACGGAGGTCATGGTTTTGCGACAGATTCTCTGCCGGCAATTTTTATGTGCGATTGAGGAAAGCAAATTTTGCCCTCAAGTGTAGTGGGCGTAAAATGTAAACAATTCATAATTTCAGAATTTCATTTATTTCTGGAGAAAAAAATCTTTATTAACAAGAATTGCCTCAAAAAATTAGAATGATAGTTTTTAAATTGATCTTTGACTGATTAAAATCGAATAATGAAAGTAATCTTCTCGATTTTCGATCATAATTTGAGACTCGAATCGATATTGAGCGTTCTCGATCGATTCCTACCGCGTTAGCTTTCCGACGAGGTCCGTAAATATCATCATTCGTAAATTTGAAAAAGGAAAAAAAAATTACTGAAAATGATAGTTTTTCGAAGACAAAATTTCCCAAAATAAGAAGCTTTATGAATAAGCGCTTGAAACGGCGCGCTGGGATTTTTCTGACGAGACATTAGTTCTGTTATTAAAGATTTATTGCAAGTATTGAAATAAAGAGAAAAATCAGCAGACAATTCGTTTTCTTGCTTTGAAGAATTCAGCTTCGCCATCATCCAGGTTTCCCTCGAAATTGCTCAATTTGAAGCCGCAGTAGCTAAGTTTTTCCCATTTTAGTTGAAACCCGCGGTAGTTGAACATCGCATCAGATCTGAATTGAAGCCTTGTGTCTTTGAAAGTATATTCCACGTGGCCGACGTAGCTGCTGACGTAATCATTTTCCTCGTTGAAGGAATTGGCCATCGATGTCGTTGACCAGCCGGTAGTGGTTGATGTCCCGGTGGTGGTTGTTTCGGAGAACGCGTCGGACGGTTGATCGTTGCAGAATTTTTCGTCGTTAATTGTCAGGAAATCAAAATGGCATCCATCGTCGTTTTCAATGTCGAAATCGAGGAAGGTGAATCGGAGAAATTCGTCAGGGCGGATGTCGATTGTCCAGTATTCTCTAGAAAATTTGATTCATGAGAATACGCCATAAATTATGGCCCATAATAAAGTGGGCTTCTCTTACAAAATAAATTAAAATAGTGACACCCTTAATTCGAGAAAATTAATTTTGTGATCTTTTTTCTTCAATTTCAGCAAATAATCTTTCTTACCTTTGACTTGAAGAATATCCCGGGTATCCGGGAGACTCGATTATTCCTAGATCTCCGCTTAGATGATTATTTTTGAATGAAAATTTCAGCTGGATTTCGTCTAAACTTGAAGAACCTGCAGCAGCGCAAAAGAGAGAAAAAATAGTTTTCATTATTTTTGTGAGAAAACGAGTCCGACGTTGGTTTAAATACGTCCGAATTCGAGGCCCAGGGCAGTTTGTCTGAGAAAAATGCATGAGAGTGAAACAAGAAACGGGTTGAGCTTGAGCTGACCACGTTGAACCGGACGATACCGGATCGCCGGGATCGGAAGCATGCTTATTTTGCATAATTTGAGCTCGCACGGAGGAAAAATGGCTGAGCAGAGCATTAGCGATGCCTGTTTTGCTTTTTAGAAAATCTTTTCTGACGTCAATTCTGATTTTTTTTATTGATTCAAGAAAAATAGAGGATGATTCTTTCGATAATTGAGCATCAAACAAGGGCATGAGGATGGGAATGTTCCGTGATGGTCTTTCTCCGTTCTTTTCCGTAGTCGGGGTCTCCATGTGTCTTTCCAAGGGTTTCTAGAGCAGCAAAGGAAAAGAGCCTAAATTATCGGTCAAGTCCTTTTGCTGACTATAGTTCATTTTCAGCCCTTTTCCTGTTTGTATTTCATGTAAAAGCACGAAAAAAGCAAGCCGATGAAGATCAAACCCGAAGTTGTGCACATCGCTATAGTCAAATTCTCCCTCTTTTTCTCGCTTTCTCTTAGCGCTAGAATTTTATTGACTCTCTTGAATTTCTATTGAATTAAATAGTAACTAACACTTATGCTGGTAATTGTCGCTGAACATCGCCGAAGCGCACTAAAATAAGCTTTGAAAACTCGTTCTAGATTCATTCAAACCTGCGCTAGAAAAAAGAACACGAAGAAATTCATCGTCTCTAAGATTCCTTTAAAAGTCGCTTTTTCTCCTCCCTCTCAGCTATTTTATCTTTTGCGAAAGGTCGGCTGGATTACCAGAATTTTAACAACGCGAGTTTTGGTTCGAAAAAATGGATTTTATTGAATTAAAAGAAATGACCTCCGTAATCAGAATAAAGCGCACAGCAGGAGGTGATTTCAGCAATGCTGACATGCACAAGATGCAGCTCGTCCTTCTCGTCCAAAATTTCCCTGAAATCAGTTTTGCTAGAAATTCGGTAGTTGGAGATTTTGACTTACAGTGTATAAGTTTTGTATCCACCCATATTTGCCATACACTTCAAATGATCGGCCGACTCCAGCGAATCCAAACAGCAATTGAAGATTCCCTTTTCATCCGCGCCTAAAGAAGGATAGTCTCCCCCTTGAAAAACCTGGCTTACCCGAAGTCTGACAGGTTGACGAGAGGAAGCGCTCCGGCGAGGCGCAGAATCCCCAGCTCAGTGAGTTTGTGAAGCACATGGCTTTTCGAACTGCCACGTCTTTTATCCCCGCTGGAATGGCGCAACTTTTCTTCGAGAAATTCCCATCTTAAAAGACTTTGTCTGGCCGTGTTTTCTTTTTTAAAATTACCATGGTTGAGGACTTTGATGAAACTGTGGTGACAGTTCCACTCCGTATTGCTTGGGATTTGAAAGTTGATCAGTCTCTTGGCATAGCGATTTCCGCAGATTTCTTCTTCGATGAATTCCTGTTCAGTCAATTTTTGATCATCGAGAAGACAAATCGCATTTACTGAAAATATAGCCTTTATTATATAGGTCATTCAACGGGGTGGCGATAGGAGCCGACAAAAAAATTTCGACAAATTTTGCGTGGGCGGCTACTCGACTGATGATAAGCCAATGAGCCGAATCTGGGCTTCTGATTGGTTGAAAATTTTTTGTCGGTCCCAGACACCTCCCCCATTCAACTATCAGGGTCTCTAGTTGAGACTCTTAACCCTAACCCTATCCTTATTAATATCTTTTGTCTAACCTCTCAAATAAGCAATACAAAAAAGAGTTATTATTCTCATTATGCTCAACATTGCGATTTTCTGGCGTAACTATTTATACTCCTTCCTCCGTTGCTCTTTAATTCTCCAAATGCCTGGGAAATCCTACCACCCATATGCCCCGTTCTTGGTTGTTATGCATATAAGATGTATCAACGTACTTCTGGAATAATTAATTTGCTTTGACGGATGAGACAGAAAAAGACAAGAGAATACGAGTTAACAATTTATTCCAGTGCAGAAAGCGGCGATATCCCAGCGGCGCGATCGATACTGCAAGAAATACTGAGTTCCGAATGTTGAGCTGCCTCGTCTCATTATCAGCGCTAGAATAAAGGAATGGGGAAGGAAAAGGGTTAAGGATCTAACCGGCAGTATTGCCGCAAGAACAAGCTTGTTCCAGTCCTTTTTCCATGTGTTTTTTGCATGTTGAAGCTGAATATAATAAAATAAAAATGAAAGATTTTTCGTAAGAATTTATCATAGTGACACCCTTATCTCATTTTTTGTCAAAATCTTTACCATTTTCTCTAAACTGGCAAAGATCGAAATTCGGCATCAGCGTCCATCTCGTAGCTTTATAAATGCTTGAATTCGACTCCTTGGCGATCTTGACGCAAGCAGCAGCTCTTGGTCGACCATTAATGTCCGGAGTGATGGGAACTTTCCATCCTTCGCCGATGATTTCGAACTCGTCCGGGTCGTTAAAAACAGCGCAAGTGAATGAATACGAAAGAAGGCCGCTTTTGACGAATTGATCGTGGAGTCCTTTTTGAACCGATCGAGCCATCATGTAGTTGCTGAAAATATGAAGTGAAATACAGGCACTAGAATTTAGACAGCGACGCGGTTTCGCCTCAGGGTATCCTTATGTAAGGCTTCAATGTCAACACAATTTAATCTCTGAACTTTCGCTACGTTTAACTTACTTTTGAGTTGGATTAATCGTCGAAAAAATCAAAACTGCATCATTTATGCAATTTTGACTCCATCGGTTAAAACTCTGCTCGTTCACAAAGCATGCAGATGGATCTTAATTTTTACCATTTTCTCGATTTCTAGCAAACTTACCAAAAGCAAAACTGATCGAAAGTATCAGCGGGAGAATCTTCATTTTGGAAATTTCGAAGAGACTCTTTCTTTCGTTTCTTCAGAAAATCATGAACTCGCGAATTCTTCTTTTTCTCCTCGGCGAGGTGATAAGCTTGCTTTGTTCAAGAAGAGCCAAAAATGAAAATGTGATGAAAGCAAATATATTTTTAGGCATTTGTTTTCTCCGTCAAATTCAGCCTTTTATGACCTTTAAAACTAGGCTAGCGATTTTTCTAGCGCCGTCACTTCTAGTTACTCAGCAGCAAGAACCCCCGGAGAATAGCTTGAGGCCATTTCGGTTAAGCCATCCCTTTTAAAGTGAAGATTGTGCAACTTAAAATTTCGAAAATGAATCGGTATTTGAGTTCTTTTATTTTTGGAGCTTTGACTTATCAAATATTCCTTTTGTTTTTCAAAACAATCATTTTCGGTGATCAAAATTTGACGAGAAAGCAGGTCAGAGAGTCGATTTCTTGCAACAAGAGGGTGAGAAGAGAAGGAAGAAATGAAGATGATGATAAAAATAAGTACACGAAGATTTCAGACTCATTTGTTTATTATGAAGAAAAAGACTTCAGGAAAGATAGATATATTTATGTTTTCCCCTTCAAAAAAAGGGCACCCTTATTTGTTCTCTTCTTTTCTGCATGTTTCCCCTTGTTCGTCCGTGGGCCACGTAGCCTTAGCCACGAGAAAAGACTATTCGACATAGAACGAACAAGGGTACACATTAAGAAAACTAGAGGATCAATAAGGGGACCCCCTTCTTTATGTTAATTGAATAGAAATTGAATATCTATCCATTCCAAGCGAAAGAGCCCTAAAACGAACTCGAGTCACTCAATTTTTCACATCTTTGAGTCAAGGACACGATTATGTTGAAAAGTCGTACCTGCCGAATCCTCTTTACGCTTCTCAAAACTCCTGCAAGTGCGACAAATTCAAAGAACTCTTCGGCGAGCCGTTCGACTTCAACGAAATTTTCAAAAACGAATCGTTTGTTGAAGAAAATGAAATTCGAAAACAGCAGTTTGAGCAATACAAAAATTTCAATCTTCACGAGCAAATGGCGTATCCTCTTCTCAAACGAGGCCCGTTCAATCCGATCGAAATTCCGAGCTTTGGAATTCATATGGAGCATTTAGAAGCGCTGAACCTTCCGATTCAAATCCATTTGCCGAAGGATGAAAAGATAAAAATCGATCTTCAGTGCAGTTATTGTCAATTTGGGATAGTGAAGAACAATTTTTTTAAAGGAAAGTTCCGAATATACTCATTTTCAAAAGCCCAAGTACGGATCTTCTTTACCAAAAAGGACCATTCGGAACTTTAAATCTCAGATTTTACTGAAAAGAATTTCAACTTCCTTTCCCGCAACTTTCTCAAAATGCAATTCTGGGACAAAATGCAGTATCAACCACGATCTTACCCAAGGGATATCGTCCGAACTGTAGAAGAAACAAACGAGTTACTTAAAATAATCAACTACTACGTCACTCTTTTTGATGCCAGAAGATTGCGAGACATCGTTACTGTCAAAATAACCAGAACAGCGTCGGGAGAAGAATTTGAAGCAAAATTTCCAGTTGATATTCATCGACCAGAGATGCCAATTTTGAGCGTTAGGGATGGCGATTCGTTTGCAGAGAGAGTCACGATTGTCACGAAAACTTTCATGAGATATGATTGTCTCAGGCAGGGCTAAGAAAAAACATAAAAAAATTCCGAATTTCACATTCTCAGCCCCTTTTCAAAGGCGTTTATTAGACTCGATCGCGAAATTTTACCCGGGAGTTGAAGTCATTGTCGCTGATGATACTCATCCCGAGAACTACGAGCGCATTTCCCAAGAAAAATATCCATTTGTCAAGCAACATCGAATGCCAGCTGAATCTGGCTTCTTCGCTGGTCGAGCTTTAGCGATTTCTCAAGTTACTACTGAATTCTTCATAACAGTCGACGATGATTTCGTTCTGACGGAAAAGACGAGGCTTGAGGACTTGCTGGAAACAATCGAGGAGAGTGGATACGACATCGTCGGGGGAGAGGTTTACAATGATTCGGGCGAGATTTCCGATATCCCTTTCTGGAGCAAATACGGACGATTTGACATTTCTAGCTCTGACGATGGGTTTTGCTACTATCGAGGGGATTATGGAAGTGAAGAAGGAAAGTTTCAAATTTTTTTACATATTTTTTGAAAATGACGATTTTGAAACAATTTCAAGGAATCAAAATGCCTGGCTTTCCAAATTGTCGAGCTCGAGATATCATTAAGAATTACTTCATCGCCCGAACTTCAACTGCTGGAACGATCAGAATGGATCCTCACTTTGCTCGAACTGGCCACAAAGAATTCTTCTTGGATGCATTTGGACATCTTCGAATCGCCGCGTAAGGATTTTTATTTAATTGAAGAGTCCTTAAGTTGTTTTTCAGTTGCGAACTAGCTCCTGTTCTACATGATCCAAACGGCTGTCAAGGAAGATCTGACGAATACAAGGCCTTCCGATTTCAACATAAACGAAACGAAACAAAAGAAGAATTCGAACTAGAATCAAATCGCTTGTGGTACCACCGGAATTACTTCAAATGTTATCAAGAACATTTTCCAACAACCTTTTAAATAATGCAAATAAATTTCATAAACAACCTCTTGACGACCCTGAGTTAGCCACTGAATTCAACCTTCAAACGACCTTATTTAATCAGCAGCGGTCGCAATTTTCAAACGCATATCAAAATCAGCAAAAAAAGCAGTCCGTATTTGCAATTTCAGCAAGAGAAATGAGGCTTTTGGTAAGTTCGACTTACAAGAGAAAATTCGAAAGCTTCTTATTATAGCTGTCTTTCGCCTTGCTGTTTGCAAATGTCCTCGCCAATCAAAAGTACATCGACCTGGTCATGGACTACCTTAGCACTCTTCCACCAGAGGTTGAAGGTCCCTACGGTCCACTTGTTTTCGACTCGACCACCCTTCAATGCGCAGAAGACTCGCTGCAGGATCTGCCAGACCTGCCGATCGGAAGTTCTAGAGAAAATGTCTACCAGCACATGATGACGTCATTGTTCTTGAAGGGCGATGAAAATGCTCTGGATGCGATCAAGTAAGCTTTTCTTCAAATAAATTTATAATCTTCAATTTCTAGAGCCGCAATGACCGCAGACACTTGGATCTACAACGGTGTATTCGTCATGGAAACCATGCTCAATTTTGACATGCATTACGATGCCGCCGGTTTTGTGTCGCCAAATCCTGACTCTTGGGATTTCTCAGCTGTCAATTGGACTATTACGGGCAGTACCGAGGCGGAGCTCTCGGAAGACTACATGGGTGAGATTCTCGCTGGTCATCCAATGAGCTCGGATGTGACAGTCTTGGCAGAAGTTATTGCGCCGGTTTTGGAAGGATATGAAGATACTTTCCAGTAAGTCGAAATTCTTTCCGAAAATAAATTATTCTTTTCAAGGTATTCGTCCGCTCGAACAGTCTGCCTCAACCCTTCGCTCATCCAAAACAATCACTGGGTATGCCCTCTGGGTTTCGACCCTGCTACGGCAATCTGCCCAACTGGCTGTGCCGAGGAAAACTGCATTCTCGAAACAACTCTTGAAGAGGTTTGCGGCTCCTACGCCCAAGCGAGCTTTGATTGGGGAGTTTCGCCGCTCGTCGGTTCCTGGGGAATGGACTGGTTCGAGGATCAGGTCAACAACTACTGCTGCCCAGCGCTAAGTGGATTTCAACAATGGGAGATTCTTGATGGAGCGGCTCAAGCAATTGCTTCGATGGGCGGGTTTAGTGGAGCGCCATTTGCTGGTGATCAATTCGCATCTGGGGTTCAGGGATGGTTCGATGCTAACAACGGCAATTACTCAGGAATTGTCTCCGAAATTCTCAACTCCGGTGCATTCGAAGGTCTGGATTGGCTCCTGACAGCTGGTGAGTTTATGTCCACTGACTTTGGTGGCAACAACCGAAACGGCTCCGGTGGCGCCAACTACGCCACTCAATCTAACGGCTACTGGCAGATTTACGATATGATCGACCTCGTCAGCGTCAACGGATCTTGGGGCGTGTTCGGAAACGAGTGGAATGAGGGAAATGCTTCTTATGTGAATTTCACCTTTGGCGACTGGCAACAATGGGTTGAGGGCCATGCCGACGAGTGGGGAGAAAATTCGCAACAATTGATCGAATTCTGGAGCACTCAACAATGGTTCAATAACATTCGAAACGGAACGATGAATATCTACGGTCCAGGCGGCGAAGGTGGCGGTGGAGGAACCCCCGGTGAAATCCCAATCATCATTATGGAAACTGTCGAGTGGCCCTTCCCAACCGGCTGCATTACCAAAACCTACCAACAATCCATCAACGACTATCTCACCACTCATGGCAAGAACCAGAGCCTTTTGACGGACATGAACTCGTTCTGGATCCAAATGAGCGCTGACCAAGGACTTGATTGGACTCTCGCCCCGGGCAGTGTCGCTGAGGTCTTGACTGGCACTGCTTATGGGTCGATTTCTCTGCAGAATTTCTTGAATTCGATCGATCCAACTGGTGCGAAATGGGCTGCTTTCCAGCCTTGCTGGCTCCTCCCCGAATTCAACTCCTTGATCGCCCGAGTCGAAAGTCAACTTCTCATCGGAACATTCTGGAACCCGCCCCAAGCAGCCAACGACGTCGAAGCTGGAGAACTGTTTGAAAACGCCAACTGGAACGAAATGCGACTCGATGAAGATTGCTGCAGCGTTGATGCGCTTTCGATCGCGGAGGATTACGATGCAATGCCGAATTTGGACTGGATTTGGGCTTCAAACTCAAGCTTGCAAATTGCCGATCAGATTGTGCCCTACTTGGATGCTGCTTGTTGCAATTTGAATGATACGCTTTTGGGCTTCTTGAACACGACGAATATGACTGATGGATATGGATCGCTTCATGGTGATCCCCATGTTATTGTTCAAACTCCTGGACAAGAAACGGTTACTTATTCTTCCTTGATAGGCAAAATTTTAGTTTTCATTGGCTGATCGCGTTCTTAATAAGATAACCAATTAAAAGAGGCAATCTGTTTCAAACTCGATGCCCAAAACGACGGGGTCTACACACTTCTTTCCGACCCATCTCTCAATTTGGATGTCACTGGTGAAATGACACATGAAGGCAGCAAGAAATTCGTCATGGACAAGGTCTTCATCACATCTCCAAAAGGTCTTCAGATCGAAATCGACTCGTATTTCGTCAAAATCGCCCGAGACGAAGTCGTTGCTCTCGAAACCTTGATGGGCTCTTTCGATGAATTTGGAATGGACGATGTTCATTTCTCCCTCTCCGGAGTCGCCAATGGAGAGCACAATAATGCGGTGAAAATGACTATGGTTGGAAACAACGATGAGCGAATCGAGCTTTTGGTGAGCACGAAGCAGACAAAGAGCTCGCTCAGATTTTCGGTGTTGAATTCTGATGGACTTTCAACGAGCGGATTGAAAGGAATTATCGGCGAAAGCATCATGGTAAGTCTAAATGTAGCTTTTTCTTCTAATTTTTTCTTTAGCCAAATGACTACAAAATCGATGAAAACGGCTTCGTCCACATCGGCAACCGCGTCATTCTCGGTGGAGAGCAATCACATGATTCCAACAACGACTGCCTCCTCCTCAGCGACGATGATGTCTCTCTTTTCATTGGTCATCCAGTTTCGGACTTCCAAACTATCAAGACCTTCGAACTCATTGAAGATCTTTCGCCCAAGTAAAATATTCATACGATAACTGCTGCTTTTTTCTGTAAATATTATCAATTTGAAAAACCCGGGAAATCGAAATCTTTTAATTTTTTTTCTTGGTCTGTGAAAATTTCAAAATGATTTTGATTTCTCCCGTTTTGGCTGAAAATTGAGACAAACTGGCCTGTGTCGACAATTCTTCTGCTCTTAGAAAAAAAATAAATTCAAAACGAAAATCCTTTCCGCGAAATTAAATAACGCGCAAATCAATCTGATGGTTTTTGATTACCCCTGTCCCAAGTCCATTAGCTAGCTCCTTAATTGATCGGCTGCGTTTTCCATGAGCCGCTGGCGACACTTTTCAATTTGAGCTTTCGAGCAATTTGCCCCGTTTTCTTTGACACTTGCAGTGAATATTTGATACTCAGAGGAGAGGCAGAACGTATAAAACTATATCGGAAAAATAAAAAAACGAGAATAATTCGATATTGAGTTAAAAGAGGGAATTGATAAATGGAAATTGTGGAAGAAAACTGTCTCATACCAAATTTGACAATAATTACCCATGGTTTGATTTTTCTCTCAAAAATAATTAACAAGTTTTTAGGAAAATGGTCAAAGTGGACGACTTGGAGCGACTGTCAATTCGTTACTTTTCCACGTGAGAGATTTTTTTCTTTCCAAAAAGCAAATTTTTATTAAAGATTGTATTGGGAAGAAATTTCGATATCGCGATTGTTTTACTCGGCCGCACTACAATTATGGTTAGAAAAGGCTTTTTTTGTTGAAGAAAAAAAAAATTCAGAAAATATCGAGTTCATTTGTAATGGAAGAAAGGTTCAAGAAGATCATTGTCATATTCATCTGTTTCGGGCTTGTGATATAATATTTCTTATCTAGATTTTTGGTGGTTACAAAGCCCCTCTGAAAGTGTCTCGTTGCCTGGACCCAAATCCCCCTTTGTACCATCATCTTCGTCGCTTTCTTCCTCGGCGCAACTTGGGAGTGCTACGACTATATCAAACGATCAAGAAGACCAAAGACCGCAGCAACCCTGAAAGTCGAAAAAGTGTGCATCAAAAACAATCTGATTCTACCTCAAGATGACGAAGTTATTCAAACATCTTTTCCTCCCCATGATCATTGAACAATAAATCCAGACGAACTTTATCTTGCGAGATGGCTTGATATCAAAATACTCGACTGATCCAAACAAGCGTTATCGAATCAAACATAGCGTAAATTTGTCGTATCAATGATACGGTATCTTGATTCATGACGATTGATAATAAAATAAAATATACTCTAATTACACATTAGCGATGAGCCCGACCAACTTCAATTTTTGATCTCTTCAAACTTTTTTTGAAAAAAATCTTTGTCCGTCAAATACGAGCCGCGATGATCGTAAATATTAAAAATGCAACTAGCATTCAAATTATCGACGAAAGTCGAAACACCAAGGTTTTCTGATGGAAAAAAACTTTGGAAAGATAATTAAATCAGATCGTTTATTTCAAATAGAATCAGGAGCAAGTTTTGACATACTATTAATAAATTTAACATTTTAATAATAATGATAGGGGAATTTGATAATTTGGTAATATTAAAGACAAGAGAGAGAAACTCTTTTCAGTGAATTTCATTTGCCATGGTTTTCCATCTTAAGAGTACCATTTCTGGTAGAAGAAATTCTTGACCTTGTAGGACAGCGCAGGATAGGCGAATGGGTCAGAAGCGTAAGCTCGGAAACTGCCGGAGACTTGTGCGTACATTGATTCGTATGTTCCTGAAAGAACCTCAACGCCGTCAATTTTCACGGAGTAGCTGACGAAACCGTCCATGTTATCGGTCTGAACAGCTTCGAATGAGTTCCATTCGCCCTCGATGCAGTCGAATGTGACCGAGTTAAAATAGTGGCCGCTTCCGTTATGATCTTTGTGGGAGATCTCGTAAGTGTTCTTGTCCGGTTGGCGCGAGATCACGAATTGCCCCATCTGCACGATATTGCGCAATTTATCGTCAAGTCCAGTTGTCGATGAGTCGCAGAGTACGTCGACTCCGATTCGGTAGCTGAGAGTAGCGTCAAGAGCGCCGAGATAGTTGTTCCGGAAAGGATTGATAGCGCAGCCGTCCACGAGTGTGGTGCAGTAGTTGAGTCCGTCGCAAGGATTGGTGCACGATGGGGCAGCCTCCGTCGTGGTCGTTGTTGTAGAAGTCGTTGTTGTAGTAGTCGTTGTTGTTGTTGTCTTCCCGACGCAGGAGGTTTCCCAGCTGGTCTTATTCCAAAATGGCGCTTTGAACTCTCCTTCGACGCAGCGGACTCGACCGTTTACCGTTCCATCTTCACAGACGAGAGAATAATCGGCTCGTTTCTGGTTGATGGTCTCGTAGAGCTTCAGCTGACCGTCCTCGATGTTGGTCGCGGCAGCTAATGCCTTGCAGGGATGAATGTCAACTGGAGAGCATGACAGCTGGGTACCAGTAGGTAGATTTCTTAAGAAATAAATAAGCTTGAAAATGAACGAGGAAAATTTACTTTCTTGCGACAGTAGCAGGGTCACCGCAGCGGGTGAGGAATCTGGGTCCGTCCTTCTTAGGCTTTGTGGTCCAATCGGGCTTGAATCCGCTTTCGCAAGTTGGGTGGCACTTGACCTTGGACCTCGTCAATCCGAGGCCGGGGCAGTTCCAGGACCCATTGGCGATTGGGAACGCTGCTTTCGTCTCTTCAATCTTGGCATCGCAGATGACTCGGCGATCCTCTCGTTCTTCCGACGTCAGCGAGTTGTACTGTTGGTAGTAACCGGCGTAAACACTGGCAAAAATGGCACTTGAAAGTCTCATTTTTTCTAATTTTCGATTTTCGCTGAGCTTGAAAATGAAAATGATGAATTTCATGATTAAGGCGCTCGTTTATAAAGCTCCCGGTGTTGTTTTTCATTATAAAGAAAAATTAAGCTGAACTCTTGTTATGGCCACTCAACTTTGTTCTGAGAGAAATCATTTTCAATAACCAAGTTGGTTGTTCTCCGAGAGAAGCTCAAAGCCCTTTTAAAAATGGTTAAAGAATAAATAAAAAAATAAAGAAAGTAAAACGTTCTGAACCTAGCCGACCCAATATAGCGTAATTAACGAATAAGTTATTCGGAATAACAAGGAAAAGGAATTGCGAAGAGTTATTAAGATTATCTGGGAACTATTTTGGGAGATGATTTTTTAAATGGTAAGATTGAAGTAATTTTTCGACAAAAAATTCAGGAAAAATAAATCCTGCTCAAATTATCACTGAAAACGAATCAGGGCTCGAATAAATGATACGAATGAAATTTAAGAAATCCAACAGATAATTTCTACATTTTAGTACAGTGGTGTGAGAAGTTTCCGCACCCCTAAAGAGCGGGTAAAGTATGCTGCAACGCAGCACTCACAAAGGGTGCGTAAACCCCTCACACCACTGTAAGGATAAATTTTGTCCTTTGGGAGTCCCAAATTCGGACCCAAACTTTTCGTGGGAAAATAAGAGGGGTCATAGGAGTAGAAGCGATTTGTTCTCACATTTAATTTGGATTGAATAAAAGTCATAGTCAAGTATTGTCTAATGGACTTATAGTTCCGCATCCGGCACAGTCTTGTCTATCTACGAATGGTAGTTGCCTTGAACGAATTCCTTTTTTTTCAAGAAGGAAACGTTACTCACGTGAAAAATTGCATTAGTGAATCTCCTGAATTCCAACAAGCGGCGCCCACTTTGTTATTTGAATAAATATATGGACACAATTTGGCCCTTCTTTCAGAAAGAACTCTGGCGAACCTTTACACCGCGGAAAATTATTATTAACGAAGTGAAAGGATAAAATAGGTGGTGGTCTAAACTTTGAAGTTCTTACGTGCGATAAGAACTTCGTGTGGCCTAAACTTTGATCGTTCCCATGTGCGATTCATTGAGAAAGTGGCCTAAACTTTGATCGTTCCCATGTGCGATTCATTGAGAAAGTGGCCTAAACTTTGATTCTTCCTATGTGTGAAAGTGGTCTAAACTTTGAATTTCCCCTGAGGCGCTCTGACTAGTTCTATGTGTGTCATCACCTTGAATGAAAACGTAAACCTTATTGGTCTGCATAAAGCGTAGTGGCCTTAGCGGGCGGTGCTCTAGTCACCGATGGCAGAACCGCCTCCGGGGAAATTCAAAGTTTAGGCCACTTTCTCAAAGAATCGCACATGGGAACGATCAAAGTTTAGGCCACACGAAGTTCTTATCGCACGTAAGAACTTCAAAGTTTAGACCACCACCTATTTTAAAACAAATGATGCCAACGTGTTTTCGGGAAATCAACGTATCTGACTACTATTTCTGGAGAAAATGATTATAAAAAAGCGTTTTTCCTTCTGATAAAAAATTGAAAGAAATAGATTTTTAACGAAAATGAACGAAAAATTTCAAAGCGGAAATAAAATCACTCATGTGTACGTCAACTCTTTATTTTCTTTTAAAAAATGACAGATTTTGAAGAGGCAAAGAATCAATACTGCACGAAAACTTCTTTGAAAGAAATTTTCCATCGCGAAATCGGATTCAGAGATCTTTACAAAGCAAATGTCTGCCGTGGTATCGGATATTTAGCCAAACCTTATGTCGTCTTCAAAATTATTCTCACAAGTAGGTTTCCTTCTTTCATCGAAAAATTCATGATCATTCAAGTTTACTGGATTCCCGGGCTAATTTACAGAATTTGGAGTTTCTACAACGAGAAAGGATATCAGTTTGGCCTCAAGGATCGCCAGTTCACGGATTGGGCGTCAAACTGGAATGATATTATTATTTGCGTCTATTTGCTTATTACTAGGGAAATCACTAATAATTAAGCTTTTTCTAGCTTAGAAGGGTGAGGTTATAATACAGATTTAGAATCCCAGAAGCTGGGGATCATTTTGACTATTGATAGGTGGGGGTCAACTCGTACCCTGAGGGCATTTAGGCACCTCTGAAGTCCCAAAATCCAGCCAACTTCGGAAATTGGAATTTTGAACGCCCAGACCGCCCCTTTAGAGCCAGCGACTGTGCTAGAATTGTAGCCCAGGCTCTGACGGTCATTTGAGATATAGAAAAGTACTGAGACCCGGGGTTCCTGAGGAGCTAGAGGCTCTTGAAGTTCGGGAACTCGACAAAAATTGAGTACTTTTTCACAAAGTACACCATTTGTGTCACAAATGCCTCCAAAGACTCTTTATCTATGTTTATTCATTAAAAAATGTTTAAGAAATCATTTGGGGTCATCCGAGGTCACTCTAGGTCAGAAATTATGAAAAATTTAGAAAACTGTCATGAGTGACCCGATCTGACCTCGGATGACCCCAAACATTTTTAATGAAGAAACTTAGATAAAGAGTCTTTGAAGCATTTGTGACACAAATGGTGTACTTTTGTGAAAAAGTACTCAATTTTTGTCGAGTTCCCGAACTTCAAGAGCCTCTAGCTCCTCAGGAACCCCGGGTCTCAGTACTTTTCTATATCTCAAAATGACCGTCAGAGCCTGGGCTACAATTCTAGCACAGTCGCTGGCTCTAAAGGGGCGGTCTGGGCGTTCAAAATTCCAATTTCCGAAGTTGGCTGGATTTTGGGACTTCAGAGGTGCCTAAATGCCCTCAGGGTACGAGTTGACCCCCCACTATCAATAGTCAAAATGATCCCCAGCTTCTGGGGATTCTAAATCTGTATGATAACCTCACCCTTCTAAGCTAGAAAAAAAGCTTAATTATTAGTGATTTCCCCTACTTATTACAACCTTTCTCGCGATTCAGAACTGTGATGAGTATCAGTTTAAGAAAAAAGACAAGCAGAGGTAAAATGCCGATAATGGTTGAGTAGAAATGAGTTCAGTCGTATTCCGGCTACTAAAACGATGTACTTCTGCCAGGTTCTTTTCGAAGTTGTTTTGGCACGGGATGAGTTATAACATGAGATTTCACGAAAATGAAAAAAAACTCTTATAAATTACCCGATTGTAAGACCCAGGCCGTAGCTGTTACAGCGATGTTTATGGCTCATCACAACGGAACGCCAGTTGCTAAAGCATTGGCACCCGATGATCCTACTTCAGAAAAGCTTCTTTATGGCGATATTCATGTTCACATCATCAACGGTATAAATAATATTGCCGAAGGATTCGGGCCTTTCGATTGATAATTCCAGTTAAAAAATAAATTAAGCGGTGGTGATGCTCATTGAGCTCTGCACAACAGCGATTCCGGTCCGAGTCTTTCACTTTATCTTCATTTACGTATCAACAACCCGCGCTTTCGGAATATGATTTTGTTTTAGATATATTTATTCGTTTACACGCTCAATAGCTACATCGCCTTTGTCATTTCTCCAGTCCGAAATAGACCCTACGAATTCCTTGATTGGGAAGAGCTCACCAAAGAGAAAGGCTTGGGGACGTTTGAAGCGATTGGACTCGTTTTTGCTGTCACAACAATTATTCATATCATTGTTTATTTCGTTTCAATGCTGAAATTTTGGATTGCTGATCTCTTTGAAAAGAAATTTGGAATTTTAGCTTGATCGAATTGAATACATTTTTAAATAGAAACGATGGTCTTCAAAAGATCAATCATCAAAAACCGCTTTGTGCGCATTTGAGTTCTCATTTTTCTAAAATAGAGAATTTTATTTACAAAATCAGAGTTACAGAAAATCATGAGTAATTGAAAAGAGCATCGTCAGTGGAACAAGTACGAGCACCCAAGGTCGGAAGGCAGCATATTTGACATTTTTCGGAAAGACGCGGTTGAAAGACTAAAACGTCAGTGACCTCTCTTCATGAATTTCTTTACCTTTGATTCATAAATATGATAAGCAAGAACCAAGTTGCCCATTCTATAAACTTGTTTGAGACCGATCATGATTGCTGCTGCTATCAAATAATCGAGTGTCTTTTTGGGAAGCATCTTTCTCGCCCGCTCCATGAACGGATCGATGTATTTTGAGTTGAATTCTTCTTTCGTCAGGCACTCTTCGGTGTCGTTTTCGGACAGAAGATTTGCGACCACTTGAGCTGGCTTTGTAATGATTTTATAACATCTAAAACCGTCGATTTTAGCCGCGTAGCGCAGGAAAGTACCCTTACGTGTATGCATCGGCATAATCTTTCAACATCATCATTCCGCTCAGAAACACAACTCCATCGCAAAAGCCATAAACTGCCATGAAGCGCATAAACGGCACTCCTCCTTGCTTCCTCAAGTCGGCGAATTTCAGCTCTTTCAAACTCTTTCCACTTGAGGCGCTTCTGACACTTGCCAATCGAAATCGAACTAACGGAATTCGTGGAAACATTCTAGTTGTTCACCATTAAATTGAGTGGTGAGATTGATAAGTGAACTATTTACGATTGAACAGAAATGTGAAAAAACAATTGAACTAGTAGCTACCCCGGCCTCTGGAGCCTCCTCTATTACCGCTTCCTCGTCCACCTCGATGACCGCCTCCTCGTCCGCGTGATTGCCCTCTTGAGCTTCCTCGACCTCTTCCACTGGAATGATCAGCGTTTCTGTCGCCATGATAACTCTGAGAGCCTCTTCCACGTCCGCGAGGAGGACCACCTCGGTCATTTCTCGATCCTTGTCGATCATGATTGCCTCGAGAGCTTGTTTCGTTTCGTCTGTGATCATTCTCGCCGTGACCGCCTCGATCCGCTCGATGATGATGATCCCGATTTCCTCCTCGTCGATTACCTTGATGATTTCCTCGGTGATGACCGCCTCGGTCATTTCGCGAGCCTTGACGATCGTTATTTCTCGAGTAGCTTTGTCGATTTTCTTGCGATTCCGAAACTCTTGGAGAGGGAGCGGAAACAGTCGAGCTCTGAGGAAGATCGCCTCCAATGAAATCCATCAACGATCCTTGTGGACGAGCTTTTTCCTCTTCTTCGTAGTTATTTCTTCCGCGTCTGCCTCGTTTTCCGCCTTTTCCCCTTCAAAAAGAGTAGATATAATAATTTGCGAATGGGTCTACCTGGTCGATCTTTCATCTCTAGAATGGCTCTTGGCTGATAAGCTCAAGCTTTGAAGCCCATCAAGCGCCAGTTCCAAATCGTTGTCCGCCTCTTGCATTGCTTGAATACAATCTGCTTGCTTAAAACATTTCGAGACAGCCCTCCTTAATTCTTATTACCTGAAATCCCATTTCAACAAGAAGCTTCACTTTAGCCTTATCTAGTTCGAGTCCACTGGCGGTAGGTAAGGCCTTGTAATAGGAGCTTTTAGGAGCGTCGGGTTTCTTTGAAGCAGTTGGTGCTGGAGTTGGAGCTGGTGAATCGGTGTTGGATGAATGATGAGAGGAGGAATTGCGATTGTATCTGCTTCTGAATATAGAGTGGTTATTCATGAAAAACTCTAAAGTACCTTACTCTCGATCTCTCCGCTGATTATTGGGCAAAACTCCTAGGCTCCTGCTGGTGGCAAATTTCAATCGCGCGGTTTCAATTTTTGCCAAATCTTTGGCCCTCTGTTCTTCGAATTCTCCCTCTGAATCTGACTCTTCTTCTTTGTTGAAGACTTTCTTTCCGCTGAGATCTTCAGTTCCAATTTTGTTTCTATTCTGCTTAGCGTTTCGTTTTTCGAAGGGGATGAAGACAGGAGGTCCGCCTTGTTCGAAGGTCTTGACGCGGAATTCGGAGTTTTGAGAGTCTTTATCTACAAGCCATTTTTCGATTAGGGCATCGACTTCGCCACCGAGGATTTCGATCTTGGAGTCGTCGATTTCGAGATAGCTTCCTGATTGAGCAAGTTTTCCGGTCAAGCGGACTTTTGTTCCAGGCCACGTTTCGACTGTAAATTTGGATGTTTTTCTAGGAAAATTTTACACCCTAGCATAATTCGAAATACGAACCTGAGTTCGACCAGTTGGAATGATGATCTTCCATCCGTCAAGATAACTTGTAAAAAGCGCGGGTTTGAGTTGTTATGCTGGCTGATTGAAGGAGCGCCAACATTTTTGACCGCCTTGACTTGAAGAATAAGCGGCGTTGGATGTTGAAGATTCTTTTTCATTTCGTCGGTGATTGGCGCGGACGTGATTTTTGACAAATCTTTTTTGCAAATGGTTATTTTGGTGAGAATCACACAACGAGAAACCTGTATCAAGAGCAAGATCATAAAGTGGAATATTTTCTTCCTCATCGTCCTGAACCGATTTCAAATACTCAAAACCATCGTTTGATATCCCCCATCCTTGTTTCGACAGCACTTCCATCGTCTTAATTATACAACGGTAAGCACATGTATTCAACACTGTGTAATGACTAGGAAAATCACTCGAGAAAAATTGAAGTCAGTCAAATAAAACCCAAAAAGTCCTGAGAAAAATGACGTTTATTTTTCAAAAATGGCGCAGTCGCTTGATTTTTCTAACAATCAAGAGAGTGAACATGTAAGCAGGGTAATGATACGCAGGTTTCTTCTGTTTAGCGGCCGAACTTCTGGAATTCCCATTCTCGGTTGCAGAGAGGGCACACTTGGCGAGTCTATAATCAATTTTTTTACTTTTTTTCTATGTTGAATCGAGAAGAAAAGAGTTTTTCACCTTGAGCCATCGACTAATGCAGTGAAAGTGGAAGGCGTGGTTGCAGACGCCCCACGCGACGTTGCACTCCTCCGAGGTGGAGGAAGACTGCTGTGCCTGGCATTCGATGCACAAGTCCATGATGTGGTTTCGGCAGATGGCGCAGTTGTCGACGACAATGTCCCAAGCCCAGAGCGCTACAGCGTTCCATTTTTTCACTTCGAAGCGCTTCTTTGTTTCCGCCGCTGTGTCGACTTCCATCCTCCTTTTATCCGTGTCTCACAATATCTGAAAAGGTGGACAGTTATTTTCTTTATCATCAATAAAACTCAAGAAGAGGGCACCATATGTCGGACTTTTAATGAAACAAAATAAATCATTTCCAGGGTATTCTCTTAAAAGCACTTCCCTGACGAAAACCAGTTCACAGTGACGCGAGACCCGTCAATTTCTCGAATTCAGGAAAGATTGACGGCTAGCGCAACTGTGCCCTGGTAATCTGTCCCCTCGACGGTTTTTAAAGTCTATATTTTGGCCCAGAATCAGATGGGTTTTGAACAGAAATCAGCAAAATAAAATTGAACAGGAAAATCTAATCTAGAAAGGTGGAAGACCGAATTCTTCCGGCTTGAATTCGAGCATACTTCCAAGAACAACCGTTGCTCCTTTTCTTCCTTCTTCGGAAAGACGACTGAATTTAATAATGAAAAACCAAGGAACAACCATTTATTACCTATCAGGGACCATGACGACTTGCATGCCAGCAGCCAGGGCTGATTTTACCCCATTCGGCGCATCTTCGAAAGCGAGACATTTGCTCGCCTCTGGAACTGGCGAAAATCTCTGGCGGCAAATTTCGAAAGCGTCTGGCGCCGGCTTTCCGTTTTTTACTTCTGGATCGCTGCCGCACTTGACGATGTGAAGGAAGTTTTTCATGAATTCCGTGTGATTCTTTCCGGTCTTCAAATCGAAGGCTTCTTTACTTGAACCAGTCGTAATTGCTGAATTTGGAATAGTCTGGGATAGAAATGGGTGCCTTACCGATCGGAATATTGTGCTTTTTGAGATGGTCGATGAGTCGCTGAACTCCAGGAAGAAGAACGCAGTTTGGGAACACTTTTGGGTACTCTTGAGAAACGTTTTCAATCCAACTCTCGGGTGTGAATTGGTCTTCCAAGTCCAGTTCTTTCAACAAGATCGCTGCGGCTTCAAGGGGCTTTCTTCCCATCAATTTCGCTTTCGTTTCAAAAGTGTACTCTCTATCGACGCGTTTCAAGCAGTTGACGTACGCTTCTGTGTACAGATCTTCTGTATTCAGCAGCAAACCATCCATATCGAAGAGGCAGTGCGTCACAGGGTTAAACTTTGTCATGGCTTATTTCGAAACAGACTATCAAACATGCAATTAATTTTCCGGTCATCAAGAAAACGCATCGATCGGTTTGTTATCAAAAATATTAATTTATTCAACATAGAAAAAAGTAAAAAAAAATAACTATCGAGGCAGGAATGGGTCAAGTAAGGAATGGTTTCTGTAACAGCTGATAATTATCAATATGCTTCTCCTGCCGATGAACTCAGTTGGTCTCGAATACGGAAAAGCTCATTCCGCAAGCTGTTGATTTCCATTTGCGCTCTGAAATGACGAATGAAGAAAATGAAAGAATTTTCGTTATTTTACTTGTTGAACTGGTTGTTTTTCGCATTGAGCGTCGTCTTGAGATTGATGATCGTGTCTGTTTGGTCGACCATCGCTTCTTTTCGCATTAATGGCGAATCCTCGCCTTGCATGATTTTTCTCAAGCGCACTTCTTTCTGCGCGTTTGCAGCTTCCATTTCTGACAGTTTCTTGAAAAGAAATAAAATTTTGGTACAGGGCAGATATAACTTACTTTTGCGAAATGTGACAAGTTTTCTGGTAAGCTATTTTGACGGACGAGCTCTAGTTCTATTCGCATGTTCTCCAACTCCACTTGCGCAGCTGAAACATTATTTGTTTTTCTTCAATACTCTACTTTATACCTGTTCTTTCTTTCAGAATATTATTCGCCGCTCGCTGGAAATTCTGGCACTGTTTATGCATATCCACAACCAGCTGCTGTCGGGCATCAATTTCAGCTTGCGCTTGTTTCACCGATTCGACGCTCTTCAAGTATCGCTCCTCAAACACGTTTCTATCTTCGATTGACGCTTGAAGTCGGTTTTCAAGTTCCACCGAATTTTGACAATTTTCTTCCGCTCGAGCAAGCTTTGATTCTAGCAGCGGAACGCGCTCTGCAATCAACCGGATTCTAGCGTTTTCTTGAGTCAGCTTTTCCATTTCGAACTCGTGGCTTTCTACTGCTATGTCCAATCGACCGGCTTTTTCGCGGAGTTCGTGCAGTTGACTGTATAAATCGCGCTTCTCTCGCTTCAGGGTGCCCGCTTCATCTTGAAGAACATGGTCAAGGGTGTTTCCTAAGTCTCTGACAAACCTTTGAGCTGCCGAATTTTCTTCTCGTCCAGAATACTGGAAGCGCTGCTCGAGGAATCATTATCGAATTGACAAGCAAAGGAGTTCATCTTCGACTTTGATTTGTTCTGATTTTTCGACAGAAAATCAAGCTCTGCTTTGCACTTGCCCAACTCGATGGTGAGCTTTTTGATCTCATCATTTTTCGTCATGCTCAGTTGCTCGATCTTTTCTGAGACGTTGTTTGCCGATGAAGAAGTGACGGAGAGCTGCTTCATCAGGTCCGTTACTTCTTTTTCTAATGAGACAAGTCAAATCAAAGAAAAAGACATCGAAGAAAAAAATCTTTCGGGAAAAGATTTTTTAAAACGGAGGTCCCATGATTTGAAATAATTTTACCTTTCGAATTGAGCTGTTCTCTCAATCTCCGAGCAACTAAACTTTCACTTTCGACGCTGTTCCGAGAAATTCGCAGTTCATCCTCGAGCTGCGCAACTTTTCGTCGCTCCTCGTCTCGTTGTCGATTAGCTTCTCGGGCGGCGACTTCTGTGTTTCGGCGAAGAGTCTCTTCTTTTTTCAGTAAGTTTTCAAGTCGGTCAATTGTGTCGTTTTCTTGAGACAAGCCATGAGTTGTGCTTGTTCGTAACTCGGTTATTTTCAGCTCCAGTTCTGAAGAAAGGACTTAGAATGTGAAAAGTTACAGATGAAGTCTGAGCCAGGGTGTCTAAATTGGACAAAATTTCCGGGTCTGGCCGGCCATTTTCCGGCCAATAATTTTTTCTCGGGTTTGATCCGGCCAAAATCCAATCCAATTCCAATTTAGCCCAATAATCCAATAATTTGCCAATTATGAAATTCCCCAATTTAGCCATTTTTCCAATTATTGTCCGATTCCAATAAATATCCGGATCCGATAAAAATCCGACAAAGTTTACTCTCCAAAAATATTTCCGGTTTATATTATCTTATTTCTTCTCTAAAAAACTAAAAAAATGACTTTAAGAATTGCTTTTTGGACCCAAAAGTACACTAATTCCACTAATTGTAGTCATTACTCGGGTTAATTTAGGAGTATTTTTGGTAAAAATTTGATCAAAACGGCTAATTCGGCTGGTTGCCCTACAATTTTCCAGTATTCCAATATATTTTGGCCGCCAATTTACCCTTTTTAGCCCCGGTTTCCAATTTATCCCTACTATCCAATAATGCCCAATAATCCGAAATATCCAACAAAACCGGGGCCAGATCCAACCAATTTCCGGCTATTTTCCAAAATAGGCCAATCCAACTATCCAATCCAGTTTTGTCCGTCCAAATTAGACACCCTGGTCTGAGCTCAGCTACTTTGTGATCGACTCAGGCCTTGTTTTAACCACTCAGAACCTTAGTTCTTTTAAAATTTAAATAAGCGAGAAATGATTTTTCTGGCTGGGGGGACAAAAGTCCAGCACCAACTCCTGGGCGAGCTACCACACCGCGCTACTAGCCAAGATATGGGGGCGCAACGGAGCGCGCCCGCTGAAATCAAAAGCACTTGATGGAAAATGAAAGCTTACCATCTTCAGATTATGAACAAGAAGAAGTGATCTTAATTATAAATAATAGCTATAATTACTATTATTAGGTTGGGCACAATTAAAACAGGGTAAATATTCTCGCTTGGGCTCATTAAATTAATGGGTATCAGATTTTTTGGAAGAGTTTTTATCTAAATCATTAATTCCACGTTTCGAATCGACCCTCAAATGATGATATGAGCAGAAAATATTTAATCTAATTGCCCCTTACCACGGGGCTTCGCCCCTTAGGTCCTAAAATGCCGGGGTCTAGTCTAGGGTTACTTAGGGTTACCTTCGGTAACCCTAACTAACCCTAGCCTATCCCCCTCGTGTGAGACTGTTCTGTCATTTTGCGCGGTGCCCCCTAACCCTAACCTTTAAATTAAGCCAATCATTAATTAAAGCCATTCATAATATTAGTTAATTAATTCATTTAGTAGAGGGGAGAGAAGCGAGTTTGAATCGAGCGGCTCTTGCAGCGAGAGTGTTGCTCGCGAGCGCTACTCAGCGAGGGCCTGTATTGTGGTGTGGTAGCTCGGCCAGGAGTTGGTGCTGGACTTTTGTCCCGATTCCCGATTTTTCTTACCTTTATTTCTGAGATACAATTTTTCGTTCTCGAGCTGATAGGAAGACAATAGCTTCTCGTTTTCTTTGTTAATTTCTTGTTGCTGCTGATCGCCATTATCACTTGGAAAATACAACTTCTGGCTGAATTCGTTCGCTCTTTGGACTCGCTGAAGATGTTCTTGCTCTGCCAGATAGTAGTTTGAAAGCTCGACTGTTTTTGTTTGGGATAACTGATGGATGAGTTCGTCAAAATAGTGCTTGAGCGTGTCCTCTATCATTTACATACAAAAAACGCTGAATAAAGAAATTCGTTAAAAATAGAACCCAGCCCTGCTCGCGCTTCTTTTCTTGCTCCAATTGTTCGCGCAGACTTTCAACTTCACTTTTGTCATTTTGAAGCGAAGAAGCGAAGCCCTGCGATTGCGAGAGCCGCAACTGGCTCTTTTTTCGTTTCTCGACTTTTGCCGCTTCTACTTTTGCGGCTAAACGGGGCGAGATTCGAGGCCGTTGGCTGGATGAAGGCTTGTAAGTAGCGTTTCCGTAGCCGCTGCTTTTCACGTGGCTGAAGTCGGGCTTCTTGTGGCTAGATGTCTGTGAATTAGGGTAGGCGTAAGAATTCCAAAAACGAAATTCATCAGAATTTCTTCAAATAGAAAGATATCCAGCTTTCGGCGACCCTAACCTTAGATCCTTCTTTCGTGTCTATTCTTTTTTCGATCTTTTCGACCTTTTGCGGCTTTTTCTGCGGCTCAAATGTGTGAGCTAGTTTCTTCTGGTTTGATGCTTCTTGAGTCAAATTGAGAAGTTCGGCGAGAGAACTATCCGCCAGCGAGATTTCGTGAGTTTTGCCAAAGTCTTCCGGTGGAATATCAGCTATCGAAACTGACAAAGAACGCAACGATTGAGACTTTTCATCGAGATCGTCGATGGCCTTTGTCGCTTCTGTCTTCTGCGGCTCCTCTGAAGCTTGTAATTTCCTAGTTGATTCTGATTTGACGATTTCGAAAGCATCGTTTTCTTCGTTTTCAGAAACAGACGCTGATTTTGGAGTTTCAAAGATTGATTCGTCTTTCTGTGGTTGTAGGCCCAAAAGATCATCGATGCTCAAAGATTTCTCTTCGTCCTCCTTTTCTAATTGAGACTGATTTTGACTGATTGCCTCTGAATCAGATTTCGCTTCGACATAAGGCTCAAGGAAGTCGACGCCGATCCCTTGAGTTCCTGCAGCTTCTCCAATTTCTGTTGCTTCTGTGACTGAATCGTCAGAGCTTCAGAAGGGCTCGTTTCTGATTTATAATATTTTATACAAACAGAACTTTATCCTCGTTTTTTGATAAATTATCTGTTTTTTTTTAATATTTTTTTTAAATAAATGAAACCCTTCACTTGACTCGTCGACATTTTGAACAGTCACCGGCTGAAGTGAGTCCATTTCCATTCCTCCGTTTTCACTCTTCTTCTCCGAATTCGTCAATTCACTATCTTCCTTGAGCGTATCGGACTCGATAGAATCGTTCTCAATCGAAGGGGAAACCGACAAATTCTCATTTTTCTCGGTCGATTCGGTGGCGTCGGAGAAGATGGAGCCAGTATTGCTCGATTCGTTTTCAGCTTTTTCGGAATTTTGAATTTCAAAATCGCTGCTTTCGCTTTTTTCGCTGTCGATAGATTTCTCGGTCGATTTCGATTTTTCGCTCTCGCTTTTTCGAATCTCCTCAACGACTTCTTTCAGCTCTTCCAGCCCTTCCAGCGTCCCTGTCTGCCCAAATCTGTTATTCCCTCCCGGACTGTCTGGTAAACAACCCAAGCTGTGCAACGCGGAGTTTTGCTGAGCCAGTCGATTGGCAAACTCCTGCCGCTCGAGACTTTCGGTATTCACTCCTTCTGTAGTGGTGCTGTCACCGACAAGCATTTGCGACTCGATCGCTGCTAGGATTCCACCAGGTTCGTCAGGCAAAGAAGTGTCGACTCGACTAGGCGGAGCGGGAGGTTTTGAAGCTAGAGTTAAGGCTCGACAAAGGCTTTAAACATGAGCATTTTTATATGAAAAGTTCATTTTTCCTCTCCTGTGCCAAGGAAACACAGGACTTGACAGGAATAGGAACCCTGACTCAGGTTTTCAGACTGGAAAATTTCAAGTTTGCCGAGCCGTCCCTAGAATATCGTCAAGTTCAGTGAGCGTCGCGGTTTTGATAAATCTTGAAGGCGCCTTCTCAAAATCTTCTGAGCTGGAAACATTCCAATCGAGCGATTTCGCCGCCCCTTTCGGAGTTCTTCCGGTGTCTTTTCCCGAAGTTAGATCGGAGCCGGAAATCGAAGCCATCAAAAACTTTTCAAACTCCTTGTCGCTGTCATTTTCCGATTTGTCGGAGTCGGAACTCATTCTGAAAAGCGCGAAAATTAGATTTTCAACATTTCTGCAAAATATTTTTCACTTTTTCAAGTGTGCCCAAATAAATAAAGCCGCCCAAAGTGATCCAGAAAGTTCGGGGATAAACTCCAGCGAAAAGGGCTCCAAAGCCTTCGTTTTTGTAAACAGACGAAAGAATTGCCGGAATATTATAAGATCCGTTCGTTTGGTCCAGCATTATTCGTGTTTTTGCCACATCTGAACAGAATCTTCAAAAACAGGAAAAGTATTGTCCCTACCTAATGGTGTCGTAGTAGAAGCAGCAATAGCCCCTGAAATGGCACCGCAAAAGCCAGATTCAAAGAAACCCAGATCTCGTTCAATTTTCGCTTTTTTCTGATAAAAACTTTTCAGCGCTTCCCAAATCGGAAATTGAATAATCGAAAACGGCACTTCTCGGCAAATCGTCGCCGCAAAGCCTCTGTAAAATCCGGGAATTCCTAGAATTATGTTTTACTTGAGAATGACTGAATTGAATTTTTACCTTCTTTCGCGAAAATTAATTTAAAATTTTCGCTCGAAGAAGAAATCGTCGTCGCTTGGCATCGTTGCTTGACCACTTCTACCGGCACTCGGATCATGCAAGCGCCAATTTCGCCGATAGATGGCGCGAGAAAGTTATTCTTGAACTTCTCGAGTTTCTCGTTTTCGACTTTTTGTCTTCTGATTCCTTCGTAGATGCTGAAGAACAGGGCGGAGCCAGGTACTGAGCCGGCGGAAACGATTCCCAGTCCACGGTATAGACCCTTGAAACCGCCTGCTTTGAAGAATCCATCTTTTGATTGGAGACGGGTTTTTACTGTGTCGACTTTTCACAGGCTCAAAAATAATAGAGGATATTTTTTTAAATTTTGATTTTTTTTTGTATAAAAATATTTTTTATTGAAATTTTTGGGCCCGTTTTTGGAAAGAGTGAAATATCAACAACAAATCCAGCTGCTCCTCCTGCCGTCAAATCTTTCCAGGCTGCCATTTCTAGCGCTTCTTTTTTCTCTTCCTTCGTCTTTGTGAAAAATTCTCCTTGAATTGGTTGCAGCCAATCAGCGCGCGCCTTTGCTTCAGCGCTCCACTGGCGGCGCCAAAGTTCCAAATTTAATTTTGACGATCAGAAATCGGTCCGTAGTCAAGATTAACTTCTCAATACACGGGCGCGCTACTAAGCGCTCAAAACACGGGGTCCAATTATTGGACCACAATGCATTATCCAGTCCCGCGCGGCGCGCCAAATTCAGAGTGTGAAAAACAGCGCTCAGGACATTTGGCTCTTATTGACGTTTCCGTTGGGTAAAAAGCTCGTAAATATATTGCTAGAAAGCTTGAACCCTCTTCTATAAAAATAAACAATTGTAAATCGAAAAATCCGTTCCGATTTTTCACCATAGAGCGAAAGAGAAATCTGGCGCAAAACGCCACCACTTTTGAGTTTTCATTCGAAACTACACAGAGTGGTTCGTTTTTGTCCTGTCAGCTCACATTACAAAATTCAGGTCAACCAGATAACTACAACGGGGATTACAGGGGGTCAAAGTCGCCGTGGTCCAATGATTGGACCACGTGCATTGAGAAGTTAAGGGACTCGTACTCCATTTGTAATGATCGATACCGTATGCTAAAATTCATACCGTATATTGTTGAGCAAGCAGTGGTAAAAATGACGTTTTGATAAATTAAAATTTATTGCAAAGATGACGAGCCACAAGAGATGCCATGGTATTTGCTCAGGAGCTCGTCTCAATTCTGGCTAATTTTCTTCTCAAATTCAAAATATGCGTTTTTTGATTTTCGGCCTTTTTATTTCCGTCGATTCAACTTCCCTTTCTCGCCATTCCAAAGAGAAATCAGAAAATTATTCTGATATAAAAGAAGATGTCTGCCCGTAAATGACAATTTCTTGAATCATCAGCTCGTAATTATGATTGTTTTTAGCGACGAGGATCTTTTCGATGAGTGCTCTGGCTTATGCAGACTTAACTATCAACAGTGTCTTGTAAATTGCGACTCTTCAGTCTGCCAGAACGAGTGCGCCAATTCCTTTTCTGGTAACAAAATCAAAAGAGCACATCGTATATTTTTGCTAAGGATGTGTTTCATATTGTCCGTGCGGCGTTAATTGTATCGATGGCTGCAGCAAATGTGAGCACCCACTTTGCTTGTCATCGTCTCCATCGTCAACGACGACAGATTCTCCCATCGACCAAGTATGAAAATAGCAAGATTGATAATTCCGATGTAAAATTAAGTCGAATGTGCATATTCTGGTAATCCCACAAATACACGCCGCTTACATTGTCTCCGGCGACGGCTCGAAAACTTCAAAAGCAAAAATAGACGCCCCTGACTCCGATTTCTACACCGATCAGGCTCCTTCTGCAGTGATTCGCAATGAGTTGTATATTTTTGGAGGAGATAGAGGAGACAAATATAAGGTAGTTACTCTTCAGCTAAAAATTTACCGAAATTTTTAGATCGCTAAATTTGTAACATGCGAGTTTGTTGAGCTTTCTATAAAGATGAATTATAAATATACTTACGTCTCGTCAGCACTTTCGATCGAAAAGGGCGAAAGAGGTGAGAGCTCGCGGATTTAGTTTGTCAAAAAAAATTTTAGCTTTGGTTTGCTTTCCAAATGAAAGGCGCGAAAGCATCGAAGAAAAAGGCTGCGAAATTTTCGACATTCATGGAGCGACGATAACGAGTTTCGCTCAATATACCCATCATCAAGGAAAACTTGGCGTTTATAAGGGAAAACCAACGACTGTTGGAAGTGAAATAGAAGATGGAAAGAAAAAAGTAGAGACTTGGAGTTCAACTGGTGGCTGGGAAGCATTGCCAGATTATCCGAGGTAAGGAAACACAGACTTTATACAGACTTTATAGTTGTTGATGCTGATTTTGAAGGGCTGTTTACGGTCATACTCTAACAAGTCTGGGAAACAGTGCAATGATTTTGGCCGGTGGTTATGTTGATGATGAGAGCGAAGGAATAACGAATGAAATTCGAATGCTCAAAGACGGATCCTGGTCGATTCTTGGGAATCTCAAACGCGTATGAGATTTTAAATTTGTCAAATTTATGATAAGAAAACTCACTAAGGCTCATCTTGTTGGCTCTTCCCTACGAAAAGGACAATTCATATATCTTGCATCAGGCGAGAATGAAAATTCTAAAGAAGCTCATTCACGTGCAGTTGAAAGGATTCAAATTTCAAACGATGAGTTGATCGAGACTGTTGTTATTGGAGGTCATGATGTCAATGGCAGAATTCCAGTCCTTTATGAAACCTCGCCAGACTCTTGTGCAGAGAATAATTTCTGATTTTTTTATTCTAATGAGTGAAGAAAACCCATTTTTAAAACATCTTCATATAAAAAGTTTAGTTATTCAAAACAAATAATTGTATTAATTGCTCAAATATTTGCCAAACTGCAAGCATGCGCGGTCACTCGCTTGTCTTTTTTTACAATTTTGCTGAGGTCACATATTTAACGCTCCGTGTAAAAAAATTTTTATTTTTGTTCTTTATAAAGTAGGGTCGGTCATTTGCGGAATAGGAGTCGAGACGGAACTCAAATTTTTTAGTCAAAGTTTTATTATAAATTAAAATCTATCCACCATCATAAAAATTTCTCCATTCAGGCCATTGTTTTTTGTAGATTTTTCTGCTCAAGCCAAGCTCTTGCATAGTCATGTGCTGGCATAGCAGACTCTTCTTGCCTTGCTCAGATAGCTAAAAAGTATTTCAAAATATTAAATCATATACATAAATACCTCATAACTCTTCATTGTTACCCCTCCAACAGGGTAAGCACAATCATTATCATCTGGTGGACATATTTTTTCTCCAGCAAGACAAAACTTATTGATTGCCTTGAGTTTGCCATCAAGAATCTTCATGTCATTTTCGAAATTTGGCGTAGAAGCAATTTTGTTCCAAAAGGTTGAGTTAAAATGTTGATATATCGCATTGTCGAATGAATTCCAGTCTCGCATTTTTTGAGCTATATATCAAACGTTTATCATAAGGGTGCATAAATTATTAAATAAAAAAATCATTACCCAAATCATCGGAGATTGTCTCTTTCTCCGATCTAGAATTCGTGACAAAAAATAGCACATCGTCCCACTCCCAGCAAAGCTCGTTTTTAAGCAAAACCATGCTCTCCTGGAAATAGTCGGACAGCAAGACCAGATCGAATGTATGGTCGAGATACTTAATGCTGGCTTCAAGCTTTGATGTGTCGAACGAATCAACCCCGAGGTCGAAGGCAACATGATTTCGGGCGCGAACTTCACCATATTTGTTTAAATTTCTAAGCAATGTTTGAAATAAGATTGATTTAAATAACAGTGACAAGTTCTTTCAATTAACATAATATAAAAGAATGACTTTTGGAAATTGTCAATATCTGAATTCTCGGTCAGAAAGATTACATCTGCTTACGACGGTAAATATAAGTCTTTTATAAGTTTTTTTCAAACACTCAATTAATTGCAGTGATATTGTAATAAGCGGCTGGATTGGCATAAAAGGTCTTGATATCCCCAGCTGCTTTGTAAGCATCACATTCGTGTTTAAAATAACTAAAACAGTGCATTTTCAAAATAATCGCTATGGGTAAAAATAAGATGCTAAAAAAAGCTGACTTACGCAAAGGAACTCTCATAAAGAGACGGAATATCTCTCAAAATCAGGGCTGGCAAAATCGTGTCCCACTTTACGCCATAATTTTAAATGGGATTCAACAGTAAGCGTTCCCTTGATATTTGAAGGAGTATCCGAGCATTTACCCGATAAGAGATTCGTGGCAGTTTCACGGCCTCGCGGCCTGATAATCCGTCAATCAACGAGGGTCATTCAAAAGACGACGGGGTTTGCATGGATCCGAATAGTCAAGCACAATCTCGTTCTAACAATTTTTTGGGGTCCGAACAATTTTTTAAAGTGCAATCAGTTGGGCACCTTTTTGCCAGCCCCGATCAGAATCGTTATTCGTTTTGCACCCTTGAAAGTTTTGTATAATTTCGGCGATGCTCGGAGATGATTCGCGATAATCATTGGTTTTTCTCCATCAGGGAATTCCTTTATCATCGATTCTTCGAATGGTTTTGGGTAATAAAACGCATTACCATTGCTTTTTGGCATGGCAATTTTTAAATCATGCTTCAATCTAGAAAATGAGAATTCACTTGTCCTGTCCAGAATTGTACATTTGAAATTATTTTCGGCTCATCCTGACTATGTCGTGAATGTCGTGAATTTCATCAATGTCGTGGCAAAAAAAGGAAAAAAAATCCTGTTCTAGAAAAAACAACACATTAATCGGATTATTGAAAATAGCTTTTTTTTCTACCGATTAACTGATAATAAACAGAAAAAACATATAAACAAGAGATTAAGAAGCGCTACGCACAGTTTCTGGTAGACAGTTTGCGACAGTCTTCGCAGTTTGGTAAAACTCCTTGATCAGAGTGGTAAAACATCTATTTCTTCGCCTCCTACTGTTCTGCACAATCACGATGATACTCATTTCTAGAGAAAATTCAATTTCAGATTTGCAATTTTCGCCACGACATTCACGACTTTCACAACAAAGTCAGGGAGTTCCTTATTTTCTCATAGCGAAGATAGCGGAGCTGACCTGATAATTAAGCGGAGCGTAGCGGAGCTGACCAAAAAAATTACCCCATTGCGGAGCGGAGCTGACTCAATTTTTCCCCGTAGCTAAGCGTAGCGTAGCGGACCTATTTTTCGTTCCTCCGTAGCGGAGCTAACCAGAAAAATTTTCCCGTAGCGGAGCGGGGCTCGCCGGAATTTTGCCGAAGATAGCTTAGATAAGCTGAAAAAGCTGAGAAAGGCTTAGGACGTTATTAACGCTGACTGAGGACTTATTTTACAAAAAAAGCACTACTTTACACAGAAAAATGCCTTTTACTACACAGTGCCTTGTTTTTCACGAATGACAGCTTCATTTTACATAGTTATGATAAGAAATTTATTAAGCTAAGCGTAGCGGAGCTAACTAAATTTTTTTTTCTCCCAAAGCTTAGCATAGCGGAGCTTGCCGTCGATGATTATTACCCATATCTAAATATGATATTTTGAAGAGTCGAGGAGGCGGTTTTGTGTGTTTTCACGTAAACGACTTTCTTCATTGGGCAACATTTATTCCATTGTTCACTTTTTCCTACTTGAATCTGTATTATATCTTTGTCGTCTTGATTACATTCGTAGAATACACTTAAGGGGGTAGAAACAGCTTTCTCGATTTTCGACTGTCGCTATAAAAAACAAAATCCTAGATTTATTTATGATAACGAAATTTCCTTAAAAAATGCTTCTAGAATAGGGGTTAACTCGATATATTCGAGGTTGAAAATTAACTAAAATCGGGAGTTTTCAAGAGATGAGTTGCTTCTGAGCCAACTTACTCAAAAATCTGTTGACTTAAACCAATTTCGAGGGAGATGTTCTTAGACCTAAGATGGATCTGTCTATACGTGTAGAGAAAATTTGGTACAGTTGGTTGCGCAGGTAGTTGCCCCTTGGCAATTGCCGCTTTGGTTGCCCCTTCGCCCGCGCTTTTTCTATTGTTTCTTTCTAGACTTTTTTAGACGCTTTTTAGGGGGCAACTACCTGCGCAACCCACTGTAATCTAAAGTTCTCTTATCTGTAGCGCCAGTCAAAAACCGCCTTTTTTCGAAAAAAGCTGTTTCTACCACCTTAATATAGAATCATTACATGATTTTTGCCTCCGACTGCAGTTTTGATCATTTTAGCCCTATAATTTAGTTTGTTACCTCAGATTGTACATTGAAACCATTATCATTAAAATTGATATAAGAAGAAACGAGCTGTCGCGCAGCATGAGATTAAATTTAATTCGCTCTTCAGTCATTCTATAAGAAAACTAATCGCAAATGAGTCCCAAGTATTATGCCTTTGACTAGACGCCGAAAAATAAATCAGGATTTGTTAACGGGGAGTATCACGGATTTTGGGCTAAAGGGGGGTCGGAGATTTGCTCTCATTTCTACATCAGCTTAGCTAACGGTAAAATTCCGCCTGTGACAGATAGATATGACCAATTTCCATTGCTGTTTTTTTGGAATTTTAATTTACTCAATCGAGTATTGCAGAAGAGAGCTAAGAGTCAAACTCGTTTTTGAAAAGTCGCGATTTCCGCCTCTCGCAGGATTAAAATTTTCTTAAGAAGAATAAGTCTGATCATTAAATTCCCAGTGGATTCATGAAGATCATTACCTTATCTAATGCTGTTTTCGAGGAAATGTTGTGAGCCAAAAAAATTCTTAAAAAATTTTTTTTTGAAAAATGTGTGTCGAAGATTCAAATTCGAAAATAAAGATAATGTGGAATATGAAGATTATTTTTTTTTGTTTAGAAAGAAAAATAAATTATTTTGAATTTTAAAGACATCTGTGACTTTTTTATGCATTATTAATAAGTATATAAAAAAAAAATTGCTAAGACTAAGAAAAACTTCCATTCTCGCTCATTCCTTTAAAGCGCAAGTATAACTTTCAATGCCATTTTTGACGGACTTTTGGAAAAATTAAAAAAAGTGATAAATATATTTTTTGTTAGTCAAGACCTGAGCTTTGAAAATCCGAAGAGATTTAACCAAAATTCCGACTTTCCCAAATCCGTGATACTCCTCCTTAATTAGCATTTTTAATATATCTTGTCGGTTTTTCTCTTATTTTATACAAAAATTTAAAAGCGGATCAAATTTCAAATAAAAATGATGTCTTGATTTGTATCGTCGAAATTCTTTCAACACGGATAATGGTTATCTGCTAGCTTTTGCAAAAGAAAAATGTGTTATTTTGCCCAACCGCACCCAACCGCTACCTACTGGTTTTTCCCTGCCGGCAGTTGTTATTTTCCCGCTAGGCCAAGGTTGGAGCAAGTCTCGGTCTGAGACCATAAGTAAACAGAATCAAAGGTCACATTTAGCTCGAGATCAGAATCAAGCTTAACCCCGGATCAGCCCTTAAAGTGTATATATACAGTGTAAACCCATTTTTAGGCCCCTTTTTGGATGACAGCGAATTTCAAAAGTGGCCTAAAAATGGATATTTTTTGCCTTTCGTCTGATGACAACAAACTTTCCCATATTTTTGGGACAAAAATTAATCATAAGGGTTTAAAGGGAAAGGCCCGAGTCTACCGCATGTTTCTGTCGCCCGAACAAAGTAGGATTTCAAATGTGTTCTTTAAATTGGACTCTTGATGATTCAAAGACCTCTCCTTTCAAAAATATTTTTCTGCCAACATATCTGAGAAATGGATCAAAAATCTCCGTCGAAATCTTCATGCACTTGAACCCAGCCATCTTCAAGCGATCATGGATCAACACAGGACTACTTCAAGAAGATTATTTTCGAGAAGAAATCGAGCAGTTTGAAGATCTCGATATTGCAGAAAATGTTCTGGACAAACAAGAAGAAGAATTGGTCGAGCATTTTCTAGAGCTTCAAATTGATGAAACACGTTCTGTGACTCCGATAAAGATTGGAGAAAAGCCTCAAGTTCAAGTGACAGACATTGCCGACACTAAAAAACCATCGACTTCAATATGGCCGAAGACACAGTCGATGATCACTAGCTTTGACAAGCAAAACTGTTACTTTCGGATTTAAAAAAAATAAAAAAAAGTGGCCTTAAAGTGGATTTTTTAGGATGACAGATTTCGACGACTTTCTAAAAAAGTGGCCTTAAAATGACGGGCCTAAAAATGGGTTTTCACTGTAGTAAATATAGTCGACCAAAAAAAAAAGAATGGTGAAGCTTCGCCAAATATGGAAATCAAAGGCGTAGAATCCGAATCTATCGTCGAAAAAGACTTTTATTGTAAAAAAGCGGCCCGGTTCTGCAAATAACAGAACCTTATTTCGTTAATACAATTCACCAATTTCAATTTTTTGTTGGTCCATATGTTCACGGGCTGAACCGGGGATTATATTTGCTCAAGGTCTCACACGAAAACTTGCTTCCACCTTGGCCCAGAACCAGACTCTACAGGAGTTCGCACCGTCGGCGTGGTCCTTTGCATCGATTGACTCTCGGCTTGACACCTCCCGTGCCTTGGCCTCGCGTGCGGAGCGGGTAAGCGCGCAATAAATCAGTCTATAATCTTTGAAGAAAATGTTTTTGGAAAATAATGTTTTTTGCAAAATGTTAAAAATTCGTTCTGAAAATTTCTTGGTCTCTCGACATAATCAAGGGATACGGGCCTTCGAAAATCTTTCTTTTGCTGATTTCACGCGCGCTGGTCCTATTTATTCACCTTTAGCCTATAGGCTAAACGCTATGGCCTGTGTATTTTGAGGAACACGATTATTTCTTTCGTACCCGTTCAATTTTAAAATCATTGAAAAAATTGATGAAAAATGGTTCTATTCTCTCTACCGTCAGATTTTAATCTATTCTTATTTTCGATGAAGCTACCTAAAATATCATTGTGAAAGAACTTGAGCGCAAAATATCAATGTTATTCCGAGATAACCAGAACTCAATAAAAGAGCTCAGCTTAACCCATCTTTGCCCGTATGACTTCACTCAAGACGCGTAAGCTTAACGTTCATGCGTCATTTATGATAGTCAGTTGAGCAAAAAGCTCTTAGATCCGATGTATGGAAAATATATCGTTTACCTCGTTTGGGTCTTCGTAGGGAGAAGTTTGCAAGGGACAAAGCTCCCTAGGTAAGGCGTTAGGGTTAGGATTTAAGAACCTTTTTAGGGAGGTCACAGGGGGCAAATTTCACGAGTTATTGTAAGATTCAAGGGAAGGACTAGAAGTCAATTCCTACTGTAGAAAAGATCAGTTATTTATAGAATTTTCGGACATCAAATTTTTGGAGATATCCCGTACCGAACGATTTATCTTTATATTTTCTATCAGTTGTGTCATGTTTGTGATCAAATATCTCAATTATTCTATGAAAAAGAGAAAAAAAGGGTCTTTTGCGTGCCATAAGCATTATTTTATTTCTTTTGAAGAATTTATGAAAATGGATTTTCGAATTCTTCCTAGATAAAAATTTTTTTAGCAATTTGGATGAGACATTCTATTGAAAGCATGTTTTTAATTTTTGGACATTTTTGTGAAAATCGTGCGACAAAAAATATCCGGAAAATCCATCATTAACTAAAAACTGTACCGAAATATTATTCCCCACTTCCCTTCAATCTGGTAAAGATTAAGGTTATGTTAAGATTTTTGTATAAATTAAATACAATTTGTCAATAGCCCTTGTCGTTTTTTTAACCTTATTACAACAAATGTGCGATATATGGCATAAAAACTTTCAAACGCCCATTTTCCTCTTTTCTATCACTTCAGTTTCTTCGATTTCATTCATTTTCGGTCACTGGTTTGGGATTGAGACAAGGTTTATGCTCGAGTTTAAGTTTCGGGCTCTGTTTTGGTTCAGGTTTAGTTTTGGGCATTCTATTGGTCAAAAGATGGTGTTAAAGTCCATGTGCCATATATTGCACAATTGTCGTCGGCGGGTAAAATTCATGTTTGTCGTTGTAAGGTTAAGATAGAACAGTTTAACTAAAGAGTAGAGCCAAGTTAAAAATAACGAGTTTGATCTATCAGGTATTGACTATCACTAATAGGCTATCAGTTGGGACCAGATAGGAAAATGATATTGCGAGGAAAATATTGTCCGCGAAAAATTTTGATTATAAAAGAGATTTATTTAAAAAGATCGATCATAAATTTTTTGAAATATTAGAGATAAATTAATGGTCGAGATTTTCTCTTGAATAATTTAATCCAACATAATTATTTGTTTAAATTTTCGAATAATCGTCGATACGCTGAGCGCCATAGGCTTGTTGATTTTTAAGAATCAACGTTGCGAGAATGGGTTAAGATATTTTTGTTGAAGAACTTGAGCGCTAGTAAGCAAAATAGCGTCGACGATTCCAAAATCAAAACTTGAATTTCAAATAATGTCTTACTTTAGAAGCGTTCCATTTTTGAATATTTTTTTCTTGATTCTATTTATTCTGTCATATAATAACGTTTTTTTGAAAATTGAGCAAAATTATGATGTCCATAATCATAGAGAGGATAGAATCAAGAATATCCATGATGAAAAGAAGCTTAAGTTTTTCGTCGATCACGGGACTTTTGATCCAGCATCTACAAATACGACACCCTATGAGATCCTCTCTTCACCGAATGGGAGTTTAAAGGACATCGACATTATGTTCGGTTTGAAAACTGTTTTACAGAATCGTAATATGAGAGACAAAATTCGAAAGTCCTTTGGCAATCCCGAATTATACCGAGAAAAATACAAAGTTAAATTTGTTTTTCTACTCGGAAAAAAGGATGAAACCGATGAAAATTTTATCCTCGACGAGCAATATCTCTTCGACGACATTCTTTATGGAAATTTCCAAGATTCCTACTGGAACTTGACGTACAAGGAGATTATGTTCTACACTTGGACGGAGCAAAAGGCGCCAAATGTCAAATTTGTCTATCGAGGCGACGATGATAATTTTTTGAACCCGCTTGGATTGATGAAATTTTTCGACGAGCATTGGAGCCAAGCCGACGCAGAACCAGCTTTGTGGGGTGGAATAATGAGAGAAAATGATTCGTTGCTTGGTCAAGGAATGACAGTGGAAGAAATAAGAAAAGACAGAAAAGCTGATATGTAAGTCAAAAGACATAAGATCTCATTCAAAAGTCTTTTTTCTTCTTATGTTGTTTTCCGCCATTTATCAATTCAAGTCAATTTCTTAGGTGGCCAGGATGGACGTTCCCCCCATATCCTGCTGGTTCGGGTCAAATCATTAACAGAAACGCTTTATTCGTCTTAGGAAGTCAGATGCAGCATACTCCAATAACTTCGATTGATGATGCCTTTGTTGGAATCTGTATGCTGTACGCTGGCTTCGAACACAGGCTCTTCAATCACGACGGTTTCATCTACTGGGGAATTGGAGACAATGATAACATTTGCTCTGTGGTTAAATCTATAAGCATCCATTATCCGAAGTTTGATTATGAGTGCATGATCAATAGAATAAATTTTTATGCTGATAGATGTGACCGTCAAGACAAATTAGAAATTTCCGCTTCTTGCAATTGGTATGACATGAGTTTCTCCCCGCCGAATATCGACGGACCGATGTACCAACGGTGCGGCCTTCGATTCAATAACAGCAGATGTAGCACCAACAGGCTCCTGGATCGACATTTTAAAACGAATTATAATGAGTTAATTTTCTTTCTCTATCGAGAAAAAAAGACGAGCGTACTGATACAGACATTTTTGAACAGCTTTAATAACTTTTACTTTAATCTCTATCTAACAAAAATGAAATAAGATTTCTTAATTAAATAAGAGATAATATTCTTATTCCTAATGGAGAGCCAAAAACAGAGATGATTGGGCTATTCGAAAACCCGAAAATGGTCCATGTTGCAGCACGAATGGCTACTGTGTGTCAACAAAATGGGATTGCTCGTGCCCAGATTGCGTGGATTTTCTTGAACTTGAAAATTGTAAGAGAATTTACACTTTTTCTGAAAGCTCATTCGAGAACACTTAAGGGTATGGTACGCGCGGAGGCCCAAAGCAGAGGCAATCTCCTCCGGCCCTTTCAATGCTGGGAAGGTGTACTACAGCTCAAAATAAAGTTCTATCCTTGATTCTGATTTACACAAGATTTTTTAAATCCAAACAAAAAAGTCACGTGCAGATGGCTCAAAATTGTCGTCTCAGTCAAAAAGCGCGAAATAAGCCTATATTCATAGGAGATCTCCTCTGAAGTTACCTTAGGAAACCCCGCCGATTCTGTTTTATAGTGACGTTTAGACCCTCATCATTAATATGACACGAGCTTTTTTTGATTCGTCAATATTTCTTATGAAAAAATTTCAAGAGTAGAAAGATACTCATTTTTCGGCTCTTTGGCCCCGTGAATCGCCCCCAGGGCATTTCCCAAAAGGCGCTGTTTTCATTGCAAATAAATGCCGTAAGCATAAGCTTTCCAAAAAGGTATCATAACCAGATTCATAAGGCACCACAAGAAAACGACTCAAAGTTGTCAAAATTTTAGAATTTGTGCCTTTTACACATAATGCACTATTTTTCTCCACTTTCAATTGGAATTTAAGGGAAAATGGGCGAAGAAAGCGCAAAACTCCAAAAGAGTTTTTTGTCTCAAATTTTACGGAGAGTCCAAAAAACTTACCAAGAGAAAATTTGAAACTTGACCCTGTGCGAGTTCCATACCCTTTATTTAAACTAAAATTTGTGGAGCAACGTTAATTTTCATTTGAAGATAAAAATGAAGTTGTCGATCATGAGAAGGATGTCACATGCTGTTCATTGGTTCGAGTTCATACGAAAATGCTTTTTAGGTTCAGAGTTATCAGTAAAATGAATAATATATCTAAGTTTGCTGAATTATCACTGCACATTTATTCAAGATTATTGCAGTTTGACCCCCAAAAAGATAATCCTAACTCCCTGTAGAGGTATTTACCGAAAAATCATAATCGATGGAGAAGAAGCTCAATACGTCTCTCAAGAGGTTTCGAAAGAAAAACCTATTTTCAAGCTCGTTTTTGGGAAATTCAGCTCGGGGGAATCGGGTTGGCATATTTTGACAGTTCAAAATGACGCATACATTCCATTCCATGCTTTTGGAGAATCAACTAGCAAGACAAACTGCCCAAAAAAGCTGATCGGTTATGGACCTTACGTTGGAGAAGAAGCGGACGTTTATTGTTATCACGACAAATACGACTATTTGTCGATAGCGGGATTATGATCAATTAAAAACCATCTTATTCTTTTAACACAGAATCTTTTTATCATATATATCTACTATATTCCGAAGTTAAAACCGAATCCTTTTTGTTTTAAATTTATGACCGCATTTTAAGAATAAATAAATATTCTTTTGTTGACTGAAAAACTTTTTTTCTGTGAACCTAGGCCAATGTAAAAAATGAGGTTGATCTTTTGTTTCGGCATCTTTCCGAACTTTAAAAATGTTTGCTATTAATGTTTCTAAATTCATGATAAGCGCAAAAAATGCTTTCGAATGATGTATATAACTCCCATGTGATTGCGTCCTCACCCTCATTTTCCTATAGAAAAGATATAGTCCGGACAAACAATTTGCACTATTTGGTGCATTTAAGGGCTTGCAATTACACGGATTAAAGAGGAAATCCCCGAAAACAAATCAGTATAATTGCGAGCCCTGACTGTATTATAGGCTATAATTTATACCAGATTTTTCCATGGGTTGTTCAAAGCTTCGACTTCCACCCCCCTGAGATATCTTCCAGGTGTTGCGCTCCATAAATTTCTGGTATCATGTGGCTAATCGCAAATTAATCAGTCCACTTTGCTCTCACATTGAGCTTCCCTCCGCGAGTTCGTTCGAACTCTTTTCGGAGGACCTCTCTTTGCGCCTTCATGCGGTTAATGCTGACTTAAAACTTGCTTGACCTCCGATCCTATATTATGCATTGATCATCGTTGTCTCTACCAAAAGATATATTTATTTTTTGTAGCAGGATAATTTTCAGTAAGGATTATTGAGTATTCCATGGAAACAGACGATTTCTCCTCCAGTTCCTTCTAATTTCGTCGGCGGAGGACATTTTTCGTTGCCGGAATCTCTCGCCCAAGCATACAAACCTCTTCCGTAGTAAGCAGCATAATTATCTCCAAAAAGGATCGATGCGTACCACATTTTCCCTGCCCCGAGATCACCAAATTGTATTCGCGCTTTCGCAATTTTTTCTACTTTTCTTGCAGATTGATAGACAATCGATCCATTGATACTCGCCCGAAGATAAATACCCCTATGAAGCATGTCAGTGTTAATGACTTTGATCATCGGGCAGCAGGATTTTCCAGTCACGTGGTTTTCAAAATATCGTTGATTTCTCGCAACTTTTTTCGCGTCGGAGCATTTTCGACAATCGCAGTCCCATCTTCGCGCGACACAGTACCCTGCAGGGCTACAACATGACCCGTTTGTCATCAATTCGATCGGCTCATCTAACTCGGGCTTGGCGAGTGTGGCATATTTCGGTCCTCTGAAAATTGGGACTTCCAGACTGCTTGTATACCAATTCTTAAGAGAGTAGATATCAAGATCGCCTTTTCAAGCTGATTTATCTTATCAAGAGAAAAATTCTTTAAGGACCCCCGGTCAACAATTTACCTAAAAATCGAAAATTTCAAAATGCCATATTTTGGCTTCTTAGTGTGCCTGGAAGTTCAATTCATCATAAAAACTTGTTCGGACCACATTTTGACCAAGAAAAATTTTAGCAAAATTGGGACTCTTTCGTCATTTTTCGTCAAAAGTCCGATTTTCAAACTCGATTTAGAGGTTGTTAGAGTCGAGATAGACCCCCAAAAAATGAAGCCTCAAAATCGTTTTTTGACCCGTATAATCAATTTCCGGGGTCAAAATTTTGAAATTCCGAAAATAGATTTTTCGTAAATTGTTGACGAAGGGGTCCTTAACTATAAATTTAGACTATAATCACTATATTATAAATTATAATTAGAATTCGATCAAAATTGTTTTTGGATGATTTTGAAAAGATCTGCCGCAAATTATCGCTTCTTTATGTCTACTCCCTTAAGGGGGTGGTGGTCGAGACTAAGACTTTTTTCAACCTAAAAAACTCTAATTTTTTCAAAAATTTTTTTTTCTATTATTGAAAATAAGTTGAAAAGGGTTCAATTTATGTGGGCGGCTATGTTTGAAAAAAATATTTTTTCGAAAAAATTGTGAAAAATTCCTTCAAAGTAGAGCCATCTCTTGACCTAAAAAACTCTATCCCCTTATCATTTTTCTCAAAATAAAACTACACGGGAGGAAAGTTTGAACCCTTTAGCGTGTGGGCGGCTTAGTTTAACAAAGTTTACTTCGTTAGAAAAATAACTAGTAATTGAATGAAAACATATTGTTTTCTGAAAAATCGTCATTTTCACTCATTTTTTCAATGAAATTTTGGAAAACATCACAATAATCATAATTTCTTGAATTTTAATAATTAAAATATGGCTAATTAACATTAGTTAGCAATAAAATATCAATTTTGAGTTGGTTTAAGTGCGAAAAACGCGTTACAAAATTCCCGAAAATGGCGATTTTATAGCATAAAATCGAAAATTTTCTTAAGGAAAGTTGGTCCAATCAAAAAAGCTAGGGACCAAAAATGCTCCTTTTTTATCAAGGAATCTAAAAATAATATCAAAATTTTAAAAAGTCGAAAAAAATTTTCTTGACCACCACCCCCTTAAAGAAGCAAGATGGTTGCGATCGAATGTTTGGGTTTTCTTTGCATTCGCTCGCGTATTTGAAAACAGTGTCAAGCATGCACTCGTAGTCGAACTTTGCATAATGCAAAGTGATGCCATTGACCAGTTTGCAAATCGGCGTATTATCTTCTATCGGAAACGCGAGAAATCGATCATCGTGGAAAATTCGATGCTCTAAATCCATTTTCTTGAAGACGATTCCTTCAAAGACATCATCAATAATTATGAATGGGATAAGCTGCATTTGACTCTGGAGCATGAAGAGTGCTTTTCGGTTCAGAAATCCACCTGATCCAGAAACCCACGCTGGATACTTTGGATGCGGCCACCTTTTTAAGGGTGTCAACTGTCTTAATGAAAAATATTCTCAATAGTTAATTATTTTATAATTTATAAAGTAAAATAACCACTAAAAATTTTCAAAAGAGCCCTTTCTGACAAAAATTGATACCCTTAAATTTTGTCTCTGAACTCTTGTTTCGTAATCGTTGAGTCATATCCACTGCCAAATTTCATTCCCCACATTGCCGCCTCATCGTCAGCGAGGTCCCATTTTTCGTCGAAAAACTCCAATATTTTAAGCGGATTCAGAAAAGTGTCATCATCGCCGCGATAGACAAATTTGACATTTGGTGCGTTTTGCTTCGTCCAAGAGAAGAACATTTGCTCCTTGACTGTCAAGTTCCAGTAGTTTTCCTTGAACTCGCCATACAAAATATCATCGTGGAGTTGTAGCTCTTCAAGAATTTCCAGATTTTCATCCCTTTCTCTTTGACCGAGGAGAAAGACAAACTTGACTCTGTATTTATGCTTGTATAAATTCGCGTTTCCGAAAGATCTTCGTATGACATCTCGTCGTTGACGCTTCGTTGAAACTGTTTTTATGCCGAAAATAATGTCGATATCTTCGAGCTGTTTTTTCGGGGAGTAGAGAATTTTGTAGGGAAGAATGTTCGTTATTTGAGGGATGTAGGATCCGTTGTTGATAAAAAATTTCAGGTTCGTTTCATCTTTAGAGTCGTTTGTTCTTTTTTCTTGGAAAAAACCTCTCTGGCTTATCAGAACGAAAAAAGCTAATGAATAAATCAGAAGAAACAGAAATTTTTTTTGGGCAATCATTTTTTATTTCTATTTTTACCGGCGCACTCAAACGAGAATCGCCGGTTGTTTTTGCTGACTATTGCACTTGACACCGCATGTAAAATACTGCAAAAACGCAGCTAGCATCTTTTCAAAATAGCACCTCCAAGACCTAGAACTTCAACAAGAAAATATCGCTCAATACAAGAAATAAGATGATAAGAGATAATTCTGTAAAATTGAGTCTCATTCTGATTATAAGTGTTCTTTTTTTCGCAATTTTGGGAAAACCATACTCGAAATTGTCTGTTTCGGAAATAAGTCCGAAGCTTGAAGAAAAGATAAATTATTTAAAAGGAAAAGAGAAAGCGACTCAATCACCACCAAACAAATTTTTTTTATCAAAAAATTGTTCTTCAAGAAATGTTCCAAATTATGAGAAGATCACTAAAGCAGGGTTCCTTTAACAAAAAACAAAAAACTAGAAATTCAAGAAATTTTGTACAAGTTTGTTTTTCGATTTTATTTCATGGGAACCCCCTATTAAAGGAAAAAGAATTCTGATACCATTCCTGGTCTGGGGTCCGAACAATCAGCTTCAAGGCTTACGAGAAGCAGTTTACATCGCCAAAGCACTAAACCGTTCACTCGCTGCGCCAATATTCTACCCAAACTGGAATCAATGGGACAAATTGCCAACTATTCTGAACGCTTCTATGCGTCTCGACGTAGAAAGTCTTTCGAGAGTCGTCTCCTTAATTGATCCGGCAGAAGTTTCAACTCTTTGCGATGGAAAAATCGATGCGGTTTTTTTCACAAGGAGGGTCCTGAAAACGTTTAAGGGGGTAGAAACAGCTTTCTTGATTTTGAACTCTAGCTACATAAAAGAAAACATCCGGTTTATTTATGTTAACAGAAGTTCCTCATAAATGACCTAAAAGAGGGGTCCAGCCAGGGTTCCAATTTTGCCAAAAAATTTTTGGAGTGGAGTGAAGCGATGAGTTGATAGCCCAAAAAATTTTTTGAGCGGAGTGGATGCCCAAAAATTGGTTGAGCGAGTGGAGAGGGTGAGCGGAGTGGATTCTGAGTGCATTTCGAGCGAAGTTTGAGCGATTAAAATTTTTTTTTTTGCATTACATGCACCCTACGCAGAATGCACATAAAAAAGAGTCACGGTGCCGGATTCTCTTAGAACGATTTCATTCTCGTATTAATAGTGAATTCACAGTATTATTCTACTTATGATAGAGAAAAACCGAAAATTGGAAAAGAAAGCTGATGAATTGCAGATATGATTTGCAAAAAGAAACTTGTAAAAATCTTTATACCAAAAAATAACTGTGAGCGCGTGAAGTTGAGCTCGGCGCTGCTTCCAGGGGTCCCTTAAAGAAAAGAGGTTGAAAAAGGTCGGGCCCCCACGAGCAGATAGAAACCCAAGTCATCTTTGCACGCCGTGAGCAAGCCTTTCCTTGCTCTTTCTGAAGGATAAGGAAGGGTTTTAACGAAAAGCAGGGTTTTGATTTGAGGGTGTAGCTAATGATAAACTGCTAATCTGCCAGAAACGTGCTGTTGGAACTTCTTGGCAGCAATATTCTCTATAATAGATCAATTTGATGACTGCGTGAGCCTGAGATTTTCAATTCTAAAACTGACGAACATTCAGGTAGCCAATCAAAGCTTGATTAAAAAAGGCCCAAGATACAAAAATCCACTCCATCCACTCAAAATCCACTCCGGAGTGGATTTTAAACATTGTTGGAGTGGAGTGGAGCGAATGAAAGGATGCTAAAAATTAAGGCTGTGGAGTGGATCCACTCCGCTCAAAATCCACTCCATCGCTCAGCAAAATTGGAACCCTGGGTTCAGCTTCACAAAAATGTGAATGAAAATTGTTTTCTTATTATTTGACTCGAGATATCGAGGTTGAAAATGTGCGAAAATCGAGAATTTCGGAAAGATGGGTTGCTTCTGAGCCCCATTTCTCGAAAATTTGATTATTAAGGACCCCCCGTCAGCTTTTTTTGAAAAATCGAATTTCGGAATTTTTGAATTTTGCCCCCGGAAATGGATTCAACGGGCCAAAAAACGATTTTGACGCTTCATTTTTTGGGGGTCTATCTCGACTCTAACACCCTCAAAATCGCATTTGAAAATAAGCTTTTCACCGAAAATTGACGAATTTGCCCTTATTTTGGCAACAATATTGATTTTTCTTGGTCAAATCTTCGTCTTATCAAGTTTTTGAAGCAAGTTTAACTTAAGGACACATAAAAAACCAAAAATATGGTGTTTTTTAAAATTTCGATTTTTCGTAGGATAAAGCTGACGGGGGGTCCTTAAAACAAATTTCGAGGGAGATGTTCCTAGATCTAAGATGTTTCTATCTTAAAATGAAAAGAAAAATTGAAAATCTAAGATTTTTTTGTTTGTAGCGCCAGTTAAAAATCGCTTATTTTCGAAAAAGCTGTTTCTACCCCTGAAATAATTCAAAAGATAATTCGAGATATTTAAGAGATGGCAATTAAGAATTTCTCTAAGATTCTTGATTTTTGCCATTCATTTTTACTTTTTTTGGGAGGGGTCATGATATTTTGCAATTCAGAACTCTATTTCAAGAAACGAAGGAGATAACAAAGAAACAATAGCCATGGAGTATTATGGTCTGAAGTACGCGGAAGATCGTATCTATAAAGATCGTTATCCAAGAGAAATGCCGTTTCGAGATGCAATCAACCGCACCAAAGTTGCTGAGTACTATTCTTCTGATGTCAAATGCGCTCAATTACAATTTCCCTGGAGCACGATCCTTGATGAAGAAATTTCGAAGCAAACTCATCTCAAGAGCAGACAAAGAAGTGACGAGTTCAAGGAAATGATAGAAATAATTAAACATACAAGGAGACCAGTGTTTATCAGAGAAGCGGCGAAAAAATTTCTGAAAATAAATGGAATTGAAAAAATTGCCGTGATGCATTGGCGATATGATGATGTAAGAAAACTGTAAAATTGGGGCGCACTGGTTATGTCGCCGAATGTCGCCGAATGTCGCCGAATGTCGCTGAATGTCGCCGAATGTCGCCGAATGTCGCCGAATGTCGCCACTTATTTTCGAAAAAATAGGAATTATGAAAGAAAAATTGTTTTTTTGGCTCAAATATACAAAACAAACTTGTTCTAGAACCGTAAAAGGCGGAAATAGTAGGAGGCGCGGCAATAGAAGCGTGTCCAGCCCGACCAGTGAGTTTCCTACCACAAATTGCGCGGAGCGCTTTCTTGTCTCGAAATTATGCCAAAACAGTTCTAGAACAAGTTTGTTTTGAAATTTCTTGGTTAAAAACCAGTTTTCTTTCCAAAAATCCTGGTTTTAAAAAATAGGTGGCGACATTCGGCGACATTCGGCGACATTCGGCGACATTCGGCGACATTCGGCGACATAACCAGTGTCGACCGTAAAAATTTCCAGAAAGTGTAATTTAACACGTTCAGAACGACTATATTCACAATAAAAATTGGCGAAGGCAAATGGCGGAGGATTTTATAATGGAGATAAGGGTTCGAAATCACCAGGACCAATACGCCTAAATACCTTTTTTTCTTGAGACGAGTTTATTTTGTCGAGAGAATTTTGAGCCCTGATTGAGATGAAGCATGAAGAAAAGTATCAAAAAATTCAGCAAAGAGTTATCAAAAACACTTAAATCAAAGAACCTAACAACAATCTACTTCGCCAGTCCTCCGGACGAAAAACCTCTTTTGGAAACAATTGAGAAAGGATTAGATGGACAGAAAGTCGTAAGCGATCAACTTCTTGTAGAATTTTTGCGGAAAGAGTTCGAAAATTGCATTGAAATTATGGAAGACTTCGGAGATATGATCTCGCTAATGGAACAAGAGCTTTGTTATCTGTCAACGCTTTTTGTTTATTCTTGTTTTAGCACGTGGAGGTACTAATGTGATTATCTAAGATCTTACCTTATTATTTGTTTTTTAGCGCGAATGTTCTACTTGAAAGACAAATTGACGGTTTCTTCGAAAACGAGACGAATGTCAAACTTATTGCAAGTGCTATTGGGAAAGAATACACTGGCCTTTGCTTTCCTGATAATCCATAAAAATAAAAAAGTTTTGTTTAAATTGACAATTTGAGTTGCAGTTATTTTCCTCTTCTGTGGACATATTTTGTCCCAGATTTTTATAAAAATGTCCACAAAAGTGGGCGAGAGTCTTCAAAAATGTCCTGCGGTAGGGCCCTAAAATTTTTTCCTCGATAAGTTTATCTTCGAAAAATGGCAGATTTCATCACCAAAACGCCTTTTTAGCCTGTTTAACCATTTATGGACCATAAATTATGGTCAATTAAACTGTATAATCCATTGATTTCTTAGAGATAAACATCCTCATTTTGAAAAAAACACCCACTTTCTTCCTCTTAAATTTTCTCGGCTGGACAAAAGGGGAATTATATCATTGCATAAGTGTCCCTCGAAAACCTCTTATAATGAAGAAAATGTCCACAAATAATGGTCCACAAAAGAGGAAAAAACTGAGCTAGCAAAAATTTTTTGACTTGTTTTCATGGGTGGTGGAGCCGGTTAGGGTTGTGCATTTGATGACATTTTGCTAGGTCTCTCTATTTTTAGTTCCTTTGATCGAGTTCTTTTGCTTGAGATCGAAGACCTCAATTGATGCTTGGCTGTTGTATAAGTCACTGCAGATCTGCGTCAAATTATCAGCTTGCTGATTTCGCCGGACTTCGAGGAAGCGAATCTCGCCATTTTCGCATAGCTTGTTGATCTCATCACCGGCCGTTCCAACATCGGTGTATTTTGCTGGTGGCAAAGCTGATATTCTTGAAGTGCTATAAACAAACAAGTTCGTAAACATCTTTGATATTATCTAAATGCCAATAGACATGCGCGTTAATAAAATACAATTGAAGAGAAAATGTTTTTTGGTGTTATTATTATTCATGAAACAAGAGGATTCGCTTATACTTTATTTCTAAGAGTTAATGAAGTTGTTCTCAATTAGAAGTCCTGACTTCACGCCACCGTCCGAATATTATTTAGTCATATTTTCGATCGACCCAGCTAAAAATATCATTGTGAAAGAACTTGAGCGCAAAATACCATAGCTATTTCGACAAAACCAGAACTTAGTTAAAGAGCTCAGTTAACCCATCTTCCTCCGTGTGTCTTCACTAAGGACGCGAAAGCCTCTTCTTTAGGCATCAAAATTATGATTGTAAGGTGAGCAATAAATTCTCAGATATGGTGGAAATCGAAGTTGTCTTTCAGACACAAGTGCGTGATTACCTTGATTGAATTTATACCTTTTCAGTGCTATTCAGAGACAGTTGGACTGCTTGCTGAGACTTTAGAATAGAGCAAGCCAAAAATAGAGTTAGAACATAAACGATCTATGACTAAAAGGCGTATTAGGTACGAAATTTAAGGGTGGCATTTCGAGTTAAAAATACTGATGCCAAATAATTCGATCTTCTGTGAAAATTTTCTTATTTTATCTGATACAGCGGTCATTTTTCAGAAATTTTCGAGATTTTTTTTGGATGTTTGCTTGAGACAAAAAATTCGACAAGAGAATAATTTCAAAAAGAGACGTTCATTTGACCAAATGTCTGCTTAAATTCTTCATATTCGTTGATACGCTAAGCGCGATGGGCTCATGGCTTATTAGAATCAACGCGACGAGAATGGGTTAAAATATTTTCGTTGAAGAACTTGAGCGCTAATGAGCAGAGTTGCTTTGACGTGTCCAAAGTCAAATCGAAAAGCATTTTTAAAAAATGTCTTTCTTTCGGAACATTTCATATTTCTATCCTTTTTCAATATTGATTATGTTTTTCACTTCATTTTTAATTAAACTTGAGCGTGACTATGAATTTCTATATCTAAGAGAGGATAAAATCAGAAAGATTCATGATGAAAAGAAGCTTAAGTTTTACGTCGATCACGGGACATTTGATCCAGCAATTACAAAAACAACACCCTATGAGATCATTTCTTCACCGAATGAGGACTTAGAAGACATCGACATTATGTTTGGTTTAAAAACTGTTTTAAAGAATCGTAATATAAGGGAAAAAATTCGGAAGTCCTTTGGCAATCCCGAATTATACCGAGAAAAATACAAAGTAAAATTTGTATTTCTACTCGGTAAAAAGGATGATTACGACGAAAATCTTATTCTCGACGAGAAAAATCTTTACGACGACATTCTGTATGGAAGCTTCCAAGATTCCTACTGGAACTTGACGTACAAGGAAATCATGTTCTACACTTGGACGGAGCAAAAGGCGCCAAATGTCAAATTCGTCTATCGAGGCGACGATGACAATTTTTTGAACCCGCTTGGATTGATGAAGTTTTTTGACGAGCACTGGAGCCAAGCAAATGCAGAACCAGCCTTGTGGGGTGGAATAATAAAGGAAAACAATTCGTTGCTTGGCCAAGGAATGAAAGTGGAAGAAATAAGAAAAGAGAGAAAAGCTGATGTGTGAGTCAAAAGCGAATCAACATTAGATTTTAATCAAGAGTCTTTCTTGTTTTAGTGTTGTTCTTCCGCAATTTATCAATTCGGGCTATTTTCAGGTGGCCAGGGTTGAAATTTCCCCCTTATCCTGCTGGTTCGGGCCAAATCATCAATCGAAACGCTTTATTCGTTCTTGGAAGCCAGATGCAGCGCACTCCAATAACTTCTGTTGATGATGCCTTTGTTGGAATTTGCATGCTGTACGCTGGCTTCGAACAGGGGTGACCATTTGGCATTGGGCATTTGGGCAAATCGGGCAATTTTCGGGCAAAAACGCTTTTGGGCGGGCAATTGGTCGACTCAACGCCTGAAAATAGGCTGGGCAACATGGGATACGTCGGGCATTTGGGCATTTTCTGGGCAGTTGGGCACCATTGGGCAGCTGGGCAAATGCCCACCGGGGAAAATCACGAACGTGGGCTTTTTCCTGCCCGCTTATTGGTCTTTAAGCTCGCAAAGAAAAAAAAGATATAAGGAGAAGGTTCTGCAAGGGTGTGTGAAGTGGACCTCAATGGTTAGCTGTCTACCTTTGACCTCCTGATCCTTTTATGAAATTATCCACCCCGTTAACTCGATTTTTTTGCGGAGATGGTTCTGCAAGGGTCTGTGAAGTGCACCTTGAAGGTTAGCTGTATACGGTAGACTCCACCCTTGACCTCCAGATCCTTTTTATCCCTTATTTTTGAACCCCTTGTTCGAGACGGTTATGCAAGAGTGTGTGAAGTGGACCTTTATGGTTAGCTGTCTATTCTTGACAACCGGACGGAACTTTTACATAATTATTTTTTCGACCCCTTTTAAATATTTTTCAAACCTTTCAAGAGCCTTTTTTTGCTTAAAATTCGTTCAATCACTTCAACTGAAACAAATTATTAAAAGAAAAGTAAAAAAGTAAAGTTTTAAGAAGCCTGAAATGCCGGGAAAATTTTTGCCCGAAAAATTGCCCAATCGCCCGATTGGGCATTCTGGGCACATTGGACTGGTCGGGCATTTGGTCGGCCCGGGTCTTGATTTTTGGTATTGGGCGGGCAATTGGTCGGCCCGACGATAATTTTTTGCCTAAATGGTCACCCCTGGCTTCGAACATAGGCTCTTCGATTACGAGGGATTCATGTATCCGGGATTGCTTGAAGATAATAAAATTTGCTCTGTGGTTAAATCTTTAAGCATCCATTATCCGAAGTTTGATTATGAGTGCATGGTTAATAAAATCAATGTTTATGCTGAAAGATGTGATCGTGAAGGTAGGTTAGACATTTCTGCTTCTTGCAATTGGTACGACATGAGTTTTTCCCCGCCGAATATCGACGGACCAATGTTTCAACGTTGCGGGGCGCAATTTAACAACAGCAGATGTAGTACCAACAGGCCCTTGGATCGACATTTGGAAACGATTTTTAATGAGTTCATATATTTTTTTAAAGAGTCGAGCGGGTAGGAGTTAAGCTCACGCCTTTTTCGATTTTGCTTGAGACAATAATCAAAATATTTGTCTATTAAAAGAGTATAAAAGAAAAAAAATCTTATTCCGAATAGAGAGCCAAGAGAAGAGATGACTGGGCTGTGAAAAAACCTGAAAGTGGACCATGTTGCAGCCCGGAAGGCTACTGTGTGCCAACGGAATCGAATTGCTCCTGCGCCGATTGTGTAGATTTTCTTGAACTCGAAAATTGTAAGTAAATTTTAAATTTCCGCTTGTTCTATAAGCCTTTTCGTAAACTTTTGTTTTTAAATTTTAAGGGAACTCTCCTTAAGTAAAAATTAATCATGAATCATCAATATTTATTTGAAGATAAAAATGCTATTCTCGATCATGAGATGGGCGTCACCTGCTGTTCATTGGTTCAAGTACATTCGAAAATGCTTTTTAGGTTCAGAGTTAACAGTGAAATGAATATTATATCTCGGTTGCATGAAAAATAAGTGCAGATTCATTCAAAAATTTTCCACCAAGACCCCTAAAATGATAATCGTAACTCCCATTAGAGGTATTTACAGGAAAATCATCATCGATGAAGAAAACGCTGAATACGTCTCTCAAGAAGTTTCGAAAGATAAACCTGTTTTTAAGCTTGTTTATGGGAAAATAAACTCTGAGGAGTCTGGTTGGCATATTTTGATGGTTCAAAATGACACTTATAACCCATTTTATGCTTTTGGCGAAACAACTAGCAAGAACAACTGCCCAAAAAAGCTGATTGGTTCTGGACCTTTCGTTGGAAAAGAAGCGTCTGTTCACTGTTACCACATGAAATACGACGAGATGACGATATCGGGATTATGATAAAACCATCCTGTTTATTTGATACTTAATCTTTGGATTATATTTATCTGTCATTTTATGAAATAGAAAAACTTAATACATAATTTCTTTGTTCTTTAATTAAAGACCACAATTGAAAAATGCAAAAAAATTTGCTGCCTATGAAAGAATTTTATCAAATTTTTTCAACTTGACTTCCGCTTCCGCACCCTTGAACTGCATTGAACTTTACGGGTTCATTAGCAATTTTGCTCCTCGCTGTAGAAAAACTTGTAGACGGCAATACTTGAGGCTTGTTGTTTAATAAAAAATTTTGGCAAATGATGTTTACATTGTTTGTCATAAAAAGGAAAAATTCCTGGTTCTATACATGAAAAATAATAACGCCTGTATAACAGAAAAAAGACAATTTTTTTAAATTTATTATTCAAAAACTAAAAGGATCAAACTTGATTATCAGCACTCGCTTCCAGGAACAGACGCTAAAAGAAAATTTATTTATGTCAAATATTAAATTTTCTTACTCTCAAGTCCCCCGGCATTGCAGTTCTCTTCGGTGCACGTGACCTTGCACGATCCAACTCGTTCTTCTTGTCCAATTGGTGAGTATCGAGTACAATCAGATTCGAGATTGATTTCGAATGGGCTGCACCCTCGGTGGAACTCGTGGTGTTCTCCCTTGCTTGTCACTATTTCTGGATAAGAATGGGACTGGCTATAACAACAGAAAGACGAATGCCTATCTTATCCCTCTTCTTGAGCACCATAAGTCGAGAAACATGCAGTATTGGCGTATCTTGGGCACAAAACGGGGTAGTCGGAAGTTTCAGCATCGACTAAATTGTTTTTGAAAAATGACACTGAATCAAGCAACCGAACCTTTTCGGCCGCAGCAGATATCGCCAGAAATATCACCATCATTATCGTATTTATCGCATTTATTGCAGCTTTCAACCCCTCCTTCTTTCTTCTCAAACTTGTCCGCAACACCCTCCAATCCAACATTGCACAATTCACCATCTTGATCTGGGAAGCAAAGATCACTGCACTCTCGCTCCTGGAAAAATTCATTCGGGGTGCTGTAGTAGCAGTATGACTCGTCGTAAGTTCGCATCGTGCAGTTTCGCTCGACTTCGTAAGTCATTTCTCCGTTGTAGTTGTTTTCAGCGATCATGATGGTCACGCAGTTGTCATTTTCGTTTGGGCAGGTTTGGGCGAAAGCACTGCCATCTTGAAAACAGCCGATGTCGTTGTTGTCTCCAATCGTCGAATTTGAGCCGTTAACCTTTTCCCGGCAAATTGCGCAAATTGGCCAAAAGTTTCTATTTGAACCTGCTGAAATGACTAGTAACCGATTTTCTCTGTCTCTGTCTTCACCTGATTTCACCACTGATCCAAAAGAGTTTTCTATCAAAATAAAAAACAAAAATTGAATCTTCATTTTGCAAGAAAAAATTGATCTTTTTGGAAAAAATTGACCCTCGGACGATTTTTGGCTGCAAAACAAATTGTCGAAGCCATCATTTTTACTGAATTTCAAATACGAAATTACATGATTTGGTCAGTCATTTTTGCGCAATTCGCATCGAATGAACTTTTCATCTTTCGAAATTACGGCTCCTAAGATTATTTTTTACGATTTTTATTGAAAAGTTTGTTAGTAAAATTCAGAATTCTCAGATTTCTTTCTCAAACAAGCAGCTTGACAAAAATCAGGCAGATCAAGCTTTTGGAAACTAATGTTTTTCCTTCGCTGTTCCATTTGGTCAAGTCAACGCTCTGACGAGAAGAGGAAAAGTTGAAATCAGGATCGGAGGATATCAGCTTCTTGTCTGCGAGACCATCTTCAAGCATGTCGGTAAAAGTCATTTTGGTAGTTTCTAGCAGCTGGTCTTCAAAAGACTGCTTATCATTTTCGCTTAGAAATTCCTTGGACTCCATTTGAAACGGGAGAGTAATGATGGCTTTCATCGTGGAAGCGGTGGATTGTCGGAAGACTTGAGTTCTTAAAATTATCACTATCAAAAGATTGAATAGTTTCTTGAATATTTTACATTGCTTCGACAAAGTCGACCTCGATGTTTTCGAATAGCAAATTCGCTTCGTCTTCTATGTTCGCGATTCTTTCTAGTACGTCCTGAAGCTGTCCCAGGAGCTCTTCCTTTTTCGAAAGATATTCCGCCGACTCTGAGTCAATGAGAGCTTGACTGAATGAAATTGTTGTTGCCATCTCGATCTGGACGAAAACATCAAGCTAAATTCGGCGGAATAAAAGGACAGAAGACCAAGAATCGCTTACTCTTTCAACTGCTGGTTTTTGCTCAACGGATCCGGAGCCCTCCTCCTCGTCAAAGTCAGCTTGTCGAACTGCTCTTTTCAGAACTCTTCTTCCGTCAAAGGTCTCTACTATTTCGAGATATTGACGAGTTTCTTTGGCAGCGCTGTAGAATTGAAAAATGGCGAAAAATATAAGCAAAGTGTTCATTTTTTATTCGCAATCTAGGAGAAAAGGTTTGAATTGCGTACATTCGCGTAGGTTTTCAGAAAGTTTGAAAATATTATAAAGAATAATAGGAAATTTATTCAAAAAATAAAAGAAGACTCTCAGCTTCAAAGAAGAAAAATGAAAAAAATACGGAACGACTTCATTTATATACTGGTCAATTTTATGAGCAGATCGTCAAGGCTCTAGGAAGTTATCAATTAAATTTCCTAGCAAAAAGATGAGTGTTATTTGTATAGGAAAAGAACTCAATTCTGCAAGGAAGTAATAAATTAAAACGCAGTCTCAGCGAAGTCATCATCAAATTTTTGTAGGAAGAGAAGGATCATTGAAATCAATTTGTCTTCCTTGATTGCAGCCAAGACGAAAACCCTAAAAAGCTTCTATAAAATCTATATCTATAAAATTTCTAGAATTTCTTTTTTGAAATTCCGTTTTGGCAATAAAATAAGCGCCCTTTGCCGAGTTTCGATATTTTAACTGACCCGCTCTAATCCGTCGATGAGCGGGACTTAAAATAGTTGAACGTTGTTATGAAAATGAGCGAGCGCTGATTGGGGCTAATCCATCAAGGAAATAAATTGTACCTTTTCGTGAAATTATTAGATCGACTGCTTGGGAACGTGTCCAGCTCCATCGCTGTATTTTTTGGCCGGCGCTTCGGCCTCCAGTTTCAAAGGAATAGCGGAAAGAAGGAATTCGTTCTATCAAGAAAATGTTATACAACAGGGGTTGAGGTTAATGAAAACTAATGAATTCTAGCGCGCACTCATTAGGAGCAGCAGCGTCTGGGGCGCTCTGGATTTTCCTGTTTCTGAAGAATTTCTTTCAAACTTTGCCATAAACCTGTGTAAAAACCGACAGTGCTGGATATGTCACGAACGGCCCGAAATTCACGAATGTCACGAATGTTACGAAAATCACGAGACTCATGAATGTCACCGAAATCACGAAAGTCACGAAAGTCACGAATGTTACGAATATCACGAAAATCACGAAAGTCACGAATGCACGAATGTCACGAAAATCACGAGATTCATGAATGTCACGAAAACAATTTTTTTGTTCGTGACATATTTAGTCAAATCGTGACATTCATGACATTCGTGACATTCGTGACATATTCAGTGCCGACCTAAAAAACCATAAATTTCGCCCGAAAATTCTTTTGAAATGGGCAGAATCAGAAAAGAGTTTCATCGATTACGTTTACAAAGATTTGCCCTCATCCAATTACCCCTTGATCAGCGACTTTTTGGCTTGTTATTTCATTATTTTGTTTAAAATCTCGCATTACGACTTCCGCATTCTAATTGCTCTCCCCACCCTTGCGCAGGTATATTTTACGTTAATTTCTCGTTTCCAAAGGAAACGCGCAAAATCAAAAATAAACGGCCCGTTACCATATTACAAACAGAAAATGCCTCGTTTTCAAGAATTATCGCGCTTTCGCTTTTGAACAAGTTTGTGGAAATGAAAATAAATCCAGACTCGAAATGGATTATTTTCGTTGTGAATGGGGGCGATCGACGGGAAAGAGCTTGTTAATTTGGATTTTAAATTTGCTTAATTGGCAATCAAAGGAGGTTTTTTCTGACTCATTTTTTGAGGATTTCCAATTTAAATTCTTTTCAAGTTCAAATTTTTATTAAAAAAAATCGAGAAATCAGTTTGTAAAAAGTCGATTTTCTTAAAGAAATCGGCCTTTTTCTCGCTTTATTTTTAATAATTCGAACCCTTAGGTTCCTCTCAAGTGTTCATTTCGTCTTTTTTTCGAACGAAGCCCGGCTCCCGGATCTCAATTAAGGCCCTCTTATCAGATAACCCGCCGCGCGTGCATTTGACCCCTCGAATCCAGTTGAAAATTCTCGAGTGTCATTTTTGGTGTCTCATTTGCGCGCCAAATTGCTTCTCAATCACCAACTCGCGCGCAACTTACGACAGCGCTAGAAATGTGCTTTACGAGATCATTTGCAGACAGTGAAAACACTAGAACATGCAGAAAACACGTGGCGCGGTTTTTAGTCTTTGAGCGATGCATTTTAATTGATATTTTTGGAATTAGTTTTTGAATTTTGAATTCTGATGTTCTAAAAAAGCGATTAAAAACTGGGTTATTTCCGATTTTCCACCTTTGTAATTTCGAATTTCAAATTCCGAATTCAATATCAATCAGGATAATCTGCCTGTCAGAAGAGACACCGTGTCAGGCGATAGTCGCGCAACAATGCGCTCCGTAACTCCTGCCTTCCTTCATGCATACACTGCGATTTCCAGCTGGAAAATTGGCGCCTTTTTCAAATTCTGAAAATAAAGGGACGAAATTTTCGAGAATTCTTTTTGTTCAAAACAAGCGGAATTTTGAAACAAACTAACACCTTGTATTTTTTCATCAGTAACTTGATCTCTTTAAGACAGGTTCATCTGAACTCCTAGTCATATTATACTAATGGTAATTAATTTTGATTGGCACGCCGAGTTTGAAAGTTTTTCGAATTATTTTACGCACAGATTTATCTTTTTTTTTCTCGCCCAAAAGACTACTTTGAAACGCTCCCCCGAAAAAACGCAGGAGGGCTATGTTTACGGTCTTACAAATATCAAGGGGCTATTCGCGCGCGTACAGTTGGCCTGATCCGTCGAGGAAGAATTTCTAATCCCTTCCAGCTTCCATCAAAAAGCCGCGCGGCGCTAAACCCAAAATAACTTTGCCCCGGCCTCCGAGGGCCTCAATTGATCAGCTGCAACTTTTTACTTACTCAGGGATTATGGACGGCTTTCTCCCGAAAGATCCAGAACGGATAAGCATCTCCGAGAATTTTCAAGTGGAAAAAAGGCTTCGAGAGTTGAAGTTCTGCTGGTTTGGCGCTGATCCTACTTTTTTGAAATGAACAAAGACCAAGTTCTTTTGCGGAAATTAACGCCGGTTCGTCGGGGGACCGGGCCGAGTTCGCAGATCGAGGAGGATTTTATCGCAGCTCACGAAAGTAAATTCGCGGAGATACTTATCTCGGAGCCAGTGTTTTGTTGAATAAGAGCCAGTTTTGTTTTACGAAACTAGCGCAGGATAATAATCCGTTACGTAAAATTAATTGAGCTGAGAAGGCATCATTCTTGACCCTTGGGATTAACCATCACAGGTAGGTACTCGAGGTACTCGACAATTGCCTGCTTGCTTGTTCTAATTCTTACGATAACGCTCTTATCGATGAAGAGATAAGCCAGTGAGGACTAATTTCCGTGTCCCCGATTCCTCTTTTCGCCGGGAGGAGGTCAAGATTTGTTAAACACGGTTTTCAAAATCTCACGATTCTCCTCAAATTTTATTCTAAAAGAGACTTTTTATTTAGAATTTTTTTTACAAATAAAAAATTAAATAAAAAATTTGCTAAAATAATAAAAATACGAAAAACCGCTACAAAATGATGTTTCTTTCAAATGGATTCAGCTTTGTCGAATTCCAGATATTCTTAACCTTTACTTCCAGCCGCTTCCTGTTCCTCTTTTTTCGGTTCCAACAAACAAACTGAAATTCCCGTCCTTGTCACGCGCTGACAGCTCTGGGAATTTGAAAAGTTTCTTTTCAACCCCAAATTTTGGAGTCGCGAAAAGCACATCCGCCCGCGCGGTCCGTCGTTTTTGAAGTTTTCCAATTTTGGGAAGTCTTCAATCAAGAGGTCATTTTTACAAAATTTGACCCTGTCGCCAAATTTCAAAGTCAAAAAGCTTTCTTTTTTTCAAAGGAGGGAAAATATGGAAATGAGATAAGCGCTTATCATAATAAAAGTGTCATTTGAATTTCGAATGAGACGAATTAGATCATCTTTTTGTGGCTTTTTTGAGCGCTAGAATGGCTGGAAAAGACTGTGTGTTTGAACAAGCCGTGGCTACTTCTGCTCACTTCCGGGGGTTTTTCCGGTGAGGGTATTTATCAAGCAGCTGAGGGAGTAAAATTTTATTCGAGGGAAAATTTTGCCAAGACCCTTTCTTTCATGACTCCTCCTATTCTTCAGTCGAATAAATTTTGTCACGGACCATTCCCGTTTCGTTAACACCAAACGTGCTAAATATATATCCCCCATAATCGAGTTTTAATTGAATTTCTTAAGAACGCGTTTATCCCATTACAGCAGCCATCAATTATTTTCCGATTTATTTTTTGATGTGGATCAAAACCGCATCCGACTAATTCAATAGATTTTCAGTCTTCTCGTACTGACTGAATCGTTCTGTTAAGCAAGTCCTGTATTATAGTATTAGCTTGATTTTTGATTGCGGTCAAGAGAAGTGCCCTTATTTCAGAACTTCCGATTAGGGTAAGTTAATTTAACCACTTCTCGCAACTTTGAGGAAAAAAACAAATTGGCGTCTGACAAAAGGTCAACGAAAAAAGAGCAAAAACCGCGCGGTGATTTGCCACTTCTGAGGAAGCGCCAAAATGCCAGACAGCTTTTTCTGGTAAAATGGCTCAGTTTCAAAATTTAAGGGTATAACCTTCGATTTCCGCAACTTTCCGGTCATTGGGGAAATCGAAGGTAGTACCCTTAATAATTTCTTGAGCTCAGAAAAACCATCTTTCTTGTAGAAATCTACATTGTAAGAAGCCGATAGCGTCGCTATCAGAATCTGCCTAATCCGGCTGACTATGGAGCTTGATCCAAAACAAACTGGTGGATCGGCCTGCCAAACAGTTCCTTCCGCGATACCCCTTCTGATAAGCCGAGTACTTCGATATTTGAGTTTGTCTGTTTCCTGTCACCCTATTTGACAAGCATGGGCACCACATTTTAGAAGATATGGTAAATAAAAAAAGAGGCCGAAAAAAATATTCCAGAATCAAGGGCGCGCCGCGCAAATTTCAAAGTCGGGAAGTAGATAAGATTTTTCTTGCTACTTTTTGAAAACAAAATTTTTCATCTAAATTGAAATCGTCTTCACTACTGTCCGAAAGTTCAGTAGGACCAAAACCTCATCTCCTGCTGTGATTATTTTCCTTCTTTCTAGCGCGGATTTAGAAGCTGGTACGGGAAGCAAGTGTGGCTAGCTATCTTTACTCGTATCCTTGTCGCTCGGAAAGATGTTCAAACAAGCGTTCTAGAGCCGCTGCTCTGAGAAAAGAGAACTTCCTTTACGGCGGGACAAAGAGTTCTATTCACGTTTTTGACACAAAACGAGTGGAAATTAAACAGGAAACGGAAAGTCGAGGACTATGAAGCGGATATCCCCGTCAGTTATCTTTGTGTAAATAGATAATACTAGCAGCAAAGTGGCACTGGTCATTTTCAAGGTAAAACTTTGACAAGCAGTTTTCGAGCCAAAAACTGTCTATTCCCTTATCACCCACCGAGCTTCCATCTTTCACTTTCTCAAGCTCCCGCCGAGTCGCTATTTCTTATCAGAAATGTACTTTCTCCAGTCTCTCCAGCCACTTGATCAGCTGATTTAACCGGCCGCCTTTGATCTATTCTTTCCTCTGATTAAATTCTATCTTCGTCGCCGATTTTAATGCACAATCCGCGCGAGATCTCCGAGGAGGCTTTTTTCTGATATCACCAAATTTAGCTCCGTGGCGGCTAAAGTTTCAGATTGGTGTAAGTGAAGCTTGAGTACTTAATTCGAGCATTTTGCCAAGTGCGCAGGAAAACACACGGGCCCTGAGATTTTAGCGAGCTACTGTCGATTCTGATTGTATAATCGAAGCTTTGAAAATGTGCGGGGCGCAGAAAAAAGGAGATGCAAAAGAATATTTATCGGACGGGTGAGGATGAATGGGCTGCTTGTTGAATACACAAATTTTGGACGCCGATGTCTGGCGAAATTTATGAATCATGTCATATAAAAATGTCAAGCACTGGTGCGAATGTTTTCCGGAAAATAACAATTTCTGTCTTTGACATCTGAAAAAAAGAAAAATTCCAAATGTCCCAAAATGTCTGAAAATGTCTTAAAATGTCTGCAGCACATCAAGTTCTTTTGTCAGCAATGTCAAACGATGTTAGATGTCACATCTACAGATATGAGGAAGAAAAGGCCGATGACATCTGTCGACATTGTCGACAAAAATATCTTTATTTTTGGTAGACATTTAAAGACATTTTCGGACATTTGAAACATTTCATCTGAAATGTTAACAAATGTCGATTTGTTTTCTTTTCACAAGCTGCCTCTAAAACGCATAAATGACTGTATCCAAGTCCTTTTTCCGTGTACTATTTCCTTTTCAGCAATTCTAATTCAAGCCTCACGTTCCGCATAACTTATTCTAGTGCCTTTACGAATCCGTACTCAAGCCCACTCAACTCGCCACAAGCGCAATCTTCTGTTCACGGAAGAATACGATCCGGACCATAAAATATGCAAATAATATGCTTTTTCTCAACATTTTTCACCAAAACGCAAAAAAGATGGCGCTGCTCCCCCGCCGCGCCGCCGAAAAAAAGCGCGTTTCGGAGCTCTCGAGCGCCACCGAGCGCAAACGCGGACATTCACGCATGGCGGAGAAAAAAAACTTTGTGAAGAAAATTGCAAGAAGAAATTTTACGAATACGTACTGAGGCGATTTTACAACAGTACTTTTTTACAGAAAATACCTTCAAAACTGAGATAAAAAAAGAAGAAAATCAGAGATTTTGACGAAAAATCTAAAGAAAAAATTTTGACGAAGAAGATGCGATTGGGTATTGCTGCCTTGCCGGCTATAGGTAAAATTTAATATAATTTTCGGATATTTTTTTTTGGGAAAATTAAAGAATTTTTTTTTAATTTTTTGAAAAATTGAAAATTCTTTTATATTTTTTGAAAAATCAAAATATTTTTTTAGTTTTTGAAAAATAAAAATATTTTTGTTTTAATCATATTAATCTAAAACCTGGGATTCATTCAATAACTCTCGCCCTGTCTTGATTTTCCCGGCAAAGGTCAATTCTCAGCTTTTTCTCGCTGAAAATTTAAAATCTTAAATTTCCGATTCTCGGTAAAATTAACAACTGCGGTTTTGCCCTCCTCTATCACCGGAAATTCAGGCGAGCGTTGCTCAAATATGATTTGAAATTTATCAGCCTGGCGATATCCGAATCGCATAAAGCCTTCCAAGGAGATAACGCTCGATTACGAAAATTCTTTTTGCGTTTTTTGCCAGAATTGAACCCGATCCCTTGAGCAGCCAGGAAAGCTCGGATTTGCTCCAAAAAACTTTGTTCAAAACAAAAAGGAACAAAAGAAAATCCCCTTATTCCCATTGATTCCGCTTTTGTTTGGATACAAGGAAAAATCTTTTAATTAGAGGGTAAGCCCTTAATTTTTCTGCCAAAAATGCGGATAAATTTCTGCTAAAAAAGCTTTTTTCATGCCGAAAATAAGATTTTTGCTGAAAATTTCAGGGAAAAAATCATCAAAATGACGATTATTTAAGGGTATCACTCGAATAACAGTACTCAATCCCGCCACAGTAATCTTACGCCATGCAAATATTTTGATGAATCAATGACATTATGATAAGCTTACTTTACAGCTCCGATTTTTTATCTTTATCAGAAGTTGTCTTACTATTTTTCCTCAAACAAAATTGACAAAATTAAAAACTCGCGTGGTGCAAATAACTAACGAGTCAGAAAGACACACACTTATTCTCGGGATGAGCCCATAATACCGAAAACGCATTAGGTTTTTTCTGCGCGTACAATCATGTTGATAATAAGGGTGGAGGGAGTCGGCGAATGAGTAGTATTTTGGTAATGGTACTTTGTACTCTGATTATGGTAAAACTGACAACGATATAGAGAGACAAACATGACTAAATTAACCGAGAGCAAGAAATGAAAATGATTAAGAGATATTAAGGAGGTATAAGAGGAAAAGCCTTTTCTAAAACTGATTTTATTTTTAGAGACCCTTAAGATTTACAATCTTTCTTGATCTAAAAATGGCATAAAATTAGTTCATTTTGACTTTTCGTCATGACACCCTTATTTTAAGCGGATAAAACTGGCACTAGAATCGAAATAAAAGCTTAATCTTTGAATAATTCACACTATAAATCCACCCAAAATAAAAAAAAAATTCAAAGGCGAGAGCCATAAAGCCCCCCATTTTTTCCATCAAAGGCGTCGGGCTTTGGCCCTTTAACTCCTTCACGCGCGCGCAGCCATTCATCACTTGTCAATAGTATTTTTACTATTGCTCGTTCTTTTCTTTTTGCACAGCGGAGATTTTGTGTGATTTGGCATTTCAAATAAGGATTCTTATTGCAAAATACGGTCTTCGTTCTCATGAAATTTTCGAGTACGCCGGTACTTGGGCCAAGGGATGAAAGTGGGGGGCAAATAGGGTAAGGACTTTTGGGGAGCAAATATGAAGAATAATGGAGAAAAAGGTTGACAGATGGTCGGGTTAAGGGTCTATCAATAAGATTCTTGTTCAAAAAAGACTTCGTGGTTTTCATTTTTCTTTGGGATACCCTTATAATCATCATCTTATTTATCAAAAACTAAAACAGAAAAATTGCTGTAAAAAGATATTTCTAATATTCAAATCTGATTTCTAAGCAACCCAAAATACAAAAAAAAATGGATAGCGTAACAAGAACTCGACCGGGATTTTCTTTTTGGCGATAATCATTCGCGAGAGGAGCTGAGCCGCGCGGAATGGAGTACGCGCGTGGCCACTTCCGTTCAGCGCTCTAAAGCGTTTGTTTCGTGGCGCCGCGAATTCTTACTTTTGTTGTAGCTTCTTATTTCCGTTTCTTTTTTCTTGGTTTTGAAAAATCGACTGATTTTTTTCTTAGACAGCGTTTTTTCCAAAATTTGACAAATTTAAACCGAAAATTGGACCCAAAATTGTCGATCTTTAAAAGCCAGGCTCTGATTGGCTCATCCAGATCTATCCTGATTAAGACAGAAAATGCACCAATGAACGCTTGGCCTTATTTTGGCGATCGAAAAGTGACTTGTTTGAAATTTTTTTTCTTCGAAAGAAAATTTTTCCAGCTCCAGACTTTTCAAACAATTTACTCTTCATGGCTCCACCCATCAGCTTTCAGGCTGAGCCTCCCCGTCTCCCAGCTGATTTTCCGCGTGGCCAATTCTTTCTTCTTTCACAGGCTTCCAATTATGGGACCCGAGACGAAATAACGTTGATAAGGAGATCCCGGTGGCAATTTAACTGTCACGCTTGCACGTGATTGCGATCTGACTTCGCGCTGATGGAAGGTTAACCTAAAACTAACGCTGGGGTTGACCTTAAGGAGGTGCCCCTGAATTCGTCAGAGTCGTCACGCTCGCCCAGAATTTTGTGAAAAAATGTCGAAAATTACATATTCATGAAAATCCGTTCCGCTCGGTCGACCTTTGTGCCCCAACACCGTATCTTTCGCGATAAAAACCTCGTTGCTCGAGATTCCAGAGCCGCGTATCTCCAGTGCCTCGCGAAGAAAGACAGCACTCTAAATAAACACAACAGTTGGGGAAAAGCATAAACCGGAGCGGGAAAGCGGATTTTGACGAATATATACTCGGACGCAAGAAAGGGGTTTTTCGGGAAAGATTAAGGGTAGGGAGGAGGGTGTGGGAAGATTCTGAAACAAGGAAATGACTCACCTGCTCTTACTGTTTTTTGTTTGTTTTGCACCTTAAGGGTGTAGACATCGTTTACTGCGAGTTTTGACCTTCTTTTTGAAGCAATTTTTGCATGGTGACACCCTTATTTATTTGAAAAAAATCTCGATTCTTTCAAGAAGAAGATTATAAACGACTTAAAACTTATTTTACATTATTGACTCTGGCTCACTTTGAATCTTTTTTCGCCGGAATTTATCTAAGCGCTTTCGTGAAAACTTCAAAAACGATTCTAGCGCCGAGGAGAAGGAAAACAAGTTTTGTTACTCTAAGAAGTTCGACTTGATTGAATTTTCCTTCTTTCACTTTTTTTCACCTTCCTAAGCAGCAGAGTTAACCTTTTCGGACCTAAATGCACACAGATGGGACGGCAAATTACTCCAGTTTTGTTTTGGCCCTCAGAAGTGCTGGCGTATGCTGATTTTTGGTTATTCTGAAGGCGAATAATTAAGTTTCAATAATTGGCATGAATCTTTATCAGAAAAACGGTCCGTTAGAAGTTTAAAACGAACAGTAGGGCCAAGTCAAAAATCTCGCTAGATTAAGCTAAGAAGGTGCGAGTTGGCGGCTTTTGCGGTGTTATTAGAGCGTCAGCTCCACCGGGCCCGGCACACTGATAACTCAGCCACTACTAGAAGCAAGATTCTGAGCGATATCGTGAAAATGTGATGCTGCCTAAGAGCAACGATATCACAACAAATTAAGCTGATAAGGAAGTCAGAAGGAGACGCAATTTTCTAAAAATCACGCTTTCAACAACAAAAATTATCATGATCGAAAAATTGCTCGAAATCGGCAAAATTAAGGATCTACCCTCTCTAATTCGTCTTTTTCTGTAGCCTTAAATTATAAAAAAGACATTTTCTTATAAAAAAAGTATTAAAAATGAATAAAAAATTGGCTTAAAACTATTTAAAAAGCTCTTTTGTGACGCTATACCCTTAATTAAACCAATTATTTATTAAAGATCTAGGTATAAACCACTTAAAAAGCACTAACTACGACTCCCTTAAAAAAACTCAGCGGTATTAAAAATTGATAGAAAACTTATCTCGCCTGTTTCATTAACCCCTTTATTGAGTCAATTATTTACTTTTCTTTTTTCTAAAAAGCAGATAAGGAAAGAAAGAAAGTGGAGTGATGCATAATCCGATACTGTTAGAAGCCCTTTCGCACTTAAACTTTCCGCAGATGTGGAACTTCTGTCCCGCAGAGGCTCAGGACTCAACCAACTTTTTGGTGCGGTGAGCAACCGTTAAGCTTATTATTTCGTAAGATTTCGAGGCACATTATACAGGCGCTTCTTAATTTTTTAAGGGGATCGACATTTTTCGCCATATCATGAACTAGGTTCCAAAAATATCGCCGGTGAGATATTCCGAAAATAAAACCCGCAGTTGGGTAATTAAGTAATAACTCCCAACTGTTTTCACATCACGCTCTTAGCCAATTTTCGCGCGATTGACATATGTAAAAGCTAAAAATATTTTATAGTTTTGGTGAAAATAATCGTTACGCCGCTTAATCCACTCAATGGGGTCGGTTATTTCCGAAAAACCGTCACTTTTTTTTCTTGGATCGTGACGCCCTTAATCCCGTGAAGAGAAAAGTGAAGGAATATTTAGAATTTTACATCTTGGGGTTTATATTTTTTGTTTACAGCCGCCCAAGAAACATCTTCCCAAGGGCACTTGTGTTTTAGCATTCGTCAAAATCAATGCTCAACAAGTTATGATTACGTTCCAGTTGGTTGAGCAGCGCAAAACAACGGTCCCTTAAGTTCCTTTATCATCTCTTATCATTCTTTCCCAGAAGCTGCCAGGTGAAACTGGGCATTCATCACATTGTCCGCTAAATATTATCATTTTTGAAATCCGGTTAAGGGAGAATTATCGAATAATTATTGGCTTTTCTATCATATTTTTTTGACAGAGGCACGTTTTCGAGGCATTATGAGCTTGCTGTGGTCCAATGATGTTGCATTCGAGTGACCATATTTTCGCGTAAACGACCGTATTTCTAAACCACCACTTATAAGTATTCAAAAAAGCACATTCCAGGATGTGCGCGGCACTTTTCCCTGGTGCATATCTCGACTCAGACATTTTTCAACGCTTCCATCCCTTTTTTTCCAAAACAACGTGGCTGGGAAACTATGGGGTGTACGTATCATACGGTAAATCTTGAGTCGAGAGGGTTTTCGTTCTTTTGCTATTTTTGCTTTTAGAGCTGTTTATATCGAAAACAGCCTTGGCACCTTTTGGGAAAAAGGAACGCCCTAAAATATGTTTTGCGTGTTTGTATTGCCAGGTGGCCAAAGCTTTATAAATTCGCTCCGAAAAGCGGGCAATAAGTTCCCTACTTTTTCAATTCAAAAGCGGAAATGGTCGATTTTAATTTCTTTTTTTCCAGAAAACCCGCCCTTATTTACCCCAATCCAACAGCGTCTGAAATTCAGATAGACATTTTTACAATCGGAAATTGCCATTTTGCGCCTTTGTTTACCCCTCAACCCCTTTTGCGGTCCCTTGACCCGTTGGAAAGAAAATAAAGCTTGTTTATTCCCCGTTTCCTATATTATTTGCGCTCACGCTTCGGGCAATATTTTTCTGAATGGATCAAACGAGCTCGTAAAAATTGGGACGCGGGAATCGAGGAAGTCTTGAGCAGCGGCCGAAGTGTTTGGCTGAGTGGCCGTATTTTTCTCGAGCGCTCTTTTTCGAGAGAGTGTTTGAAATAATCGCGCGGTAATCCTTGTTTGGGGTCAGATTGCCGAGATACTTACGACAATGGGATAAGCTTACATCGTGTAAATATTGCTTATTTTGATTCGGGAAGTTTGGGAATGCAACTAACTCCGGTAATGCTATATTTTTAGCAAAATGACGTGGGACAATTCATCCAAAATCGTGTTTTGTAGGATTCATTTAACCTTGATTCCGGCTTTTTGTTCAAAATATTTTCCATTCAATGAATTTTTTCATCAATTTTTTACAAAAATAAAATTATGAAAAATTAAAATTTTAATTTTAACATATATTTCTAGCGCTCGGCAAGCTCAAACCAACAGATGTCTTCACAGTTCAACCAGAAAACGTCGAGGTCGTCCGTGGAAGCACCGTGACTCTAGAATGCGCGATCGACCCTTCCGTCACCTCCAAATACACATCCGACCCTGCTGAGGAGCTCATCCAATGGGCAAAGGGTAAATTGGGGCTTGGATTTCCTCCCCTTAGGCGAGAGCGGTACAGTCAGCAAGTCGGGCCGAATAGCTACAGTTTGACGATCGAAGATGTCCAGGCAGAGGATGAAGATGACTTTGAGTGTCAGTTCACTAGCGAAGGTAAATAACTGTAATGAGAAAAATACTTCAATGATGATTTAGGTATTCGAAGCAAGAATGCTCGATTGACGACAATCATCGCTCCAGAAGAGCTCCAAATCACTTCAAACGCGGCTAGTCTGATAGACAGTCTCCCCGCCGAGCCCGAAACAACCGTGACTGTCATCGAAGGAGTCGAAGCCGTCATCGATTGCGTGAGCATCAAGGCGAAACCAAGCGCTCTTCCAAAATGGACGAGCTCTTTCAAAGGTAAAAATCAAGTTCTGGAGCGAGACGTTGTTTTGACAGAATCAAAGAGGATTCTTGAGATACGTATCGTGAGTCTGAAACAACAAATCCGCAGATTGATAAAGCCAAGGGGATTATCCTTTTGGAAATTGAGCCGTTCACCTTTGCTTGTTTTGTGGATTTGAATTTCGAGAACTTGAATCGTCAAAAAAAATGGAGAACCCCTTATTTTTGAAAATTAATTTCTGACCCCGGATAACAACAGCATCGTGGATTTTGATCTCTCGTAAGGACAAAACAAGCCGCATCTGTTTGCCGCTAGAATTTGCGTTTTTTTGTCGTGTGCCGTTACGGCGGAAGCGAAATCAGCCGCGATCCCCTTAACGCCCCTCGGCATTCCTTCTATTATTCGGGCAAGATATGTTCCCGAAATTCAAATTCTCGCGGCCGGGCGACCGCCTCATATCAAGCGACATGTGGTTAAGGACACTAGAATCGCCTTCTGAGCAAAGCCAGATGGTCTTTCTCTCGGCGGTTTAGCTGGTCAATTAATGATCAAATGGTAATTTAACAATTTCAGATGCGGAATTCCGCGGACCATGGGAAGTGTACGATTCCGACTCGAAAACTACTAATGCGACTCGTCAATTGCGCTTCATCCCTTCTCTGGAACACGACGGAATGCCTGTACAATGCTCGGTAGAACATCCAGCGCTAGAAGAACAGCTTACCGTCGAGAAGACCCTGAAGGTTTACTGTAAGTAGATTTTCCATTTTCTTATCACTATTATCAAGAGCCCCCGCCGAGCGAGGGGTAGTGATAAATTAGCGGTGTCAATTTTCGCGAAATTAATAAAACTCACGTGCTTTTGCAAGTCTCGCAACAGAGAGCGGTTTTTGAAAATTATCCGAAACGTAATATTTCGCAGCGTGCAGCGAGACATATTGTACGACCGCCACAAGAGAACTTCTAATTTTCGGCAGTCGTTTTTTGTGGCGAGCGATTTTTCAGTAGAAATCAAAGACACTGCATTTCAAATTTGTTTCAACAGAAAAGAGCATTAGGGCGATTCGCAGTGCAGGAGTCGTTGGTTCGCTATCTAAATCGCGTAACCCGATCTTCGAGATGTAAAAAGGGTTCAAGAAAAGAAGGGATTCCGTATCCGGCCGAGCCGATAACGTCTCCTGAGTGTATAATGCCTGTCACTGCGCTGAATTCACCAGCCATCGTTGTATTCGCAAAATTGACAGCCGCTCAGTTCTTCTAGGCCCTGAATCGGCGCTAGAATTGCAGTACTGGCTCTAGAAAAACAGTTCAGCGGATCTTCTATTTTCCAAAGATCGAATTAATTTTAGAGCGCCAGGTAGCGCGTCCAGTCATCGGGGGCTTATTAGATTTTCCAATTTTGAAATTTCAAATTTTAGATTTTCACAAAAAAAGACAAATCGAGCCAAAATTGTTGGGCACGGGAAAACTAGCGATAATTTGCGATTTTACGGGGTCGGCGCTCGGCACGAGGAGGGATAACCTTACTGGACAAGATTATACAACGCGGGTGATATTTTTATCGTGAACTGGTTACGTAGCCGTCAGAATATGAAGATCGATGAACTAGCTCTTAAAAAATACGACAGAAGAGTCCTTCGATCGTTTAAAGAGCCACTCGAAATTCCCCAGATTCTAGAGACCTCGCTCGGCGGGATACTTTTCGCGTAAAATTACTCAATCGTTCCATTATCACCGCGGCTGATAAGAGCTCCGAAGTGGGTGAGATATTGAACCGCAGAAAATTCAGAATTTCTCGACTCTTTTTCTTGCCAGATTTAAAAAATCAAAGCAGATTGGTTGTCTTTTCTTTTGAAGAAGGGCGCCCGCAACATGACTGTGTTTGTGTCGATTGAAAATTCCAGCGCGGCTTTGGCGAGGAATTAGAACTCAGTCCGACCAGCATCACGTGTTAAATAGGTTCAACCAGAGAGTAGTCAATGCGGTCTTGTCCAGTCTGAATTCACTATTTTTCGGCAAGATTTGACCTTACGATTTTTTCGATGCATGTATTTTTTTCGTCGAAAAGAAGGACTCTCTCGGTGGGTACTGGGTTTTATAAAATATTCGCCCCGCGATGAGGCGATAAGATAACGAGTTCCACACCCAGACCGCCGTCACTACCGGGCACGTTTTTCAAGCCAATATCTTATTGGTATTAAAAACGTATCTAAGTTATCATTACGTGACGAAAGATATTTCCCCTTTTCAACTAAAATATCGTTTTTGGGCAAATTTTCGACCAATCAGAGCTTCCTATTTTGATGGTAGGCCAATCAGCAAAAATGTAGTTTTTTGGGAAATTTTTGACCAATCAGAGCGCCGAATTTGGCTAGAAAAATGAAAGTCGCACTGAAATTTTTCGTTGATCATTCAAAAAACAACGGGCCGAGCAGTATTATATGCACGAGCTTAAAATATTTAGAAACCTGACTCGTGCCCTCATCCCTTCGCTCATCCCTTTTCACAAAAGACAGCTTACTTATAGCAAGTTTATTTCACGCTGACTCCCTTCAACAGCAAGTTTCCGGCGGCTCAAGCTCCGATTTCCATTTTCTCCATTGCCACTTGGAATAGAATGGGTTAAGGGCTTCCGTTAGAACTTACGCTTTTCCGGTCAATAGAAAGGTTCACTTGAGAGGATGATTATCTTGAAGAAGACGCATTTTTCTAGGTGGTTAGAAAATGCCTTGAAATTATAAATCGGAGCAAGGAATGGGCGAGAAATTCGATGAGAAGAAAAAAGATTCAATTTGAGAATTCTTCTTTTTCGGTTTTTGTCAGAAGTTAACAGAATGATAGCACAGCGATTAGGCAAAGTTTTTTTTAAATCTTGTTCGATTAGACTTTTTTTTACTCCACTGGCGGGTACTAATTTTCCCGCTAAGATCACTTCAACTCATCATTTTCAAAATTGCGGTAAATCTCAGAGCGGGAGTTATTTGAACAGAGGATTCTTCTTCTGTATCCTTGACAAACGTGGGCTGTCCCCTTAATCAGAGGATAATGGCCACACGGTCAAGCCATTAGGACCTTAACGATCTCAATTTTGAAGATCTTTAAAGCCGCCACGCGCATTTTTTTCGACAATGTGTCAGATTTTTTCAATGCTCTCCCTCTTTTTTTTGTGCCGAAAATAACTGGCTTCGGAACACATTTTTTTGTGGTCAATTTATTTTCGTATTTTTGCCACGGCGCTCGTTGCGGAAGCGAATATTTTTTGGAAATTCTAGCGTTATGAAAAAACGTGAATGAAAATTATTGAATCGCTGTAAATATTTGGAATATTTTGTAAAGCATCGCGGGGCAGGGTTACACCTGCTGCGGTTCCAATGCCAGAAATGTTCAAATAGGGAATTTAAAACACGATTTGACACGTTTTGCGCCAACGGGTTAGGTTTGCGATGATGGTGGATTATTCATAATATATTCATGTTTGACCAAAAAGCAAATTTTTTCATTTTTAGAAAAGTAAAAAAATAGTTCGAATTTTTGCCATATTTTTTTTATAAAATCTGATTGGCCTGCAAGCCGAACTAGGATTTTATTGGTCAATTTTAGCCAAAAATTTGGTCAAAATTAAAAATTTCAAATTATCGTTTTTTTTTTAATTCGGGCATTTTTGAAACTAATATTTGTTCTAAGATCCTCCAAAAACGTCCATCAAACTACCATCAACCCCAATCCTGGCCGGCTCTGAAATAGAAGTTGAATGCGAACTGGAAGGAGCGAACCCGCCCGCACGCGAATTCCGCTGGATGATCGATGGCGAGATTCTTGAGAACGAAACGCAAAATGTCCTCAAATTGGAGGTTGCCGCCGCCCATCACCTTCAGCAAATTTCGTGTGAAGCCTTTAACGGAGTACAGAATGCGCAGCAACCGAGTGCTGGACAGATTGAAGTTCTTTGTAAGTTTGTTTTGATTTTTCGGTTTCCTGAGCTTTTCAGTTGAACCCGAATTGGTGGAGAAATCCAAACGAGTCGGCGTCGATCCAGAAGATACAGAAGTCGAGCTTTTTTGTGAGTTTTCTGGAAATCCAGCGCCGAAAATTGATTGGTAAGTTTCGAAAAAAATATCGAAAAAATCAGAAAAAATCGATTTTTTAGTCAAAAATTAAAGTTTTTTCTAGGTTTTTGGAAGACAAGTATCTCGGCAGCGGAAAATCACTCATTCTCGATGCTCGAACAACCCCAGTTTCAGCCGGTTCTTACAGTTGTATCGCCTCAAACGATCTTGGCAAGGCCTCATCAGAAATCCTCGTTGTGGTCAAAGGTCCACCGACGATTATTTCCTCGAATCAGCAGTCGACGAATCTGGAATGCGCATTTATGTCCGAACCAGCCCCAAGCCTGATCGAAATCAGAAACTTGGAAACGGACGAAATCGTCAAAATCGACGAAGAAATTCAGTTCTACAATTTGGAAGTCGTCAACGTCCAAAACTTGCCGCTTGGCTTGTACGAATGCAAAGTCGAGAACGAATTCGGATCGACGAGCGCTAGAATCTCACTCTATGGAAATGGTAATTTGAAAAACTGAATGTTTTGGCTTATTACAACTGGGGTATATTTTGCGTCGTGTAAGGCCATGCAAAGTGGGCGAAATTGAAAAATTTAAAGTGGCGCGCAATTAACCCGTGTCAAAGAAAAACCAACAGAACGGTTTAATTGACACGATAACATTTTTAAATCTCAAAAAGTCGAGATTTGAGTTCTTCAAAGTTTGTTTTTACTCGAATTTCGAATGTATACATTTTCTCTCAAAACTTAAGATTCTCTCAAAAACGTGGATTCAATCATCCAAAAATATCGAATTTTCAAAAAAAAATTAATAAAAAATTTTTTTGATCAAAATTGATCGTTATCAGTCAAAATTCCCCTTATCACTTCATAATTCGCAAGAAAAAAATCGGTTGCGTCGAAAGTTTCGACTCGAAACAGAGCGCGGAGGAAGCGGCGATTGAAATTCTATTTTTAGGATTGGGCGCCAGCGCCAAGCTTGGAATAATTGTTGGTGTTTTGGTCGTGGCGATCGCGATGGTGCTATTTTCGCTTATTAAAATGAAGGTGATCAGCAATACCAGAAGATTCAAGCTCAATCAGGTACTGAAAAAATGATCAAGAACAAAAAAAGCCTTCAAAACTAAGCCAAAGTTTTTCCAAAAAATGATTGATAGATTGTTAACCCATTTCCGCCTCTTGCTTTCCCAGATCCGTGTATTTTTCTCAGTGTATTTTTTCTGCTCTGATGGGCGGTGGTTACTCAATTCCGCGGCGAAACCGCTCCGTCGACCGGGCGTTCCGTTTCCGCTTTTCCTTCTAACCTCGAAAAAGAGAGAGAGGCTGCCTCGAGGAATATTTTGTTTAATGAAAATGATTGAACCGCGGTCGTAGAAGGGCAGGAGGAAAAAGAGAATTTAAAATGGAAAATGGGCGCTCGTCCCTAATGGATTCAATTTTGGTGCCAAATTAGCCGACCACAGTTCCGAAACGCGCAGAGCACACAAATGCCAGCTCGGACAAGGTGGATCAGCACGTGCACAAACACGTTACTTCGGATTCATTATCTGCTCACTACAGTGATACTATTTTCGCGCTTTTTCAAGGCATTTTGACTATTTTCAAACTCTGAAAAAAGAGTTCCCACACTTTTTTTTGGGTGGTGTCAGGAACCGACGAAAATTTCGACAAATTTTGCGTGGAAATTTTTAACCAATCAGAAATCTGGATTTGGCTTACCGCTTGTACCGCAAATCAGCAGCCGAGTAGTCGCCCAACGAAAAATTTGTCGAAATTTTTTGTAGGTCCCTGACACAAAATGTATTTTTGAGAGTAAAAAATTAAGGGTGTCCTTGCTAAAAATATCTTGAGAAAAAATTCTTATCGGACATTTGATGAGCCATTTTTTTCCTCCCTAAAATTAAGAATTCGTGATTTTAAGGGTTCGTGCTAATTTATTCGAAAATGACACATCATCAACATATTTGGAACATCCTCAAACACTCCCTTATCGGTAGTGTTCTGAGGCTGCCCCGGCATTTAACTGATAACGTTGCTTATCACCTCCATTTTCTCAACCTTTTTCGCTTTCTTATCATTTCTTATCAAGAACCATTATCAGCTAATTTATTTACTTTTCTTTTCAGGTTCCGGAAAACGACTCAACTGGAGATCTCGAATCGAACCGCCGCTCCATCGTTATTTCGAAGCCGTTTTTGCAGAAGCACCAGTCGAACCCGCTGCATGTGTTGGATTCGCAATTGGACGCGATTCTCGACAACCACGGTGAGTCTTTGTTTGACATAATTCCGCGGTTCTTTTAACTTGGCGACATATTTAATTCGATGCGCGACTCTACCATCCAATTAGAGGAATTGTGCTTACATAAGATTCACTTCTCTTTTTTCCTTCCCTAACGCTTTCTTTTTAGTTGAAGTGCGCTACTCCGACATCAACCCTTCCGACTCCGGTTCGACCCACCGATCCGCCGCCGACGACGGCTACGCCACCGAGTCCGGCAGCAACAACAAGATCGCCGCCAGCATCGGCTCCAACTTCACCAATTACGAGTTCGAGCAGAATTCGAATCCGCAGAGCTCGCAGACGAAGTTAAAGGTCATCTGGGACGATTCGCTGCCGCACGATTACGAGACGAAAGGACTCTTTGTCAGTAATTACAGAAAACAGAGGTCGATTTCTCAAGTTTGAGCGGAATTTTTGACTGTATATTGCCATTTTTTGACTGTAAACTTCAAGAATAAATACAATTTTCTACTTCTTAATTTCTGTTTAGTCAAATTTCTCGAAAAAATTTTATGGAAAAAATTCAAAAAACACGATTTTTAACTGAAAATCTTCCGATAAAAAACTTTTCTACTGAATAATTTATTCAAGCAAAAAAATATTTAACGTTTTTAAAATCCCTCTCGTTTGATCTTCTTTTTTCTCCGAACGCTCCTTTAGTAAGAATTCCGCCCGATCTCGTTCACGAAATATTTTTCTTCGTTCTGAATCCGACTCGCACGTGATCGTTGAAACCCTCTTTTTTCTGGTTTCTCAATTTTCATTCTCAGAATTGCTTTCGCAAATTGTGATGTTATCCGCGACGAGGGGCGCAATTGCAAATTAACTCTCGCGAGTACAAATCGGAAAAACAAAATTAACCCTCGGCCGACAGCTGGAGCAACAAGCCGCAGAGTGAACAGGAAGAGTTTCTCAGGCATGTAAGAACCAACCGCCAGTGATTCATTTCAAAATAAAATTATTGCTTGTTTTTGTGAAATTTCTAAAATTAGCATAAATTCGCCACCCCACTCATTCAATTTCCAAATGGAAGGAAGCACCAAAGCCTCTCGCTTCCAGAGGCTGATATCATCTCTCGATCCCTTATCGTATTTTCGCCATGTTTACCAACAGGTTCTTACCTCACGTGTAAGCGGAAGTGTCGCACGCGCCAGTGCGGCCCGTTGCGCGCCAAAACAGGATCGAGGGCGGCGGCGCTGAAAACTTATCGCGCTTCGGCGTTTTTGGCACCGACGAGGATAGAACCAATGCCACAACAACAGATTTGCGTATATTTTCTCTTAGCGACACTTTCAAAAGTTACTTTGAAAAATGCTTCGAATACAAATTTATTCGAAAAAATCGGTTATTTCTTTCAAAAATTCTTGACTTGAAATCAAGGAAGAAAATTTATTAAATATTTTGCCGATTTCATCGAGAATGATTCGCGCACCATCATCATCTCATTAGAACAACATTACGTATGGAATCGCTTCTGAAATTCTCAGTCTAATTATTTCGCCGTTGATCTATAAAAACCTCGCGCCAAGGCGGTGGAGGCTCAAATGAAATTCTTGACAATTCTATTTCTGTCTTTTCTGATCTCGGTCGAAGCGGGGCTGAGAGAAATACCAAGTTTTTGTAAAATAAGTACTTGTAAGAAGTGCAATAAATTGATCAATATGGGATCGAGAAGAAAAGAAGTTCATCTTTGTGCTAGAATTTTAAATCTTCCTCACTGTTGCCCAATTTTTATTTCAAAACCATCCTTTGGCTGATGTTTTCGCTTTCATTTTTTTTAATAAATAACGTTTTCTTCAAGCAGTCATTTTTTATTCGGCATCAAAAATAACAGCATTATCGCAAGTTTCTCTGCGACTGAAGTCTTTCGTTTTGAAAACCTCAAGCTCTGTAGATTTGATTTCATTGTCAATTCTCAGCCGAAAGACCTCTTCACGAAGAGCTTCTGATTCTACATTCGCCATTTTCAGTTGCAGCGAAAGATCCTCGATTTTCAAAAGCGAATTTTGCAGCGTATTTTCAGACAGTTCTTTTTTGTCTCTTTGATGATCCTCGTCATATTCGCAGCAGTCGCAGAGACACTCATGTTTGACATTTTTGAGAATTTCAATCTTAGAGCTGAGAATCGTGTTGTTTCGCTTTTCTACTTCGATGATGCTCTTTGATCTTTCAACGGGTCAAATCGAGGATCAAGTCAATTTAACTGACTAAATTTGACCATTCCTGATGAGGTCTTCAGTCACTTCTTTGAATCTTTCTTTGTAAAATTTTTCATTTTCTGAACGATCCTGAAGATTATGCAATCTTGATCTCAATTCTCTGTTTTGATTTTGAGAGCATAAAAGATCTTCTTCAAGTTTTTCCATTCGCTCTTTTTGATCTTGCTCGATGGCGAAATCTTGCTCGGTATCTTCTCGGTATTTTTGAAACGCTTCTTGTTGGTCTTCAAATTCCGTCTTTAGCCTTTTGATTATTGATAAAAAAGGCAAATTTTAATCAAAATTACTCGTGAAATTCAGCTCTCAGCCGCTCATATTGAGTCGTTGCGCCCTCGGAGTCTTAAAAATCCTAGTTTCGACTTGATTTTTTGACCTTACCAGAGTAGCTCAAATCTGAAAAATATTCCTCGTTGTCTTCAGCCAAAAGTTTTTCCGCATTATTGAGTGCTTTTTTGACCAACTCGTGCTGAATGACCAAATTTGTATATTCAATTTGCAATTCTGTCAGTGCATTTTCTGCTTCTATTCTCCTTCTTTTCTCGCTTATCTCGGCCATTTTTTTGATATTCTGAGCCGGATTTTGGACTGGTCAGATTCTTGAGAGCTCTCGAAACTTGTAGAATGCGTCAATTAGGCAATCAGAATATTTTGACAACTCAGAAAAAAAATGAAATTGTATTTATACAGCGAGTTTCAAACAGAAAGAGTTCAATTGTCATTCAAAACAGAACTATCTGACTTGATTTCTTGCAAGATTCGATCCTAAAATTAATTTTAGAATAAGTTTTTCGTCGTAAAATTACCCCTGTTGATTTGACTAGAATCTGTCGGCTGATCAGTTGTTTCTGGACTTTGAGAACCTCTCATACAGTGGCCGCAGAAAATACCGACAATCAAAAAGCCGATAAAAACGCCGATAATCATGATCCACTCCCACATTTCTGCAGTCTGTTGAGCTAAAAAAATCAAGCCATTACCCCTTTTTGATAATTGTCAATTCACCTCTTTCCAAATTAAAAAGTTCCATGTCTGTCAGACAGTCTTTACTTGCCGAAGTCTTTCCAAGACTTCTGCAGTGCGGTTTCATTGTCTTTCTCACTGAACTTTCTCTCCGACTATTTATCTATTCTTTTTGTTTTCTACCGAATGCAGGATTACGCGATATTAGAGTCAGATTTTGGCCATGAAAGAATGAGCCCCACTATCGTGATCTAGTTAATATCGACCAACAAGGCCGGGTTTAACGAGAACACGCTTGCGACAACTTATGAATCACTGAGACGAGAGTATTCTGAATGCCAGATTACTGTGATTGAAGGGTATTAAACCCATAAAGCGCGATCCCGTACATAACTTACCCTTCGAGACGCTCTTAAACTTGTCTTTTTCAAGTTAATTATTCAAATACCAGCATTTTCCTGGAAAACCAACGACCAAGGTCACTAACAGTCAGATTTTTTGAATAATTTTGCGGCCAAAAGAGGCCTTTTTGTTCAATTTATTGACCACTTAGCAGCAGAAACTCCTTAAAATGCTTCAAATCGACTTCTTCCTCCGCTGTTTTGGAATTTGCAGCCTGAAGAAATTCGGCAAAACATTTGAATTCATCATCAAAAAGCGGCTCTTCGCCAAGTTCTGTCATGATGTTCTTGAGCTTTGACATTGGAAGAGCGCCGAGATTGTTTTTGTCAAAGTACTGCACTGCCTCTGAAAACGATAATAAATCAAATTTTCGGAAAAATTACGATTGAGCTGCGATGCAGGATTTTCTGGATGGTTTTCTTTGTGAACAAGCATCATTTTTTGAAACTCTTCAAAATCGATTACTTCGTTTCCATCCTCATCAAAGTCGAGCATCAGCTTCTTAATTTCTTCCTTCGAGGGCGGGTGGCATCCGATTGTCTTCATTACTGTCTCCAGTTCGGAGAGATTTATCGTCCTGAAAATTGTTTATTTAGCAATTTTTTCAGTATTTCAATTGAATTTTTTTATAAAAAATCCAACCTGTCTCCATCATTATCAAAGAGCTCGAATAGGGCCTTTATCTCTTCCTCCTCAGTTGACATCTGTTTCAACTCAATCTCCTTGACTTCACTTTTCTTCCTTGATTTTCTCTTGCCCGCGTCGCTTCTCGAAAGAAGATAATTTAAAAATTGCCAACACATCAATTTTCGTTCTATTTTTGGATCTATTTTTGGAAATGGAAGAGTAACTAAATGAGGAGAGGAGATGGTTGAAACTCATCAGCCACGAATCGATAGCGGTGATTATTTTCCAAAGAGCTTTTTGATGCTTTTATTAGTCAGAAGGGAAGCTCAATTTTCCGTTACTGAAGGGAACACAATTTAAAGATTTTTTATTCATTATATACAGACAGACACTTCTCTTTAAAAATTCATTTATGGCGCATACGGTCTGAACCCCCTGGCTAACATTGTCCAAGATTGAACAGCATCGCCAGATTCTTTAGCGAGGAAGAAACTTAGATTATTTTCGAGGTGAGCGATCCTTAAAAAAATATTTAACTCAAATAACGAAATGAGACTTACTCTTTTTCTGAGCATTCAGCATCACTCACTGCCAGTCTGAACATCTCCCTCATCAATTCTGGGTCTGTATACTTGTGAGCAACAGAGAGTCCTCGCAACAGACAAGGATTGTCAACCACAATTCCTTGCGGATTCAGCCCAGAGCAGATGCCAGCCGACCTCTTCAACTTTTCCCTGAAAACATCGAAAGAAAGAACAAATACTGTAACTCACTGTTTTCCCGCATTTTGAATCAAATCTCCGACGTAAACATCATCCATCGGAAGCACTTGAGTCCTTTCAATCGCATTTTCCATCGCTAAAGCGAGATTTCGCGTTGTTACGTAAGCAGCGCCAGAGAAATAAGAACTGAACTCGTCAGCATCGTACATTTGCTCCGGCATGAAATATTTTGAAGAAGTATCGCGAATCGGAAGGGCGCCTTTTTTTAGACAACCTATTCCTTCAACGGAGCGTTGAGAGCTTCTGATCGCAGCGATTTCGCGAGCGAAATTTTGGGGGACTTTTTTGGATTGAGAAATTGAAGAATATGAAGCGGACATGGTTACGCGACGGCTTCGCTCTCTAAATTCTTTCTCATTTTCAACCCTTTTTAAAAGAATATCATCATCGCCTTTGAACACATAATCCACATTCTTACACGACTTCTCAATAAACCTCAAGAACGCAATGTCCTTGAATGGCAAATTATAAAGCGACTCTTGAAAATCCAACAGCAAAATATCTCCCTTCTCTAGAATTTCATCCGACAAATCAACCTCTTCTTCTGCTTGGGCGATGAGGAAAACCACCTTGATTCTGTAATGCAGCCAGTTCCATATTTCTGGTTGGAGCCAGGTATCGCGAAGAGCTTGACGCATTTGAGAGGATCTTGGCAGCGATTTTATTCCGAAAATTATCGTTTCGTCTTCGCAAGGGAGTGGAGAGATGAGAGCTTCTGGTTGTCGATCGGGGTCGAATTTGAACAGTTTGTTCAAATGAGAGAACATCCCTGTATAAACGCAATTTCGTTCATTATTCAATCTCCTCTGTCCCCTCAAATCCGGATAAAGACTTTCAACTTCCGAGACATTCAGCGTATTCTCTTTGTCCCAACCATCGCAATTTCTCCTGTACATCACCCAAGAATTAAACTCCGCCGAAACAACATCTGGGCCCTTCCGGAGCTCGAAAAATCCCAGCTCATTTTCGATGACTTCCGAGACTCCGTTGCACTCGTCTTTTTCAGCGCAAGCGAGTTTTGCTGATTCAAGAGACGAAAAACGGAAACATTCGATCGTTACCGGATCTTTGATGCAGTTCTAGATACTGTTAGAAAAAAGCTTTTTCTCAAAAGAACTTACTGATATCGTCACTCCTTCGTGAAAAACCCAAAACTGTAATTCGTTGCTCCCGTCTTGTTCGTCCGGGGATGTGACATACAGTAGTAGCAGCAAATACAGACAGTAATTCAATCTCTTTGTCAATAAAGCCTCCATTTTTCAGCCCCAATTTCTCTTTTTTTTAATTTCTCTTCATAATGCTTTTAGGGTTAATTTATATCAATGATATATAAAATATTTTTACCATGATATTTTGATTGCTTATTCTTTAGGATAGCCGGTTTATCGTGAGAACGAGACATCGAGATTCGACAAAGATAACGATAGCAATATGCGTGTTCCGCAAAAAATATTGATGTCCTGGGAAAAACTTCTATAGAAAAAATATTTTCAAGAAAGGGAATTATAATTTCTGAGTTTTTTTAAAGAAACAAACAAATTTTTGATATTTTGAAATTTTTATTTCATTCATTTTGTGTCAAGCAGGCCAATACTCGATCATATTTTTTAGGTTCCAATAAGTATTGTTTTTTGTACAAGCTGTTATTTTATTTTTCAAGAAATTTGACAAAATGAAAATCTCCCCCGAGGAAATTTTATTTTTTCAAATTTTTGAAACAGCAGTTATTTCGATTTTTTCGAAAGTTGATCGCAGCAATATTTGCCGCCTTTCGTTTTTTTTCACTCATTTTCAGAGAGAAAAGCAGTAGGTAAAATTGGTATGAGTAGTGAGATGAGTTTTTCGTACAATCGTTACTTCTTCTTGTCGGAGAGGAAACTTTTTTTCGGTAAATACAGTTGTTTGGAGAATTTTCTAGCAGGAGCTGTCCGCGCTGGCGGCTTTTCCGGAGCAGCATTGTTGAGTGGCGGGATTGATTTTGACGCTAGAATAAGGATTTATTCATTGTTAATCGGAAAAAGGGCGATGGGGAAAATAAGGGTATCATAACGATATTTCTGTAAAAAATGTAAAATTTCAAACGAGAACCGACTTATTGATCTTATTTGCGATTTTCATCAACTTACAACGGATTGCCATTTCCTCCGCAGCATTGATGCTCAACTCCGACGCCTCGGACACTTGAGGCGCTGCTATCATCAGAGCTGAATCCTCCAGCACCGCCGGCACCAGCGCCGCCCCCGCTGACACAAGATTCGTTCTCGTCAAATCCGTTGAACCATTGTCCGGAACCGGTCTGGGCAAATTCTCGAGCGGCAAACATTTGATTGGCAAAAGCCAAGTCGCAGTTGAATAGCGAGGCTTTGCAGCTGTTTTCTGGTTCTTTCGTGTAGATCGACTTGAGGAGATGTTAAAAATGAAGTCGAGAAGAGTTGAGTCAGTACCTTATTTCGTCGCTTGTAGACCCATCTGTAGCTTTCATCTTCGTTGTTACAGTCTTCTCCGTAAGCTGCAGTTGCGCAGCTGAGGCAGACCTTGTATTGATGACAGGCAGTATCCAAGGAATCGATGGGTTTTCCTTAAAATTTTATTATCAAAAAATGATAATAAAAAAATCTTACCTTTTCCGATTTCGCTCATGTCCTTCCCAGTCAACTGGTGGCAGAAGCAGCCGTAAGCCCAAAAATCTGCGGCGTTGAAGCTCTCCTTTTTCTTGAGACCGTTGATGTTCCAGACCTTGCCGGCGATGGTGGCGAGATCGCCATAAGTGGAAGGGATGTCGACTTTGTCCTCACGGGGCTTTTTGTCTTTTCCCTTGCCCTTCTTTCGGCGGCGAGCTGAAGAAAATTAGATAAATGAAGAATGAACCGAAATGGTCTGTTAAATTCATTTTTTAGAATTGCTATTTTTTGATTTAACGGAGTGATACCCTTATTTCCAATCAATATATATATATAAAATCCTAGGAATTTGATTCATATTCTTTTTTTATTGTCCTTAGATCAAAATGAGAAGAAAAAATAAGGGTGTCACTTCATTAATTTTCAAAAATAGTTAATAAAAAAGTAGATAGGCTCTTACCTAAAGGAGAATCTTCTGGAAGCTCGGGAAAGGGTTCAAAAGTTTCGCAGTCAACTCTAACTCTTCCGGAGTAGCATTCCTCATCATCTAGAATCTGAGCATGGGCAGCTGCGGCGAGAAAAACTGTCGAAACTTTCATTTTTATCGGTTTTTTTTTCAATCGAAACCCTTTTTCGTTCGTCGGCGATCTCTAGAAAATGATCGTAACTTATTTCTTGTCTTTTGTATCAAAGACTTATGGCCAGAAAACCGGCGCCTGGGAGATTTTATATCACTCGCGTATGTTTTGAGTCCAATCGTGAATTCGTATGCGGCGCCAGCAAGCTCCGATGAAGAAAAAATTGAACACGATGAGCACGAGCTGTGTTGTGTTAAATAAAGATTTCATGAATGATTTGACATCATTATCATCATCATATCGCGCGATGACAACGTTCACGGAAATTCGTAAGAGGTGATAAGATAGTGAGTTTTAGAGGCATTGCTCAATGAGTCAAGTTTTGATTATCTCGGCCCGAGATTCTTGATTTTTGTCGATCTTTTTTCAAATTCTTCAGGCTTAAGGGTGTCATCAACGATTTTGGGCATATTTTCATTCACTTTTTCCGCACCCTCCCTTAAGATTTTTGATCTTTTTTTATGCTCATTAGTAGAATTCAACCTTTGAATGTCTGTTCCTGGCGTCATTTGGACGCTCTTCTGCGGTTGCTGTGTTCAGTTCGACGACCAGATTTCATCCGTTACTACTCTTGAGCAGATGATGACCTGCTTTTCTGAGCGAGCTCTGAAGAAATCAACCTCTTTTTGGGCGTCGCCTGATTTGGAGAAAGACGAGCACTTTCTCTGCGAAAAAAGATCTTGACCAAAAAAATGCACTTCCATGAATTGGTTGAGTCCAGAAATACGCAGAAGCTTGTTCTCGATGATAGCTTATTTTAGTAGCATATTCGGGAAATAGCGTTTTATTTCTTGAACAAAACGTAATCGTAGTCCACGGACAACGTTTATGAAACAAAATAAATCAAAGAGCATTCTCGTAAACGTACTACACGACACTGATTTGATTCAATTTTAGAAAAATGCTCAGTCGACAGGAATCAAAGTGGGGAATGCGATCTTGCTACATTTTGAGCTACATTTGATAGGGGATAAACCGCTGTAAGTCGACATTTCTGATTTTAGCCCGACATGATTTTTCGTTGATTTGGTTCGTCTATGCCGCGGTTTTCAATTGTTTTAAGAAAAATTATTTTTTTAAAATTAAAAAAAAATTATTTTTAAAAAATTATTTCAAAAAAATCATATTTTTAAGAAATTATTTATTTTTTTTTTCTTTCATTCTTCAGAAAAAGTGAACTGTTTGTCCAGCTGACGTTTCCAAAAAGCAGATCCAATTTCCGTCATTTAATTTTTAATTCGATTTCGAATTTGTTGATGCTCTCTACAGGGCGGGGGTCGATTCTCGCAAAAAAATAACCTGATCGCGGCGAGGTTTTGGATTCAACATTGCAACCTCATGGCTTTAGATAATCTTTAGTCGAAATCGAATTTGACCAAAATTGAGTTCCAGGAAGACGACTTTTTAAAAAAAGTTTGTTGATAGCCTAATTCGCACGAGAGACACGTTCGAAAACGTGGAATAAGTTTGCAGAAATTGGTAATTACGATAATTTATTTGTTGAAAATCGACCGGTTTTCATTTTGAGCGTTTTATTCGATCTCCTGCTGTGAGCCAAGTGTTTGAGAAAATATTGCCTTTTCGCTTTTTCGCGCGCTCTAGAAATTCTTCTCTCTCGGCAGTGTGGTTCTTGTAGTTTTTGAGTCGGCGGTCTTTTTCTATCGTTCTTTTTCCGAGCTTCTTTGACGAAAAAATTGAAATAAAAAGAAACCATAAGTAAGATTTAAGTTTTTTCTATATTTACTTTTTTCTTCCTAATGAATGCGAAATTAATTTATCTAACAATTTATCTATTGGATAAAGTTCAAGGCCGCGTTTGGTTAGGGTTCTCTTTTAGTGCTTCCATTCGACATATCATATATGATACATATGTATGTTCAATGGCGCACTTTTTTTAAGGTGGGCCAAGTTATTTCTCCCACTTTTTCATTACCTGGACAATCATATATATTTAGAGTCAGCTAAAAAAATCTCGAAACTTGACCTTTTTTCTTTCTCGACCCTAGCCGGCTAGAGCAAAATTTCAAACGCATTATTCGAGCTCTCTCAGTTATCATTATATAGCCACCACATGTGTAATATCTTGAAGGCGGTAAAGAGGTCTCTCAAAGAAGGGGTACTCATTAATTATTGTCTACCTGTGGCTCGAGAAATGAATGATTGAAAATTTGAAAAAGGCGCCATACAGTACTGTATGGCCCATACATTAAATATTTTTTAGAAAAAAATTACATTGATGAACGATTATTATCTTGTATCGATTAAATAATTTGTTTTTAACCATTATATGGAGAATACCAAATTTCAAGTACAATTTTTGAGTCGCCAATAAGATTGCTGTATTACTACCAGCAAATCAAAATGCTTTCCGTAAAAACCAGATCAAAAATAAATTCATTCTTTGCTATTATTTCCATATTTTGGTTTCACTCAAAAACTTAAATTATAATAAATTTAACCGAAATTTTATAAACTGAGGAACTGTGTTTGTTGCTCGTCTTACTTTTAAAGCCCGTTCCTAGCACGAATAAATTGCTGCTCTTTTCCAGTGATAAAATTGCCCCTTCCATCGGTGAAAAACAAGATTGGCGGTTGCTTCGGCTCCTCGAAGTAGAAATCCTTCTCGACGGCTTAAAAATTGCTGTTTGGTATTGAAACACTTTTGGATTTAACCTTTTATTTTCTGAAAATAGTCGGATTGATTCTCGCTGAGCTGGCTTCCGATGAAACTCTTTGAGCGTTTGATTGATGATTTTGTTGCGGAGGATTTTCGTGTGTATGCACTAGAATTAAGAGTAAATAATGGACAAGATGTGATTTGGTAACTGGTCGAATACAGTGTTCTCATTGGCCGAAAGCTTGAAACTAACATCTGATTGGCTTGTTGCTCAAATTCGAGCCTGGGCTAAAAACAAGTTTCTGATTGGCCGATCGGACAAATTCAGAGAATGGATTGGCCGAAAGTACAAAAACTCGATTTTGATTGGCCAATTCAAACCTCTGAGTAAATTGCCGCCTCATATTGTATTCATCCGAATCCATGGAGCTCTTCGACGTCACTGGAGAATAGTTTTCTTCTTCCAAATCATCATCGCTTTCCAAATCGTAAAGCCCATTCAGTAGCTGGCCCATTTTTTCGTTCTTTGCATCTTGCTGGAGAAGCACTTTTGTCAGCTCTATTGAAGTCCTTGCTTCGCTGAAAAAAGAGTGTTTTAAGAAAAAGAAAGAATTTTTGAACTTACTGTGTGTTTTTTCTTCCGTGAAATTTCTGCATGAAATTTCTGAAAAAAAAAGTTATCATTTAAATAACGAGAAACCCTATTGATGTTCAACTTTACTACACGAGCACGATATTTTAACACGATAAATACACGCGTAAATTTCGTGGCGCTGGTTATGTTATTTTCGGGTTCGGCAAGTGTGGCGGTGGCGAGTGTCGTTTTTGGGCTAAACAGATGCAAACTATTTGCCAAACGGATTCTACAAAATTGGGTTTATTTTCAATACGCGTTGGATGGCCATCCACGTACTTTTTTATGAAATCGGCATGTTCACCAACTAATCGAGTGAAAACAACACTTCATAAAGAGTAAATCTAGCAAGACTTCTACTATTTTGGCGTTCTGGGGGGACGTAGTCTATGTGACACATAGATTGGGTTATTTAACAATTTATGACGAAAATTATTTCCCATTTTTAGAAGCCATCTTACCTAACATCGCGGCGATAAGTTTCGGCAAATGTCGAATCGATAACAGGTTCTTTCTTCCGGCCCGAGCTCGGTCGAGATAAAGTGACGGCATGTTTTACTGCTTGAACGCGAGTCCATTTTGAGCCTAATCAAATCGCTATCTCGCAATTTGCGATTTTTCTACTCAAAATGTCGAAATGAGTCATTGCTTACCGAGCTTGTTAATTTCCGCCTGGTGGCGCCCTGCATCTCTTCTCTGTCTTTTCATTGGCTGTCAAACGAAGCAGGCTAAAAAGGAAATAGGGATTTTGAAGCCCAAGCCTGGCCTGGTATCGGCTGTTTTGGACGTCGTGAATCGCCATTTGGGTTGAGTAAATGTCTCTAAGAGCGGATTTTCGCCTGGTTGAATCTCGCTCGAACGCATTTCCAGTAATTTCCTTTTCTTGGTTATCTTCGATACAGGGGTCTGGATTTTGGCCAAAAATGAAAAGCGAAAGCGAAGCGAAAGCGAAAATTTTTCAAAAATTTTAAGCGAAAGCGAAGCGAAGCGAATCAAAATTTCGTGAGCGAAAGCGAAGCGAAGCGAAAAATTTTTCTAAAAAGCGAAAAAAAGCGAAAATTTTCCGGAAATATTTAACCTTTGAGAAAGTGTCCATTTCAAGTATGGTTTCATTTTTATTACTTTTTGGACGGTGGTCTCAGTTTGCCCGCGTCGCCGTTTACCCAAGTCGCCGTCTCCCAAAATCGTCGTTTACCTTACTTTGGGGAACGGAGATCTTGGGCAAACGGCGATGAGAATATATTTATATAGATTGATAATTAAACATTGTTTGGCTTCTCAAGCGTCAATCTTGGCCTCATCAATGCCAATCCTGGCTTCACATATTTCAATCATGTCTTCTTCAATTTCATTAAAATTTTATCAATGATGTCTTATCCATCGTCAAGTCTGCTTTCAACATTTTCAATTCTGGCTTTACCGACTTCAATCATGGCTTTTCCAATCTCAATCCCGGGTTTATCGACGTCAATTACGACTTCTCCAACGTCAATCGTGGCTTCTCCAATTAATCTAATCTTGAATAAGCCATGATCGACAACTGAGAAGCCGGAACTTACGTCTGAGAGGCTAGGATTGAAATAAGTGACGCCCGGATCGGTGTTGCCGGGATTGATGTGAAGCCGGGATCGATGCTGGAGATGCCAAGATTGATATTTAACCAACCAGGATCGACGTCTGAAAAGCAAGGATCGAAGTTTTGAAGCCGGGATTGAAGATGGTGATGTCAGGATTGATTGTGGAGAGGCCAATATATGAAATTATAAGATCAATCAATTTAAATTATAATACATCGCCGTTTGTCCCATTCGCCGATTCCTCAAGTTGGGCAAACAGAGATCTTGGGCAAGCGGAGACCACTCCATTCGGACTTCCGCTCCGATTTTTCAAATTGCAAATTTTCTAAGGTTAGTGAGCTGAAGAGGCTGTGTGGCTCAGCTCAGGTCAATCATTTCTAAATATTGACTGCCTTGCTCAGATTAATTGAATGAATTTGAAGAGTCAGCTCAGCTCAATGATTTTTTTGGGAAGGACAGCTGAGCTCCTGGGCTCGGCAACCTGAGTACAGGGTCAGGGTCAGGGTCAGGGTTAGAAAAAATTTTCTTGATATTTACTCAGGTACTCAGGTCAGGGTTTCTCACTCAGTCAGGTACTCAGGGTACTCAGTCAGGCCTGCTCAGACTCAGGAACTCAGGTCAGGGTCAGGTGCCTGACTCAGGCCAAAACTCAGGGTTTTTCCACACATCAATTTCATTCTTCGCAGATAACATATAACCTTTAATCACAAAATCGCCAATAAGATGGAAAATCACTGTATTTTGACCCCCTTGACGTTGCAAATTGACTCTTTTTTGTGTTTTTTTCGCTTACTCAGGCCCTGTGTGAGCAACTCAGGCCTGTCTTTTAACTCAGGTCAGGGTCAGGCTCAGGGCTTTTTTTCTCGGGCCTCGATTTTACTCAGGCACACAGGTCAGGGCCTGTGTACTCAGTACTCAGGGACCTGACTCAGGGTTTTACTCAGGTCAGATTGCCGAGCCCAGCTGAGCTCAGCGCATCTCACAATATTGGCTACTTTGAAAACAGTAAAATTTCTCTCAGCACAGCTTTTGCAAGTGCCAGCTGAGCTCATTCAGCAAAATTTCCACTTGAGTTTAAGCTAAAGCTAAGCAAAAAAGGCGAAATTTTCAACTCCTGGAAAGAATTCTTTTGAGCGAAATTTTCGCGAAAATTTTTAGTAAAAAGCGAAAGCGAAGCGAAGCGAATTGAAATTACAAAAGCGAAAGCGAAGCGAAGTGAATTCGCTTCGCTTCGCTTCGCTTCGCTCATGAGCGAATTCGCAAAGCGAATCCAGACCCCTGTTCGATATAAAAGTCCATGATTTCTTATTTCGAATTCTCAAAATCCTGAAAATCAAAAAAAAATTTTTTTTGAATTCCTTCCTAAAAAGCTCAAAACGACCATTTTTCTCTTCCAATCTCCCGGATACCGGTATTCTCTGAAGAAAGAAAAAAGATCTGAGAAAGAAAAACCAAGTGCCTTAGCTCTAGAGAGGTGTTTCTGAGTTTGCTTCAGCTGCGTTTCAAGTTGCCAGAAACTCCCGCTTCGTTTCATCTTCTTAAGTTTTCTGTAAATAAAAAAACAAAATCTCGACTTCTTCGCTGTCAGAAGATTATTTTTTCTTGCCTCCCAGTTTTTATACTGTTTCTGAACTAGAGTTTATTTTTTCATGTACTTGAGTGGCGAATTTGACATCCTTAATTCGCGCTTATCTTTTCTCAAGAGAGTATGATTATTTACTCGAAAAAATCATAAATTTTTATTTTTCGTAAAAACAAAATTCGAAATTTAATAACAAAATAAAATTTTTAATACAAAAAATAAAAATTTTTTATAAAAAAAATTTGAGAATTTTTAAAAATTTTTGAGCATAAAATTTTTCTTTTTTGGCGAGTTTCAAAATACCTCAAAATTTCTCTTCTTGAAAATATTTTTAAACAAGCGACTAATCGATCATGAAGCGTTCAAAAGTTCGACTTCATTCAAGTGCAAAACTAACAAATTAACCGTTTTACACAAAGCAAGCTGAATAGTGATCACATGGCGACCGATTGTAATTCGCCTCCGGTATTTGACAGGAAATAGGAAATAGAGCTTCTTTTCAAAGTTTTTATTTTGCGTGATACGGTATTATCTTTTCGATTTGCGTCATTTTTGATGAGTTTCAAAATTCATTTAGCTAAAATTATGAAATTGAATTCGCAAAGTGTATTGATTTTCGAGCTGAAGCAAGAACACGGGCTTTATATAATATATGATAAGCCAAATACAGCAATCTTATTGGCTGCCGAAAAATTCAGTTAATGGCTTGCCACATTTTTCCTCTTTGATCCCGAAGCGATCCCTAAATTGTATAATCAACAAATCTCCGGCAAAAAGCGTTCGTCATTGACCAAAACAAGATTCAAAAGCAAAATGTTAAAAGATTTTTTCTTCAGTTTTTCTCTTTTTGCAACATTTTTCTTTCCACTTTTATGGGTGGCCTTGAAATCAAACAGAGAAACCTTTACCTCAGCGAAAATTGAAGACATAGAAGACATAGAAGAACTACCTCCTGCAAAGAATATTCTGCTCTTGACTGGTTATCGAACTGGATCGTCCTTTTTGGCGGAGATTTTTAACCACAACGAAAACATTTTTTATGAACGGTTTCTTTTCTATGATTTTTATTCGAAAGCAGCGATAACGTAGTTCACAATCGAAATTAACAGCCCAAGTACACCTGCAATGAAGGTGATCCACACTCGTTTCTCCATCTTTTCGAGAACTTCTTCCGTCTCCAACCCGTCTTTTTCGTCTTCTTGTTTTTCGACAATGAGTACAATGTCGATGAAACCGTAGACAACTTGGAGCACGATGCTCAAAGCTGCCAAGGACATTTTCAAAAGCATTGGGTAGTCCTCGCAGTAGTACACAGTTCTTTCTGAAATTATAAATTAGACCAATTAACGAGTGTCTTTTCCCCTGACTTACGTTGACTTGCCAAAGTAGCTCGACATTCTTCACCGGACAGATCATGGTCACAGATTCGCCCGCAGAATGTGTACTTCTCGATTTCATTCCTGAATTAATCCCCTGAAATATGATTCGATATTGATGAAACATACTTGAGCATGATGAAATTTCCAACAACGAGGGCTGAATTCAAAGCAGCAGTGTTGAAAGCATTCATTTTTCTTGCTGTTTTTTGGCTTTCCTCGCTGAAAATTTAGATATTTATCGAAAAAAAATCATAAATTTATCAATTAAATTATAACTTTTTTAACCATCATCTTCGTTTTCGTACCTCTCATCGTCCTTTGTAGCCTCAGTTTGAGCAACAGAAGGAGTAGGTTGTTGAATCTCCTTCCCGGGATTAATACTCTTTGCTCTTTTTGTTACTGCCATTCTGAGCGAAAATTTTCTCTAGCCCGGGCTCACGATCGGTCACTTTTACTTATGATTCATAAGTTATGAACCTTATGTTAAAGGATCATCCGCAGTCGTAAATTCCGCGAAAGCCGTCTTTCACATAGACTCATTGTTGGATACTTTATTACGGAAGTAAAATGGAAACTTAGCAGCCATATAGCTTTATTGGTAATTGCGCCGTTTATTTACAGTAGATTTCAGTTTAAAGAAAATTTTTCTAAAAAAAAGAAACCGAGTTTGAAGCTTTTTGAGCCTGATCATATTGTTTTGGGGACAAGAAAGTATCGTGAAAAACGACATGAAGAAGAATGGGCTTCTTTCATTTTGGATCTTTTTCGGTGTAATTTAACCGACCCAGGATTAAGATATGATGATGGTCGGATAGGAATGGAATCGATTCTCAGAGAAACAAGGGTTAGGGTTAAGGAAGCTTTTCTTAACCCGTTACCGCGCGGGAGGCGTAAAAATGCCTTCTCGCCAATAAGTACGCAGTATTTCGAGCCTCGGGGCGTGTCGAAGCCGCGAAATTTCTACGCGCTCGGCAACGGGTTAACCCGTTTTTGTATCTGATTTTTTGGTCCCTTTTGAAAGTCTTCTACGATAAACCAAATGCGCTCAAATCAAGCGATCTGAAAGAAAAATCATCTGAAGAGGCCCTGACGAAATTCTGCCAGAAAAACGTGCGAGTGATAAAAACCATTCAAGATGGCGACATTGGAGTGATTTTACGAGAAGCAGAGAGGCGTGAAGTGGATTTGAGGGTCATTCTCTACTTCCGGTAACGATTTGTTAAATAAGCAGTTTGCAGATTATTATTTTTAGCGATCCAAGGCCCGTTTATTTGAGCCGGTTGAGGATTGCCGCCGCGGCGTCTCTTTTCTACAACATCAAAATTTTTTGTGAACGTAAACTCGAGCAGTTAGAATTTCTGAAAGAAAATACTCATCTTCATTCAAGGCTGAAAATCGTCAAATTTGAAGATTTTGCGATGAAGCCAAAACAACAGACAAAAGCGATCTACGATTTTTTGAAGCTAGAATTTCCGATTTCCGTTGAAAAGTGGCTGGTAGAGCATACGACTCAATCGGATGAAGATACTTTTGGGACATCGAGAAACTCGGCTGAAATTATTTCGAAATGGAAAAGTGAAATAACGCAGGAGCAGAAAATTCCGATTGATTTTATCTGTGCGGATTATTTAACTGAGCTCAAATACGACATCTGACACAGAAAATAACTGAAATTGATGTTATTCTGTTATTCAAGTCGAAAAGCTTTGAAATTTCTTCGCAATTTTTCAGTTTTTCTTCTGCAAGATCGGAGTTCCTCGACAAACTCCCGCTCATTGAAGAATTTATGCTCAACGAGGCTCTCGGGAAGAGCTTGGCTTGGTTCGAAAGTTGCCTTCTTCTTTTTTCCTCTTCCCAAAGTCTGGTTGTTCACTTGTGTCTAGAGAAAAATCAGCCCCTTTCTATACTTTTCGACGAACCTTGACGGGTGGCAGAAGCATTATTTTTCCATCGCAATTGACGTTGTAACCGATTTTTCGGAGCGTAATTGACATGTATTGAAACTCCTTTTTTGCCTTTGAAATTTGATCTTTGATCATTTTATGCCGGTAGAAATCATCCAAGCATTTGAAGTAGAGTCGGCAGGAGTTGCAGAAGAACTGGGTCTCCTTGATGTCCACGACATAGCGAAGCCGAGCGGGGCACGTGATTCGCCAGCTGTAGGTTGGGATTTTTGTTAAAGAGCTTGAAAGACCCGTTAAAGGATGATATTTTATCCTACAAAACTTACCAGGGAACAATCTTTTGCAATCCGGAAAACTCCTTTCTATCTACTGTCGACGCCCCGTAGGATCGAATCGTTCTTGCTGTTCTAGTAGATCTTGCCGAAACGCTCATTTTTTCTCTTTTAGAGAAAAAGAAAAGATCGCGTTGGTTTTATACCTTCTATCATTTTGATATTGGCTATCTTGTTTGTCTTTGTAAGTTGTTTTTCGCGCCGCGTGAAACTGTCAAATAACGACACTTCTTCTTGATCCAACAATCCAGGATCCTCCAAAATTTTGCAGGCAAGCTCTAGAATGATTCTCTGTTGACCAATTATTTTTGAAAGCATAACTAGTTGATAAATATGAGCGAAGGGGGCTCTAAGAAATTAATAGTTTTATGAATGGCATCTAAAATGGTTAAAGTTGAATTTTTGGTCAATTTTGGAAGTTTTGATGCCCTTTAGTTTTCTGTGTCGCTTTGCTTTGTGGTGGTCTCATAGCATTTTTGACTCAGAGCAAAGGGGACAGAAGCGTTAATGTTTACGAAATAACGACAACATCTACGAATACATTCACATTTACAACATCAACAACTTCAACGACGATGACGACAACACAGACAACAACGACATCAACGACCCCGACAACAACGATAAACTACAAGAAATGTGTTTCCTTCGCTATGACTGGTGGCGACTATGAGCGAGTCGACCATGAAACCGCGCAGTCGAGATGCGAAGACATTGGGGGTTATCTTTCATTCTTTTTGACTCAAGACGAGCTTGACCACTTCAACAACGAGCGCGAAACTTTAGGCAGAAAAGAATGGCTAGGAATTGTAAAGAATCAAACTACACAAGTCTGGCAAACTGTAACAGGTTATAAATACTGTTGGGTTAAGTTTTGATGTAGTCTTTAGGGATTAACAACACGATATTCGATTGGACGACCAACGAGCCAAACAATGTCGGTGGAGTTGAAAATTGCATTGAGCGATACACTTATGGAACTTGGAATGATGAGCCTTGCAACCAACTTGAAACATTTTCGTGTCGACTTGAAGAACTGGTCCCGGATCACCTGAATTGTTCTACTGATTATTTCTTGGCGAACGGCAATTAAATTAGTCAAAAATTAATTTAGTCAAAAATCAGTTGTGTGGAAAATCAAGATGAAAAAAAAAATTCGATAATCTTATCTGAAAAAGTTTTTTTTTTGTTCACGTTTTTTTATCAATAATCTTGTGTTAATATCTACGATTCAATTATATCTGATAGCAACTTCTTTTATTCTCTTTGTCATAGATATAAACTTGTCTAACTGACGAGTGAGAAATAGTCCGACCTTCATGTTACATTCACGTAGTTCTTTGATGTTTGGAACATCAAGCTGTTGATCAAATAAGCCCACTCTCAAAGTTCTTTCTGTACGCTCACGATCAATTTTAAAAATTCTTTTGAGTCCCCTTTGAAGACATGGTTTTTATCTGGCATTGACGATAATCAATCAGACCAGAGTTAAAGCAGAACGAGTTATGCTCAGAGTATCTAAAATATATAGCAGTATATAACTGCAGACTTTCTTGAGAATAAAAAGAACTGCTGAAGTTCGTGCTCTCTATTTAAAAACAAAATAATCCATGTGAAAATTGTTACCTTACTCATTTGACCGGCAACGGATCATTCTAAGTCCGACAACCTTTTACGTTGACTTTTCACAACGTAAAAAAGTGATTGACAAGCAGTGACATAATTTCATGGCATAATTGATGGCATCTCTTTATTACAAACAAAATATCAATTGCCATGATGAACGTCACAAATCTTGTACTGATTACCCCGCTTTCCTAAAAGTCCTACTAGCTAAATCTGACTAATGCGAACCGGTATTTGAGAGCGGCAAAGATCTTAAACTGACAACTTTTGAAAGGTTGACATGAACAGCTTCAAAATAACAAGTCAAGAACGCAATGTGTTCACAAATTACTCGTTTCTCATCTTGACTCATATAGACCGACTTTTTGATGTAGAAAGACCTTTGAATGGTAAGTGTCTTTTGAATATGAAATTAGTGCTTTATTAACAAGCAAGCAGAAATAATGAAAAATACAGGTCAGTAAAATAAAAAGGAATCATAAGCATGGTGCATTCTTGGTAATTTTAGGAGCTCTACTATAACGAGTAAGGTCTGACAATTTTCTTGGGGCAGAAGTTATAATCGCGAAGGCTTATTTTCTCCCCAGTTTCACGCAGTATTGGAAGAATCTTTGCCTGTCATCTTGGTAGCGAAATTTTCCTCGGGTTTGAAGCTCGTTTGCTAGTCGAATGCAGGTAAAGTTGATCTGGTTGTTTCTTGTCGATCTAAAGATTTGTTATTAGACTTTATTTATTAAAGTTTTTCGAAAAAAATGAAAAAAAAAATTTTGTACCTTATTAATTCTTGAATGTCCATTTCTATCGCTCCATATTCAATTCTAGGAAAACATTCTGCAGAATGACTGAAGAAGATGAAAATAGATGAAATAATGGCCGTGAAATTCATCGTTCTGTTCGTGGATGTCGTTGTTCATAAACTGTTCAATATGAGGAGAACGAGACGCTCAGGAAGCTTTTATGGGCTTGGTCGAAAAAGGTGGCACTCTTGGATACGGCGTCCCTACAGCACCTCGGAACGCGCCACGGCAGCATTTTTCTGATCTGCCTGAGCAATTAAGTATAATCATCGCTGATAACTATCGATGGAAAAAGTGAACTCTATCTTTTGATATTTCTGGCGGAGAACAAAGATTTTTGTAATAAGCGTTAGAAATGTTAAAAATTGATCTGATCGAACACATGTGAACATGGTTTATCATACCATATTTAAGATAAGTATCAGATATACTAAACTTTCCGAATATTATTATTAAAGTTACTTACTTGTAACTAATGATATTTTGAATGTTATTACAATATTTATAAGAGATGCGGTAAAAAGATTTTATTTTCGACAAATCTATAAATACGACTCATATATTCAATTTTGATTATGAATCAGAAACAATATCGTCGGACATTTTTTTTGAGAATTCTATACCAAGCGTCATTTAGTTCTTGATAACAATTTTCTTTTTTTAAAACGATGAATGTGTCCCATAAAGAACAGATCTGCCATGACGACATGAATTATACCTTTCATTGGGTTTACAATGTAAACTTTACATTCTACACTTTACAAGAAAGTATTTTCCATTATTTTTTATCACCGAAGAATATGAACAATAGCATTTTATTCATAGGCCTTTCAATCGTGTATAAGCAAAGTTGGGTTGTCGTTCGGAGATACCGAAGTTTAGTTCCGCATAAAAATAAGACACTTTGTCTATCTGAATTGAATCAGTACTCTGAGTCAAGAATGAATTGTTGGTGGCGATCATAACTGGACGTTTTCGTCTGACGTATCTTCTTACGTATTTTTCTTACGTTTTACTGTACGTATTTTCAACAAGCCCATTCGTAATTTTCAGCACCTCGATCAGACGTGTCAGAAATGATTCTTCTTGACCTATGGATGGAAAGAGACCTAGTCGTAAATAGACGGGAGAGGAAGTTCTTTTTGAATTGACGATGAAATTGGATATTTTTGAATAAAAAATAATCTTCTTGAGCAGTCAGCCTTGACGACCAATTCTCTTAGGGGCACCGGCGAACGAGGATCATAATTAATTTAATTGAAGGCGATAATTTATCGCCACAGGATAGACTGCTGGATGCTCCGGACTCATTCCAAAAGAGCAACCCTCATTATTTTCTTCAGCATGAGATTCTTCTTCTACGATTGGATCAACTCTTGTGACATCGCTAAATGTCAAGGGCGGATAGACTCGTCCAACTTGTCGCTAACGGGATTAGGTAACCGATGACTATATTTTTAACGAAAGGATAAGATTCTGAGACCTTTTCGATGATGGAAAATGAACTTTGTAATTCAAAAAGTGATGGATCATTTCATCCCAAATGGCGCCTTGGAAATCATTTGATCTTATTTCTTCAGAAATATAATTTTGCCTGGCCAGACTCAGTACGACTCATCAAAGAACTTTGAATATAGTGTTCGCCTAGGACCCCGAATGAAGTGCTGAAATGGGAAGTCTGTGCCGACTCGGTTCAATAACGCTACGAAGACGCCTCAAAGTAATCAAGAAATAGGAAGAAAACAATAAAATACTTTTTGATCAGTAGATCAATGATGCTTACGAATGGGCTCAAATAAAACTAATCGCAAGTTTTTTTATTTTCGCCGTCGTTTCTGATGCTTTATGCATTTGTTAGAAGAAGAATATGGTTCTTTACTACTATTTTGTATATGACGATTTATGAATGAGTATTCAACCGTTTTGAGTTCAGCACTACTTATACACGAGTAGTCTGAACTTTGTCGACTTTCGAAATGCACACTGGTCTCTTTTGCAAATATTTGTTCTTTCACTTTCCTTCAAAGAAATCAGATTTCAATGAATCCACTCAATCTTAGTCTCATTATGATTATTCTTTGAATTTTGGATTTTCATTTTTCTATTATTTTATCATATATAATTCGAAAAGATATACGACGAATATTTGAATGTATAATCGAATCATCTTTTATATAAAAATATGATGAAGTAATTGATATTAACCTTTTTGTCAGGGTAAATAACTTCCTCTGAGAAATTTTTCAAAATAAAAAATAATCTTTATGGTCCCGGAATCTGAGGAAAAATTATCCAAAATAAGCCCAAATGGTTTTTTTCTGACCCAATAATGTCCTTTTTCTCTTTCTGTACTGTCTGAAAACTCAAAAAATATCAAGTCAAAACTGGCAAGTAATCTACTGCAGCTGGATCTTCTTGACTCATTTCGTGCCTTCCGCATTTCTGCGAATTGCTTGCTCTGGGCTTATCTCGACCTCACTAACTGACTCTTCCAACAAACTCAAATTCCATTTCAAACTACGATTAGACGCAAGCAAAGTCAGAAAAATAACTTTTTGTAAATGTCAAGAGAGCCACAAAGATGCACAACAACTTTCAGCGGATTGAAATATCTCGGATCGGTCGAAATTCTCCAGAGTTTAGTGAGGGTTTCGAATCAATTGAGGAGCGATATATGTAGCTATGCAGTGAACAAGATTCTTCAACGATACAATCGATCAAACTTCTGGCAGAATCATACGGACACGCAAGTTTCGCAAGTAGAAAACTTTGTTGGAAGATCTCCCATAAACCCTTGGCTCCAGCAAATTTGTGATATCCACGTAAGTAAAAAGGAGTTTTTTAATTAATTAACATGGGCAAGAAACCTCCAAGAAAACCGATTTTTGGGGACTTATCCGATTTTGGCCCAATCCAATTTCTCTAAAAAATCTTGCAGTGGAATCAAGGAAGACCTTCAACTAACTCTCTTCTTCAGATTTCGCCTGACAGAATAATCGTCAATGCGAATGACGGAAGATTCGTCACTAGAATATTTGAACACCCACTCGTCAACACCTCCATCGCTGCGAGGGATATTGGGGATCCAAATTTATGGTTCTACGTTTTTAAAACTATAGACGCTGGCGACCGAATTCCAAAGCGGCATTTATATCTATTCGAATGCACAGATTTTCTTCAAGCTTCGAAGCTTCACAATGTCAGCATTGATCGTTTCACTCGCCCTCCCCGACCTCCTGGAACTTCCTTTCATCCACTTTCAAAAAACCTTTCCCACTCACAGTCCAAATCGCCTCAAAATTCTCAAAGCCCCTCGATGGGAAATAGTTATTCAAGGTTCACTTGACAGATCTGATTATCGTTTAAATTATTGCCTGTACATACCTTTTCAATACATCAATTCATGCAAACGAACTTGCCTAATATTCCCGTCACTCATCTGGCAGCTACATATCTATCACCGAGACCAGAGAAAACCATTTATTTCGGCTCTACTAGCTTGAAACACGCCTTTAATACATCGCTAGTCAGCCGATTAGCCGACAAGAGTAAGCCGACTCGTTTTTTTGATGTGGCGCTGAAAAGAATAAGTTCAGTTTCAATTCTCAACAACGAGCAAATCATACAAGAACAAACTGTTTTTTCTGATCAACAAAGTTGCTGAAGAGAAGACTAGAATCAATCAAAAATATTATGAGAATATATTTTCTGGTGAGTTAGGGTTAGACTTATAAATGAGCAGTAGCACGATGAAAGAAAATATTTTTATATTAATTTAATTTTTTTAATTTTAAAAAAGTCCAAGATCCTTATTTCTTCCCTGATCATCACCAGCGAAGCGCAAAACGGCGGATTTTCTGTGAGCAATGAAGCCAGAGTCATTTACAATTACGGTATTCCAGAAGTTTTTACTCATTCCTTTAACTTTTTTGAAGCAAAATCGCATCAAGAATTCTGTGGATTGGCGCACTGTCGCGACTGCTTGACATTGCTGCGAAAGGAGAGCCAAATCTATGGATCTGAAGCGTTGCAACGGCAAGGCTACTGGACTTGCACTGTCATCTGGCTCTGGAACGACTGCTGCCCGAAATGGGCCGAGACTGTAGTTCAAATGCTCTGATACATTCTTTTTCAATTATCTTAAAGTTTGATTCGTCGTGTTTTTATTTACTGGGAGTAGTTTCGAATAAAGATTTCCGCAATGTAAAATTCTAAAAAGTATCATTTGATTGATTACCAATTAAATATCCATATCTTCAAATGTAGATATTGCCGGCAGAATATTTTGAATCTTCGGAAATGAAATTCTGTATATGAGAATCCAAGTTTTCAAGACAAATTGTCGTATAGATAGAGACGAACCGTCAGTAAGACTTCGATATGAGAATGATAAAATGAATTGAATTATTTTAAACATGTGTGTCCATTCTTATTAAGTGCCGGTTCAAAAGCAATTAAAAAAGTTCAGAAGTAAAAGAAGAAAGGACGAATTAACAGATGTTGAACTATTTATGTACAATTATAGACCCACTTACTCACTTGTGGGAAGTAGCTTGGCCGCACAGTGACTGCGAAGTTTAAGAGGTTTAAATCCAGTGTTTACTGCTCCGCCATAAATGTAGCAGCTAGGAGGAGGCAGCAACTGACTTTCCTTTGAAACGATCTAGGAGTTTTTAGCTCTCATTCAGCTTTAGCTTTATCCAGGTAAAACAGAGAGATAAATTCATACCTTACTTTGATCAAAATTTTCTAGGTTTTTTTGTTCCCGAACGTAAAACCACCAAACCAGCAAGATGGAGTCAATCAAGCACAAGATGGACACCATGGTCAAGGAGAAGGAGGCCGCCACCGAGAAGGCCAACTCTCTCGAGGCCGAGGCCCAGGAGTACGAGAAGACCGCCGCCAAGTTCGAGAAGGAGGTCTCCGAAATCCAGCGAAAGATCGCCAAGGTCGAAGATGACCTCGATATCACCATCTCTGTCACTAAGGACACTGCTGAGAAGCTCGAACTCGCTGATAAGGTCAGTAAAAGTCGAATACTGTAAAGAAAACTAAAACTTCTTTCAGGAAGCCGTCGATGCTGAATTGCAGGCTGGTGCCCTCAAGCGACGACTTGCCCTCCTTGAAGAAGAAACTATGCGAAACAAGGAGCGACTCCAGGAGAACATCGAGAAGTGCAAATCCATCGAGGCTTCTGGCCAGGAGAACGAAGACGCCCGAAAGGCCGGTGAAGCTCGATCCTTCGCCGCTGAAGAGTCTCTCGAACAGATGGAGACCCAGCTCGAGGAGGCCAACGAGGTCGCCAAGATCTCCAACCAGAAGTTCGAAGATGCTTCCCGAAAGCTCAAGGTCGTTGAGGGCGATTTGGAGCGAGTTATTGAGCGAGCTGAAGAATTCGAGACCAAGGGTAAGCTTTTTTTGTTTATTCCGATTTCAATCTCTCTTTTCTAGCCCGAGAACTCGAGACCCAGATCCGAGAAATGGAAGCTAAGGTCAAGGAGACCGAAGCTATCACCATCAAGAACGGTGAGGAAGAAGAGAAGTTCGAGAACAAGATCGCCCACCTCCAGGAAGAATTCAAGTCCCAGGATACCCGAGCTGAATTCGCCGAGCGATCCGTCGACAAGCTCGAGTCCTCCATCGACGGTCTTCTCGAGTCCCTCATGAACGAGAAGCTCAACTACCGATCAATCTCTGAGAAGCTCGACAAGACCCTCAACGACATGATGTCCATGTCTTAAATCACCAAAAAAACCTTTTCTTTTTAAAGCTGAGCTGAATCCGCCTAGAAATAGGTGCTCCAATGTCTGTTTGTTAACGTGATCGGCTGATCAGGCTGAGAATATCTTTTTCTGACTGGAAATAAATCTCGAGTCATTTCAATTTCTTCTGTTTAGTTAATTATTATTAAATAAGTATCAGTGTAAAAAAGAGGGAAGAAAATGTGATTATGCGGAGCGACGAGATTTTTTCTTAACAAGTTTAGCTCGCAACGAGTCGGAGCAGAGTTGAAAAGCCGTTTTTTCTTCTGAAAAGAAAAAGGTTAAAAAATATTTGAGGGCTTCATAAAACCCTATCTCAGGCCTATATGTTCCCATGCCCATTACCTGTATTAGTGATGGTTGGATCAGCCCCAATTTCAAGCAGAAAAAACGCGGTTGAAAGGCGATCTTCTTCACAAGCCATGTGTAGAGGAGTATTGCCAAGGTTGTCTCGAACATCTATCATCGGATTGTACTAGATCAAGCTGTCAGATTCTGCAAAAAGAAAGAGAGACTTACCTGTATCATCATTTCTATAACCTTATCGTATCCTTTTGAAGCGGCTCTGTGAAGTGGAGAATGACCGTATTTATCTTGAGCATCGGGCTCTGCTCCACGGGAAAGCAGCATTGGAAGAATATCTGAAGGATAGATTCAGAGAAATTGAAGATAGCAAGTACAGTCTTACGAGTGTGGTTTTTGCTGGCAACATAGTGGAGCGGGACTTGGCAGTTGACTGTTCTCGCATTTACTAGAACCAGAATTGATTAAATAGTTTCAATAAAGAGGCTTACCTCCAGACCCGGCTGCAAGTAAAATCTCAGTAATCTCATCCGATCCAGCGGAAACAGCGCAATGAAGGGGCGTCAAAAAGAAGGGTTGAAAAAACTTTTTAAGATGTGCACTTGTCACTTCTTTCTTTGCTCAACCCTGCCCCAGCCCATGTCATCTTTGACGTTCACTTTGGCGTTGAATTTCGCGATGAGGAGCTTTGCTATGTCGACGTTATTCGTGCAGGATGCCCAGTGAAGTGCTGTTCGGCCGCCGTTGTCTTGTTTGTCGACTAGATTTGGCTCTTCTTCTAGTCTGGTGTTGAGCAGCGGCTCGTGGCCTCCATAAGCGAGATTACAGAGCTCCAAATTCGACACTTGAGACATCTTAAAACATTGAAAATCCGTGTTGAAAAAGGTGGAAAAATAGAAAACGTTTTGTAAAGAAAATAAGAACAGAGAAAACATGAACAGATAAGTAGAGGCTGATAGAGCGATACAAAAGCTAGAATTTTAGTTGACAGACTCGAAAAAATCAGCGTGGCGTTGAGAGTCATCGTTGGAGCGCAGTGAGTAGTCTTCTGTTACATCTGGAATGGTGTTTTCTTGGGCTCTTTGAGCAGTGTCGGTCTGAAGGTATTAAGAGGATCGAAAAAGGGGGTTTTAGTCTTACCGTTGGGATTTCGTCGAGCTCGGATTCGGAGTCAGGCAAACGGCCCTCAGTAAGATCGTCTTCTTTTGTCAAAATTTCTGAAAACGCGCCTCAGGAATTTACTTGAATGGCCGTCTTACCTGAATGTTCTTCAGTAAAATCATCCGTGTACGAAATACCAGCTGTTTCATTTGTTCTACTTGTCAGCAACGGGTCTTGATTAGCGTCAAACGGAATAAGAGAAGAATCGGCAGAAGTAACGGACAACGCGATTTTGTAGAAACGCTCGATGAACTTCCACCAATTTTCGAAGCAGATTTCGTTGTTTTCGTTCGACGGTTTTAGGCCTTTGAAGATAACGTCGGATAATTCAGTCGAGATTATCGGCATCGTATCTGAATATGAATGTTATAAAGGACCCTTCAATTAAACCTGGAATGGCAAGATATAAAGACACCTGGATCTGAATAATAAAGATGTCATTGACAATGTCATGTACCTTTGTAATAAAGACCATTTAGGGAGTCAGGTCTCTATACAGGCTTCTTAGCCTAGATCCTAATCCTTACCGATAAGAGCGCTAGAAGCGTCATCAATGTGAATAAATCCACTCTTCGAATGATCATACGCATCAAACTCCTTCTTCGCCTTCTCTTTTATCTGATCTAACGAAACGACGCTAGAATTTGTCTCTCTTTCTTGGCCCTCGCCATTTTCAGCGGGCTTTGGTGGCAGTGCGGCAGTGGTAGCTTCAGGTTCCCTTTTGTTCTCGAGTAAATGGTGAATTACGGGAGTTTTTGAGTTCTGTTCTCAGGCTTACTTTCTTCTTCCTTCGCAAAAGCAGAAAAAGAGCGAGAAATGAAGCGGTTCCTGAATGTTGAGTGAAAGTTCTGTTTCGTCACAAGTGTAGAGTGGCGACTCGAGGACCATTCCTGCTTCCGCTTCCAACACTTTCAGCGAGTTGAACATGCCCAGTTTTCTGAGGCAGTCGGCAGCAATGGACAAGCATAATCGCTCGTCGTCACATCTTTTCGCTGGTTGTGGCTTTTCATCTGAAAGGAGATGTAACGGAACCCAAAAAGTGCTTAAAGATGTACCTAAGCAGCTGAAAATCGCGGCTCTCAGTTCAGCTTTGATCCTGCTCAGCGTTCCACTGGCCTCTAAATTATTCACCAGCAAATCTCTCAGTTCCACATCATCATCAAGCATTCTAAAATCAACTTTTTCAGGATTTCAGGAAAGCCCTGGTTCGAGGATAAAGATAAATGGCGAGTTGTTAAATTCATGTTTTTCTGTGAAGCTTGCTCATTTTCGTCCTTTCTTTCCTTTTCCACCGCGTTTTTCAACCTTGCCGCCTTTCCCACCTTCTTTTTGCTTCGACCCGGGCTTGTTTATTGGTGAGTACAAGCCTATATTGACTAGATATAGAGACTATTTTCCGTCTTCACCATTCCTTCACATGTTTTCGCAGCTTTGGATCTTTCTTCGCCTTCTGTCGGTCAACCAAACTGTGTTTCTTTGCCTCCAATTCTTTTAGCTTCTTTCTATTGAAGTCGTTTTTCTTTCGCTGCTTCGCTTTTAGGCCATCTTGGCAGGGATTTGTTTGGCCGTTTCGAATAGCCCTGGCTGTGTGTTATGCTTATTCAAAATCGAAAAAATGAGGAAAAAAAGCCCCGATCCTAAAGCCGCAGCAGATTGAGCTTGAAGATCTTCAAAGTCAATGTCGTCTCCATCAACTTTCTTAATGAAAAATGAGTGTACGTCCTGCCCTCAGCGAATCTCGGACTTACTGTCTTTTTGATAACAACTGTCTGCTCGCCATTGTCGAATTCCTCCTCAGATTCATCTTCATTTTGAGTAAACTGGTCGACGTACTTTTCCAACAGCTCGTTTTTCTGCTTTATTTCTTCCCTCTTTTCCTTGTTAATTCGCTGCTTCTCTGTCTAAAAAGCTCATCAAACGAAAAAAGCGGTTTCTAGTGCTGACCTGGATCTGTCGGTTGAGTTCTTCGCGCGCCTTTGCTTTTCGCGCAAGTTTTCTTTTCCGAAAACCTGAAATAAAATAATCATTCGACACCCTTCAAAATGCATTTTTTATCATCCGCCTCAGCTGTCAGCAGTCTGAATTTCAGAATATCGGACTTTAGGCCACCTTAATTAGGCGATCAAAAAGGGAATCTCATGTTCCGCCTGTACTGGGCTCGGCAAACCCTGTAGGTAACCTAAGCTAGTTTCTGAAGAGCTTAAACGAGAAGCAAAGCGGCTTTCTTAAAAACGAAGCCGCATAGCGGCTTCGCAAAATCACGATTTAAGTCTACTGTTACCTACTGGAGCTAGGCTCGTCATCCTGTACTGAAAAATATACTGCACAGCCTACTGTTTCCTGTTTTCTAACTACTGTACTGTTAACTGGAGGAGCAACTTCGCGGCTTCTCTTTGAAAAAGCCGCTACACGGCATTGCATTGAAGCTCCTCAGAATCTGACTCAGGCTATCTACACGGGGGGCGGGCGGCCACGGTACAAAAGTGAAATTTGTACCGCGGGTACAAATTTTGTACCGCCGGTACAAAAAATGATAATTTTTTTGCTAATAAAAACCGATTTTTACCCAAAATAATGCTCATTTTTGGAAAGAACTCAACCTTTTCTATACCAGTACGGAGTTTCCTTCAATTCTAGCGCGAAGCGCACACTTTTCTCGGATTTTATTTTTGGCTTGTACCGGCGGTACAAAAATTTTTTTACCGGCGGTACAAATTTGTAACGGCGGTACAAATTTGTACCGTGGCCGCCCTACACCCATCTACACAGGGTGCCGAGCTCAGGTCCTGGTCTTCCCCAAAATTACTAGATCGAGAATAAATTTACCTGTTAAAAACTCTTTTCTCGCGGCTGGATCAAACGAAAGCACCAAATCTGCTCCTTCTCTCAATTCCTTCTTTCTCCGCCCTGTTTTCTTCACCATCTTTTCTTTTTCACTTTTTCTTCAACTTCCAAAATTCGTGTTCTTTTCGAATTCTTCTCTATTCTCCCAGGCTGAGTCACCAGCGAGCGCGCCACAAAGCCAATCGAGAAACGCGAAAATCAGAAATTATTTGAAATTAATCGAGAAGCGGAAACTATTTCTCTTTTTTCTAGCGGATTTGAGAGACGATGAATGATGAATTGAGAGAAATTGTCCAGTTTTTTAGATTTTTTTTTAATTTCTCGCTTTTATATTTAAAAATTGTTAAAAATCTTTGACATTTTTTCGCTTTTTCTTTTGTAAAATTGCCAGTTTTAGTAAGTATTTTATCTATAGAATGGCCGAGGAAGTTTCGGAAGAGCAGCTTAAGGCTCTCGCCATCAAAGAAGAGGAGGAAGAATCAAAATACAAAGGTAAAATCACGAGTTTTCTCCAAAGAATGCTCCCTTGGCCTCGAAAAAATCCCTATCCGGAACCTGTTTTCTTACTTTTCTAGCTCCCGCTGAGAAATCAATCGCAGAACTGCAAAACCTTGATACAGATGATGAAGCGCTCAAAAGATACAAAGGTAGGTGCCATCCGTGCTGCTCTCTCTCTAACCTCTGTTTTCAGAACAACTTCTTGGAAACGTCGATGGGGCGACAAGCGCTGATGGCCGCCGAGTCGTCGTCAAAAAAATACTTCTCAATTCCAAGGAACTTGGCAGTCCGTTGACGATGGATCTTTCCGACACGACGAAGAAGCAGTCTTTTAAAATTAAAGGTAATCCCTCAACTTCGAGTAGAGCTCATGTGATTCTAGAGGGAGCCGAATACACCATCGGAATCGAGTTCAAAGTTAGCAACGAGATCGTCTCCGGGCTGCGATACAGCCAGGTCGTCACGCGAAAAGGCATCAAGGTTGATAAGATGAATTTGATGGTGGGAAGCTACGCGCCGCGAGCTGATGACTACACTTTCACTACTGATGCTGATGAAGCACCTTCGGTAAGCGTTTAAAATCTCCCATTCAAGGGAAAGAGCCTCTTTGAAAGAGTCTTTCAAAGAGTGATAAATGAAGTTCGACCAGAGATCCTGTTCATCTCATAGAAAGGGAAATAATTTACCCAAAGATGTCTAAAGGAGATGTGATTCAGATGTCCCTTGATGTCGATTAATTTATCCAGTCGTCTTTAGGCATATTTTATCCCTTTCTGACTCCTCACTGAGGAGTCCTCAGGATGTTTCGAGATGCATGTTGATGTCTACCGGGAGATCTCTTGATGAGACCTCATGAAGTCTACAGACCTGCTGAGACGTCTGCTTCGGTCCAAAGATGATGAAAGGCACCTTTCATTACTATGATTCTGTCTGAATCAATATTTTTCCTTAACAAAATTTCAGGGAATGCTGGCTCGAGGCACCTACAAGGTCCAGTCAAAATTCATCGACGACGATAAAAAAGAACACGCCGCTTGGGAGTGGCAATTCGAAATCGCCAAAAAGTGGGAATAACCATCTTCAATCGCGAATCAACCCTTCATTCCAACACAGAAATACCCAACTATCCACCAAAAAGAGTCTCTCACTTTCAAAAAGAACCAACCATTGATTATTTCTCACCCCTAGAAAGCTGCCTTCAAATCTACCGTATCTACTCTATCGCACAAAAAAGTTCAACCAAAAAGAATTCCTACTTGATTTCAATCCAACTCTCATCCAACTTCAGTACCCAGAATAAGACAACAAGATCAAAAGTCAGGTTATTAAAACCCTTCAAATTCAAAATGATCCTTTGCCCATCGTCGATTTTGCATGCACAAAGAAATAACTGATCCCTACTTCTTCTTATCTTCATACCTATTCTTGCACTTATTTTGGCCCCTTTTACGTTATCTTTTCTGTGCAAAAGTAAATAAATTATTGGACATTCTCACAGAAATGCTACTAAAATTGATGACTTTCTCAGATAGAAAAATCTCCTAGGTTTTCCCATATTAGGATGTCATCAATCTGTCCCTTCTTTTATCATTTCCTTCGTGGTCATTATTTTTAAGGGCTTTTCCTTTTCACAATCAGCGCTATTCACGTGTCATCGCGAGGGCAAATATGCCTGTTTAACTACCCGCTGGCTAAGCCATTTTCCCTTTTTTGGAAATATAAATATCGTCGCGCACCTATTCCTGACAGACAAAAAATTTGAGAAAAAAAAAACGAGATGGAGCAATCTCTTTTCTTTTGCCACTCTTGCAACCACAGAGCTCAAACTGTTGCAAAACCGTTTAATTGCATAAATTGCTTCTCCGTTTTTGTCGACATAGCAGATATTTCTATCAAAAGACCTCTGGAGAAAAGCGATGAATTGATAGAAGCAGAAGATTCAAGTCAAAGTTTGGCGAAAAAAAGAATACCTCAACAAAGTAAGTTTCAGAAAATTAAAACATAGACACCGTTTGTTTTATATTAACCCAAGCTGGGGAGTCTATGTTCTCCGACCACAGTTATCACAGAGGGTTCCCTAAAGTACCAGAATGTAGCTTAGGGTCTGATCTGTGGCGTAGGGGTACTTAGAAAAAGTTATTGTCACATGTTGCATCATACAGTGCCTCAATGCAGCTAAAATAAGAGGTAAAGGTCTATTCTGTGGCGTAGGGGGGTTAAAATAATCTCAGGATGTCCTCATCCCTTTTCTAGAGGGGTTCAAAAACGGGTGGATAATATAAAACAAACGGTGTCATAGTTTTTTCTTTGTTTGACTAGCGAGAAAATCAAACATTTTCCCTCGTCTATTCATGAACTCGTAAATTTGAAACGCCCAAACTCATTTTCCTTCTTTTCAGGCCGCACAAGCATCAGAGAATCTTCAAACTACATGCAGCAAGAGGAAGAAAGATCCAACTCTCCCACCAGCATTACCTCCCTAACTTCTCTTTTCGCCCATTTACCTCCCCTCCAACAGCGGCCAGCGACTCCACGAAGAATTCAGGAGCCCCGGCCACAGCTTTTCGTGACTCCTGATGGCAGAATCGTCGACAATCCATCTCACCCCGGGGACGAACAAAACGAGATAACAGAAGACGAAAGGATCAGAAGACATGCTGCAGTAGAAATAAAACAGTTGAGCGAAAAGGAAGCAAAGGAGATTTGCTCAGTTTGCCACGAAATTTACGAGGACGAAAAAGGGGCGGTGCTTCCAAACTGTCAACATGTCTTCCACGAGAAATGTATCAAAAAATGGCTCGATCAGAAAAATACTTGTCCTCTTTGTCAAACAACTGTCGCATAAAAATTTCGTATAATTTTTTTGTAATAAAGTATAATCAACCAATGGACACACCAGTCTGCCTTGGTATTTTTAATGCAGTTTTAAAAGGAAAATTCTTCAAAACCACTCTTGATGCCGAAAAGATAGACGTCACGCAAGTTGCTTCTGAGCAAGTTGTAAATCCCAAGTTCAATTAACTCAACTCACAATTGGCACATAATAAAAAGCATCGCTGAATAGCATCTTGGCGCCGGAGGCAAAGTTTCAGCCTCTATTTTTTCGGTTAGCGATCATACTTTTTTTCTGAATTTTCCGGAGAAATTCAAGAGATTTGAAAATTCAAGAAAAAGAAATCAATTTATCAAAAAGGTAAGAAATGACCCTTTTGACGGGAAAAAGCCATTGAACTTGTCAGAAGAACGCTCGTGTGGCTCTGAGCCTTCATGCGTCTTGAAAGTATCGGAATAGCAAACAACGCGTAAAATGCGCGAATTAATCATTATGCTCCAGCAATACCTGGATCTCCCCTTCACTTCCACTCTTAAAATGTTCCAGACTCACTTTTTTCGTTCTCTCGAATTTTGTTCTTTCTTATGAAAAGAAATAGAAAGCGAAGAAAAATGGATTCAAGAGAATGGGAATTCATAAAAAAATCTGACAAAAAACGGATCGATTTATTTTAATACGACTGAATTTTAATTGAGATGAAATTAAATTAGCAGCGCGTATTCCCAAACTCAGAACGTACCCTTCGACCCTAATGAGTTTGGACGAAGAACAAGAGTTTAATTTTCAGTTTTCGTTTCAAAATAGGTTCGTTTCGCGAAAATAAATTCTCTAGTCAAATCCTCATTCATTGTGAAAAAAAGAGAGAATCCTGCGTTTTCAGAAGATATCTGAAACTTTTAAATTAACGGTTTAGTTTATAGATTTGACAAAAGAATAGGTAGGATAAATCACATATAAATCATATTTTTGTTAAGAAAGGGGGCAATTTTTTATTATAAGGTAGCCAATGACCTTAGGACCATTCTGACTAAGGATAAGGTACTTGGGGGTGATTTCGTACCCTGAGGCCATTTAGGTACTTCCAATGTCTCAGAATCTCAGTTTTTTTTTGCATCAAAAGAAGGATGGTTTTTTATTGAACTGTATTTTTGTTATTTTATTTGAAAGGCTATGAATGTACATTGTACAATGGCTATGGTTAGATGAATGTATATTCGGGATTCGATCTTTGCAGTTTTTCGCTCAGCAATCTTAAAAAAAAATTGATAATAATGGTAAACGCCTTGTTATTTGTAATTTTTTACCTTGCTTGATGTCGACGATGATCCAGATCGGAAATGAAAACATCATCATCAGTCGTTTCATCCTCTTCTTCCTGCGAGTCGTAGTCAATTTCTTTTGAATCAAAGGATTCTTCGCTTTTTCCTTTTTTCGACAAATGCGACATTTTTTCAGGATAGCAAATCATCAAAAAGCCGGTGAGAAGAATAAACGGATTCAAGGCCCAAACAGTAATCAGTGCCCAACCAAACACAAACTGCGCTGTATCACAAGCCAGTAAACAAGCAGTAGCAAAAGCCTCTGCATTCCACCAGCTTTTAAAAATATCGGCAGCGTATAAAATCGAGCAAAGAATATACGCAGCCGCCTAAAAGTAACTCTTTCCCTCTTTTTTTGTCCAATTTTCACCTGCAAAACAGCCATAGCACCGGAAAACTGAACCCATCTCAGTAAAATTTTCGCTCGAATTTTTCGCGCATGAAAAGCAGCGACCAAATAGCCGACTAGGCCAAATACTCCGGCGGCGGAACCGACTACTGTCAGGGATTTCATGAAGAGGAGTTGTATTGTCTGAGTGATGTAGAACCGAGTTTTTGAGGAAAGAGCTTACCTGATAATGAAGTGGAGCTAAGTCATTCAATTCGCAGGCATAGCTCCCTGGCTCATTTTCGAAACAGTACATCTAAAGATAAAATTGAATAGGACAGCACTGTCTTTTGTCTTTCGAACTTACCCATATTCCCTTCCACATTCCGAACATATCTCCCAAAACATTCGCATGCTTCGAAAGCATCATCCATTTGTCAGAGACGCAGCAAGAAAAATTCAAACCCGTAAAAATTATGTACCAAATTAGCAAGTAAAAATCTCTCATTTTGAGTTGAAAAAATAGTCAGAAGAAAGTGGAAAGTGAAATATTTTAATTTGGAGAAGCCCAAGTTTACGGCGGCGCGATGAATAGAAGGAGAATTTGTTACGAGGCGCGTTTTTCGGATAAATTATCCAGCAAAGAATCTACTGTCTCTGGCAAACAAAAAGGAAATTTGAATTTTTAATGGATTTTTTCGATGTTTTTTTCATATTTTATTATTTTTGTTCTTCGTTTGAAAGAATTCTTAAGATGAAGAATTTTGCATTTTCATTTTTACGATTTTTTAATTCAGATCGAAGCGAGAATTCTCCGACGAAACAAGGCCCAATTCATCACAACAATCAGAGCATCTCCATAGCGAGCAAAAAATCCTCATCTATCGCCGCGAGTGCTACAAGAAAAATCGCCAGCCGAGCTTTAACAAGGCCAGTGCCGAGTACTGCGATCTATTTGGCTCTGATAAGAATGTAAGGTGCAATTCGAATGCGGAGAAAAACACTGGCGAGTTTGGGAAAAAAAGTTCTCTACCGAGGGAGCAGCCGTTTTCGGAGAAGATGGAAAGGGATGAACAGGTGACGCACTCGCTTCTTCGAGGGCAGTTTCAAACGAGATCTTCAGGGAAGGGGCTTTGCTCTCATTTTTAAAAAATTTCTTTTTAACATTGATTCTAACCCTAACCCTAATCGTTATAGTCTTACCCTAGCTGTTAGGGCCTAACCCTAACCCTAATGATTAGGGCCTAATCAATACTGAAAAATCGACTCAAAAAGCCTGAGAAGGAAACTCCTCTGAATACAGCAGACGAGATACTGCGTTGAGCGATAATCTGGCCGTTTTTACTGATAGGTAAGTGAAACTCTCAAGATCGACTCTCGATCTTAATTTTACTTTTTCTCTCCTTCCCATTCATGATCCAGTGAACAATGGATCCCAACTCGCGTTATTAAGAAAAATTAAGTAAATATCATTTTCTGAAGTTTTTGCTTATAATTAAGATGACTGAAGAGACTTTGCTAAAAGCTAAAAATTTACCTCCGAGTGGGGAAGGAGTAGAGAGGTTTAAAAGAGTAATTGTTCTTGTCTTTTTTATTGAAATTTTCAGAGATATTCGCCGCGCATCCCTCTTCAATCGCATCAAAATCGAGCGCCTTACGAAACGCGAAAAAATCCTCAGGAACGATTCTCTTTAAAAAAGTAGCAGACAGACAAGGCTATCAGTGAAAACGGGACAGTTCCACTTGTAAACATGCCCGAGGGGCTTGATTTAAACATTCTATCGAACATTGATTATGATTATCGGAATTGCGAAATTCTGAAATGAAAGTTTCAGAGAAAAATGGCGAGGAAAAAAATTTAGTAGAGATTCCGAAAAGTTTATTTTGCTGTCTTCTTGTGGCTTCTCTTGGGTTTGTGATTTTTTCCGGAAAAAAGGTCGAAATATCTGAAAATAAAAAATTGGCATTGAAGTTAAAGATTGCCGCTAAAACTATAATAAAACTTATTTTGATCTTCCTTAAAAGTGTCGACGACCGGATCAGCCTCAAAATCAACCCGCTCTTCCGAAGAAACCTGCACAGAACGAGCCTGTATTGAACTAAGCGCCTCCGTCCTTGGCGCGATTGATGACACCATCGACCCCTGCGATGACTTCTTCGAATACGCATGCGCCAATTGGATCAAAAAGAGTCCGATGCCGAATGGGAAACAGAGCTGGGGAACGTTGACGAAAAGATCAGAGTTGACGAATGCGGATGTGAAGGTGATGCTGGAAACGCCGCTGGAAAAGCAGCCTGAAGCACCTTATGTCAAGGAAATATTGAATATGTACAGGAAGAGGTTCTTTATAATATCAGATATTGTTAATTGAGAACATTCATTATCGAACCTTGGAAAAGAGCGTGTCTAGACATGGGCGAAATCAATTCCCGCGGCGCGCAGCCAGCTCAAGATTTCATAAAACAACATTTCGGCGGCTGGTCATGGACTTCTGAAAACACAATGTCAGCTCAGCAACTCGTGCAAACTGCCCACTCACTTGGATCACCAGCTATTCTCGGCTTTGGCGTCGGAATCGATCTCGCCGACTCAAACAAGCATATTCTCTCCTTGGAGCAAGATGGCCTGAGCTTTATGACGCGCGATTATTACATTTCCCGAAATGGAACTGCTTTCGACATCATGGAAGAAAACACCCCACTGAACTTTTACTTCGAATACATGTCCGGCGTCATAAGTCTCTTGAGCCCAGAAACGGAAGAATCTTTCGTCCGGGAACGAGTGATAAAAATCTTGAAATTCGAACAAGAGCTTGCCAAGATCATGATGTCGCCTGAGGAGCAAAGAGACTACAACGCTAATTATGAAGAAATCACGATGACGGATTTGATTGAACTCACGAAATTTGAGGGCTGGGATTGGATAGGCTTCTTTGCTACCTTTTTTGGCGAAAGGGAAGTGACGAAAAACGAACGAATCGTCATCTTTGCCAGGTAAAGCCCTTTACTTTCCTTAAAATCTGTAAGAAAATTAAGGGATTACCTGAAAAACGTCGGCGCAATCGTAACCAAAACTCCAATCGAAACTCTCAAAGATTACGCTGCCTGGGTTTCCGTCAAGCCGCTGATTTCAACTCTTTCCGAAGATTTCCAGCAGCTGAGATACAAACTGATTCTCGAAGTCAACGGCGTCGATTTCTCATGCCAGGAGAGATGGCGCGTTTGCACAGATTTTGTTCAAGGTAATTTTTTTCCTTTGAAAAATAGGCTCAAAAATGTTTTACGAATCAATGCCACTTGTTGTTGGAAGAGTGTATGTCGAGAATTTCTTCAATAGGAATATCAAAACTCAAGGTAAAATTTGGTCTTTTTCGAGTAAAAATTGATGAAAAATTCAGTGGAAAATTTTGCTGAATCAATAAAATCCGAGTTCATTGAAACCCTCTCCAGTCAGACATGGATGGACATCGATACTAAGGCTCGGGCAAAAGACAAGGCGAACAAGATGAAGGACAAGTACGGGTTCCCTCCTTATTTGCTCAACAATACGAAGATTATTTCCGAGTACGAAGGTCTGGTGCTGGAAGATGACGATGATTTCTGGGGATATACGTGGACGATTAATGAGTGGGCGATTAAAAATCATAACATGAAATTGAGGAAACCTGTTGACAAGGTGAGTTCAAATTTGAGAGATTGAAATTAACGAATTGGACATTAAAAGGAGCTTTGGTCAATGTCGGTCCAAGAGACGAACGCATACTACAGTCCGACAGAGAATGCGATGGTCTTTCCTGCTGGAATTCTTCAACCGCCACTGTATCACATTGACTATCCAAGTTATTTCAACTATGGCGCGATCGGTAAGAATGGTTTTCCGACAATAGTTGGCCCAGAAATGCCTGTCATCTCGTTTTAAATCGCGAACGCTCATCTGATTGGCCAATTTTCTAAATTTATTCTTAGGTATGATTATTGGTCACGAAATCACCCATGGCTTCGATGACCAAGGCCGCCACATGGACGCAGACGGAAATCGAAAGAACTGGTGGGGCGAAACTACTTCTCAAAACTTTGCAGAAAGCGCGGAGTGTATGGTGAATCAGTACGACAAGCAAACATTCATGGGGATGAATCTTTCCGGAAGATTGACACTCGGAGAAAATATCGCGGATAATGGTGGCGTCAAAATTGCTTTCAACGCTTGGGTAAAGTTCCGTTTATTTAGTGGTTGTTTTAAAGAAAAATTCTAGAAACGACAAGCAAAGGAGGAGAAAAGACTGCCGGGAATGGAGAAGTATTCGTCGGAGCAGATGTTTTTTGTTGCGACAGCTCATGCCTGGTGCTCGGAATCGCTTGAAAAAGGTTAGTTTGTCCACTCTTCTTGTCGATCAACCGATTAAGCGGCCCAAAATCAAATGAGAATGGACGCACACCCTCCCAACAAAATAAGAGTTAATCAAGCCTTCCGGAATTTTGAACCCTTCTCGGAAATTTGGCAATGTCCTGTTGGCTCTCCTATGAACCCAAACGATCGCTGCCACATTTGGTAATGAACAGACAGCTGCTTTATTTATGACTTTCATTGCACATACTTTTCATTCTGCTAATAAAACATAAAATACTATCAAACGAAAGCAATGGATAATTTCTTGTTGTTTTATATTGGAAAGAAGTATTGAGGCAATCAGATGAATCAATAACCGCGGTATCGGTAGGAATAAGTCGGCCGGTGGTATCCGAAATTTCTTCCTCGGAATCGCCGGACGTTCGGATTTGGTGTTGGTTGAGTAGAAGACGTTCCAGTTGCGGCAGATGTTGTGCTCTCTGTTGTTGCCAAGGCGCTCGTGGTTGTCGATCCTGAAAAAAAAAGCTGAGGTTATTCATTTCATGGAAATTGGATACCACCAGAAGTTGTGGAGGCAGTAGTGCTGGTTGTTTCAGTGGTAGAGCCGGAATAGGTCGTGTAGTCGTATTTCGTCGTTGTCAGGGGAGTCGTTGTTGTATCTACGTCATATCCTGTTGTTGACAGCGTGTAAGATGTCGTTGTTGCCGTCGTTGTTGTTAGTCCGCCTGAAGTTGTCGGTGCCTCTGTTGTTACTTCTTCGGTGGATGTGGTTGTTGTGGTTGTTGTTGTTGTTGTGGAAGTGGATGTTGTGGTGGAAGTGGTAGTTGTTGTAGGATCTTCAGTCGTTGTTGGGATTGGTTCAGAGCATTTGTCATCAGAAAATTGATGATTTTTCGAAATTCGCCAACCCGATAAATCGTCACAGGCGATTTTGTACCTAAAAAGATTCTTGAAAAAAGAATGAAATGGAAGAAAAATTACCGAATTTCCTCGTCGTCGTTTTCGCATTTTCCCTTGCACATGAATTTGTCCTTGCCCTTCACGTGACAATGCCAAGATCCGAATCCAATGTCGAAGAGATCAGTGGCGACTTTTTCTGTGCATGGCATTGGTGGAGGGCTTGTTGTTGTTGACGTTGTGATTATAGTTGTTGTTCCTTCGGAATACTTGGTTGTTGTTGGAAGGATTGTCGTGGTTTCGGGATCGGTATAGGAGCAGACATCATCTGAAAAGTCGGGGTCTTTAGTGATTGACCAGCCTTTGTCTTCCCAGCAACCGACGTTGAATCGAATCTTCTTTCCTTTATCATCGCACTGTCCATTGCAAATCAAGCCCTTCTTACGCTCCTTGCAAATCCACTTTCCGTCGCCAAGAGGATACTCCTCAAGCGCCGCATCCGCGCTACAGGTTATCGGAGAAGGCAAATCGGTGGTTCCAGGAGAGCCAGTTGTCGATTCCCCTTCGCATCGGTCGCCGAGAAATTGCTTGTCGACGAATTCCCAGCCTTTGCCGGTGCAGCGAAGCCCGTAACGGATTTTCTGCTTGTCCTTTTAACAAGTCAAAAAATGTTTTTGGTATTTTTATCGATAATTTTTCTTTCCAATTTTATTCATCGAATAAATAATTACAAGAGCACTCCCTAAACGCCTTCAAATGAATAATATTTCATCAAAATTGAGGAGATTTCGTTAAGGGTACTATCTTCGATTTCCCCAACTTGAGCCTTGAATAACTCGGAACTTGTAAATGATTGCTGAGTTCATATGGGCTCATCGAATAGACCTGTCCTAGATCTTAAGGGTAGGGTCCCCGTACAGGCCCAAAGCAGCGAGACTCTCTTCCGAACCTATCAATGCTAGGAAGGCGTGTAATGGCTCAAATGAAAGTTCAATCTTAGATCTTCTGATTAACACGAGCTGTTTTCGAAATTCCAAGAGAAAAGTCATGTGCGGTTCGCTCAAAGTTGTCGTCTCAGCGAAAAATCGCGAAAATAGCCAATATTCAGGGCGACTCTCCTCCAAAGTGAGCAATGAAAACCCACTCGATTCTTTTGTAGGGTAAAGTTTGGACCCTAATCTTGAAAATGACACGAGCTTTTTTCAATTGGTCAAAATTTTCTATGTTAAAAATTTTAAAGTACGAAGGTACCCATTTTCTGTCCCTTTGACTCCGTGAATTGCCTTGCGGGCATAGCCCAAAAGGCGCCGTTCTCATCGCAAATAGATGTCCTGAACGTAGGCTTTCCAAAAAGGTATCATATGACACCCTAACATAACGACCAAAAATTGTAAAAATTTTAAAATTTCCGCCTTTTAGCCAAAATGCACTAATTTTCGCCATTTTCAATTGCAATTTATGCGAAAATGGGTTGAGATAGAGATAATTCTCATATGGAGTTTTTTGCTCAGAATTTCATAGAGATTCAGAAAAAGTGGTCAAAACCCGATTCTGAGACTTGACCCTGTAAGGGGACCCTACCCTTAACTATTACAGAGGGGTTTATTAATTGCTTTACCGAAAAACGGCTAAATTTTGGCTTGAAGTGGTCATTTTCGCCAAAATGGCCTGTATAAACGGTTGAATAACTCAAAAACAAGTCTGATAACTAGGCCTTATTATATTTTTCATATATAATTTGAACCTTAATCTTTAAAATTACAGAAGGAATTTTTCATTGAAAAACTAAAAATACGAAAAATAATTTTTTTTAAAATTGTGTCTCGCAGTTTTCGCTAAAATTGAGCATTTTTTTTAATTTTGCGGCACATTTTTGGCTCTAGAATCGAAAATATCTTGATGTCGCGATCGATACAGCCACTAACATACTGCTCTTGCTCTGAGCTTTCGAAAAAGCCGTTGATCAAGAAAATCGAAGTTCAAAATTTTTTTTCGAAAAAATTTCTAGTGGCCATATCTCAAGATATATTCAGAGTTGGTAAAAAAGTATACTTCCCCTCGCCCTTCAAAAATCTGCAGGGCGCCCTTCATTCTTGAAGGGCGGTGAAGTGTACTTCACGCGCCCTTCAAAGCCCTGAAGTATACTTCAGCTATCGGTTCATCTGCCACAATCAGCGTGATTTAAATCATGGCGCCTGAGAGCCAATAAGCGCAAAATTTGAAAAAATTCTGGCGGATGGATTCTGATGGCCGACAGAACCAAGTTGTAGTAGAGTGAAGGGCGGAAGGGCGGTTGAAGTAGAGGGAAGGGCGGAAGTACACTTCACGCCCTTCAACGCCCTGCAACGCCCTGAAGTATACTTCATGAAGTATACTTCATTCTGAAGGGCGGGTGAAGTATACTTTTTTACCAACTCTGGATATATTGATAATTTCGAATAGTTATCAATAAGGTATAATCATAAAATTTTATGAAGAATCCATCTCTAGTAGCCGATTCTTACAAATCTTTTGAAAGGTCACCTTCTGGAAATCGAAGATAGTACCCTTAAGAACGAATATCTACGGTACTAAAAATTCAATGAAAAGTCTCTAGAGTCTAGACGCGGCGCAAAAGAGTCGTGGTCGCGCTATTAGCGCGATAATACGCGTTTCCGCGCTTCCAGAAGATTCGAATCAATGAAGTTTTTCTCTAGATGCACCCGGCACCTTTTGCATAACAACTCTGGTGCGCCATATCTAGCGATTTTCTGCGCTTTTTTTGTACCGTAGAATCTACGGCGTAGATGCTCGCGCAAAAGCTTAAGCTAAGTCAAACAAAAAATAGATCTAATAAAGTGCTCTTTTGACTTTTCCTGATTGCATTTGCCCTTACAATACAGCTCATTTGGCTGTTTATTCTTACACTGCCAGTACCCGTCGCCAATATCTGTGATATTGTACGCCACTTCTTCCGTACAAAAGGAAGAGGACGAACAGGAATCTGGAAAATCCGCGAGTTTTTTCGAAAAGAACTTTCCATCCTTGCATTGCGCCGTGCCCATAACTTGACCGTCGTCGCATTTCACTTCGTAGTTCGAAGTGCCTTTCTTTTCGTGGGTAAAGTCGAGTGAGCCGGACGGGATGGAAAAATCGCCATTTTCGAGGGCGGCTTTGCATAGATCGCCGGAGCTGGAGGCTTGGCAAGCGAGCTCTCCTTTGAGTTTGCTCTTGATTTTGATCTTCTCGCCGCAAAGAACCTTATTTTCAGCTTATTGAAAGCAAATTTATTTACGATCGTCGACTTACGATGAAAGACCCAGATTTCCATCTTGACTGAGCGCTAGAATCGTCACAAGTGGCTTCGCATTTTCTCCCTCCAGTTTCTGCATCATCTGCGCATTCAAAATGGCCGTTTTCAATCGGATTTTGAGCGATAAAATCGTTCTCTGCCGTCGTGCATTTTTCGCCAGCAGTTGAGGGCTGCGAGCAAATGAGGGAGCCCTTGACTTTATTCTTGGTGTTGGGTGGATTCTTGCATTGGACGATTACCAGTGCGCGTTTCCATTCTTCCTCGAATCCTTAAATTTATCATTACATCTTTACTTAAATTCTCCCTTTTTTCAGCTTTTACCTTCGTTGCATTTTCCAAAGCACGAAATCTCCGACTGAGCTTCTTCCATCGATGGGCAGTTCCAAAATCCATTGTCAATTGGATTTTCCTCCACAAACGTCAGCGTCGCATTTTCGCACGGACTTTGCTCTTCAGCAGTTGTCATTCTAGCAAAGGTTTTCATCGGGTTCTTCGCCGACTTTTTGATCCACTTGCTGTGCCATTTTTTCGGCTTGTACTGGGCATTCGCTACTTCCAGGGCAGCTAAAAATCCGACTGCGAGCTTCATCTCTTTCTCTTCTTTTTTATTATCGACTAAAATACGCCTTAATAAAAATGTGAGATCATGGTTTAGTTGGATTGAGCATTTATAGCGCGAAATACTAGAGCGAAGGATTTGGGCGATCAAATTGCATCCGATTAAGGCGCTGGAGTTTCATCCATAGAAGGGATCAAACGATCAGCTTTTGTAGGAATTTTTATTTACGAGACATGATCGCAGAAGCGATTTTCACGGCTAAATTTAGTAAAATATTAGCATTTTATGATCAACAATCCAGAACACACGAGAAAAGACCAAGGACTCGTAACATCCCGGTGATAGAAATCAAAATAGCTCGAATTGATCCTCGGCCATCTCCGACCGCTTTGATACGATGTGATAAGAAACCGGCCGCCGTGAATTCTGACAATGGTGGAATCAGTCGGCGTTTTTCCCAAGAGCCTATGCTGCTCCGATTTTTGCTGGTCGGGCTTTTAGCCCACCAGACTATAGCTGGGAAAGGAAAAGGCAAAGAGAAAGATGAAAAGCCTAAGAAAGCGAAGAAATGGGCCAAAGGAAAAGGCCTGAAAGGTGGCAAAGGCGATTTCGAGGTATCTTTTAAATTTTTAACACGATTTTAACGAAATTTTTAGACCACTACCTTTGAAACGACATCGGAAGAGCTCACCTCCGAAAGTCTTGATACCGCGACTTTGAACGCGCTCATTGTTGATGAAACCGTCCAACCAATCGCTAGATCCCTCTCACCCATGACAGATCGATTCATCCGTACTACTGACGCTTGCACTGGAGTTTCCTGCGGGGCCAACCAAGAGTGTCTACTTGACGAGTTTGTCGAAGACGGGTACCGATGCGCCTGTGTTACCGATTTTTTCGAGAAAGATGGGACGTGCTTCTTTGAAACATGGTTAGTTGAAGAAAACGTTCAGAATCTCAACATCAACGTCGACGTAAGCAGGCTGGCCGCGATCAGAAGTGGTCTCAAAGAGACTTACTACCCGACTGCTCTTTTTGACCCGGCAACTTACGATATCACTCTCGTAAATGACGTATCGGAGGTTTTTTCGAACGAGTTTGGCGATCTCTATTTGAGAATGAAACTCCTCGTTCAAGTCTTAACCGCCGATAGCACTGGCCGAGATGGTTTCAGTAACATTCTTGTTTCTGAGAATCGTCTCTCAGTTTCATATGAGCATGTCAATCAAACCATTTTCGACAACATCATTGAAACGGAAGATTGGCAGATGAATACAATGGAATGCCCCTACCGAGAGGAGGCCACTGAGTGTGGTGCCTACGACTGCCGAAAAACCTGCGAGTCAGAGGCCGAAGGTCTTGATCCATATTGCACTGAGCTCTCGGTCGCCTGCGTTGTCGGTTGCTTCTGTGAAGACCCGTTCGTTAGATCCAATCGGGATCTGAACTCCACTTGCCGACCGATTGAGTACTGCCCCCACAACACTTGTGGAATTGGTATGCGATTCGACTGGGTCTTAGGCGGTGGATATGATGACGGAACATGCATTGATATCGATGAATGTGCTGAGGACGCGCCATGTGACCGCGAAGCAACATGTAACAACACAATCGGTAGCTTCACTTGTACCTGTAACGATGGTTTCTACGGCGACGGAGTTGGTAACGACACCTGCTTCGACGTCGATGAGTGTGCCAACTTCACCCTCCACGGTTGCGATGCTAATGCCTTCTGTACCAACCTTTGGGGCAGTCACAATTGCACCTGTAACGTTGGATACGATGACATCGGAACTGCTCTTGATGGAGAATGTATCGATATTAATGAGTGTGATACCGATAATGGGGGTTGTGATGACAATGCAAACTGTACAAATACCGATGGAAGTTTCTTCTGTACTTGTACTGCTGGATGGGACGGTGACGGCTTCACCTGCAGCGATCGAGACGAGTGTATCCTTGATATGCCTTGCCACGCTGAAGCCACTTGCAACAATACTATCGGCAGCTTTGAGTGTCTGTGCGACGAAGGCTTTGAAGGCACTGGCTTGAACTGTACGGACATAAACGAGTGCGATACAGACTTTGGTGGCTGCGACACGAATGCGAATTGCACAAACACCTACGGTGATCATTACTGTACTTGTCTTGACGGATTCCGCGGAGACGGCCTCCTCGGAAATTGTACTGACATTGACGAGTGTGCTGAAGATATTGACGGTTGTCACGCTGATGGTTTCTGTACCAACTTCGTTCCTGGATTCAATTGCACATGTAATGAAGGGTACGAGGGTGACGGATTCACCTGCAATGACATTAACGAGTGTCTCACTGATCACGGCGGATGCGATGCCAATGCTGACTGCATCAACTTCCCCGGCAGTCACAACTGTACCTGCCTTGATGGATTCGAAGGAAGTGGAATTGATGGCGATTGCGCTGATATCAACGAGTGTGTTAGAGAGATTGATCTTTGCCACGTAAACGCTACTTGCGAAAATCTCATTGGTGATTATAACTGCACATGCGTTACAGGATACCGAGGCTCTGGATTTGCTTGCACTGAAATTAACGAGTGCTTGGAGATGACTGACGACTGTGACGCCGAGGCAACATGCACCAATACTGATGGAAGCTATTTGTGTGACTGCAACCTCGGATGGGCTGGCAATGGAACTCACTGTGAGAACATTGACGAATGCTCTTCCATGGTTCTTCCTCACAATTGTCACGCTGATGCTGAATGTACTGATACCGAAGGAAGCTTTTACTGTACTTGTAACTGGGGCTACAGAGGCAACGGAACTGATTGTGCCAATATCGATGAATGTACAGACTTGCTTGATACCCATGACTGCCATGTGGATGCGTTTTGCACGGACGACGTTCCCGGGTGGAACTGCACCTGTAACGCTGGATACTCAGGAAACGGAACTTATTGTGAAGACGATGATGAATGTTCCTTTGTTCCTAGTGTTTGTCATGAGGATGCAACATGTACAAATGAGCCAGGAACCTATTCATGCGCCTGTGATGAAGGTTTCTTCGGTGACGGCGTAAACTGTACAAATATCAACGAGTGTGCCCCTATTGACCCTGCTGATCTTCATAACTGTGATGTGAATGCCACTTGCACAGATACTCACGGTTCTTTCAACTGCACCTGCAATGTGGGATACGATGGTAACGGTGTCACTTGCTCAGATGTCGATGAATGTGACGCAGCTGTTCTTCTCTACAATCATGATTGCGATGTCAACGCTGCTTGTACAAACAACATCGGTAGCTATGAGTGCGAGTGCAATATTGGTTGGGAAGGTGATGGCATGAACGGCAACTGTCTCAACATTGATGAGTGTGTTGTTGACTTTCCTTGCAGCCCACAGGCCAACTGCACTGATAATCCCGGATCTTTTGACTGCGAATGTTGGGATGGATTCCATGACGTGAACAACGATGGACTCATTTGTAATGATATCGACGAATGCGCAATCAACGACTATGATTGTCCGATTCACGCTACTTGCAACAACACCTTTGGTGCATATGAATGCATCTGTAATGAGGGTTACGAATTCAACATGGCAGGAGATGACTGTATCAACATCGACGAATGCGACCGAGGAACTGATGACTGTCACGACGATGCTATCTGTACGGACAACGAAGGCAGCTTCACTTGCCAGTGCGACGTTGGATATGTTGATAATCCAGTTGCTTTGAATGCGACCCAGGGAACCGACTGCGTTGATTTCGATGAATGTAGCATCGCGAGAATGTACACATACAATTGTAGCGACAATGCTGCTTGCGTCAACGCTATCGGAAGCTATATTTGCGAGTGTAATGTCGGCTGGGAAATGGGTCCTGATAACTACACCTGCCTTGATGTCGATGAGTGTGATCTAAGGATCGATCATTTGGAAGGCAAGAATCATTCTTGCTCATACGATCCAGAAGGAATCTGTACTAACACAGATGGTTCATACGAATGCTCATGCCCTCAGGGAATGGGTGGAAACGGAACTATCGAGGATCCTTGCTATGAAACAATCGTTTGTACAGATCCCTACCATATCATCGTTCCATGTGCAAACTTGGATGCGTACACAACTTGCGAGAGCTACCTCAATTACCTGCCAGATGTTGTTCCCGTATCGCGAGCTGTCTTTAGTCGAGCTGTTGGTGTGCTCACAGAAGACTATCAGAAGGAAACTCGATTGATTGCAGAAAACTGGAAGCTGAAGAAAAGCCGTCTTTGGCCGATGATTTTCTTACCAGAGATGGAAATGAGCACAGAAGCACCAACTGAGCCTCCAACTGAACCGCCAACCGAGCCGCCTACTGAGCCACCAACAGAGGCACAAACCACGAAAAAGTCTTGCATTTACGGATACAACAAAAAAGGCGGTTGCCTAACTTGGTTCCAATGGAAGAAAAAATTCGGTGGCCGTCGTCGACGAGACATTGAATACGAAATTCAAGACGGCGTTTATTACAGATCAGTGAATGAGGAAGCAACTTGTCTTCGAGGTTGCGTTTGTGATGATGGATATGCAACTCAGGATGATGGAAGCTGTATCGCTCTTGAAGACTGCGAGTGTGATCTCGGTTACTATCACGTTAATAACACCGGTTGCACTAATGTTAACGAATGTAGTCCACTTCCAGAAAATGCTCACTTGCTCTATGATTGTACTGATACTCAATATTGCGAAGATACCGATGGTTCTTACACTTGTGAATGCTTGGACGGATACATGTTCAACGACAATGCTACCGACTGTATAAACATCAACGAGTGTGAACTTGACATTTCTTACCATCAGTGCGATGTCAATGCTTTCTGTACGGATCTTGTTCCCCTCTGGGAATGTACCTGTAATGATGGCTACAGAGGCAATGGTACAGTCGGACAATGTGAAAATATCGATGAGTGCGCCGAAGATTCTGATAGCTGCGATGTCAATGCAAGCTGTGAGGACTCAATTGGATCGTACGTTTGCCGATGTGACACTGGTTTTGCCGATGATATCAACACACCTGAGCCTGGATGGGTCTGCGTCGATGTTGATGAGTGCGCCACAGGAGGCGATGATTGTGATGATAACGCTTTTTGCACAAACACTTTTGGTGCTTGGAACTGTACCTGTAATGAAGGATGGCAAGGCTCTGGTCAAAATTGTACAAACATTAACGAGTGTCTCGCTGATCCTTGCGACGAGAACGCAGATTGTACCGACAACGACGGTTCCTTCACCTGTTCGTGTGTTACTGGCTACGCTCAAGCGGACAGATTCGGTCTCCCCGGTGACTGTCTCGATATTGATGAGTGTGTCAGCATGACTCTTCCACATGAGTGCGATATCAACGCTGAATGCACAAACACAATCGGTAGCTATAATTGTACTTGCGATCTCGGATGGAGAGATGCTGAAGGCTTCGGCGTCGCAGGAATGAACTGTGACAATGTCAACGAGTGCATTGATGAAGATCTTCCGCATGATTGCCATGTGCAAGCGACTTGTGCGGATAATGACGGCAGCTACGAATGCACTTGTATCGAAGGCTGGGAAGGCCCAGCTTTCATTGCTGACGGAGGTTGCACTGACATTGACGAATGTACGACGGGTGACCATGATTGCGCGGTCGATGCAGACTGTACAAACTTAAATGGAACATTTGCGTGCACTTGTCACATAGGTTTCGATGATGTCAACGGGGACGGTACAAACTGTACTGACATTGATGAATGTGACGAAAATACATATGTTTGTCCTGATTACTCAAATTGTCGAAATACTTACGGAAGTTATGAGTGTGACTGCTGGGATTACTTCAACAAGACTGGTGGTATCTGCGACAACATCGCCTGCGATACTTATGCTCATCTCTGCAATGCAAACGCAACTTGTTACGAATACGTCAACTCAACATCAGAGACAGCCTATTATGACTGCGACTGCGACGATGGATATCATACAACGGTCGCTGATTTCTGCTATCTGTCACGAGATCAGGCAACTGCCTTTTCTGAAGATTTCTTCTCACAATTCTTTGACTTGACTATAATGGATATTGAAGACCGTGACGACATGATTATCAGCGCCGCCTGGCCAGATCAGTTCGTTCCAGAAGGATTCGTCATCTCAATCGTCGATGTTTGGGCATCAGCTGCGGCTAATACCTACCGTTACTTGGCTAATGTCGCTGTTCCTCAAGGAGAAAGTATCGATACTTTCAAGAATGGAATAAACATTGCCCGAACCGTCGTATTCGTTGGCGACGCTGACTGGGAAACATTCGCTGGCTTCAGAAACTCCACTCCAACGGAGGCTGCTATTGACTGTCCGGCAAACGAGGTATTTAGCGAGTGCGCCGATGCCACGTGCTGGACTGATTGTCTCGGAGTTCAATTCGAGCAGAATGACACCTGTGGCAATCCATACGGCTATGTTGCTCCATGTGAAGGTCCTGGAGGCTGTGTTTGTTTCGACGGATATGTTCGAGATACTGCCACTGGAGCCTGCATCGCTTTCGAGAACTGTCCTCATAACAGTTGTGACGAGGGACATCTTTACAACTACACTTCTTTGGCATGCTACGATGAGAACGAGTGCGAAACTGGAAATGATAACTGTCATGTAGAAGCAACTTGCACGAATATTGTTGGATCTTTCAACTGCACTTGTAATGTTGGATTCGAAGGAGATGGTGTCAACAATTGCCCCGATGTCAATGAGTGTAATTACGCTGAATCTCCTTGCCCATCCTACTCTGACTGTAGCAATACTTATGGTTCCTTCGTTTGCACATGCTGGGATGGATTCGAATCTGTCTATAACGCAGGGTATTCTGACGAAGATATGATCGTCAGAAACGCACGATTGTCCGAAAAAGCTGGTGTGCCAATGAAAGCGACAAGAATGTCTCAGCTGAACAGTTGCCGTAACATGGCTTGTGATGGATTCGCATGCCCAGCCAATGCGCATTGCGTTACTTCCGTCGATTTGGATACTCGGGTCACTTCAGCAACTTGTGAATGCGATGAGTGGCATAAGATGACTCCGGCTGGCGAATGCTGGCCAAGTGCTATTCCGGAAGGCATTTTCATGATCGTCAACGATCCTGGTGCTCCAGTCTCACTTGCGTCTCAAGAAGCATTCTGGCTTGATGGAGTCTTTGATGGCCAAGCTGTCGATCTTCTTTACATGGCCCAGGGCGAGACTGTCCTTCAAAATTTTACGAGATCTGCACGCAATGCTGATACAACTGTTACCGTCGTTTTCGAAGCTGATGACATTGATCTCGCGCTTGATGCCGCTGAAAACTACACTGTTCTTAGAAGCGACTCCAGTGAGCTCTGGTCTCTTTCACTTACTGTTACGGATATTGGAGATCTTGCTGAATTCAATGTTGAATGTGGCACTAATGAGATTTTTGATGAATGTGCTAACAGCTGTTGGCATACTTGTCAATCTAAGTTCGAAGGATCATCGATGTTCTGCGAGCCTGTTTCCCGAAACTACAAGCATCGTGTTATGCGCAGCTGCGGAACTGGTGCTTGCATTTGTAACACTACTGCTGTTTCCGAATATGAGGGTTCTTTGAGTTGCATTGAGTACGATACTTGTCCACATAATTTCTGCGCGGTGGGACTTGAGTACAATTACACAGAAGCTGCATGTCTCGATCTTGATGAATGCGTTCTGGATGAACCTTGCGATGTCAATGCTGATTGTGCAAATACATTCGGCTCTTTTGATTGTACTTGCCACACTGGTTACAATGGAACAGGTTTGGATGGTTTCTGCCGCGAAATCGATGAGTGTACTGAAACTCCTGAAGTTTGTGATGCAGTTTCCGAAGTTTGTACAAACAACCCAGGCTCCTATGTCTGCTCCTGTGCTGAAGGATTCTTTGACTTTAACGGTGTTTGTACTGATATTGATGAATGTACGATTCAGGAACCTTGTGACAATTCTAATGGATTCTGTACTAACACTCCTGGTTCATTCGAATGCTCCTGCAACGTCGGATACGAGTTTGAAAATGCTACAGATCATTTGAGCACCTGTATCGACATCAACGAGTGTCTCGTCGGCTTGTACAACTGCACAGAAAACAGTTCCTGTAACAACACAGTTGGATCTTATGAATGTCCATGTGATACTGGCTTTGAAGCTGACGGAGATCTGTGTGTCAATATTGACGAATGTGTAACTGGAGACCATCTTTGCGTCGCAAATGCAGACTGCGAAGACACTATTGGGTGGTACAATTGCACATGCTCAATCGGATACTCTGGTGACGGACTTGTACTTTGCGAAGATGTTGATGAATGCGCTCCTCCACTTAACGGCACTGATGTTTGCCCCGACGAGCTTTCAACTTGCGTTAATAACGTTGGTTCTTTCACTTGTCTTTGTGACGTTGGTTATCTCATCGGGAACGACACCATCACCTGTGAAGATGTCGACGAGTGTATTGAAGAAACTCATCTCTGTGTTGCTCTAACTGAAGGCTGCGTCAATACCGTCGGTTCATACGATTGTAACTGTGCCACAGGCTACTATCTCGATGACGACGACGTTTGTGCCGACATCGATGAGTGTGGCATGATCGATAATGTTTGTAATTCGATCACCTTCGCTGAGTGCTCAAATAATATTGGATCTTACACTTGCTTCTGTCCAGACGGATTCGGAACAAACTCAACTCTTCCAGAAAACGACCCAAATATGTGCTACGATATTGATGAGTGCGCTGACGGATTAGATGACTGTATTGATACAGCTGATTGCATTAACCAAAATGGTAATTTCACCTGCGTTTGCAGCGAAGGATATCAAGGTGATCCATACGCTTGCGAGAATATCAACGAATGTGCGGAAGGAATTGCCGTTTGCACAGAAAACTCATCTTGCCAGGACACTATTGGATCATACGTCTGTAATTGTAATGAGGGATATGAAGCCGATGGAGACCTTTGCGTCGATATTGATGAGTGCGCTGTCCCCCAAAATACAACCTGTGAGTATGACAACTGGGCTTACTGTACAAACACTGACGGATCCTATGATTGCCACTGCCCTGGAGGCATGAGTGGTGGTGGTGTTGCTGAAGACCCATGTTACTTCCCAATCTCTTGTGGGGAAAATGAAGAGCTGAGTAAGTGCATCAACGAGGAATGCTTCGCAACCTGTGAAACCAGCCTTAACTATTTGGATGACATCTGTAACTCAAACTTCAACTTTACTCTTCGTGCTCAAGGCGTGTGTAAGACTGGTTGTCTCTGCGCCGAGGGCTACACTCGAGAGTCGCTTGCAAACGATGCTCCTTGTGTGCCAAATATTCCAGGAACATACACGGAATGCTCATGTCCTGAGGGATATGAGCATGTCACTGACGTCGGCTGCGTTAACATCGACGAATGCGCCGAGGGAACTGACAATTGTGATGATGTAACTGAAGTCTGTGCTGATACCGAAGGATCTTACGATTGTAATTGCGCCACTGGATGGGCCCGGGTTAACGGTAGCGACACTTGCACTAACATCGATGAGTGTGCATTGGGAACCGATGAGTGTGGCTTCAAGTCCACTTGCTCGGATACCGAAGGATCTTACGAGTGCCCGTGTGAAGATGGCTGGCAACACATGGACGGAACCGACAACCGTATCTGCGAAGATATCGACGAGTGTCCAACGGACCCTTGCCAAGAATACGCCGAGTGCACCAATCTCCCAGGATCATACATGTGTTTCTGTATGACTGGATTTGTCAACCAACAAGATGTTTGCAAAGATATCGACGAGTGTCTTTCCGCAGCTACCTTTGACTGTGACATTAATGCCAGCTGTAACAATACCATTGGTTCATACGATTGTATCTGTAACGGAGGTTACTCTACCGAAATTGTCGCTGGTATGTGGGGAGACCTTGTTGTCTGTAACGATATCGATGAATGTGCAGATGAGACTGACGATTGTGGAACAGACGCAACTTGCGTGAATACAGATGGATCCTTCGAGTGTACATGCGAGGCTGGATACGAACTTGACGATGCCAATAATTGTGTTGACATTGACGAATGTCTGGCAGAGCCTTGTGGTGTTAATATGGACTGTACAAACCTCGACGGATCGTACTCATGCGACTGTTCAATTGGTTTTGAGCTGATTGATCCAGCGAATGATCTTCTTGGCTGCCAGGATATGGATGAATGCGCTCTGGGAACATCTGACTGCGACACTACAGGTGCTAATGGTGATCATATTGCTGAATGTCAGAACACTGAGGGATCATTTGATTGCCTCTGTCCAGAAGGATATGGTGGAAACGGTACTGTCTCAGATCCATGCATTTCACTCGCCAAGGACGAGTGCGCTCTTGAAGAAGACAACTGTTCAGAGTTTGCTGAATGTACCGACACTTTCCTTGCATTCGAGTGTGACTGTATCAAGGGTTTCAATGGTGACGGTGTTACTTGTGAAGACACTGATGAGTGTGAGTTTGATCTTTGTCATGAACAAGCCGCTTGTAACAACACGTTTGGCTCATTCACCTGCACTTGTGAGCCTGGTTGGGGTGGAAATGGCTTCCTCTGCGAAAATGTCAACGAATGTGATGACAGTCCTTGCCATGCAAACGCTACTTGTACTGATACTGTTGGCTCCTTTGAATGTGAGTGTAAACCTGGATACACTGGTGATGGCCTTGACTGCGCAGATATCGACGAATGTCTTACCGATCCTTGTCACGAAGATGGTGTTTGTACAAATACTGATGGATCATATGAGTGTGAGTGTGCACCTGGTTACTCGGGCGATGGAGTTGATTCTTGTGAAAACATTGATGAATGCGACACAGACCCATGTCACGAATTTGCAAATTGTACTGATACTATCGGATCATTTGAGTGCGAATGCTTAGAGGGCTACCAAGGAAACGGACTTAATTGTGCTGATATCAATGAATGTAACCTTCCTGATCCTTGTCCAAATGATGATGATATTTGCATCAATTCTATTGGAAGCTTCGAGTGCAGATGTTTCCGAGAAAACTTTATCCACAACGAGAATGGAACATGTGTCGACATCAACGAGTGTGAAGATGGAACATTCGAGGAGGAATGTAATCCTGATTGGGAGAATTGTGTCAACACTATTGGCTCTTTCATTTGCGAATGCAAGACAGGTTTTGCCAAGACCCGATATTTCTCTGCCGGTCGAGTTATGTTCGGAAGCTGTGCTGACATCAACGAATGTGCGAAAGATCCAATGATTTGCGGAACCAGCGGTGCTTGCAACAACACTATCGGTAGCTATGAATGTGACTGTTTTGATGGATACGACCTTCTTGACGATGACAATATGTGTGACGACATTGACGAGTGCGTCGATGATGTTTGTGACGGACTCGGACACTGCGTCAACACAGAGGGAAGTTACCAGTGTGGCTGTGACGCTGGATATATCTTCAACAATATCACTTGCGTCGATATTAATGAGTGCGTCGACAGTTACGGTTGTCACGAAAGTGCAATCTGTACGAATACTGTAGGCTCATTCGACTGCTCCTGTCCTGATGGATATGAGACCAGAATCATCGAACTCAATCGACTTGTCAACACTACTATTTGTGTTGAAATCAACGAGTGCGAGGACCCTGATCTCAATGATTGCTCCGATATCTGCACAAATACTGACGGTAGTTACGAATGCTCTTGTCCAGATGGAAACTTTATTGGAAACGGTACTGTTGGAAATCATTGTATCGAAGTCCAAGAGTGTGCATCCTATGAGGAATTCGATGTTTGCGGTAATGTCATGTGCTACGATTCATGCGATGGTGAGTTCTGCCCGACTCTTGATGGAAATTACGAGTACGCTGAGTGCGACGGTGGCTGTGTTTGCCCAGAAGGAACTTATCGACTTTATGCTTCACAAGATGCACCTTGTGTCCGACTCAATGAATGTTCTCTTGAATGTTCCATCTTTGAAATCGATGTTGGTTGCGGTAATCATTATGATTATCACACTTGTGACACGCTTAACAGCGGATCTGCTCCAATCGCTGGCAACTCTTCAGCTGAATGCAATGTCATGTGCATGTGCGACTCTGCCGCTGGCCTCGTTCGATCCGATACTGGAGTCGGTGCAACTTGCGTCCCAGAGGATCACTGCACTGTTGATACTTCTGAGCCTTATCGATTCTCATTCATCTGGCAAATGGCTTCACTTCCCGACGGTGTTCTCCTTGGCGACAAAACTACCTGGCCATCACTTCTCAATGGATTCACGCCGTTAGTGCGAACAACATATGGTGTTCCTGGCTCGCTTTTGGACCCTTACGTAGTCTACAATGACGAGCTCGCTCTCGATGGCGGTCACTACTACATCATGATGAAACTTGCCTTGACCGACTCTCTTGATATCCTTCGATACAGTGATTCAATGCTTGCCGAGATTCTTGCTCAATTTATCGACACTGAGAATACTGTTTTGAGAACTCCAGATAACGAGGACGTAATGGCGATTGCCGACGACTTGGGTACAGACTTCCCGTGTCACGGCGAGGAATGCTTCCCAGAATGCCCAGCTGGTCAAGTTTGGGTCATCTGTGCTAATCAGGCTTGCTACAACACATGCGAAAGAACTATCGCTGGTGACGCTGATTTCTGTCCGGCCATCCGATGGCATAACAGACAATGCAAGGGCGCCTGCATGTGTGATGACGATCATACCTTTATTTCTGAAGATGACCGAACATGCGTGCCAAAGGTCGACTGTAAGGAGACTCTTGCTTCTTGCGATGATACACAGGTCTTCACAGATAACTGTACTGGTGTTGTTCACACTTGTGACACACTTACCTGGCAGCTTCCTCCACTTGACTTTGATTGCGACTACGGATGTAAATGCGAAGAGGGACTTGTTTTCAGCAATGGAACTGGCTCCACTTGTGTTGATCCAAAAGATTGCGACATCCCAGAATGTGGTGTCAACGAGGAATTTTCGATGTGCGCTGATAGCTGCTACCCTCTCTGTCAGGACGATGAGCCAATTTGCGATGAAACATGTGTTTCCGGATGCAAATGTCTTGACGGCTATGTTCGAAGTTCAGAAGCACCTGATGCTGAGTGTGTGAGAGTTCATGATTGTCATGATTACAATACTGTTGAATGCGCGGCTAATGAAATCGCTACCGAATGCTTCAACGATGGTTTCGAGACTTGCGAGTCCGTTCGACTTGGTCAAACCAGACTTCAAACCGGTGAATGGTGCACTGGCGGGTGCACATGCGAAGAGGGCTCTGTCCGATTGAACGCTGATATCCAGAGCCCTTGCGTCCCCCGACAAGATTGCTTCAACGTGTACACTACCTGGGAGAAATCAGATCTTTTCTATATCTTCGACAAGGCCCCACCAAGCTTTGACATTGAGAATCCCTACACTTGGAGAGATCTCATGTTTAAACTTCGAAACAGCGAGAACTTTGCCAACATCAGCGTCATCGACATCCGTGCCAAGGACTACTCCTACTTTGACGATAATAACAACTTCATCACTACAGAAATCTATATCACTCAACTCCATTTGGTCGCTGAAGAAATAGGATCTTCTATTTACAGTTTTATCTCTGATGCAGAAGATGTCGGATTTAGCGGCTACGATTTCATTATGGAATGGGATCGGGACTTTGAGGATATCGTCGAGGAGAATGACTTTGAGTTGCCATGCTACAACCGCGGCTGCGACATTGAAAATCTCGGATGCAATGAAAAGTATGAAGAAGTTGGTTGCCCAGATGACGTTGGACCTAGCTGTAATGACTCTTACAGTGAAATCTACGCTGAGCGAGACGAAACCTGGAACGAACTCGTTGGTGCCCGAACTCTTAATATGGATTGCGCTGATAAGGATCTCCAGTGTGTTTGCAAACCTGGCTACTACCGAGAGAATGACGATCCATTTGCACGATGCGTCAAGCTTTCCAAGTGTATGGGTGGATGTCCTCGACACGCCAAATTTGTCGACGATATGGATTATTGCGTTCCAACTTGCGATGATCCAGACGGATCGAAGTGCATTGCGGAAGCAACTCAGGCTATTCCAAATTTCGAAGACGTTTCTGACCAGCTTCAGATCCCAGGTTGTGAATGCAGAAAGGGATTCCTCAAGAAGGACCGGAGCCCATTTGCTGAATGCGTCGAAGAGGGAGAGTGCGTTCGAGTTGAGCCAGAATGTGGCCCCAACTCTTCATGGAGTTGGGAAGCACCTGGCTGTTTCGAGAGCTGCAAGCATCCTTATGCATTCGATGCTGATGAAAAATGCCACGAGAGAACTTTGGAAATGTGCGTTTGCGATCCTGGTTATGTCAAAGAAAAGAGAAACAAGAAATCTGAGTGCATTCCTATCGCTGATTGTTTCAATTGCAAAGAGACAGAAGTTTTCAAGGATTGCAAGGATACCTGCTTCTATGACTGCAACACATTGACCTACGGCAAAGAGAAGCTCTGTATGGAAGAGGACACCTGTCGACCAGGTTGCCAGTGCGCACTGGGTTATGTGTACAGATGGGGTAAGAGAGTCCTTGAAGGCAAGAAAGGAAGATGCGTTGCGATCTCTGAATGTCCAGTTCCAAAGACTGAAGCTGTCAATTTCGTCAATCAGCAGAACACTCTTCCTGACACCGTCGACATTAGCGATCCATCTACTTGGGACGAGCTTTTGGATGGATATGACATCGAAGGACTCGATATTCTTGAAATCAAGGAAGTTTCTGCTGCTTCTGGTTTGAGCCTCGAGAATTACGGTCGATACATCATGGCTTCAAGAAAAGAAGTTGCTCGATCGGTAACTTACATGATCGTCCTCCAGGCTGTCGTTGAGACAGAAGATAACGCTGAAGATCCAGTTGAAGACAAAGCTGCTGAAATTCAAGCACAAATGGAGGCCTACGCTGCTGCTTCTGGTTCTGAAGTTATCGACTCCGCTGACGCTGGATACGACGAACTCATTGAAGCTCTCGACGTTACTGTTCCTGACGCACCGCAGCCAACAGCGCCACCAACGCCAACCCGATGCGTTGGAAACCAGACTTATGACGAAAACTTCGAAGGAGAATTCATTTGGCCAGGCATGTACATCAACCGAGTCAACAAAGGTCGAGGTAATGCCACTCATGAGTACTGGCACGAAGCTTTCAACGGAGAAGTCTACCACGACGAGGGTGATCAGATTCGAATGGCATGCAAAAAGGGCTACAGAAACTCGATTGGAAAGCCATTCGTTGGAGCCAAATGTGTCTGTGCTGTCAATTCTTGCGATTGGGTTCTTGCAAAACCAATGAGGTAAATAACGTGAATTTTACATGTTTTTCATTCAATTCTTTAGATGCGTCTCATCTGAAGATGCTGGTATGCCAGTCTGGTCCGGAAACAAATTCAATCAAGTCCGAGAAGTTGAAAATGGCTATATCAAGATGAAGGCAAGAGGTCTTTCCTTGCTTGCTTCAAAGAACTGGACTGATAACGGAAACATTGATTACGATGCTCATCCAGAGTATGAAGATCGAGCGTACTGGGAGAATGCTAACTTCACATTGTTTGTCTATTGCCCGTTCAATGTCAAACTCGGCGGCTCATCTAAAGGTTAAAAAAAACAAAAATCAAAAATTCAAATGAAAATTTTTAAGGCCTCGGAACAATGACCTTCCCTGATTTCTACCCAGCCGAGAGCTCCGAAGACGGCCGTCTCTGGTCCTTCCTCTCTCGTCCTGGAGTTCATCTGATCAAGACGACAAAGCCAGATCCTAAGAAGTCCGTGTACTTCAAGGGCTTCATCGACCGATCTGACGACGTCAACGAGCAGGGCGAGTCAGCCACCTTTACAACCGGCAAAGACAAACCAACATGCGAGACTGGTATTTTGCCCGGCCATCACCCATTCGCCATCACCAAGCTCGTCGAAGAATATGATATCTTCGAAGGTGGCGATTTCACCCAACTCGACAAGTACACGAGAAAGTAAATTTTATTCATTTCACCATAAATCATAAAAAAACATTTCGATTCTAAATTGTCCAAATACCTGTCCAAATAGTTCAAAAATCTCCCTGTCCAAATAAATTCAATTCGGCCTATTCATGAGTCAGTTTTTCAATTTTATTAAATTAGTGAAATTACATGTGCTGCAATTATACAGAGATGGGTTGTTTTTCTGGGGGTTCTCTTCTGTGAGGTCGATAATACTAGAAATTTAAGCCTTGAAGCCATTGAAGCCTTGTCAAAACTGCTTACCTTGACACTCATAGATTCTGATCTGACAATTCCAAGTGAACTTTCTCGCTTTTTACCACCATTTTCGGAGTTTTTCCTTCCACTTCTACAAATCAGGCAGCAAATTATCCCACTAAGAATGATCACCAAGCCCAATAAACCGCAAATTATCCAGAAAAGAACTTCCCTACTGACCCATTCCGGCGCGATGGAGTCAAAAAACTCGTTTTCCTGGATTTCCTCTTCGCTTAAAGTTTCATTCATATTTTGTGTAAAAAGCGAGACTTTGGAAAAATATTTGGCTGAGCATGACGAGCTGGTTAAACAAGAGTGAGTCAAAAGGGAAGAGCGTCTGTTTTTGGGCCCTGGCCTTTTGTTTATTTTTTCATGTTTTTATTCGATTATAAGTTCAATAAAGTTATAAAAAGATATGTATAAATAGCTTATTGGAATCTGTGATCTTGTTGAGCTTCTGGCAGACTTGATCTCGCTTCATGTTTATCCTCTTAAAGTGAAATTAATTTTTTCATTTTAATTATTTCAATTACGATATGCATATCCATGCAGACTTCTTCCTTGGTCAGTGCACGATTTTCGTTGAAGTTCCTTCAGTCGGTGATCCAGCTCTTTTTCTTCTTTATCCAGAGCTAGAATCAGCAACAGTTATAAAGCGTATACGATTAAAACTAACCTTCGACGCGTTGCTTTATTGATAGCATGCGATGTTCCAGTTCTAGAGCATTCGCTTGACCAATCGGCTGGAGTGTAACAGGAGCGACACCAGCTGGTGGTTCCGGAAGACGGCGTCGGGAATCGGGACGTTGGAGAACATGAAATTGTGGCTTTTTAAGATGATGATATATTTGATAATAAATGGGTTTCTATTTTTGATTTTGATCTTTTCCTGCAAGTTGGGATTGTGTACTGGAGGGTGGTTATTTTGAGGGTTGAGCGGGGAGGAATAATAAGTAACATGTGCTGGCGGTGGTGGATGCGATGGGTAAGAGATCGGATAAGGCTGAGGAATTGGAATCATTTGTGGGATAACTTGGGGCTGGATTATCGGCTGAAATACTGGCTGAGATTGCTGAAATGGAGAATGACAGATTTGAGCAGAATTAGAGCCTTACTTGAAATGGCTGTTGTTGCTGAGCGTTTTGCTGCGGAAAACTCGGTGACATTTGAGGTTGGTCGTATCTTACATTGAAATTGATTAAAAATAAAACAGAAATTGTTACCTGTGATTTTGAATCGGACTTGGATCTCTTGAAATATTGACAAGTTCCCTCACTTCCTGAACAAGATCTCGGACACAATTGCTCAGCTCCTCAGTCGCCTCATTATCAGAATAAACGGATGATCTACGAGAAACGCGCGAATTCGAACTTGAACGGGACCGATTCGAGCGCGCTGAAAAATGTCGTCCTCGTTGTCGCCGAGGAACGCTCTCGCCTTGAGCTCGATTTATTTGAAGCGCTTGTGGCTCGGCTACTCGCGGCTGAGAAACCATCGGTTGCTGCGATTGGCCGGACAACATTTGCACTTGAATTGCTTGATCGATTCCGTACGAGCGGTAAGTCTGCGTTGCTTCCGAAAATCGCTGAGCCTGGACTTGTGTGAAACTCGATCGCGAAACCGGCTGGACTTGGATCGCGATACTTGATCTCGCAACTGCTCCGATTTTGTTCAAATTACTTCGCGAGCTTGAATACTCAGAGTCTTTTTCCATCGCTCCTTTTCCGCAAAATAGGCATTTCGAAAGCGTGCCAGTCAGGGAATCTCGTTTGATTGGAGTATCTGGGTCAGCAGCGCCACCTCGTTTTGTTATCGCCATGCTTGAAGGGTCAATGACTGTCAGGTCCTTTTTTCGAGAAGACGATCGTTTCATGGATCCGTATGAACTATCCACTGCCTGAGCATTGATTAGTAAGAGTATGTGATGCGGAAAACTACTTTAAATAAATAACCACTTTCACTTTAAAAATAAATGCTTGACAAACCTTGAGTGCTTCAAATGAAGTTGTCCTTTTCATCACCATTGAGGAGGAGGTCGTCGCTCTCTGGGCCACTTTGTCCAAGGCATCAGCGCTTCCTCCTAACGGTTGGGACTCAGTTTTCCTCAGCGATTCGTGACTGGCGACATTGATTGGTTTAGCCTCGTCGTCGGATTTTCGCCGTCCAAACTGGTCGTATTTCTTTGACACAGGAACGTCGAACTGCGACTTTGGCAGAGTATGACTCAGAGGAAGAGGCCCACTGTAAGTTGCTTTTGTTGACAAAGTCGATGAAGAAGACATTCCGAAGTTCTCGAAATCCCCTTCTCCATCGTCCTCGAAATCAAAGTGCCGGAATGCGTTTCTAGAGCTGGGCAAAGAATCGTCATTCTCATTGAACTGCCTCGCCATCTCGAGAACGCTCATATTCTCGCCAATTTTTGGACTCTCGAGCTTTTTCATCGGCTCGGGAAAATCACAAAATTCGCGTTTTCGCAGCGCAAGATCTTCGTCACAGCCGAGGGATGAATCAGAACTGTCGAATTCTAAATAGTTGGGCGGGAAAACCGGCTGGTTGGAAATTCTCGAATTAAATTTGTTCAATTGAGCTTCTTTGTGGTCTTTGAGGGAGCCTGTTTCAGCGGGACCGAGTTTTTGAGGCCCAGAATTGGATTTCATTCTCTGATTTTCGGTTTGCTTCATTTTCTCGATTTCTGATACGATTGACAATGCCTCTGCTTTCTTGTCAATATTCTTCTCCGTCAGATTATCGGCGCTGCTATCAATTTTCACAGGATTTTGCTCCGTAGACTTGCTGCTCTGAACTGAAGGTGGCTGGGTATCGAATATGCTCTTTGGCCCTGGAGAAGGTGAAGAGAGCTGACTTGACTTTGGAACAATTGATTTTGCTTTACGCGGCGACAAGTCGTAATTCGGCGGCTTGATCTTCTCATCTATCTTCAAATTCCCAGGGGGACCAACCGGAGCTTGAGAATCTGCCATGTTCGAACTTACTGAGGCGGATTTTCTCGGCATCAAGTCGAATGTAGGAAGACTGCTTTGCTCGAATAGTGACGATGACGAGATTTGCTTTGAAGGTTCTTTTGGTGGTTGTTTTTGAGCTCGATTTTGAGGTCGGTTTTGGGGAGCTTGAGTCTTTGGAGGCGGATTAGCTGGAATCGGGTCGCTTCCAAAAATACTGCTAAAGATCGATTTTGGTTGGGGCTCCGGCGGTTTCTGAACAGTTCGATTCTGAGGCTGCTGTTGTTGTCCTCCTCGCTGCGGTTGCTGGCGTGGTGCTGGTTGTTGACTCGCTGGAGGACGTTGTTGAGGAGGCTGATTTCGCTGATTAGGCTGTTGAGACTGCTGGCTAGCTTTTGGCTGAGGTGGTTGGGAACTTGTTCTTTGACTGTCTTTTTGATTTTGTTGTGGCCTACTTGCAACTTGTGATCGCGGCTGAGGAGGCCCAGCAATGCTTCCCGAACTCGGTTGCCTCTTAAAAATGCTCGGTGGTTGAGGTGAGTTCGACGGTGCGGGTTGAGGGTTCTGCGGTTTTGTGGCGGGTTGACTAGTTGTCTCCTTCTTCAACTCACTTTGTTGCTGGTTTACTTTACTCGTGGTCGCGGGAGGCTGCCCTTGAGAATGCGGATCAGCCGGTTTGCTCGGATTTTCGTTCGTCTTGTCAATCGAGCGCCCTCGGGGGAGTGGCTTAGGCTTTTGCAGGGATGCTTGTTGACCCGGTAGTCCTGGATTAGGCGGACGAGGATTTGGGCTTGGATTTGTCGGTTTCAAATTTTGCGGATTTCCAGGAGGAGTTCTAGCGTTGTTCATTCCGTGAAGACTATTTGTCCGTCTCTGAGTCGATGGAAAATCTTGATCCGTCTTCATCTTCGGAACGTCGCTTTGCGAGCTCTTCATTTGCCCCGGCTTCTTGATCCATTCATTCGACTGAGCGACCAAATCGTTTCGTTTTAGGCAAAGATTGCAGATTTTCTTTCCATTGGAGATTTTCGCGCACTTCGGGCAGATCGAGTCTGGACAGGAGGCACATCGGGTATTTGAGGGTAAGCCGCATTGGCATTTGTTTACCTAAGAATTAAGGGTAAGTTCTGAGAATTGGATTGAGCTTTTAGATCGAGTACTAATGTATGCATTCAGTCTACTCTTATTTCAAGCAGCTGAAAAGGAGGAAAGAAGGAGTGAATAAATAATTAAATTGAAATATTTAAAACCGATTCAATTATGCACGGCATTCTGCGTACGTTATTTGGCTTGTTGTCGGCGCTTTTTATCTTTTCCTTCGATGCGATTTCTTCTTCCAGCTCTCTGAAAAAAACACTGTCAGAAATGTTCATTTCGAAAGAGGGGGAGTTATGTTCTTCGTAGTCGTGGTTAAACGCACCGTTGTGGGTACCTGATCTTTTCTTCTCTATCTTGATCCACTTGAGTCGCTCTCATCGTGACAGACATGATAATCTTGAATACAAGATATCATGAGGTGAATTAAATGAGTTCATAAATATAATCTGACAAGTGCTTTTTCCACAATGATTTGTTAGTAGAACTTTGAAAAATAAGGGTGTCACTATGATATTTTTTCAAAATAAATTTCTTCTCAAATGAAGATTTCTTGACGTCACGTGGCTTTAAATAAGTACATTTAAATTTCAATAAATAATTAAAAATTTCCCTTGGAGTACACAAAGATTAAGATTGACAAAGAAATTGCGTGAATATTGCAACAACAATCAAACCTGTCTTTCTTCTTCCGTCAAATGGCTCAAATCAACGCCGGAAAGGGCGGAATCTTCTTCTGGCGGTCTCATCCCCAAAATAAAATATTTCAATATCTCTAATGCAACGAGAAAAAAAGGCGAATCGACACCCCCGTCCGGGAAAAAAAACGACGCGCCTTGTAAATAAGTGAGAGTATTGATTGCAGTAGGCACTAATGCCCAAGAGGATTCGATACATTTTGTCTAACGCGTTCACATTATTTTTATTTCGCTCGCCAAATGCACTTATCGAAGATGAGCGCGGAATGAAATTAATAACTACTGATCAATATTGGTAATTTGTCACAAGATCCCAAAAAATATCGGAAATTGAAAACGCCATCTTCCAAAAAAATGTGCGTAAAATCGCGATTCCGGTTGCGACAGATTTTAGGGAAAAGGCTGACAGTTTTCATTTTCTAATCGAAAAGCAGTGTCATTATCGGACGCATTTGTAAAATTGGCTGCTGTTCCGGTTTCACCCAGGCTTTGCGTCACTCAACCACAACGTGACATGATTCTGGTCCTATAATGCGTCTCCTAATGACTTTTTGTGGCGCCAGAGGATTTTTCATGATGAACAAAGAGAAATCCTGGGAATGATTCAAGAAGTTCATTTCAAATTTTGTTCGAGCCGATGATGAATTGGTCGACTTTATTGATATTTTTTACCTTCAGTTGTATACAAGCCTCGGAATACAGAGAGATAAAGAAGGCGATACAGGAAAGAGAAAATAAATTGACAGATTTCTACTAAACTCGTTTCTTATCAACAGAAATGAATTCATGATAAACACAATTTTTTACTAAAAAAAGCCCTCCTCTTTCCTTGACGACGTCCCAGACTGGTTCTCCTCCGATCCTTATCCAGAACTGCACTTTGATTATGCCAAGTTGAGAAGCTCAAGAAAACGTCTTCTTCAACCGCGATCTTGGGGACGAAACGGCACAAGAACGCTCCCAATAAGAAGATGCCCAAAACTGTCTGTAGAAGGGCCTCATGAAGCGATTGCATGTGATAAAAGTAGCTGCGTAAAATTATGCGCGCCCAAGTTTCAACCTGTTGGAAAAAGAGTCAAGGTTCGTTGGAAAAATTATGCGATAAAAAGATGAATTTTCAGACGAGTTGCTTGAAATCAAAGCACCTCAAGCCACACTGGTCGCATCCTCTTACAAACTGCGCCACTTGTGACCAATTTGAGCTTCAAAATCCGAATTTGAATCTCTTTTGTGATGTCGATCCTGAAACCAACCAGCATGTTTGCTCACTATCCTGCTTTCAAGGGTCTTTGAAGCGGGTAGAAGCAAGGGAAATTAAATGCAAATGTGAAAGCGAAAAATGCCAGTGGAAAGATCAGAGGGGCAATGTCTTTGGAAGCGAAAATACAAAAGGTAGAAAATGTCCTTACTTCAAAAGGGAATTTGTTCTTTCTAGATATTTGCGCTCCGAATTCGATGAGAAAAACGAAGTGCTTGGAATCAAGGAAGAAGTGCTACAGCCTCCCAGATGATAACTTCGAACGCTTGTATTCAATTTCAAACTCTCTCACTTGCCCGAACTGCATCAGGTTGGCCTTCATCATCCTTAGTTTCTTCAATTCTTTTGAAGGCTTTCCGCTGATTTGAAGCTACGGACTTCAAACAGAAATCACGCTGATGGAGACTTCTCGCTTTCCTTTCCGGATCAAAATCTTGTTAAAATAATAAGATACAATTCAGCAAACATAAAAGACCTCAAGCTAGAATCGGGCAATAACCTTTCAGGGAGAATACGAAGTGACCCCGCGCGGGGTCGATTAAGAATCGAAGCTATTTTGGAATTGGAGAAAAAAGCTCGTATTGAAAGAATCTCTGCAACAATTTGTACATGTTAATCAAAGTGACCTCTATTTTAATAAATTTCAAAAATCTTTAATCTATAATTACTTCAAAAAGGTGGAGCAGAGGACTCATTCTCTTCTATGATCTCTTCAATCCAATCGAGAGCAAAATGAACATTTGAGTAGATTCCCGGATAACCAGGCGCAGCACATTTGAATCCTCGTGACACGACTCCGAGAAGAGTCGCCGTTCCATTTATCGGACAGATCAGTGGTCCACCAGAATCACCTTAAAAATCAAAAATTGCGAAAATGAAAGGTGCCAAACCTTGGCAAGAATCGACTCCGCCATCAACGAGACCATCATCGTTCTCGTCAAGAGCATTTCCAGCGCAGATGTCGTCCGGAAAAAGATTTCCATCACCATGGTCGTCCTGAGTTTTTGCCTTGCAGTAGTCCTGGTTCATCGCATGAACACCGATAGATTGGAGGTCGTAAGCGAGCTCGCCTCCGTAGTCAAGAGTTCCCCACCCGGCGACCCAGCAGTTTTCTCCGTCTTTTGAAAAATAAAAAAATAGAATCAATGAAAGGACTTTTACGAGGAATATCAGCTGAGGCGGGAAAGCAAGGGAACTGAACCTTCATTGTTGTTTCATGGGTGCTAATTGGCGAATCAAGCTTCACGAAGATTCAATACATGAAATGACTTGATTATTTCTTGAAATCAAGGAAGAGAAAATTTTTATTTTAATCTTTTCCTTGAGCAAGCAGAAATCCATATTTGGCTTTCCATTTTCAGGATCGTATTCCGGATGATTGAAGATTCGAGCAATGGGAATTTCAAATGATCCTTCAGGATAAGAATAGTCATGGTTGAAGAAAGATGCGGTAATTGTCCTCTGAGAAGCAAAAATAATTGATGTTATTAACTTATTAAGTTTTAAATCCACCTGAAAACCATCACCATGAGCGCAACAATGGGCGGCTGTCAGAATCCATTGATCGTTGATGGCACTTCCGCCGCAGAGGTGTCCACTGTAGAGGTCCAAATTGGCGATCCAGGACCAGTCGGAGATATTTGCTGATGCTCCGTTGACGATTCGCTCTAAAGAAATCAAGATCGAGACTCAACTCTTAGGGTGAGGGTCTGACTAACCGTCAATTGAGAACCCATTTTCTGCCGAGGAGCAGGTCTTTAGATTCGGGTCAATATGATTCTTGAGCTCTTTGAAATCTGTATCTGCCCAAGTCGCGTTTCCATTCACATCTGTAGTCGTCGACATGGCTGTCGTCGAAGTCTGCGGCATACAGAACCAAGTAGAAACTTCTCTCGGAAGAACATATCGCCCAACCGCCCAGGAAAAGTACCGACATCGTTTTCTATTGCATCGGCATGTTGCAGAAATCTGATCAATTTCCAGCGGCGGAATGTCAGTTAGAATCGCAATGTTTGCATTGTCTTCGCATTTGAACGACACATGCTTGAGACCTTTTGGATTAACACCGTATACGACTTTCAAGTCTTCCGGCAACCTTGATTCAGGGAAATCAGGACACGTGATGCATTTCCCGATCTTTTTACTCCAAAAGAATTCGCCATCATCTCCAACTCGGCAGCCTACAGACTTTCTTCCCTTGATAGTGTAACCCTTATCGCAAGTCAGTTTGCAAGATCGACCCTTGCAGTTCAAATTCATTCCCTCCAGCTCCTCTTGAAACAAATTGTTCGCTTCGAATGTCAATCAATAGTTTTTCTTACCGATAGCCGGGCAATTTTTCCAGTTGACCCATGATCCTGGAGGTCTTGGAGCCTGACCTCGTACAGTTGCTGCTACGATTGAAGGAGCAAGCTAAATTGATGATGATAAATAGGCTTACCGGACTGAATTTTGAACCATTTTTCTAGCTTGATTCAGTAGTCATGTGACACAAATAAAGAAAGCCTAGAAGCAGGGCTTTCATTTGAGCACCATATCGAGGGGTCTGGGTCATGCCCGCAAGGCAATATATGGGACCTGAAGTTCCAAAATGGGCACTAGAATTCTTTAGAAGAATTTTTCGATACCGGGCCGGCCTTCTCGGAAGTCGAGAGTCAGTTAATTAGAAAGCCCAGGCTCTGAGCTTTCCGTAGAGCCCAAGAAATCTTAGTGCATGGCAATTTTTGGCCATCAGCGATCAGTTTAATTGTCAATTTACTGCCTATTTTGACCATTTTTTAGGAGAAAGTCATCAATTTTAGTGAAATTTCACCACAAAAACAAGACGTCAAGCGCTCGCTGAAGGCCACAAACCGCCCTGCACTAAGATTTCTTGAGCTCTACGGAAAGCTCAGAGCCTGGGCTTTCTAAATAACTGACTTTCGACTTATGAGAAGGCCGGCCCGGCATCGAAAAATTCTTCTAAAGAATTCTAGTGCCCATTTTGGAACTTTAGGTCCTATATATTGCCTTGCGGGCATGACCCAGACTACTCGATATGGTGCTCATATGAAAGCCCTGGTTCAAGGCTTTCTATATTTGTGTCACATGACCACTGAATCAAGCTAGAAAAATGAGTCGAAATTCAGTCCGGTAAGCCTAATGATAAATTTCTCTAGAGCTAAACCCGACCTTCATATTCTTCAAAATTTCTCTAAATATTCAAAGATACTCTTACTCCAAAGTCCACGACTACTCTTTATAAGCTCCATTTTTAATGAGTTTAAAGCTTCTGAATTGTTCTAAGACAGCAATTTTCTGTGACGTTTTTACAAAATTCCCAAACAGATCATTTTCACGCATCATCCATCATTTTCCGGGCCAGACTCCGTTTTTTCTCTCTTTTTCATTATTTTCCCACGTGACTCATTTTTAGAATAGTTTTTATTGAATATATTTGTCGTTTTTGGCGCACGAAGAAAATTGCACAGCTCAAGATTTACAGAAAGCGGGGAACAGAATTATGTACAAAACCTCTTTTTTGAACTTATTTTTTCTTCAATTTGTGACGATCATTACGACCAGAAAACTACTCAACGCTCCGAGAGTCAGTCCTAGGGTAAGGAAAGTCGTCATCATTGCTGAAGCTCGACTGGTTGAGGCGAAGGCGACGGAATTTGCGCCAGAGCGGAATGAGATGGTTGCGGCAAGACCGTTTGTCAAACCGAGGAGAATCATTAGCACTAGACATATTTAATTTCTTAAATTTTTAAAAATTTGAAATTTGCTCTTGAATATTGAAAAAATTGCAAAAAAAAAAAACAAATTTTCCCTGATAAAAAGCAGAAACAAAGAACTAAGAAAAATATCTTTGATTGTAACCCTAACCCTAACCCTAACCCTTACCCTAACAAATGCTTCCATTTTGTTAACACCTGAGCTGCTTACCTATGAAAATCCAGTCAGAAGTAAAGACGACTGGCAGCTTCCTCGGCTGGCAATTCGTCAACGGCAGCAGAAATAAAATCACAAATCTTAAAGCAACAATTGCTCCAAGAAGTTTTCTATTATTCAGAGATCTCAAATGGCCGGCAACTTCTCGCCCGATGAAGTCGAAAAGGTTGAAGCTCAGGAAACAGAAGACAGGACTGAAGAACTAGAAAATCATCATGAGAGGAGAAAAAAAGACGGAAGTAGTTACTTTGTCTGGAATATACGAGCCAGTTGGGTTGTACATTGACACCAGAGTCGGGAAAACAGCGATGGTGACGGCAAAAGTCAAAGTCAAGGAAGCAAGCTCGACCCAAATCAATTTGGCGATTTCAATGTGACTCTCTGGCTGTGCTTTTTCATCGTTTGGCAGAAGAAGGGGCTAAATACAGCTATTAAACAACGAACAAGGTGGAAAAATTCGAAGAAAAATGAAGGTTTTCTACTGCAAAAAGCCAATGGATAAAAGAACTCGTTTCATAAGTACTTGATTTTCCGGCGAGTCGATTTCATTCTCATTATAATCAATTTGATCATAATCCGAAATCGACCTCTCGCAGCAGCCAAAGACGAAGCCATACGCGCCCCAGGCGAGCAAAATCAGCAACAGTGCGGAGAGAAAAAATGCAAATGCTTCCCACTCGATTTGGTCAGCAAAGGCGATGCACTTTCATTTTGGATCAGAAAACATGCTATTTCGAGAAGCAGAATTTTCTTATTTCAAATTGAATAAATTTAGATCCTTTCCAGAATATTGGCGATTGCGGCGAGAATTCCGGCCACAGATTGGCCGGATAGAAACGGTGTCAGCAGATGGAACTCCGAAGCTTCCACAGAGCATGAAATATTCAGCGTAGAACTTAAAACATTTTTGAGTCGACTTTTAATGTCTACTTTTCTACTTGTTGAACACTCTCAAAAATGAGTGCTCTGGTTTGTAAATGATTTTGGGTTCAATTGAGCAAGAATTTTAATATAGCTTACCTTAGAATAGTCATCAAAACAGCGATCCCAAGTGCACCTCCGAAGAAAAGTTCTTTACAAAAATTTCAGAAAAAATTTCGGAAAATCATAATTATCTTCTTTGGGGAAGAAAATCTATTTCTTATTCGCGAAAAAAACGCTGAATTTATAAAAATATCCATTTAAAAATATTAATGTTAAATATTGATTTTTCGCTGAAACCTCAATCAAACGAATTTCTGAAATTTCCTTTATAATTTGAAGTGTCCACCAGAGCAAGAGTCGCGCAAGCTGAGAACAGCACCGCCAGTAGAGCAAAGCATACAGTAAATCGAGTTTGACGACTGAATTTTGTGATTGTGAACGTTCCAATCACGCAGAAAACGAATTGAACGCCACAAATAGCGACTGAAACCTCACTCAATCTGGGAAAAACTTCAAAATAGTCACCTGATAAGCTCGAGTCCCAAAACTTCTGCATCGCATTCGAATCAGTTGTATTGCTCGAGTAGAAACCATTTCCCGAATCGGAGAATTTTTCATGCCAGTAAGTTTGGGGAGTGATGAAGAAATTCCACGGCGCGAGGCAGGCGATCCCAAAGATGTAGAAACATATGCTTTCTAGTAACGAGCCCGTATCTGTTGACATTCTGAAATTGATCGAATTAAAAGAGTGTTTTTGGAAGATGGATTTTTAGAGGGCAGTTTCTTTCATTTCGTGGTCGATGTATTTGTATCTTATCATGAGTCTTTTTTTTTCCTTTGACTTTAACAAAGTGAGACCCTTATTTTTTTCATGAAAAATAATGTTCAAACTGCTTCAAAATTCCTTAAAATTCAAGATCGAAATTTTCAATTTGACGAAAAAAAAATTATTTTTTTTTTCTTTTTTTCCTATTTTGGGGACTCTACACCCTTAATTGTCAAAATCTTTAAAAAAAACCCTCCCTTATATTATCAAGTCTTTTCCTTCTCTTTCCGGATAAAATCTCGCAAATCTCCAGCTTCTCTTCTTCCTCCAATTTCGAGTTCGAGCCCAGCAAGTCTTTCGGTATAATTCTGTTCTGTGTCAAAAAATAACGCGAAATAAGACATGAATGTATTATCACATGTCTTAAAGTGTACGCCTCGGCTTCGACATTGGCGCCCGCGGGGAGTTATTTTTCCACAACGGTTTTGTGCATTTTTAATATTTTTTAGAGCCCGCGATTTATTTGCGTTAATTTTTTACAACTAGTCTCTCCAGACGGGGAGATTCTAAAAGACCATTTTTGAGCTGAGACGGCGAACTCTTTAAAAAAGTTGTTCTAGCAAATGTTTTCAAAGTACTGATCCATTAAGGACCCCTCCCCCCCGTCAAGAATTTTCGAAAAATTTATTTTCGGAATTTTAGAATTTTGACCCTGGAAATGGATTCTAAAGGTCATAAAACGATTTTGAGGCTTCATTTTCTGGGGTCTATCTCGACTCTAACACCCTCAAAATCGCGTTTGAAAAATGGACTTTTTGACGAAAAATGACGAAAAAGTCCCAATTTTGCTATAATTCTAGATTTTTATTGGTCAAGAAGTGCTCCGAACAAGTTTTTATGATAAATCGAACTTTCAGGCACGCTAAGAAGCCAAAATATGTTTTTCTGATTTTTCGAGGAAAATTGTTGACGGGGGGGGGGTCCTTAATAGCGTTTTCTACCTTTTTAAATCTCCGATCTGAATTTCTCTTTCAAAAATAAATTTTAAACTAAATTTCAGAATCCGCGGTACTTTAGCCAAATCTCGAGAAATCAAGCACCCTAATTAATCAATAAACACCATGTGGCGGACGAGCACATTTCCGGCGTTATCTCTCTTTTTTCCCGCCCCGCGGAGGTGAAAAATTTTTCAAAGGAAAATAAAAAGCAATTATCGATCCTAAAATTGGTGATAAGGCGGTTCATTTCGATTTGTGATTTTTTGACACCAGTGCCCATGTGAATTTTGGCTCACGGGATTACCACCAAGCGCGACCAGAGTCTTTTTGTTGTTTTCTCTGTTGAAAATTTTCTTCAGACTCAGATTTACAGTATTTTTTTCGTCAAAAAACAGTCATTTCCCACTCGTTAAGAATTCTCTGTCTATAATCCTCTGACAAACGGCGTAGTGCGCGTGTTCTGATCAATACATCGCTGCTTCGAAAATAAGCAGCATCGAATTTGAGAAATGGAAAAGTCGTATTCAAAACTGCCACAGGCCAAGTTCATCTGCACGGTCACATGGCTTTTCGAGTATTTGGCCTGGAATAACAGCCTCGGGCGGACAAAGCCCGCGAAATTGAAACGCTGCTAAAAAGCGCGAAAATATTTTTCTGTCAATTTTTCAGTGAAAAAATAAAATCACCATTTTCTCTGTTTTTTATTCTGAAATCTCTGATAGCTATACAAATGAACTAAAGGAGCTAAAGTCATCAAATCTCTCTCTGAAAGAAAATTGGTCACGCGCCAAATTTTCGTTGTTCAAGTTCGAAAGGAGGACCCTCCGCAAATAAGCTATTTATACAAAAATGCGTCATTTTTTGAGAAAATAATCTTGCGAATTATAAATTGATAATTTTCAATTTTGGTGCCCTTGCCAAATGGACTGTTTTGACAGACGGCGCGAGTTCCATTGTAACTGTTGACTTTTGTCTGGTTATGAATTTGTTAGAATAAAAAGTTGTTAAGTTCGAAAAAGGATGGATGAGTTCATAACCAAATGAATAAAACGGCATGAATAGGGGAGTTTCCAAAGCAATCAACTTGGTTTATATTTGCTCTTTTTCAGGATTTTCAAAGAAATTATTTCGGAAAATTTTTGACTCGAAAAAGACTTTCTTATGGCCAAGAACCCTAACCTAACCCTAACCCTAACTTCTTTCCCTCACCCTATCATTTGAAAACCCTGGCCATGAGATTGAAGAGTATGAATGAGAGTAATCGCCAATTCTGCTGAGTGTCGATGATACTTAGAGAGACTTGAGTCTTGACCGCTGCTCAAGAAATCCTTTTAGAACGGACAAAGAACAAGCATTGCAAAATTAAAGTTTGAGTGAACGAAAATATCATCCCCTGAATATTTGACCGCCGCATGCAGAAGTGGCGTGTGTCCGTTGTGATCTGGCATGTTTGGATTCGCGCCGTTTTCCAATAAACTAACATCGGGACTTGAAATATCAAAAATCATGTTTTATCATGAAAAATTCACAATTTTCCCGTTGGCTTTTGATCTTCAAAAAAGGGTTCAAGCCCGTCCCAGATCAGAACATTTTCAACAGCATCATCTTCCACATGTTCTATCGCAACAGTCAAACAGCTTTTACCAAAATCCTCCATTCCAAAAACCTTCTTTTTCGACGAAAAAATCGTCTGCCCGCCGACATCCCTCTTCGACGGACTCCAGTTTACCACAGCTCCTTGTTCAATCCGCTCTTTTATTTCATTAACGTCTCCTTTCTTGCAGGCGAGCCACAAGAGTTTGCTGCCCTCTTTCCAGCCGAGAATTTTCGGATTCGGAAGGGATTTTCGAGTATTTCGGTCTTCGCATTTTCGGGCTTCTTTCGGATCTTCTCGAACTGAGGCTCGACGCTGACGACTTCGGATTTTTTCTTCGTCGACTTTTTTGCAGGTCAAAATATTGATAAAAAAATTTATTTTTTGAATCAATTTTAAAATTATCGGATCATTGGATAGAATGAAGACCATTTCTTTATGAAAAACAGAATTGACTTTACTCGCTTTGTGATCAAAGAAACGCATCCCACTTTCTCTGCAAATAGGGACCTAGTGAAAAGGACCGCACGTAGATGTTCACACCTCATCAAATCAAATTCTTCAAACTCGATCAACGTTCAAGCTTTAAAAACTGCTTTTCGAAAAAGATTTTGCATATTTTATTCATTTTTATTGAATATTAGCTCTTATCCATTTTCGCAGTGCAAAAGCATCGGCATAAACTCCGGGAATCGCGTTTCCGCAACCATATCCAAAAGAAACGACGCCATAAAGAGTGTATTTTCCATTGGCATGACAAACTAGAGACATATCGTTATTCGAAAATCTTTGGAGATTTACCAAGTGGTCCTCCAGAATCGCCACCACAAGTGTCAACGCCTGCCACACCACCAGCACAAAGCATCGAGTTGTCAAATTGATTTCCATTGTGCAGCTGATTTTTGCAATATGTCCGCGATCTAGAAATAGAGCTTTCAATTCCGCCAGTTTTCAATTTTACCTGACTTCCACAACTTGCATAAGCAATCGGTCACTGATTCTTCCACCGAATTCTTCTGAACCAAAACCACTGATGATGCATCCCGCGTTTCTTTCAGCTTTGAATTCTGGCAAACAAGCTGGTCGAACGTACTCGTTGTATTGAAAAGGGCGGTCAGTAACGATGATGCAAATGTCATTTGAATTCGTTTTCGGGTCGTAAGATCTGGATGACTTTGAAATCAAGGAGGAAAATGGGTTTTTACCTGTGAGGAATATACTTCCCAAAGTTTCTTTCTTGTCTTCCCGGTTCAGGATTCATGGGATTATGAACTCTGAAGATGTTTCCCGCAGAAATCACGCCCCAGGCGAAGTTTTCATCTTTATTTTGAAAGCAATGAGCAGCAGATATCACATGTTTCATCGAAACAAGGGTGCCCCCGCAGACATTTCTTCCTCGAATAAGAACTTGCCAAGGAAGTGTTCTGCGCATTGCCTGTCTTCCTCCAATCAAATTTGGTCGAATATAAGACGTATTCCTGGGTGATTCTGTGGTTGCTGTAACAGGAATGGATCTGACCGATCGGGGTCGGTCTTTTGTAAATTTTTCAATAGGATGATCGCCAACCATCAAATTCAAGCCAGGTTCCAGCTCGACAACTCCGCATTCGACATTTTCATTGACGATCTCTTCCTTGTCTCCATTGTTTGCAGCAGCAGGAGATTTGCAATTCGAGCAATGATCGACCCCGCATTCCTCCCAGCGAGCGGAATACTTATTCGTGTAACACCACGGACCTCCATGATGAAAATCAGGATTTCGACAAAAATTATGATCCCAGGACTCGCTGGGAAGAGGAATTCTATTTTCGACGTCAGCCCATTTGACGCAGTTTCTGCCTGATTTTGTGGTTTGTTTCTTGCCATCGTACTTTTTCGAATACTCCCAGCTTGGGTAAGATGTTATTTTGTCATGATTATTGGGAAGCTTACCAATCACATGATTTAGTCCTCGTTGTTGTCCCCCGATTCATATCGTCAATGCAATACTCCCACTCAGTATCAGGATCTGTTGTGTAGCACCAATGATGCCCTCCATGCCCGACTACGAAAAATTGAAAGAATAATTTTTGAAGCGATTAAAGGTGTCGAAAACTCACATCCTTTGCAGCATAAATTATGCCACGGAGCAGAAGGGCTGCCATCTACTCTATGAGGAAAATTCGTATCCCATCTTTGACAAGTTTTTCCCGAAACAGTTTCTCTTTGATCATTGCAGCTCCATTCTTGAGCATTCGCAATTATGCCGGGGAAAATAAAAGCCAGTCTCATTTGTCTAAGAATTGCTTTTCCTGATAATTTGAGAACAACTGTTTGTATTTGCTTGGTCATTTATTTTGTTGACATTGATTCTGATCACAGTCAAATGAGTCTTTTCGCTGATTTTTCATTCTTTTAGGACGTTTTTTACATAGTGGTACATTGGCCCTTCGTGTTCAATGTCAAGTGGCTCGTTTTCTTCAAGCTCTTCCCTGAAAAAATTGTGAGAAAATAACAATAAAGCAGGGTTTACCTTATTCGAGCAAGTAGAAGCTCTTGAGCGCGGCTTGAAAAAGCAAAAGACGATCCAAAAGCCAGTAAAAAAAGCTTTAAAAATTGCATAGTTAGTTCTATCTCCATTTCTTGATGATTATAGGTTCTTTTTATACGGAGAAAAAGCGACAATGTTTTTCTTGCTTGTCAAATTCAATTTTTAATTGTCTAATAACGGAATTGACGATGAGAAAATACTAGCCAGTCTTGTCCGGCTGAGAATAAAAAAACAGGTTTGTCGGCCTTTTAAGTTAAATGAGTTCGATTTTATTGATCATGAAGCTTTTTTTTATTCAATTTATTCTTGCAATTGACGATTCAATAGCAACTTCCCATATTTGACAAGAAATTCAACGGTATTACCTTTTTTTCTTCAAGAGTAACACAATCATCAATTTCCTCCGTCTTTTACCTAAATTTCAGGCAAGCTAAGATTGATTTCTTGAGGAAAGTAGCAGAGGAAATCTTGAGCTTTGACGTCATTTGACGCTTATAATCGTAATTTATACAAAAAAGCTTAGCATAAATCGAGGATGATAGACAGTGATTTGAGAAGACTGTGGGCAATATCATAAATTTGCATTGTTTATCTTCTTCTTGGAGAAAATCATTCCTTAGTTGATGAAACACAGGGGGCCATAAAAGGAACATGGTAAAACATCCCCCGAACATATTTTTCTCTGATTTTCCATCCAGAAGGATATGGAAATGACAATGTGCCAAAATTAGCATCCGGTCGAGATTCTTCATTATTATTAGTTGGAGTTTTTATCATAAAAGGGCTCCTTCATAAGCTTATACGTTAGGTAATATGAGCCGCCCCTGTGGTTCTTAAATTCTACTATAGAATCTACTATAGTCTATAGTCTATAGTCTATAGAGTCTATAGTATAGTTTTTAGAGTCTTAACAGGACGAGTCCCTTCCTCGACACTTGATCGCATAAAAATCGGAATATTCTACTGCTAAAATGAATGAAACAAATTTTTCTTTTTGTCAACTAATCTACTCGTCTTCTTTTTAATCTATCTTCTTCTCGGCGACAGTGGATCGTTTACTGCGATTATCAGAAGTCATTTGACATTCAAGACAACTTTTTGAATAGAAAATTTTTTCTTTTGAAATATAATCAAAAATCTTATTTTTTAATATCATTGATTTAAAATAAAAAGACGATAAACAACTTGAGATAATTTTTAAGAGACTATATTTTCGTTTGAACATCAATTTGTTACAGTAAAAGTTCGCTTGATTCTGAGTTTGAGCGCAGATAAAATTTATCTTCCATATGAGCTTTTGGTTTTTTGACGATGTTTTCAATGATTCGCTCGAGCTGGATAATGAAGACAACGAAGATGACAAAGCTGAAGCAGATGACGAGGATGTTCATTTTTGAGAAGGTCGATCCCTCTTTTTCTTGGAAAATTTCCGGAGTTTCGACCTCGACGAATGCTTTTTCGGTGGCAGAAGGGACGAGGGAGTGGTGAGATTTCATTCCCCAGGCTTCGCAGCATTTTGACTTTTGGATTTGACGGCAGAAGTGGTGATTTCCGTCGATAAGGGAGCAAGCCCGGCAGAAATTTTCAGTGCAGATTTGGGAAGCGGCGGCGATGGCGAAGAAGAAAAGTGGAGTCGAAAGAAAGTTCATGTTTTTTTTTGATTGTTCAACTTTTGCTGATGAAAAGAAGGAGCGAGAGGGTGGTTTTATAGGCGCCTGCCGGCGATGGAAATCGCAAGATGGCGCGAAGGAGAGAGAAGGAGGTGCCGGAAAGCGCGAGAAGAGAACATGTGTACATGGAAATGTAACATAACTCTATGGAAAAAATGAATGTATCGAAATCCTCTCATATAGTCTATTAAAGATATCAGATAAAGTTTTAGATCAGTCTTTATTCAAACTGCACTTTATTTTATATAATTAAAACAAGTTTCTTATTTTATATAAAAATAAGGGCATCGTGAATCATGATGTCATTAACACAGCTATCTGAGCTCCCTTGGAAAGGAAATTCTTATAAGCTTCTTATTAGTAATCATTATTCAATAAGAACTGATATGTTCTGTTTTTTCAAACTTGCTGTATGGACTCCGTACTATGGACAGTGCTTGGAGCCTATTTTGAGACGAATGATTATGATAACTGCCAGAAAAGCTCTCTTAATCATTTTGGCTCACCGACCAGCTTTGCAATGCTCTGAATGGAATGAAATCAACTTCGGGCCTCTTCATTTTCGGATATGCTTTGACTGTTTTTAAAACCATTTATAGAAAAAATCATCTGAACTCAGTAAGGTACGAAATTTCCGAGTCTTCTTTCAAAAGGATTCAATAAGAGCATGTCCCAAAAAATACCCGTTCAGCTCTCAATTTTTTGCTCTTAATCCCAGTTCCTGAATGTTCTTCTTCGGAAAAAGTAAGCGCATTGTCACTTCCCACACTAAAATCATCATAGTCTCCGGGATGCGCGCAAAAATCTTCTGAAATAAACCAGAAAGAAAATTTAAAAACAAAAATTGTGAAAACCTCCATTTTCATGCCGCCCATTGGAAAGTTCCGAGACACAATCATCCCCAGACCCGTCAGACTCAAACTCGTTGAAATCGTCATTTACTAAAAATCATTCCGTCAGACAGCAACGAGTCGAGAATCCTGTCTCTGTCCTCCATCCAGATGACGTTCATCGGCTGGAAAGACGGGCCGGATTTCAGATGTTTCCAGTTTGATTTTTCTTCTCCTACCTGAATGAGAATCATTGCCAACTCGTCCATACTGTTCTTCATACTCCCAAATCGCAGCTGAAAAAAGAATTGACAAACTTGGACTTTCAGAAAGCAAGCTACCTTGTTGAGAATCTTCATCGCTTTCCCTCATTTCCTCTTCTTCAAAGTTTTCCAGCGCTCGATCAAGATTCTCCTGGTCAGCCTCCTCAGCCATCACGCTTGGGAAGAGTTAGCTTATCAAGATTTCCGTTTCACGAACTTATAAGAGTTTGACAAGTAGAAATGGGTTAGTAATTTGTTGAAATCGCACAATGGGATGGGATTAGTAAACACGCAATGGTTCTCAACCCATCGATCCGTTCTTGATCTCACGAACTTCATGATCTCGTTCATGTCTTCATTTTGCTCGTCGTCCTCCGAGACCATGACGATCTCGTCCAAATTCATCATTCCCTTGGCCTCGAGGTTGTCGGAGTTGCATTCGGAAAGGGAGCTAGCTGTATCCCCACCACCATCTGATCCTTCATCATCTTCCTGGTCGATAGCTGCTTGTTCGGCCTCGACGCTCCAGTCTTAAATTTCAACGGTTAAAGAAAGCAATAGCAAAATAACAACCCTTTCCTGCTCATTGCTCTTCAAGAAAATAAAAATTATTTCTAGAAAGATTCTGAATCAAGCGTCATTTTGGAATTCGGAAGGTTACGTAAGATACTGTAAGATTCAAGGGGGAAATTTATTTCCATTTTATTGCCTCCCAGACAAAATAACAATTATCACTTTCCTTCCTGATTCAGAGACATGTTTCTTTTATGAATTCATTTTCCATAATCGGAAATTTCCCCCTCACCTTCGCCAAGGCTGCAGCTTGAATCGTCTGACCCGCCATCGCTGTCGCTTTCATCGTCCTCTTCCATTAGCAGATACTTCTTCTGTATCTTCCCGAGCTCCTCTGAAATCGAGTATGAGCGAACTTTTATTGTATCATTTTGGAACTTTCCGTATATTGACGGGTTAGCTTCTTCCTGTCACAGCTGCAGAGCTGGAAAGGGGAAGCTGGAATCAATGATTCTGACCAAAATCTGCGGCAAAACCCGAACTGTTCGAACAGTCATCCGTCATAATCGATGAGGGGAAAGAAGAAGAGAAATATAAGGATCGTTTTGGAGGACTTACTGAGTTCTCGGCAGGAAAGAGCATGTGGAGGACGAAATCTTCTCATAGAAAAGACCCTCTCCTTCCGTTTTTTGTTAAGATTCTTGATCGATGACTCGCACTTGCGCTACAAGGAATAAGTTTGAGTTTCTCTTACAGTCGATAAAAACAGCACAAAGGATGATTATAAACTGTTTTTAAGGATATCATACTTTATCTGCATTTCGAAAGTTTATAATATGAATTTTAGGATAGACAAACCTTGATTAAATTCATCTCCTTTCGAAACGTTTTGAAAAACTGTCTCAACTTTTTCGACTTGGCGTTTGAATATTTCAAAAACGACCTTTTCTCACTCCATTCTTTTTCTCTCCCACACGTAAAATGCGTATAGTAAGGTCCGTCAAGAGTCATTTCTGGGTAAAACTTTCCTTTCTCGATTCTCACCATCTATTCCAGACCGTTATCTTTGATCAAAAAGAGTGAAGCTGTAAATCTATCCCGGGCTATACAGAATGTAATTAGCATAAAAGCCGATAGCGAAACGAGACGATTAATATTAAAACAAGGCAAAGTCGCTTAGGTGCGGTTAATGCTCTGCTATCAATCATTTTTCTTCGCACAAATATCCATTTTTGCATCTTTAATCAAGCCAGCAAAATAGGTGAAGGGTCCTCATCTGAACACCTGAGCAATATATTGCAATATATTTTATTGAAGATAACCAAATTGACCACAAAAATATTTTTTTATTGTTTGAATAAATTTGGTTCCTAAAAGAGCCTAGACGAAAAATCAAATTTGTTGGAAGATAGATTTGAGTCTTCATGTTATTTATTCATTTCAGTAGGTATTCAAGCAAGGAGATAGATCTTTCTCAATACTGTTACTTATTTAAGATCGTCTTAGATATCTATAAATCGATTATCCCACTCTGAACCCCCTATAGATAAGTAATCTGGTATCTTGAACTTTCCATATCTCGTCGGATCATCGTCATTTTGACTTCCTGTCGCATCTACGAGCTCGGAAAATTGAAGCTGGGATCGGTGAATCTATAGGATAGCTTGAGCATTCGATGAGGAAGTAGCTAATTTTGATATTCGCATTCTTAAGCAGAGGGGTTCAATGATTGGTATGCAAAAAAGAAGCCTTTTTTTAAAAGGGGATACCTTATCAGGGACTCGCCAATTAACAGTCTCGAAATAGGGGTCAATTTATTTTTCGGGGTAGTAAACTAGTACCCCGGAAACTCATCCCCTTAAATCAATACCCACAATATCCTTCCCCTGTTCTCATAAATTTATATCAAATATTCTTTCTCGTCATTTTTCCGTGAAATAAATCAGTATTAATAAATTCATCCGTTTTCTGGAAAGCCAAATAATCCGAAAATCTGGTTGTCATGATGGAAAGAATTATAATCGTGATATTGAGAGGAGGCAAAATAGGATTGTTTTCCACGATCAGGTGAATATTTGTAATTCAAATCTTTCACGTGAAGAAATTCTGAAGAGAAAAAGGAAAATTTTCTTTTGATTCAAAATTTCAGATCAATATCCTCCCGAGCTCTTGGACCTATTCGTATCTAGATTCTTGACAAACAAGCGGCTTTCTTACTTCCTGTCTTAACTGTGGACCTGAAAGTCAGCAGACGATTCAATGATACGGTTCAAAAATGATGGCAAGGCGTCGCCCTGAAGGCGAGACGAATGATTCAGTTAATCATCCGTCAGACTCATTTTTCAGAAAGTCAAATTGACTAACAGAGTTAGTCCCAGCCTAGGACTCCCAGGAAAGAGCGCGTGGAGGACGAGGAGGCAAGGGATTCACACCAAAAATGAATGAAACACCTAAGCAATATATTTTATGAATTAATTTCGCAGGAAAACGGCTATGAAATAATTTCTTCTTCTTTGAATAAATTTGCTTTCTAATAGATAGAATGCGAGACTAATTGCTTTTTTGGGTGATATGTCAATTATGATGATATTTATTGAATTCAGTAGGTATTTTGTCTTTCCAATGTGTTCAATTTTTTTCGTCTTGTCAGGCCGGTCGCTAAATTTATATTCTGACGAGGAGAATCGGTAAGCTGATCAAACTTAAAAAATATATTTATAGAAATAATACTTTTGAAGAACTAACTGGATTTTTCTTGACGGAAATTTTCACGGTTTCTTCGTTGATTTCTCTTTTCTTTGGTCGTGGAAGATCTTTTATAATTTATAAACAGGTTCGTTCTTTGGCGTTTTTTTCGTTACCTGGAGTTAAGGATTCATTAATACGGACTTGCATTTTCTTGTGATTTCTCTTCATTTTCGACTTTTTATTGCGATTCGCGCTTCTGCTTGAAGTTGCTCCAAGATCAGCATCGTTGATGTCTCCATCTTCAGTCGATATCGACAAGGACTCTAGAATTCTCTTTCATGAAGCATCTTCGACGGACTTTACCTCCAAAGGCGTCGAGAGTCAGGCCCAGATTCAGCAGAAACTCGGTAAGGGTGTACCCACGCTTGAAGCTTTTTCTTCGCTTCATCATTTTTTCGACTTGTCTGAAGATTTCTTTGAATATTTTTGCAAAGAAATGAAGGCTTACATGGAATGTCGATGAGAAAGAGGCAAGTTTTGTTGTTCGAATTCACTTTCTTCTGCCGATACTTCTGCGACGATTCTAAAAGAATCTCGTTAGCTCGGCTTAGCTCGGACAAGCTTGGCTAAGCTCGACTTAGTCTGGCTAAGCGGAGGATTAGCTCGGCTAAGCTTGGCTAAGCGAAGACTAAGCCCGGCTTAGCCTGGCTGGGCGAAGACTTATCTCGGCTAAGCTAACTAGGCGAAGACTTAGCTCGGCTAAGCTTGGCTAGGCGAAGACTTAGCTCGGCTTAGCTTGGCTTGGCGAAGAATAAGCTCGGCTAAGCTTGGCTTAGCAAAGAATAAGCTGAGCTTTTTGAACGTCAGTGCTGAACTTACCCATAGCAACTGCTGTTATAAAAAATCTGTCCTAGAAAGACTCTGACAAAGTCCCCGTCAATGATCAACATGACAAACAAAATAATCAAAGGCTTGGCAATGATCAATTTCTCGAGAATAAAAAGGTAAATCGTCAAACTCGGAATCGAATAATAAGAATTGTCGAAGCAATCAAAACGCGCGATATTTTGAAGGATAATGTTGACGATGGCAAGTGTACTTGAAACGATAAGAGCGCCGATGATCGGGAATCGAAGGACGTTGCATTGGAAGAAGACTTCGTCTTTGTCGAAGTTTCGGTAGTAGGTGAAGATTGAGTAGCTTTCAAGAGATGATTTCCTTGATGGAAGGGTTCTCAGAAAAAGGTACTGTAATAAAATATTCTTTTCTCGTGATTATCTTGAAACAAATCAGTATTAATAAATTCATCCATTTCCTGGAGAGACAAATTATCAAAAAATGTGGTAATAAAGCTGCGAAGAATTCTAATGTAAGAATCAGTCGAGGATTTCCATCCATCACAGCCGTATATGAATTCAGATTCATGCTAAAATCATATTGAAATGAGGAAAAATATGAAAATGAAAATTTGAAATTCAAATTCAAAATACCTGAAGAAAATCGAGTCCAGGAAAAGCGGGGCGATTGAAAAAATCAATGCTGGGAGCCAGCCAAAAAGAAGGGAGATCAGTTTATGCGACTTTTTTGATGGTTTTTTCAAGAAATTTTCAGACGGCGATTGGCTTGTTGGCCAAATCCTGGCTTCTGATTGGACGAAAATTTCCCCTCAAAATTTTAATTTCTGCTTGATCTAAACCAATTCCTGTTTCTTGACAAAATTGGGAATCCATTTCACGTCTTCAAAGTCAATTTCCATAACAGACACATAAATTATGTCCAAAATGTTGATCACAGTATGGTAGAGTGAGCTAGACATCATGAACACCTTGAGACAGCCGTAGTACATCACCAAATTGTTGCCAAAAAAGTCGAGAATGATTTCAATGTCTTCTTTCGGAAACGCCAGAAGAATGTAGATTGGAATGTGGATGCTAGAATGCTCGTTATGATTAGGTATAGACTAGTGTAATCATTCCGGAAAATTCTTCTTTTGTAACATTGCTTACTGTACCTCACGAGAAGCTCCATAACGTAGATCACCGACTCGCAGAATATAATCGTCGCTGAAAGGTTCAAAAATCGTCAAAAACTCTGAAATCAAGGAAGAACAGTACCCAAATAAATATTCTCCGTGTGCAGCAGCGCATCTTCATGAAAATTATACAGCATTCTGAAGAAACAAAACAGGAACATCCCAACTCCCGTCATGATAATTGCGAACAGCACTGGAAAATATGATTAAATTATTCACACTAATATAAACAAAAAAAAAAGATTCTCACCAAAAAAGACCATATAAGCACTTCCGTTGAAAATTTCCGCAGCTTGGATGAAATAAAATTGATTATTCTTAATTGAAAAATTGAGAATTTGCATTGCTTATTTTTCAATACCTGCCATGGAAGACCACCGCAGACATGGAAGAGTTTGCATTTTCCATCACTTCCATCTTCATCGAAATCGTCCTGAGTCGAAAAGTACTCGTCCGTTGTATACAAATCGCCTTTGAAAAACGCATAGCGCTCAAGAACTTTGGACCGTTCCAAAAAGAAATTCTTCTTGTGGAATTGTTTCATCAGCCCTGTCTGCGACCAGCCTTTCCCCTCGAGAATTTCGGTCAAACTTTTTTCCGATTTTTGACAGATTGAATAATCAATGGTTGATGGAATGCAAGTGACATTGCTTATCTTTGCGTCCTTTTGATCGTCGAAAGGGATGGAAGAATCGATGATTCTTGAAGAAGAGATTGTTTCGTTTTCATTAATGAAGCAGTTTTCCTTGTTGTAAGCGATTTTCCCATTAAAAATTTTCGTGCAGTTCCCGATTTTCGCTCTTATATCCGACCATGTCTCCTCCATCCAAATCGTCGCATCAACATAAGCAGTAGCATCGACTTTCAAAATCACAGCAAGGCCCTTGTTTGCTGAACTAATCGGATAGCGGATGAAACGCTGGTTTTCGAGCTCAGTCATATTTGGGTAGTTGCCGTTCTTCTCGTACTCGGCTCGAGTTAGAATTCGGACGAATGGGAGCTTTGTTGGGATATCATGGTTGTTCAGCTTTTTGTGCTTTTCGATTTGAGTTTCTCTTAATTCCAATTTCCTTCTTGAAAGAGTAAAAAATTGTAAAGCAATCCTGAAAAAAGTTGTACCCTCTCTCTTGACTAAGTCGAATATTATGATGAAAGTCGATATAACTCCCTATCGGCATCCAAAGATACTTGTATCTCCTCATCGCAGAGCAATGCAGCATCGAGCTCTGTTCCATTTCCCGCATCTGTTCCTCCGAAATCGAGCCATTCCAATAGCCAGGGCAGACTCTCGTTTCTTTCAGTTTATTCGATCGACAGTTGAAATCGTCTTTTGAGAAGTTGCCGGACCAGTTGAAGTCAGAAATGGAGATTTTATGCGGGTGGGTATCCAAATACTTTTTTATTTCGGACGGATTTGAAACTGAAAAAGTGACGAAAAAGAAAAAGATTTTTCTTATTTTTTTTTGTAATTTTTCATTTTTCAGATTTTCCTTTAATTTCATTTTTATTAACTCACATTTAAAACCAGTAGTGAGCAAACTATCAAGGTCAGGTCTCTCATTTGGAATGTATCTTTCTCCGTCGCTTTCTTTTTTAGGTAATTTTGAGCAAGAAAAAACAAGTTTGGCGAAAAAAACGAGTTTTTTCATATCTCCGTTTTTTTTCTCCCAAGCTTAAGAAGTTTTCTTTATGTGGAACGTACTTTACGGCTGAGTGGAGTAAATTGAAGGCGCGCGGGGAAATATCAAGAGAAATTATCGTAATTAATTGTTCGTAAGTATATTTCTTCTACAACTTTGAGAGATTTTCACATTAAAAGACACGTTTTTCATAAAAAAAATGAATAAATAAATAACTTTATTGAGGGGATAAACATTTTATATGTCAGCAAAAGTCTGGTAGTAAAAGTTTTTGACGCTCATTTGAGTAGCCGAGTCCGGATGATTCTTGGAAACCATCGCGTAGAGATCGCCGCTGCTGTAAGCATCGCTCGTCGCATAAGTGCCCGTGCCGATCTGAGTTCCATCAACGCTGACAACGTACTCGAGAGTCGATGGGGATCCAACTTGTTGGTTGACTTCGACAGAATAGGTGTTCCAGTCGCCGTCAGTGCAGGTGGGAAAGAAAGCGACATGGTGATTCGGCCCGCTTGGATCATTGACGCTGACCGACAGTTGTCCGTCAGTTGGCTGGTCGGAAATCGAAAATTGTCGATTACCAGCAGTTCCATCTTGATCGGTGACTGGAGTGTACGTCAAATGAATGATGTTCCTGTAAGCTGTATCGCCGGCGATGTTCTGGCAGAGAATGTCGACGGAAACCTTTCAAAAGGGCTCTGACCTTTACTCACTACTAGTGAGTCACTAGTTCAAAAAAGCTGAATATGTATCTAAGTCAGCGAGTATTTCAAAGACCGTTCCTTATAGTTGAGGGCAGCACTGACAGTCGTTATTTGAGTATTTGACGCTGGACTGATTTCGCAGCCATTGACGATTGCAGTGCAATCTGAAAGTCCAGAGCATGGATCAGTCGCGCAGGAAGGAACATCGGCGAAAGTTTGGTAGTAAAAGTTTTTGACGCTCATTTGAGTGGCCGAGTCTGGGGTATTCTTGGAAACCATCGCGTAGAGATCGCCGCTGCTGTAAGCTCCGCTTGTGGCATAAGTTCCCGTGCCGATCTGAGTTCCATCAATGTCGACAACGTATTGAAGGGTGGAAGGGGATCCAGAAAATTGGGTGACTTCGACAGAGTAGGTGTTCCAGTCGCCGTCAGTGCAGCTTGGATTAAAAACTGCACGATGATTCGGTTCGTTCGGATCATTTACGCTAACCGCCAGTTGTCCGTCAGTGGGGATGTCGTTAATTGAAAATTGTCGATGACCAGGAGTTCCATCATGTTCGGTTACTGGATCGTTCGTCAAGTGAATAATGTTTCTGTAAGCAGTGTCACCGGCGATGTTCTGACAGAGAATGTCGACGGAAACCTTTCAAAAGGGTTCTGATAATTCGAGAAGAGTTATTAATATAATATAATAAATGACATGCTACAAAATCTATTAAAGTTTTTGAATATTCGAATAATGACAGAGTTTTTCCTGTGTGTCAGAACTCATACCTTATAATTGAGGGCCGCGCTGACAGTCATTATTTGTGTATTTGACGCTGGACTGATTTCACAACCATTGACAATTGCAGTGCAGTCTGAAAGTCCGGCACAGGGATCAGTGGCACAAGTGGGAACACCAGTAAAAGTTTGGTAGAAGAAGTTTTTGACGCTCATTTGGGTGGCCGAGTCTGGGGAATTCTTGGAAACCATCGCGTAGAGGTCGCCGCTGCTGTAAGCATCGCTCGTCGCATAAGTGCCAGTTCCGATCTGAGTTCCATCGACGTTGACTACATATTCAAGAGTGGACGGAGATCCAGAAACTTGGGTGACTTCGACAGAATAGGTATTCCAATCGCCATCAGTACAGGTTGGATAGAAAGCAGTATGGTGATTTGGTCCACTTGGATCATTCACGCTGACCGCCAATTGACCGTCAGTTGGCTGGTCGGAAATCGAAAATTGTCGATTTCCAGGAGTTCCATCTTGATCAGTGACTGGGGTGTACGTCAGATGAATGATGTTCCTGTAAGCTGTATCGCCGGCGATATTTTGGCAGAGAATATCTACCGAAACCTATCAAACGGGCTCTGATTTTTACTCGATGGTGCAATTATTTATTCCGAAATAAAATGATTATATAAGTCAGCAAGTGTTTCAGGGACCGTTCCTTATAGTTGAGTGCGGCGCTGACAGTCATTATCTGAGTATTTGAAGCTGGACTGATTTCGCAGCCATTGACGATTGCAGTGCAGTCTGAAAGTCCAGAGCAAGGATCAGTCGCGCAAGAAGGAACGTCGGCGAAGGTTTGGTAGAAGAAGTTCTTGACGCTCGTAAGGTAGGCGGAAGGGAGAGTTCCATCAGATACCTTCGCGTAGAGGTTGCCGCTGCTGTAAGCTCCGCTTGTTGCGTAAGTTCCCGTGCCAACCTGAGTTCCATCGACACTCACAACGTATTGGAGGGTTGACGGAGAGCCAGAAACTTGGGTGATTTCGGCAGAGTAGGTGTGCCAGTCGCCATTAGTGCAGGCCGAAACGAACTCAACACGATTATTTCCAGCTGCAGGATCGTTAACATTGATCCCTATTTCATCGGTGTTGTCTGTATCCAAAATTGCAAATTGCCGACTGCCAACATCGGTTTGATGAGCGCCCGAGTCTTTCGTCAGGAGAAGAATGCTCTTGTAATAAGCGTGACCGGGAACGTCGTGGCATTGAACGTCTGCTGAAACCTTGAAGTCGGGCGATTACATCATTTTTCAAGTTAAATCAAGACGATTTTGAATGAGAATCTCTACCGCCCGTTCCTTGTAGTTAAGTGCGGCGGTGACAGTTCCAACTTGATTATTCCATCCAGGATTGACTTCGCAGCCATTGACGATAGCAGTGCAGTCAGAAAGACCAGAGCACGGATCAGTCGCGCAAGAAGGAACGTCGGCGAATGTTTGATAGTAGACGTTTTTGATGCTGGCTTGGTCGGCGGAAGCGTGACGATTATCGGATATTTTCGCGTAGAGGTTGCCGCTGCTGTATGCTGCGCTCGTGGCGTAAGTGGCCGTGCCGATCTGAGTTCCATCGACGCTGACAACGTATTGTAGAGTCGAGGGAGTGCCAGAAACTTGGCTGACTTCGAGGGTATAGGTATTCCAGTCGCCATTCGTACAGCTATAGGATAACGCTCTTCGATTGTCAGCCTCTGCTGGATCAGCACAATTGATGCCTATTTCACCAGGATTCGCCGAATCCATTATCGCAAATTGCCGACTGCCAATATCGGTGACATGAGCACCTGCATCCTTAGTTAAAAGAAAGATGCTTCTGAAAGAAGTATCGCCAGCGATATCACTGCAGAGCACATCGGCGGAGACCTTGTAATTGAGGGCAGCGCTGACAGTGGCGACTTGAGTATCAACAGCCGGGCTGATTTCGCAGCCACTAACAATGACCGTGCAGTCGGAAAGTCCAGAGCATGGATCGGTTGCGCAGGCTTGTAAGTCAGCAAAAGTTTGGTAGTAGAAGTTTTTGACGCTGGTTTGTGTGGCTGAATCGTGGAAATTGTTTGAAACCATCGCGTAGAGATTGCCGCTACTGTAAGCGTCGCTGGTGGCATAAGTGCCCGTGCCAATCTGAGTGCCATCAACGCTGACTACGTATTCAAGGGTGGAATGTGATCCAAGATCTTGATTGACTTCGAGGGAATAGGTGTTCCAGTCGCCCTCCGTGCAGGTAAAAAGGAAGCTTTCCCGGTGATTCGCGCCGTTAGGATCGTTTACATTGATTTCAATATTCTGAGCATTAGGTGTGTCAGCAATCAGAAACTGCAAAGCGCCTGCATTTCCGGTTTGGTCGACAACTGGGTCGGTTGTCAAATGAAGAATGTTTCTCGAGGCTGAATCTCCGACGATGTTTGTGCAGAGAACGTCTGCTGAAACCTACGTTGCGGGCTTGAGAAATATTCTAGCGGTAATTTCTTTTTGCAAAAACTCTTCTTTTTAAATTTCTGAAGCCCCCTTCCTTGTAATTGAGAGCGGCGTTTACTGTCGTTACTTGATTATTGACAGAAGGATTGATTTCGCAGCCATTAACGACGGTTGTGCAGTCTGAAAGTCCAAAGCACGGATCAGCCGCGCAAGAAGAATGGTCGGCAAATGTTTGGTAGTAATAGTTTTTGACGCTCATTTGGGTGGCTGAGTCTGGGTAATTCTTGGAAACCATCGCGTAGAGATCGCCGCTGCTGTAAGCATCGCTCGTTGCGTAAGTGCCAGTGCCGATATGAGTTCCATCGACGCTGACTACGTATTGGACGGTGGATGGAGATCCAACAACTTGGTTTACGTCGACGGAATAGGTGTTCCAATCGCCGTCAGTGCAGCTCGGGAAGAAAGCCGCATGGTGATTGGGCCCGCTTGGATCATTAACGCTGATCGCCAATTGTCCGTCAGTTGGCTGGTCGGAAATGGAAAATTGTCGATTACCAGCAGTTCCATCTTGTTCAACGACTGGAGTGTACGTCAAATGAATAATGTTCCTGTAAGCAGTGTCGCCGGCGATGTTCTGACAGAGAATATCGACGGAAACCTTTGTTCAGAGGTCTTTTAATAAGAGACTTATATCATTATTATCATCAGTAAAAGGCTATCGGAGGATACAATAAAGCAAATTTTGTACTTACAGTAAAAAAGTGGCGCTCGGACGGGAATCAATCCGGAGACTGTTCACATTAGATAGAACAGACCCCTCCACAACATCATATCTAGAAACGATAAGAAAATTTTGGCAGTTTTTATGAGATGTTTCATGAAAATAAATAAAGAGACCATTCCTTGTAGTTCAGTGCAGCGCTTACAGTCATTATTTGATTATTACTGGAAGGGTTGATTTCGCAGCCATTGACGATTGCAGTGCAGTCTGAGAGTCCAGTGCACGGATCAGAGCAAATTGTTGTTGAGGTTGTCGTTGTGGTCGAAGTCGAAGTCGTGCTCATAGTTGCCGTCGTTGTTGTTGCCGTTGAGATTGTACTCCCTATCGGTCCAACATGGTTTAGCTGATAATACAGCGAAAACGCGAAAAATAGAAAATGAAAGATCTTTGAAAAGAGTTCATAATCTGATGACAAATAGATGAAGTGCGAGCGGACTCGAAATTCTGCTTCTACCCAAAATTACATGATCGTCTTACGTTGCGAAGAATCCGAACTCTACCTTATCTATCATTTTTCTCTCTTATTCTGATTTGCTTTTGATAAACAAGTACTCATGCTCAGTGGCTTCTAGAAATAAAACGGGACCGTTTACAATATCTTTTACAGTAACAAGTTGTTACTAAAGGACATTCAAATTTTCATTGCTTTGAGTTTCTTTTCTACTCAAGAAAAAACGGTATTTCAAACATCGGACATTTTGAAACGAAAAGAATGATATTTCAATATTTATATTTGTTTATTTACAGTTAAAAAGCTTTTTTCTCATCTCAGTGGAATATTTTTAACTTTCATTTTTTGACTCTTCTCAGGTTTCGGCGAGCGCTCTCCATTGAGCTTCGGCGATCTTGGTAACGAGCAAGGCCTCCTACAAATATGAATAGAGATAGAAAGAAGTGAAAAGACAAACCTTGGGCGGATGTTTTGAATATTCTCTTGGAGAACCATCTGTTGCGATTTGTCCAAGGCGTTTAGATTCTTTTGCGAGCCGAGGAGCTGGCTGAACCATTCGGTCGGTTTTGACCTTCGCCGCCGGCCACGCTCGGAGAGGGATTGTTCCGATCCGCCGTAAGCTGAGAGCGCTAGAAATAAACGGTCAAAACCGATGATTTGGAAACTCTTTTTTCTCACCGATATTATGCGTCGATTCCATCCAACTGACCGGCCTTGTCTTTCGATTGTTTCCAGCTTCTGTTTTTCTGATTTCAGAGCTAGAGCAACTTTCGATCGAGAATTCCTCTGGATCGCGGATTTTTCTCAAACATCTTCTTCTTACTGGAAGTTCCCAAGGTTCGCCAGCGCCGTATTTTGAAATGATTTCAGACTTCATCTTTTCGAACATCTCCAAAAGGTTTTTGTGAAGAGGGAGGAGGGAAGAAGAAATGTTTTTGCCGTGAAGAACTTGAGACAAAAAATAAGCCTTTTGACGAAAAACTTGAAAAATTACCAAGCGCTTTTTCGAGAATAGGAATCTGATCCCGGATCACTTTTTTCAGCTGCTTCTGGAACTCGGAAGGAATTTCGCTATTTTCGTTCAAAAATGCATCTTCGTAGATTTTCAACCCTCCGTTGACTCTTGCGTCGATCGTTCCTTGCAGGAGCATTCCTGGAAAATTAATTCTAGAGCTAATCGAATTAACTGATCGAAGTTACCTAAGTGACCATTGTCGCCGTTTGAAGTGAGGATAGTTTTGACAGTTTTCTTGATTTCCTCGTTCTTCGACCTTATCGCTTCAAGAGCGACTTCGATTGGTTGCCGGGTGATGGTGGTCACGTGACCGATTTTGACATGGGTTGAGACTCCAGGGAGGGAATCGACTGTGATGAAGGTTTTTTCCTCGACAGCGGCGTTTTCTGAAGAAATATTCAGGGTTTTTTTCTCGAAAAAAGATAATCTTACCGATTCCTGGTGATTTGGAAAATTTCTTCCTGTGTTCAAATTGCCTCAATCCGTGGGCATCACCATGAAAGGGCTTTGCCTTGACAGGAAAAATCTGCACATGCATTTCTTGACTCTTTTTGATCTCTTCGGAAATCAGGTCGGAGTTGAGGATCAATTTCGCATTCGGAAACCATTCAAGCACCGACTCTTGAAAATCCTCCAGTCTTTCTAATTCTTCCCCTCTCGCGATCATCTGGACGTTTTGAAAGTTCTTGGGAAAACCATTTCCCCAAAAACCGAGGTAAAAGAAGGAATAGGCGGTTTCTGATTGAGGCGCTCGGGCGATAAGGCCAGATCTTATTCGGAGAATATCTGCGATTTGGGCGGAATCCTCCAACTCGGAATAATATGACTCGAGAGCAGAGCAAAGCTGGATCGCTTTGGAGAATTCTTTCGCGTCCTCCATCATTGAAATCGTCTCTGCGATGAGTAGTTCCTTCACTTCCGGTTCTGTACTCGCCTCAGGGAACATTTTCCTCGCCCAGTCTTCTGAAAATTTTTCGCCGGCGGCGCTCGTTTCTTCGAATTTCAAGGTTTCGTTTATTTTCGTCAAGCAGTTTGCCGCTTCGAGTCTCGCGTTCTGCCCGAGTTGCACATCATAAAGCTTGAATAGATAATCGCGGTAGAGGTCGACTCTCGAGCAGCGAAAGAAGAACTGCGCGAGATTGACGAGACCGGCGATTTGAGCGACTCGATTGTCACCACAGTCGCGGTAGTCGAGCAGCAGCTTCATTGCTCCAGTGAGGCGGGAGACGAATTTGTGACCTTCTGGGTGGTCGTTTATGTTCTTTTGCACCCACTCAGAAAGACTGAAATTTTTGTCAGATTTTTGAATGATATTTTTCGAAAAAAAATTCAAATTTTAATATTTTTATCAGAAAATTTCACAAATTTTAAGGGGGTAGAACTAGGTTTTTCGAAAATAGCCGATTCTAGACCGGCGCTCAAAGCCAGGAGAGCTTAGATTTTCAAATTCTCTCTTCGGCTGAAGAAAGAACTAACTTAGATCTAACAACATTTTTCTTGAAATTTTTTTTCGTCAACACATTTTGGCGTTAGAGAGCGAAACGTCAACCCATCTCTTCGAAAAAAGCAATTTTAGCGTATTTGCGTCCTCAAATTTCTCGAGTCACGTGACTAGCCAAATTTTTTAAATCTCATTTTAAGATAGTTTGACTCTTTATCCAGCAACATTTTTGAGGAAATTGCGTAATCATAAGTAAAAGCAGGTTTTCCTTATTTAAAGCGCCTCCCGAAAATCACGGTTTTTCGAAAAATCTAGTTCTACCCCCTTAAGGAAAATTTTAATGAAAAAAGCAGCAATTTTGACTAAAAAATTGGTCAAATTTTAAATTTAGACTAATTATTTTGTATTTTTTCTTACTTTTGCCGTTCTTTTCTCGGATCATAATTTTGTCTCTCTTTTCAAGTCAAATTTAGCTTTTGTTAAAATTAGCGCTGTTAAAAATATAGCGAGAGTGATATTGATCAAGTGGGAAAGATCCGGAGAATGGGCTCAGCCGGATCAGTAACACAAATCAATCGATTTCGCCGAATTCACGAAACAAACTCCAAATCGATGGCACCTGCCACAGAGCTGACATTCCAAGCCTAATAAAATTATATTCTCAATATTGACCTTTATTGAATTTTCATTAAATTAAGCTGCTTTTTTCATTTCTTCTCAAATCAAGATGCAATGAAAACACCTTCTTCAATAAATCTCTAGAATTGATGATTGTACTTACATTTGATTGACGAGCAGAACATACTTCACATCTCCTTTTCCCTTCGAAAAGAGCCAAACGATGCTGTTGAGGAAGTCTCTCTCCAACTAAAAATAGAAGCATAAAATTTCAATTCTATCCAGCTGGGCAGGAAGAGAAAGCGTTTTCTACAGTGAAAGAGAGCCTCAGATAGAAAAACGCTCGCTTTGATAGAAAAACTCATTGTCTCAAGAAAAAGAGAAGCGCTTTCAAACACTTGAGACTCAATTTTAGAAAGGCGTTTTTTGGGCCACACGCCCAAAACTGCAAATTCCGAAATGATGAAAAAAAACTATAAGGATGGAAGCGACCAATCAGATTTCCGGATTCGGTTCGTCAGCCAATCAGATTAAGGAAAAAAAAATTACAGAAAAAATCATTTTCAGTAGTTTTTTGTCGATTCTTACCGCTTGCTTTTTGTTTTCTTCAAAAATTAACAAAGTGACTCCCTTATTTTTGGTGTTATAATTTATTTTAAATATTCCAGTTAAATTTTTTTAAATATTCCAGTTAGAGCTCTTTTTCTCTAATTTTGCAGGAATACAAAAGTAAGCCCCAAGTCCGTATGTAATTAATTGGCGTAGTAAGAGCGCCAATTGTGGGATGATGAAATTAATTGCCCGACTAATGTCAACCCGCTTGAAAGCGGCGATGTTCCCTTGACCCCTATAAAAACCCTCAACTCGTCATAAAACCCTTCCAAAAGCTAACTTTTAAATTTACCGTCGGCCGAGTTGGCTCTTTCGGCTGGAAGACAAATCAGATTTTCGTCAAGGGAAAATTGCCGGCTGCCACGTGACGTGTCCGATATTTGCTAAGCAGGAGGTGATCTGTCAAAAGAACTGTCATTTACGAGCGGGTCAAGGTGTTTTTTTGTCGGTCACGGGGTTTGGAATAATTTTCCAAGAAATTTTGCTTTTTATTAACCGCGTGGGACGAATTGTACATTCCAATGTAGTTTAAGACTTTGAAGAGCCCTAGTTCAAAAAGTACTAATCGTATGAATCTGAAAATTGAAATGCGCCTTTGCACATCCTTAATCTCTCGTTCTTTAAAATTTCAGCGAATTATCGCGCAACACCAGCGCTCTGCAGCGGATTAAGTCTGACCTACTTCGCGCTGCGCTCCTTTTCTCACTCGGAAGTCCGATTTCAATTGGGATTTTTTATTATTTTCAAAGTGAAAATATAGGTTTTCGATACTGGAGATTTCAAATTTTTAATAATATTCACAAAAAATCAATGCGAAATCAACTCAAACGGTCAAAACAAGAGCTACAAGTAATATGAGAATGAGGTTTGCAAACTGGAAAATGGAAATTTATGTTGAAATTATGAAAGCCTGTATTCGATTTAGTATTGTCTGAAAATTTGGCGAGAATCGAATGAGCGAGTCGCGAGTTATTCAAGTTTTCGCTTAAACTACAATGAAATGTACAATTCGTCCCGCGCTCATACGCGCGGATTCGTCCCACGCGGTTAACTATAGAATTTTGTCCCCAACAATTTTTACCAAAATGTTAGCCATATTTTTGAACAAAATTTTGGCCCTTTTTTTGACCAAAACTTGGCCATGTTTTTTACCTTAATTTGGCCATGATTTTGACCAAAATTTGGCGATGTTTTGAAGAAAATTTTGGCCATCTTTTTGACCAAAACTTGGCCATGTTTTTGACCAAAATTTTGGCCATTTTTTGACCAATCAGATTTTCGCATTTTATCGCTTTGCAAATTTTACCGCAATTCGTGTAATTAGTTGTCAAAAGCATCAGATTTTCTGTTCAATTTATTTATTGACACGACACCCTTATTTCTTCGTCTTACCTTTGAGATATTTTCCTTTGAAACTTCTTCGGTCTCTTTGTCCGTCTTTATCAAATCCAAAATAATCCCCAGCGAGGTTTTTCTGATATCAGAAGGCGGGAGTACCCTTTCAAGGAGTAAACTTTTCAAGATTGAATGAAGCTTATTTTAAATCGGATCTGAGGATTTTTCGATTGAGCAGCTCTTGAGCTAAATATACAGTTTTCGCCCTCGGGCTCGAGCTATTTTTTGATTTCTGCTTTGGTCGTGGTTTTGAGTATAATTGACAAATTATAAAACCGAGAAGTTCAAGTTCAATTTTTCAGACTGGAAATCAAGGAAGATTTTTTCAAGATTTCTTTTTAAAGTTTATTTTTAAAAAATCACGCTTGAGCAATTCCGCGCAATTTTCTTGCGTCGAGTGTTTAATCTTCCAGATGGTCGATTGTTTGAAATACTGGAAATTTTTCCTGACAAGTACACTTCAAATAATCGGGCAAAAAATCAATTTGTTCGGTTTTTTTTCTTGGGCTATCATGAAATTTATCCAATTTTCTTTAAGAAAAGCTGATTTTCTTTGATCTCTGATTTTCGATCATAAAAGAAAAATGGGTTTCAGAGGAATAACAAAAAATATCCAAGAATAAATTAAGGGTGTCACCATGTTAAAAAAATGAGGAAATTCAACCTTTCCTTGTTTCATAAATCTCTTCAATTGGACTCTTTCTTCCCTCCGCCAAATTCTCTTTAATTTCTTCCAAGATCTTCATTTTCTCTTCTTGATGTGTGTTGACATAAAGTCCTCAATTAATCTCCCGGGCAACCTAGATTAATTAGCACACTTCCGCTCTTTATCAACTGTGCGCACCTTAATCAGCTGCTTTTCCCGCGCTCTTCCCTGTGCAAGATCCATTTAGGATCATTCAATAAAGTGAGCTTGTATAAGTTGGACGACTTTTTCACCAGTTGAACCAAGAAATATATATACGCAAGAGCCAAGTATATCACTGGCGACTGCACAGATAAAAAACCCAGAGACCTCCCCCGAACGAAGACTGAAAACTACATCAAGAGAACTCTCCAATTGTGCCGAATCCAGATCCTGTTGCTGAAACTTGTAAGTTAAAGTGTGAATCTTGGGAGTGGGAAGAAAGGCAATTTGGGAAAAGTGTTTTATCTTTTGGTGGACGCCTTTATTGGATCTTTGGATTGCCTGGACTTCTTTATCGTTGCGATCTCACACGCGCTAGTGGTCTCCAACCGAGCCGCGCCGATTCCGAGCGCCGCATCGCCGCACGAGTGACTTCCTACCACGACGCCGGAAAAACTTCCTACTGCGCTACCGTAACTTGCGTTGTTCTCCTGCCACGCAGATACACATCTACTCAGTTACAGAAGTAGTCAACTACACGCTGCGCTTTGATTTTGGTAACAAGCTCCCGCGTGGTTCCGCAAACACAAATCACGACTATCAACCTCGATCATCAGCAACCCGTTGAGTGATCACAACGACGGTCGCACGTGTCGATTACCCGCAGAATTCCGCTACTCATTATCAGTCTCCTGCTGTTCTCGTTGCAATCAAACGAAGTATCCCGCAGAACTCTTCATTAGCAGCGTCCTGTCATTTCTGGAACCCGCTGAGCTGAGCTCGCACGCAAACTTTCTGCTGCGACTGACACCATTTCTCCCAGTCGAAACTTAAGGGTATCACTCGCTTACCCGAAAAAACGCTCGCTAGCTTGTCGATTCGTCGGACACTCATCTAAGCAAAAGCGCGCCTCTTCTAAAGTCAACATGGGCCTCAAACCTGTTGCTGAACTCACTGTTGCCGAACTTCGAGCAGTCTGCAAACGACTCAAGTTGGACACGAAAGGCCTAAAGGCTGAATTACAACATACACTTCGGGCTCATGCTAAGAAAATTGGATATCGCCGAACGGACGATCTTAAAGACTTTGTTATCAATACAGATAACATCGATACTGAGAACCAGGATGCACCAGTAACGACTGTCAGTAGCGCTGATCCTGCTCTATCACTGTCGCCCTCGATCATTCCAGTACCCACGACGGAGTTGCCATCGGTAACAAGTCCAGCGCCTGTTTCATCATCGTCCTTTGCATTTCCGCAGCCTTGCTCAACGGTGCCGATCTCGACGACAAGTCTTGATTCAATGACTGCGTCCTCGATGTTTACTCCTCAGGAGAGCAATTCCAGAGCCGATTCGGTCTCCCGCATCCTTGGTGGATCTACTACTACTACATCGGCAGCATTTGGTGGTCAATATGGTCTTTTCGGAAATCGCCTAAATTCTGGATTAGCCTCGAATAGGAACGTGATTGGTCAATCAGCGCAATTTGCGAAAACTTCGCCTCCTCTGACGCCGCCGATGAATCAATTTGCAGTCAACTCTGCTGGTGCAAGCACTGGAAAAGCCAGAGACAACTTAAGAAAGGAAAGTTCCGACATCAAACTTGTTGTTTCGCGAGACCCGCAAGAGATCGAGAATCTGCTTGACCAAATTCTGAATTTGGGAAGTATCTACGAGTGGAGCGACGCGCAGCGCATGATCGTGCTTCGAACTAAGCTCAGCCCGCAAATTCAGCGAGAAATCGGAATTTCGGGTCTTGGAAACTTCGAAGATGCCGCGGAACGCCTCCGTAAAAGATTGGGATTCAGTCATCAGAAACTGACGCTGTTGATCGAAAAGCTCTCTCGTGGACGTCAAGAGACCGTGACTGCTGCCTTTTCGCGACTTATCAATCTTCTCTCTTCTGCTGGATCCGTTTTCCCAAATCTGCCCGAAGAAGCCAAGCAAACGGTGTTGCGCCAGGCACTGCGAAGAATCCTCCGCCCAAGCGAATTTCAGTCCTTCTATCTCGCTTGGATCGCCCAGCAGATGCCAACCAATCTTTCCTCGGTGGCAGAAATCCTCAGCCTTCTTGAGGGAACTTTCGCTAGCCCAGCCGAAGCCGTGGATCTCGAGAATGACGAGTACGATTTGAATGCAGCAAATCGCGAAATCGTCTGCCACATGTGCGGCGAAACTGGGCACGTGATGAGAAACTGTTCTTTGATGACTGGAATCAGGCAGATTTCAACAATCACGTCGCGATTGGACCAGTTGGAAGCGATCGCAATAAAGCAAGACTCCTCTTTTGAGCGGCTTCTGAACAAAATAGAAATGATTGCTGAGAACCAGTCCGCTTACAACACGACGCAGCAGCAGCAGCAATCACAAGGCCAGAAGCAAGGACAAGGTGGGAGCAAGAATCATCGCAACACGAAGCCGCACTGTGAGGTGTGCCCACTTTTGCCAACTGGATACCCACCTCGTCATTTTAAACAGACGTGCCCAATGAAATCCCAGCATTGACTAGGCGGGGATTCTCCAGGCTCAGAAAGCCAAAAACTCGCCTGTCATGAAATCTCGCTGCCTTCCCTGCTTCCGAAAATCAGACTACAAATCCTCGACACTGAACTTCTTACTCTCGTTGATTCGGGAGCCAACTGCTCGATTATGGCCCAAGAACTCGCTGCTAAATTCCCTAACGCGCGCCGTGAGCCAGTGGAAGCGAGCATTGTCGTTGCGAATTCTGACAAGATGCGCTGCAAGGAAAAGATCATTCTACCATTGTGCCTGAACGGAAGAGTTCGTTACCAGAGTTTCCTCATCGTCCCCGGCCTCAACCACGAATGTATCCTTGGAATGAACAGCTGGAAAGAATTGACGATCAACCGAGACACAGAAACGATCCAGATTGACGGAGAGACCTACGATATGGTTCAAACTGGCCGACACCTTGCACTAAACAATTTGGTCGCGGCTACCATTGGTCCTGAGTCCTTAACGCCAATCAGAGTGAAAGTTCCTGTCGGTGAAGACGAGCTCGAAGATGTGATCCTGGTTGAGCCTTCACCAGAGGGATTCTGCAAGGAACAAGGTATCGAGACTTGTGAAGCGATTTACAGTGCTGCGAAATGCCAAACAATCCTCGTATACAACTCAACGAACGTGGCGCTTACCATTCCAGAGGGCGCGCAGGTGGCGACCGCTAGCCTCATGAAAAGAACGAAAGGGGGGCAGTATGAGTTCAATGAGCTGATCAGTGTTTCAAGCAGTGAATTCGACCGTGAGTGGGAGGAGCATCAACGAAATCGCGAAATTCGACTTAAGGGTCCAGACCGCTATAAGTACAAGGAAGTGGAAATCGGCCCTGACCTCACGTTCGAAGAGAAGAAAGCAATGACGGAGAAGCTGGACAAGTATTGGAAGGTTTTCTCGACTGGACCGCAGGATCTCGGCATGGCGAAGTCTCTGGCCTTCAGAATCCGACTGAAAGATGAGACAGCCCGAGTTTACGAGAAGCCTATTCCTGTGCGCCCTGGATGCAGAGAGAAGGCTACAGTGGTCATCGAAAATTGGTGCAAGGCGGGCGTCGTCAAGAGGGGAGCGAGCGACTTTAACCTCCCTCTCTTTTTTGTGAAGAAGGGCAAAGACGACGTCCGCCCTGTATTAGACGCGAGGCGGCTCAACCAATTGACAGTCCCTACGCGTTGGCCGATCCCTTCCCTGAAAGAATTGATGTCCAAACTGTCGCGGGACATCTCCAAGACGAAAGGCAAGCTCTACGTGACTTCCGTCGATATCGCCTCCGCGTTTTCGCAGATAAGAACAGCCCCACAAGACATGCACAAGTGTGCGTTCTCCTTCCTTGGCCGACAGTACATCTGCCGACGCATGGCTTTTGGCCTGATGAATTCGCCCTCCGTCTTTGCTCACGTGATCGACCGACTCTGTTCGCACATTCCTGGACTCTCTGTGCTTATGGACGATATCATTCTTGTTCATGGAGATTTTAAGGAGCATCTTTCGGCAGTTGACGAATTTTTGAAAATAATGCTCGAGAACGGTCTTCTGCTGAAAATCTCCAAAAGCCACTTCGGCGTCCGAGATTTCCAGTACTTGGGATTTCAGGTCAGCCACGACGGAATACGGCCTTTGGATGACAAGCTTGACCCAATCCGATGTTTTCCGCGCCCAGGGAACCGAAAGCTTCTCAGGCGCTTTCTTGGGCTTTGCAACTTTTACTCCCACTTTGTCAAGGATGGCCATCGCTTGTTG